CATATGGCCAGAATGTTTGGGGAAGTCAGTGAGTGTGTAGCATTGAACTCATGATGTTTTGGATTGTGTGTATGGTTCTTTCAGCCTTGCCATTTTGTTTGCTGGTATAGACTGAAGATTTTTGCCACCTGAACCCAGTTTCATTTTGCCAATGCATGGCGACGTTTGAGCACCATTCTCCTCCATTATCAGAGCATATGGTTTTCAATTGGTGTCCAGTTTGAATCTCGGCATATTTGATCCATTCTTGAAGGACATGGAGTGTGTCGGCCTTCTTGCATAGGGGTTTCACATAAGTGAAACTGGAAGCATCATTGATTGCTACCAGCACACAGGTGAATTCAGTTTGTTCTGAGAAATGGGTCGAGAGGTCAACATGGACTAGTTCTAGTGGGTAACTAGCAATAGTTCCATCGCCTTTGCCCATTCTCGCCTTGGTAGATTTGGTAGCTAGGCAGTCGTGGCATGTAAGGGAGTGGTTGGGTTCAGCATTTACTCCATATAATTTCTTAATTATGGAGCTTTTATTTCGCCCAGGGTGTCCAAGTTGTTCGTGCCATTTTGCCTGTGGCCTTTTGTCCAGACTTCTTGGGGGTGCTACGGCATCAAAGTGTTTGGGTAGATCTTTGATTATTTCATCAATATTTGTGAGAAGGACCGAGGGTTGATTTCTATGTATTTCCCATTGCTTGCATTTGGGGTTAAAAGAGGCAATCGTTTTTGATTTGTTCAGCCAGGTGATAATGGCTTTGGTTAGGTTGAAGGTTACTCATGCACCATCTTTCAACAGCATATGGACAGAGATTAAATTACTGTTGGCCTCTGGAACATAAAGTACATCATGAAGAATTACTTTAATTCCATCCAACATTAATTCTATCTCTCCTTTGGCTTTAATTCGAAGCTTGTGGTCTCCAGCAGTATTCACATATCCTAGACAGGGAGTAAAGGAAGAGAACATTGATTTATTGCAAGTGACATGATCGGTTGCACCTGAGTCGACTATCCAATCGTGGATGTTGGTTGGCTCAAGTGAGACTCGATAAGCTGAAGGGATGGTGCACCAAAGTTCCTAGGCAGGAGTTGAGTTGGTTTGGTCATTTGGGTAGATATGGGGTCAGCGAGGCTTAGGGCATTTCTTAGCAATGTGTCTGGTGTCGAAACAGTTGTAGCACTTGGGGGCCTCTCCATTGGGTCCAGCCTTGCCTTTCCAGTAGCTTTCAGGGTAATCTTCAGTCTGCGAACTTCTGACTACCCTGATGCTGCTGGATGCCGTTCTGGGGGCAGCAACTCGATGGATTGGCTTCAATTGCATCTGCTCCTGACATTTGAGCAGTGCAGCAGCAACTTGATCAAAATCATGGGTGTTGCCCATGCATTCGAGAGTGTTGATATATGTTGCATAAGATGCATTGTATCTGGCTGAGTTGATTAATGTTTGTATTTTCATCAACTGGGGCAAGGGATGTCCCATTGTGTTGGCTTTGGCCCAGTGATTTCGAATGTCTTCAATGAGTTTTCAAACATCATTGTTGTACATTCGAAGGCAGCCAGCATCTCGAAGTATAGTGGCTTGGTCTAGATTGTCATTCTTGAGGAGGTTAGTTTTGATTTGCTCATAGAGCTCATGGAAAGTCCATGGCAAGAATCCTTGGGTCTAGCCAGGATGTAGTTCAGGTTGTTTGGACCTTCAATTTCACAAACTCCAATCAGGATCATCTTGAGTCGCCTGTCAAGGATTCTGTCGAATTTCTCATTGCCAGGCTTGACTTTTCCTTGGAGGTGTCAGAGAGCATCACTCCAGGTGTCAATAGCATCTAGAAATAAGGGGTTCCAAACATGCCAGTTCTTGATGTTGAGCTTTGGGGCTACTCTGATGGTAGTCGAGAACCATCTGAGTAGTCCCAAGAAGTCATCACGCTTCGAGGGTCTTTTGTATTCATTGGGTTTGTGGACTTGGCGGCTCATAGCCATGAGCATGCCTCACATAGTCCTTTGGTCCATGTTTTCAATTTCTTCTTCAGTGATTTGGTTGAACTGGACAGGGCTAGTAACATCTTCGGGATTCCAGAGAGAAGGTGTCTCTGGTCCAATAATCATCTGGGGGGGCAGGTTGGTGTCGATGGTGGGTGGTAGGTTTGGTTCGTTTTCATTGTCTTCCTTGCCTCTGGAGGGCGGTCTTGAGTCAGTCGGGTTCATCTTTTGTCTTGCTTGAGGGAGTAGTTTGATTTGGTCTTGTCTGGTTATTGTTTGTCAAGGTTGGGGAGTCTTCATTGGTTTTGGTATTCTTGAGGTATTGAGTTGCTGTTGTTTAGTCAGGAGCGGTGTGGTTGCAGTCGGCTTTTTGCCTTTGTTGATTTAGAGCACTCAGACTCTTAATCTGTTAAGGGATCAGGCAGTATCTGTTCGAGAGTAACTGAGTTGATGATTTTAGATGAGTAAATACATGAAATATAGTGCATATATATAGATGATTTGTCTGCTAAGCATGTGTGTGAGAATATGGCTAAGTCAAGTGAATCTATCGTGTATGGCTTGAAGGGGATGTCTTTTGGGGACAAGAGAGAATCGCCAAGTACAAAGGGGATGGGGTTGCATGAGAATGTTGCAACCATAAATGGAGTTCGTTGTCGAGTTTTGGTGAAACGGAGGAACAAAGGTATTTGAAAGAAATGTGAATCAAAGGGGACTCGTGAGAATGAGAAAGATATGCAGGCCTAGAAATCAGTTGGCGAAATGAGACACGCACGTCAAATTTCAACTGCCTCGTGCACAACTTTTGGAAAAAGTCCAAGTTGGCAGCCGGCCTTGGGCAGGGCTGCACTCAAGTATTGTTCTTTTTTTGAGTTTTCACTTTTGTTAGACTCAACAATGGCATTGGCACTGCACTCGCCATGACCAAGACAATAGTGTGTGTTCCTAGTGTTAGATTGTAGTTTCGTATCCGAGTTCATTGAGTTCCACACTCGGCCGGCGAGTTCATTGAGTTCCACAGGAGGAGGGGGAGCAGTGTTGCAGGCAACACTACAACAAAGGTATATAACCATGCTCCCCATCATAGGAGAAGAGTGGATCACCATCCACTCTACACCATATCAAACTAGTTATCACTTCAAGTACAAGTATACATTAGTTTTAGTCAGTGACATTGCAATCACAAGTAGATTGCTTCCATTGCAGTGTGTGTGTTGTATCACCACTCACTGACATCTGAAGGTGGTTCATAGTAAACCAGCAGTCTGGATAATGATAGAACTGATGGCAGTCATCCACTGCAGTCCAGGGATCACTCGAACACTCAGTCGACACACTGGACACTCATGTCAATGACAGCAATCACAAGCACACCAGACCTTGGTGTTCATATCAGTTCATAGCAGTTATTGATCATGCCAAGCTACCTCTGGACAGAGTGTCCATGGCAGTTAGTTGAAACCTACAATAGCAAAACCATTACTACATCTTCAGGCAAGAAAAGTAATAGAGATGTCTCTATTACATATCTCAACAAGAATCATAATACACAAGATGTTACCACATATCTTGACAGGATTCGTAATAGATGCATTCCTGTCACAGATATCAGGTTTTGGGCACGTGACCTCTGACAAGTGTCAGACTGAGCAAAACACACAGTGAGCAAGCTCAAAAGAAGAGCTTTCGATTGCAGTGAGTCTCGGAGCCACCTAATACTTGAGCAGACCTCCATGCTTAGTAAGCACTTGCTCCACGTGATGCCCCATCAAGTCGATCACAGGATTGATATGTTTGAGCATGATCTGGGTGTTCCACACTTCCTCTGCAGCTCTGGCAAGTTCATCCCAGGTTTTTGGTACTGGCAAGTGCTTACCAAGCAAGTTTTTGAATACATACCATATGTTCTCAATAGGATTCAGATCTGGCAAAGCTGGCAGGTGTTCCTGCATCTTAATGTTGTATTTGGCCCACTGTTGCTTGCAGATAGCAGCCTGATGACAGCTGCTGCCATCTTCAACAACCAACAGGCTGTCAGGGTATGCACTAACAGCAGTTATGGCATCCCGGAGCAGGCTGTTGATGATCCAATCACAATATCTGACAGCTGTGAGGTTCTTGGCAGGATCCCATTGATTAGCCAACCCCAGCCACTTCTTTCTTGGAGCCAATGGGAGCACAATCAACAGGGTTTTAAGGTTGAATGCAATGCAGGCCCATACCTGGATGCTGAAATGGCTGGAATGGAATGTTGGAACCATGTTGTTGATGTCTTCTCGAGTGTTTTTCCAGCAACTAACCCATGTGTGTCTGGGCCAGTAGCCAACCTTGACAACTGCCTCATCTGTGAACAGCACACCCCTCCAATCAGTTGTGCCATTAGCCTTGGCCCATTCTAGATGTTTATGTCAGTTTTTGGCTGTCAGAAATGGCTTTTGAAGTGCAATCCAGTGGTTAATACTGGCCTGGTATGCTGCTTTCTGGAGCTGCATTATTGGAATGCCACCAAGCAATGCTGACAGCTGTTGCCATGATAGAAATGGGTTTTTGAGTACCTCATGCTGAAGGTATTGGTCCAAGGTAGCTGTTCAGGAGTGTGGATGGCCAGATTGTGCTTTTGTTTCGAAGGTACCATGCTCCTTAAAGTTATGGATGGTCTTGTGAACTGCTGTCTTGGAAACACCACTTAGCTCTGTGATTTGTCAAATTGGCAGCCCAGTATCATGCATTGCAACAATTGAAGCATGCTTCATTGGAGCAAGCTCATTGCCATGGACCATATTGGCATTTGAAGTGTTCTTGATTAGTATGATGGTAGTGCTATTGCTCAATGATGACAATGACCTGAATGCAGGGTAACTGACTAAATCAGGAAATTACCCGATTGTCCTCAAACTTCTGCACAGGGACTGTACACGCATACGAAGGGTATTGAGACATATATAAACACTCGAATCATCTTGTACTCAACATGCACCCCTTATCGCAATTGACACTTGTGATCATTGACTTTTGACGCACGCCCTTCAACAGGAGAGCAGTTCTGTGAAGTCGTTTGCTTCCTCTGTAGGCAAGTCCCGAGCCGATGAATCGAAGTTTAGGTCGGACTGCTTCTCTTTGGCGTTGCCAAGATGCTCTGGACGGTAAGCAGGGCAACGATCAATGTTGCGATCGGGAAGCCACCATTCGAGAAGCTTGAGGAAGAGCATGTCTACTGCCACAATGATCACAAAGATCTTGCCAGCGATCAAGCCTCCTGCATAGTATCGCGCTAGACGCTCGGACGGGCGAGGAAAGTCATTTTCCATCGCCTGCTGGTACACTCGTTCGAGCCGATTCGCTACATCGGTCCACGAGTACATCTTCTTGGTGGCATTGTGATAGGCAAGTGGATCATGCTTGCCAGCTCGAACGTAGGCGATAGCATCGTCCATGGCTCGGACGACGTCGTCTTCCTCCGGCTTTGCGAGTCGAATCATTGATGGCGGCAGAACTTCAGGAACACCTCCAACTCGGGTTGACACGACAAAAAGACCTGCGCATGCAGCTTCAATGATGCAAGTACCAAAAGCTTCCGTCAGAGAGGTATTGAGGAAGATGGATCCTCGCGTCAGATGATCGCGAACTTCGCCTTGACGCACAGCGCCGCAGAGTTCGACTCGGTCTTGCAAGAGGTATCTCTCTCGCATCTGCTCTAGTTCCACCCGTTTCGGACCATCGCCGCCTTTAAGGGAAAGAATATGCGAAGGGAGAGATGTGACGAAGAAAGCGGTTCAATGTCAGTCACGTCGTAAGGCACTTGAGTCGATAACTTGGGAAGGAAACATACCAATGAGAAAGTAAAGGTCTCGGTGCGCCGCGCAGAGTCTCGGTATAGCCGCAATGAGCAAGTCGATACCCTTTCGGTACATCAACCGGCTTAGCACCACTACCGTGAGCCTACCTTGCTCAACCCGACTTGGATCCGGCAAAAACTGATTCGCAACCACCGCATTTGGGATCACCGAGACTTTCTTGGGGTCGAGATTGGCACGAAGTGTTGTGTTCTCCTTGCCTGTATGTGAGACGCACACAACCGCATCAATGTCGCTCAGCGCAAATCGTAGCAGCTTGTTGGTCAGGATTGAAGCTGTATCTGAGAAGCCGAACAGGCTGTGGTCTGTGAAGACGGTTCGCAGTCCCATGGTGCGGGCATGGAGGATACCTTCGTGCGCCATTGACGATAGTGCTTGGTGTCCATGTACGATCTGGATCTGTTCCCGGATCAGAATCGATCGCAGCGTTGGGAACAGCGAGAAGAAGTTCGGAAGCGTGTCCTGCCGAGCGATCACTTGGTACGGCACATGATATACTTTGAGACCGTTGCTTAGGTAGCGTACTCCCACACGATCGGGCGCGTAAGCATGCGTGATCACAATCACCTGTTTCAGAACGATACCGGACTCAGGTCAGCACCAGCGTAGGTAGATGTCATGTAGTGCAAGCGGCTATACTCGCCTTGTGGCCCATCGACAGCAGTCGACCTCCGAGAAAGTAGACATGGCCTTCAACGCCACCTACATTCGGGTAGAAGAAGTCCGAGACCATGCTACCGTTCAGCAAGAGCCACGTGATCACAGCAGCATCCCGTCAACAAAGCAGGCATGGCAGAAAAAATAGACAGAAGACAAAGGACAAAGATGTGTTGAATGTCAGTACCATTCCATAACATTGATTAGCAGCAATGTAAAGTACAATAAGATAGACGGCAGAGTCATGGGAAAGAAGGGTTCACTGCTCACGCGATGCTGTAGCGAGGCTGGGCGCTCGCGTCTGAAGCAGCTTGATTTGTTTTACCGAGATCAGGCTTGTGTCCACCTGAGGAATGCGATTGCAACGAGGAGAGGTCAATTCCAAGCTCGGAAGCGACCGAGTTTGCCACACTGTCGACGTTGTGCAAGTTCTCTATGGAATCGCCGACATTATCGCGTCTGCGAATTATGTATGTGAGCAAGAGACGCATTGCGAGCATGTGCATCGATACTGCATCATAATTTGTGCTATCATAAAGCGCTTGCTCAAGACGGCGAAGGCCTTCGCCCGTGCGCTTTTCCACTCGAGATCGTGCAGCTGCATCGAGAAAGTCCACTTGCACGAACCTAGCCGCTCGACGCAGTGTGCCTTCGGGATCGCGGAACTGGTTCGGCTTCTCCTCTGCAAAGAGCAGCGTGTTCGTAGCAAGTGCTTCCTCGAACATCTGCTCTAGCATCGCTTCCGAGGGCACCAACTGCTCCCATACGTAGTTGCTCCAAACGTTGCCTTCGACAGCACCACAAGAGGCGTAGAAGGCCTCCATCCAGCTCCAAGCTCGATCCGTCGAAACATCTGGGCTCGCTCCGCTTCGTCTTGCAATCTGCTGCATCGCATCGCACTGCGCCACTTTGCCGTTCGAAAAAGCACCGGAGCTAGCGGCTGTCGAGACTGTTTCGCCAATCATGGCCGCAGCCTCTGCACGCACATCTTCGTCGTCGTCGGTCAACAGGCCGATGGCGGCGACTCGGGCTGTGAAAAGTGCAGCCGCGGTATTGATGTCGCAGTTCTGCTGAGCCGAACCGTCTGGGAAGAGCAAGGAGCCCAACACCCGTAAAGCCTGACATGCAGCCTCACGCGACTGTACCGACGCATGTTCATCTGCGCATCTTGTTACAGCCCAACACCATTGCTGTAGGATTGCGTCAAGGCCATCAGCCGAACCTTGAACGGCCAACGCGAGCTTGCACAGATCGGAGAAGTAAGGAAGAAGAGCCTCGCGCAGCGGCACGCAGACAGTGCTGCAGACGATCCGACCGATTGCTGACGCCTCCGAAATCAGAGCATCATCTGCAAAGGCTCGTTGAAGCCAGGGTGCTCCTTGTGAATCGCTCTGAACTGCAATCTGATGAAGAACCTCGGCTGAATGGACGCGATGCCAGATCCCCTCGCCCTCATCCCTGATGGCAGTGTGGAGCTGACGGGCGAACGACACCAGGCGATCAGGCTGACGAAGGGATGATTGCTGCAGCGCTGCTATTCCATCATCACCGATTAGCGCCTCGAGACAGCTGATGCGAACATCCTGCGAGGAAGATATCACGTGCCTAAAGCAGGCATCCAAGAAGCTTTCTGATGCTGATTCTCGAGCAGCCACCTGCAATTGCAGCCGTGTGCAAACACCAAGCAGGGCAGGCCCTCCTGCGTGACGCACAAACCTGGCTAGGACCTCGGGCCTGTCCACGTAGGCAAGCAAGTTTGTGACCCAGATCTCGACCACACGGAGCAAGTGCACGGCGACCTCAAGGAAAGCGGCATTACGTATGCCAGAGAAGTCTTGCACGACTTCCAGGTATGTTGCTTGAGTGATGGCACATGAGTTGACCTCCAGCAGCTTGCTTGCGTTAGAGAGGAGCACTTCAGCTAGGACTACCATGTCCTTGGACAGTGCCGCTGTAGAGGCCTCCGCATCTGCGACGCTCTTGAGAAGTCTCTGAGCCAGCATGAGTTTTCCGTGCGCCTCGTTCTGGGAATGCAGGCCGATCGTGTTGATGATCTCGGATGCATGCTGTGCTGCATGTCGAAGAGGCACAAAGGCTGCGTATGCCTTTGCGCTCACCTCTCGCACTTTCCACACCTTGTTGGACAGGCAATTCGAAAGCAGTGCACGGTAGGCTTCCATCCTCTTCGCATCTTCAGCTTTCCTTGGTTCATCTTCTGGTGCCTGCATTCGGCTGAAGAGCATCACGACTGCGAAAAGGCTGGACTCTGCGCCTTCATCATTAGTGTCGGTTCCCATTTGACCCTCCCTTAGGACGTTGCGAAGGAAGGCATCGGCGTTGGGGTAAGCGGCAAAGAACTCGTGGACAGGCATGCGAGCCTCCTTGGTGTCTTTGTTCGTGTTTCTGCTACCGAAAATTTTGATACTGAGAGACGAGAAGAGCATCATACTGACGTTGCGCAGTCCCCAGAAGCGCGATCGGAACTTGCTGATGGTCAGCTCGAGCAAAGATCCCAGATACGGCGACATGTGGTCGGTCAAGCCTCCATCCATGACGAGCACCCTAAGGATGTTGAGCGCGTGGATGCAGGCGACGGGCATCACGTCCGGTTGTGACGAGTCTTGGGTCGCGATTTCCATGAGACGAGACAGAGTGGTACGAAGGACGGTGGCGTTGGTCTTGCTCGTCTGAGCACTGACCAGGGCAAGGACGGCATAGCCGATGCCAGCACTGCGTCGTGTGATGCTCAGTTGAGAACCAGACTGTGCCACTGTGTCGAGGAAAGCGGTGATCCACTGCTGCGGAAGGCCAATAATCTCGGATGCCAGGCTGCGCACAATGGCGGAAGCAGCATTGCAATAAGCGGGATAGATGGTGCTGAAAGCGCCTCGATGACGGACCTGCGTCAGCCAATGGTTGTAACATTGACCAATGGCCTCGATATCCTGCACACTGTAAATTTCGCGCCAGACGTCGTCTAGATTAATTGAAGGTTGCTGTTGGGAGTCTTTCGCCGTACGAGCCGGTGCGGGTTTTGCGAGAGAAGCAGCGACTAAGGACCCCAGTAAGGCACTGGCCTCCTTCATGCCTCTCCATGAGTATGATAGGATTACTTGGTGTTTGGGACCTGCATTCGATTCTTCCTGTGGTTGCATGAAGGCAGCCTTTGCGTCATCATCGGCCACCTGCATCGCCAACGCGGTTTCGTGAGAAGAAGGTTGATCGAGACCAATATTGGCGTCGTTGGCGGGGTCTCCGCTGGTCTCGGCCTCGGTGCTGCCTTCTGGTGCCGAGTTGCACAACACTGCCTTGGTAACGTTCCAAACTCTGTCGATCAGCTTCTGTGCCTGGCGGACGGTCTCTCGGAAAAGCTTTCGGTCAGTTTGATCGAGCGAGGTGATAGATACGGAGCTGAAGAGCTCTTGCAACGTGATAAGAGTTCCATGAAGAGGATGCGAAGTGGCAGCCTCGAGGATCTTTCCGGCTTCAGCCACCTGAAGGTGATAGTCGAGAAAGTCGAACATGTCCAAGATGAGAGACAAGGTAGCGTTCTCGTAGAGTCGAGCAGCCGCATTCTGCTGGGTCACTCCTATGAACGACAGCAGAGGCGTAGGACGGTGACCAAGTTGCTGCATGTAGATCCGCCGATAGAGCTGGATGAGCTTGGACGCAGCTGCCGACTCGAAATCCCTTGTGCTTGTCAAAAGCTCGGCAGCACGACCGAGGATACGCTGCGCTGCAGTCTCAGCTATCTCTAGGCCGGCCAAGGGAGCAGGGAAGCGTGCGAGCATGGTGAGAGCTCGGATCTGGATGACATCGTAGGTGCTCTCGGAACAGGCAAGGAGCAGCTGAACAAGCGAAGGTGTAATGAGCTCGATAGCGAAAGGAAACTCTTGCGAGAAGACTTGCTTGGACTTGTTGAGCGACATGCCGGCGTTTTTGGTCAATGTCTTGGTACCGTCGGCCTGCTGGACCTTGTTGGAGAAACTGGGATCCACTCCACTTTCCAAGATCAGGTCGAGGAAAGTAAGCGAGGTAATGCTGGCCTGGTACGAGGCACCGGGGTGCAGCGTTGTGCGAACAAGCTGCACCATCCACCCGAGAAAGTTGCGGCTGGCATCAACGAATTGTTGCATCTCGGAGAGTTTCTGCTTCTCGTCTGTGTATCGTTCTGCATCGTCGATGCGAGTGATCTTGCCCATGTCTCGTGCTAGAGCATAGGTACTGGCGCGCAGTCGCGTGAGGAGCTTGACAAAGAAGCCCCGCAGCTCGCCTCTGGCGGCAGGATTGGTGATGGTGAGACTGTAAGGAAAAGAAGTGCGGAGGATGTCGAATTCTGCGTTGGTGAGATGTGCTGCTGGTGTTTTGGATTCGATCACGAGTGAAAGTGCTGATATTTGCAGTTCGCTCGCTGCAGCCAGAATGCAATCCGTGAGCAAGGAAGCGGGTATAAGCACCTGAACAGGTTTACCGTCGGTTCGCTCTTCAGTAGTGAAATCTGAAGCAGTATCGATGCGACAAAGGCCTTGGATCTTGCCCGTACGCAGAACCAAGAAGACACTTTCCACGTTGAGACCGGCATGAGTTGTGCTGGTGAGAAGGGTATCAAGAAGGATTGGAAAGATGCGTCGATCCAACTCGAAGAGCGAGGCTAGATGATAGGATGCAAGGCCGGATCTCAGCCGTTCGCCGCCATCTTTGAGAGCTGAGGCAAGTGCCAGATTCCAAATCGCAACCCATGGCTGCCACGCTTGCTCGTCTTGCTTGACTGCGTCTTCGACCTTGTTCCAGGGTCTGAGCTGACACCGAAGGTCGTCTGCCCTCGCCACCAGAAAGTTGAGAGCGAGTCTGGAACGTCTGTTGGCACCACCATCGACCGTTCCGAGACCTCGAATGATGCGCTCGTAGATGGCGGAGTCCTCCAGCATCGAGCCGCCGGGTGTAGCAGCTAAGAAGGGAGCGGAGCCGTACTTGGCTACGATGACCTCGAGAATGATGGGCGACTGCTTGCGCTCGAGCTGTAATAAGGAGCGGTTGACGAGGGAGGTTAGAAAGGCGCTCTGACCTGGATACGGCAACACTGATTTCGACGATTGGTTGGCCAGTGCATGGTGGGTTATATGATAGATCGCGTGAAAGAGCGCAATGACGGCTTCGAAGACGGACTTGGATCTGGAGGACACTTGCGTTCTCTCGGAGTGGCAAGCCGACCAAATGACATCTGCAAGGCTGAGCTGCTGATCCATCGGGAAGAGAAGCTGCTTGGTCTTGACTTGGACTTTGGCTGCGGACGGCTGTGAAAGCTGGCCAGTCATGTGAGTGGCCCAAAGTCGGAGAGCGTCGAGACCATATTTGAAGGATGCGGAGAGCTGGTCTGGGGATTCCAGTGTAAGGTCGAGGCACTTATGGAGCAACGAGAGGGGCTTGTCCAGATGGATTGAGGCCTGGTTGCTGCTGGAAGAAGCATCATTTTCCGACAAGAGCTGCACACTTTCGATGTGTGCGAGCAGCTGCAGGACTGCTTCAGGCGCTTTTGGGTCCGTGTTGGCCTTGACCATAGTCGCAGCCTCTAGGGGAGCCGAGTCGGAGGATGAGGAGGTTGGGAAGGAGGGAAGAGTTAAAAAGCTTCAGTTACAAGACCAATTCGGACAGGGTCTTTCGGGATTTAAAAAAAAAAAAAAAAAAAAAAAAAAAAAAAAGGCCTATTTCTTCCAGGAATTGGGCTTTTCTGAAAATCCAATCCGGCCGGCAGGCAACCCCTACTGTAGAGCTCCAAAACTCCACCTCGTCATGCCTCCATCATACTCACAACGAGGCACGCTAGATCGAAAGCTTCAAACACGGAGATAGGTCGCAAGAGTCCCATGCATGGAAGAGCAATCGGATTGCTGATGCAAATGCTGGACGATGTGTGCCGTAAAAAGACGGGATGTGTGACAATGGATCAATTACTTTTGAATGATGTGAGCAGTGTCGCCGAATGTGTGAGGTATGGCCGGCAATTGTGAGTGGATGTGCAGCTCACTGACCAACGTCGAAGACGCTCAGAAGGGCGAAGCAGGCATAAAAGAGTCCAACGGGATAGGCCACCAAGAGACGCTGTTCGGAAAGCCGGAGGATCGAGACAAAGATGCCAGACGCTGACGTTGAACACCAAAGAATGAACAATGGCGAGACGATGTATCCGAAAAATGAGCTGCGATAGGATGTAGAGGTCAGACGAGAGGAGCGCAAAGTGCAAGAGGATATCAAAGAATGAGAGTCAGTCTCAGCGAAACCCATTCCTGCGGCAGTATGGCGAGTAAGAGTCTGGGGCTGAACTTACTCTAGACGGACAACGATGCTGGCAGTGCTGAGGATGCAAAGAGGTAACAGACAATAGCCGAGAACGGAAGCAACTCGATATGCATCGATGCCTCTTTCGCTCATGAGATTGAGTAGAGTGTAGATGCTGACAGCGCCAAGAAGGGCAACACCGTAAACGTAGCCGAATTGACTCTTTCCCGCCAACAGAAGCGTCATGCCAAAGATGAAACAGAAGAGCAGAGGACCTCCCAGGTCGGCGTCGTCCATCATGTGTGCGTCTTTAGCATGCGAGGCCGAGTAACTATGCAAAGGGTTGAGTACGGTCAACGTTTTATCGATGATGTGACCGATATTGATGCCGAGCTCTTCCATGAGAGGAGGTTCATCTGGGAAGCCACCTGTTCCAAAAGCAGACCAGAAGCCCATCTGGGAACTCATCATGGCGTGTGCTGCCGATCCTGGAGCGTATCCTGCTGACGACGACATGTTGCCTTCCAGAGATGGTCGTGCGTTGCTGCCTGTAGCATAGCCATCGTGTCCGGTAGCTGATGAGTAGTAGGAGGAGAACTGATTGTTCGATGTTGGGTTGCTGTAGAAGTCGAGTGGATTGCCTATGTGTCCTGGTGATGTGGTTTGAGAGGTCTTGGATCCAGAAGCTTGGCCGTAGCCATAGGGCGAAGAAGAATCGAAGATGGCCGACATGTCGAGTGAAGTATGATCGGGAGCAGCTTCAGGTCGCGCAGCACTTTGCTAGTCTGAGAAGAGGACGCCTGGATGTGTGCTTTGAGCGTGCGACAAAGTGTGGTATCAAGGTCGAGAAGGGGGTTTCAATTCCAAGCTGGGTCGGATGTATAGCGTTGCAAGTTGATCCAAGCGCTGAGTGGAACGTCCCACTTTCATCTATGTTATCGCACGAGAAAGTTAGAAAGTAACGTAGTTCATGTAGATGTCAAATTCACGTAGGTCTCGGATTGGAAGTGGCCAGGGGACTTGGGAGTTTCTGGACTCAAAATTGCTGAAACAGCCAAGTCCCCCTCTCAATTTCGAAATTTTGAGGCAGCAGCTCCAGTCAATTTTTGTTCAACACACACACACACACATGACAAGCAGGTCAGTCCACCATAGATGTGGACCTTCACTATATCAAAGCACAATAACAATGCTTGAATTGCAATGCAACATAGGATCACATGAAGGGTGGCATGGGTGGAAGGAAGGGTGACATTGGCTGCCACCTGGGCAGTGGGGTGTCATGGGCCTGGATGCTCAAGAAGCAGGAGGGTCACTGGTTCATATGGAAGGAGCACAGGTATCGAAGATCTAGTCGATACCAGTAGAGAGCATGGTCGTAGTGCAGTCTCCATGGAGACCATGGACTTCTATGGACTCACATGCAAAGGAGGACCGAGCCATATGTGAGGAGGGCCAGGCACAGCCACAAGGAGGACCAAGCTCAAGGAGCAGGCACAGCCACAAAGAGGACCAAGCTCAAGGAGCATGCAGATGGTTACCACTCAGGGGCTCGAGAGACAAGAGTTGAAGGAGTCGACACCAGGTCATGAGGAGGAGGAGCAGTGTCGAAGGAGTCAACACCACTCAGGAGGCACAGGGGTGCCAAACAAGCAGCAGGATAGCAAGGAGGAGGAGCAGTGTCAAAGGAGTCGACACAGCTCAAAGAGGCACAGGGGTGCCAAGCAGGCAGGAGAGGCCCCTGAACAGTACTCGATGAAGAAGGTACTCTCTGGAGAGAGAGCAGGAGCAGCATCGCTGGCGATGCTGTGAAGAGGTATATAACCATGCTTTCTCATCATCAAGGGTTGAGTGGATCCTCATCCACTCTACTCACCATACAACTAGTCAATACTTTAGAAACATAAGTACTCATTAGTTTTCAGTCAGCATAGCAGCAATCCATCAAGGTTGCTCCTCATCATAGTGTGTGTGTTGTATCACCACTACCTGACATCCGAAGGTGCCCCATAGTAGGTTAGCAGTCTGGATATAGATAGAACTGAAGGCAGTAGTCCACTGTGGTCTGGGGATCACCTCAAGCATCAGTCAACACACTGGACACTCGTGTTGACACCACCAACCTTATCACCAACACCATCAACCTCATCATCATCAACATTCACACCAGACCTTGGTGTCATCATAACCTATGCATTGATATTGATCGTGCTGAGCTACCCCTGAATGGAGTGTCCACAGAGGTCAGCCGAAACCTACGATAGTATATACAATGAACACCACCTGCTGTCACTGTGCAACTTGATAGTTGCCGAATGACAAGCTTGTCGAGACAGATACCGAGACAATAGCTGTCACACAGTTTGATAGTCACCGAGTATCTCGACAGACCAACCTGGGTTACAGGCGCGAGACCCCTGACATGGGGGCTCAATAGGCAAGGTACTTGAACTAGCAAAAGGCAGAGGCAGGGGTACCATTGACATAGACTCATAACTGTCATGAGCTTGACTGCGCAGGAAGCAGGAAGACCTGACAGTTCATATGAAGGTAGCACAAGAATCGAAGGATTGGGTGGATTGGTGGATTTACAGAAGAATTCAGTGAGATTGGTAGTAGACCCAGTTTTATGACAGATCTCATTGGGATCTGCATGAATGAAGTCGATATCACAGATCCTACCAGAATCTGCAGTAAGTATGATAGTATGGCAGATTTTGCTGAGATCAGTGACAATGATGTTTGTATGATGATTTCACATGCAAGAGGGACTATGCTCACAAGCAAGGAGGATCGAGCACTGCCAAGACAGGGACTGAGCTCATGAAGCATGCAGACAGTTACCACTCAGGGGCTCAGGAGATATGCAGACAAGAGAACCATTGCCAGTTGAAGGAAGAGGAGCTGTGTGGCAGGCACCAGCGAACAGGTCATGAGGAGGAGGAGCAGTGTCAATGGAGTCGATACAGCTCAGGAAAGACAGGAGCAACAAAGCTCGATGAGGGGGAGGAGTCTCAGTGGAGACTCTTGTACAGTACTCAATGGTGAGGGTACTCTCTGGAGAGAGAGCCAGAGCAGTGTCACTGGTGATGCTGTGAAGAGGTATATAACCATACCTTCTTGTCACAAATGGTCAAGTGGATTCCCATCCACTCTACACACCATATAACTAGTATTACTTTCAGAAGCATAAGTACTCATTAGTTTCAGTCAGCATAGTTGCAATCCAATAGATTGCCTCTCATTGTAGCATGTGTGTTGTATCACTGCTCACTGACATCTGAAGGCAGTTCATAGCAAACCAGCAGTCCAGATTAGATAGAACCAAAGGCAGTCATCCACTGCAGTCTGGGGATCACCTCAAGTGATAGTTGACACACTGGACACTCATGTCGGCACCACCAAGTATCATACTCACACCAGACCTTTGGTATCAACATCAAGTTCACCCAACATTGCATAGTTATTGATTGTGCTGAGCTACCTCTGGATGGAGTGTCCACAGTGGTTAGTCAAAATCTGCAATAGCATTACTACAACTACAGATTCAAGCAAGAAAAGTGATAGAGACAGCTCTATTGCATATTTCACCAAGAATCATAATACCACTAGTGTTGTTGCATAACTTGACAGAATCGGTAATAGTATTGATACTACTACCGATCTCAGGTTTCAGGCACGCGACCGCTGACAATAACCTGGAAAAGGCAACATCAATTGCGGAGGCCAGAAGCTTCTTTCAGATGACAAGGTTGGTGTTGGCTGGACTGGCAGGTTCTCTTGGTTGCTTGCTTGCTCTTTGCCTTTTGCTTGCTTCTTGCCCTTTCGAGCCCTTGTTCCTGAATCCTTCTGAGCCTGCTCTTCTTGTGCTGCAAGTAGCCTTGGTAAGTCACTTTGGTGTAGTACCCTGGCCTGCAACAACTGATTCCTATCACCTGGGAGTGCATGTTGCTTCTTAGAGTGGGCTGCTGTGAGCTCTTGAATGCAAGCTTGATCAATTGCATGCTGGCCAAAGAGAAGGTCCATGAACTTACCTACCTTCTTCATCCAAATGCATCCTTGTCAGTGATTGCTTGCCAGAAGTGCCTGCTGTTCTTCTTGATCCCAATCCATGATGGCATACATCTGTGCTAACATCTTCTTTGCTTCCTCTGGAGTAGAAGGAGTTGTTGGAGTCTCCTCAACTGCAGGAGCTGAAGATGGAGGTGTTGATTCTTGATGGTAGCTGGTCATGCACCATAGAACCTTCTCTGGGTGGAGCTTTGAGTTGATCCCAACATCTCTGAAGGCTTGTGATGCTAAGGTGCTTGTTATGACCTGTTGTGATTTGTTGTACATGTTGACGAAATCCTTCTTACTGATTGAAAGATTTGCTCCAGCAAACTTGTCAACCTCCTTGGTGAAGGCTTGCTGCAAAGGTCCAAATATCACGACATCAAGCGGCTGTAGGAGGTGTGTTGCATGGGGAGGAAGGTGTAAGCGGTCGCACGCCAGAGACTAGTTTTGGGTGTTATCTGATTGGTATAGATGGGATTGATTGAGTAAGATCTACTTGGTATGTTTTGACTAAACATAACCAGATGTCTTCAAACTGGTAGGTCTTGACTGACCACCTTGAACACTCTGTTCAGAGGTTGTGCAGCATGTTTGTTGTTTGTTGGAGAGTGAGTGATACCCTCTCCTTACAGTACGAGTGTTCACAGTACTGTTGATAATGCTCTTGGATGTCATCTGGACCACGATATACTTATCACATACAGAGGACAAGAGTTACTGGACTGCAGGTGTGAGCCACTGCCTACAATAACTGACTGGATGTCACAGGGTCGGCTGGCCAGCGCAAGAGAGTGCGCCAATTGATCAGCGGCAGTTATGGTAATGTCACATAACGGAGCAGTATATGAAGGGTGTGCAGAAGATCAACATATGAAGGGTGTGCCAGATTGATCAGAGCCAAAAAACCATTGGGGATCAATGAGATTAATTGGGTTGACAGCACATATGAATTACGAGATCGATCGAACTCCGGGAATCCAGATCAATCTCATGGGATCAGTCAGGATCAGTCATATCAGCATGCCTCAACTAGTTGACCAATATGAACAAGTACTTGGAGCTGTGCCAACATGACCACATGACCAAGGGGTTTGGTCATGAGGTTCAACAAGCAGCTTAAGGGATTCACAAGATAAAGTCAAGAGGGAGCTGTGTCAAAAGGGGGCATCACACATCATCAGGCAGAAGGAGAGCATGAAGGCAAGAGGGCAGTGTTGCATAACCCTTATGCTGTGCAAATGGTAGGAGTGCAGTATCGATGGGATTGATGCCAGCAGGACAAGACAGTGCCAAACAGGGGACAAAGGCCCCTCAAGAGGAGCAGGATAGGTGTTGAGGGAAACACCAACTGGATGCATAAATACTCTCATTCTACCATAGCATATGAGTGGATCCCCATCCACTCTACACATCTTATACTATATACTTTACTTGTTACTTACTCGGTTATGTACCATTGCAATAGCAGTGCTCTTGCAATGACTCTCAATGTGTGTGTTGTATCACCATTAGTCAACAACTGTAGGCAGTGTTCTTCACACTAGTGGTCCAGTTCCTTACTGTAGGTGGTGTTCTTTAACACTTGCAGTCCAGTCCCTCGCTGTAGGCGGTGTTGCTCAACACCAGCAGTCCAGTCGGTTATTGTAGGTGGTGATTCACACCTGCAGTCCAGTAACTCCCATCCTCTGTAGGTGATTAGCATATTGCAGTCCAGACAATGTCCAAAAGCATTATCAACAGTACTATGAACACTTGTACTGTAGGAGAGGGTGTATCACCCACTCACCAACAAACAATGTTCATGCCATGCAACCTCTGAATGGAGTGTTCAAGGTGGTCAGTCGAGACTTACCAGGCAGTGATGCTTGGTTACATTTAGGCGAAACATATCGAGTAGACCTTACTCAATCAACCTCAGCTAGTCTCTGGCACGCGACCGCTTACACTGGACTGCAGATGTTGAGCAACACCACCTACAGTAAGGGACTGGACTGCAAGTGTCGAAGAATACTGCCTACAGTAGAAGAACTGGACTGCAAGTGTTTGGGGAACACCACCTACAGTTGATGCCTAACAGTGATACAACACACACATTTGAGGGTCATTGCAAGAGCACTGCTATTGCAATGTTACATAACTAAGAGTCAAGTAAAGAGTATAGTATAAAGTAAGTAAGTAGAGTGGATGAGGATCCACTCATATGCTATGGTAGAATGAGAGTATTTATGCATTCAATTGGTGTTGCCCATGACACCTATCCTGCTCCTCCTGAGGGGCCTTTGTCCCTTGTTCAACACTGTCTCTCCTGCTAGCATCAATCCCATTGATGCTGTGCCCCTACTGTTTGCACAGTGTAATGGTTATACAACACTGCCCTTTTGCCTTCATGCTCTCTTTCTGCCTGATGATGTGTAATGACCCCTTTGACACAGCTCCTCCTCTTTGTTTAACCAATCTGTTCACCATTTCCTTCTCTCTTCACTGGTGACCACCTTCCCATCCTTATCTTGTGAATCCCCTTAGCCACCTGTTGGACCTTGTGACCAAACCCCTTGGTCATGTGGTTGCCCCCTGTGCTTGGTCCTGTGTGGCTATACACATGCACCCTTTGAGCAGTAACCATCCATGTGATGCTGAGCTTGGTCCCCCACTCCTACATGTGGTTATCTCTGTATGCTTCTCCTTCTAATGCCAGTACCTTCCTTCCTGAATCTCTTGGTACTTGCTCATATCAGCTGACTTGCTGAGGCATGCTGATCTGGCTGATTCCAATCAATCCTCATGAGATTAACCTGGAACCCAGAGTTTGGTTGATCTCATAAATCATATGTGCTCCCAGCCTGATTAGCTTTGTCAATTCCTGATGATTTGGTGCTGATCAATTTGGCACACCCTTCATATGTTGATCCACTGACCCTGTGACATTACCATGAATGCCGTTGGTCAATTTGGCGCACCCTTCATACGCTGGCCCGCTGGCTCTGTGACAGAAGGCAGAGACAGACAATGCAGGAGTCCCATGCTTGCTGAATGAACTCAGCTGTGATGTGGGAGCCATGACCATCAAGGATAAGCAGCCAATACTTTCCTTGAGCCCTTTGCTTGGTGTGCTTGTCAAAGCAGTCCTTGAGCCAGTGTAGTGCAAGCTCATTGTTGGTCCAGCCATTCTGGCTTGTTGCAAAGACCCAGTCCTTAGCTGCAGTTTGATTGCAGTACCAGCTCTGCATGTGGTTCTTGCCCCAAAAGATAACCATAGGTGGTGGCTTTGTCCCTTGTGCACCAATGCACTCAACCACTGTGATAGTCTCCTGATTGCCTGGCTGTGACCTGAAGCACTGATTCTTCCCATTCTCCCTGGGTACAATGATGTATTGGCATTGACTTTGTCCAATGAGAAACCCAGTCTTGTCCATGTTGAAGATGTTTTCAGGTAGGATCCTATACTTGGCAATAGTCTTCTCCAAGACATCAAAGTATGCTTCAACAACTGATGGATCACTAGTGGCCTCTACCTGTCATGGGGGGGGGGGGGGGGGGGGGATGCGCAGAAGCTAGAGGATCCATCAAGCTCATATGAAGGGAGCACAGGAATCAAGGGATCAGGCGGATCGTGGGATTTGAAGCAGAATTCACTGAGATCGGTAATAGTACCAACTCTATGACAGATCTCATTGAGATCAGCAGGAAGGAGGATAGTACTATGAGCCCAGGATCAGCTTGAGGGAAGATGGTACTATGGATCACACTGAGATCGGTGATACAAGAGGGGGTATGGCAGATTCCGCCAGAATTGGTAATAGGAGAGATCCTATCACAGATTCTGCAGAGATCAGTGATAGGAATGGGTGTACCACGAGCTTCTGTGGGGGGAGCAGAACCAAGCACCACCAAGAGGGGGACCAAGCTCAGGAGCATGCAGCTGGTTACCACTCAGGGGCACACAAGATAGGGGACCGTTGCCAGTCGAAGGAAGGAGAGCTGTGTAAGAGAAACCGGTGAGGAGGACAGAAGGAGGAGGAGCAGTGTCGATGGAGTCGGCACAGCTCAGGAAAGACAGATGGGACAATGCAATGAGGAGGAGGGGTCTCATTGAAGACTCCTGTGAAGTACTCGATGCAGAAGGTACTCTCTAGAGAGAGAGCAGGAGCAGTGGTGCTGGCACCACTGTGAAGAGGTATAAAGCCATACCTTCTCGTTGCTAGTGGTTGAGTGGATCCTCATCCACTCTACTCACCATATAACTAGTCAATACTTTAGAAACATAAGTACTCATTAGTTTTCAGTCAGCATAAGTTGCAATCAATAGATTGCTCCTCATCGAAGCGTGTGTGTTGTATCACTGTTTCCTGACATCCGAAGGCAGTTCTTAGCAAACCAGCAGTCCAGATATCAATAGAACTGAAGGCAGTCATCCACTGCAGTCCAGGGATCACCTCAAGCATAGTTGATGCACTGGACACTCGTGTCAACACCACCAATCCATATTCACACCAGACCTTTGGTGTCATCAGCAAGTTCACATAGTTATTGATTGTGCTGAGCTACCTCTGAATGGAGTGTCTGACAGTGGTCAGTCGAAATCTGCAATAGCATCATCACAACTACAGATTCGAGCGAGAAAAGTAATAGAGACAGCTCTACTGCATATCTCATGAAGAATCGCAATACCACAAGCACTGTCACATAATTTGACAGAATCGGTAATAGTATTGATACAACTACTGATCTCAGGTTTCAGGCGTGCGACCTCTGACACTACCCTTGCAGCATCCATCTTGCAAGAGTAATAGCTTCTGAGTTCTGGATGTCACTGCTTGAAAGCAGACACCCAATTAGGTCCAAGAGTAGCATCATTGTTGTTGGACCTCTGCCTGAGAAGTTGTTCAGCCAACTGTCTGAGATTCTGTGGTGTTACTGGGAAACCATAGTGAGCCTGCTTCTGTATATGTTGGACTAAGAGCTCTTCAGCCTCTGGTGGTATAGCCTGCAGATGTTGAAAGGCAGCAGTGCAGCTCTTGCACCCTTTGCTGTGATCCCAGAGAGTGTTGTAAGGGACATTGTGATGCTCAGCAGTGGCCTTCAAGTCTTTGAATTGACCCTTCTGGAATGCACTAAGAGCTTCCTGGATCTCATGCTCCTTCTGGTCCCTGTCAGTCTGCAGCTGGGCTTTTGCAACCCTCTTCCTAGGTGAGATGTTGACCATTGATGTCAAAGTGGTGTATGTTGAGCAGTGCTGACAAGAAAGGAGTGTATGGAGATGAGGATCAAGACAAGTTCAAGACAAGAAAAGAAAAGTGTGAGAATAGTGGAGCTGCTGCCTCAAAATTTCGAAATTGAGAGGGGGACTTGGCTGTTTCAGCAATTTTGAGTCCAGAAACTCCCAAGTCCCCCGGCCACTTCCAATCCGAGACCTACGTGAATTTGACATGTATGTGAACTACGTTACCGAAAGTTTAACTGAGCCTCGAAATGACACTTTTTCTGGAACTCGGGATTCTGCCATTTCAGCCAGCCTTGTTGCAAGAAAAAGGAATTTCATATTTCGCTTTTGGGGAAAAATTCCAGCAAATGGCATTACTTACTGTATTTCTTTTCTCAGATTGCACACTTGCGGGGAGGAGGATACCAGATTTCGTTCTTCACCTTCTCACCGTCATTTAACCCGGTTCGAACCTCATCCTCACTCATTAGGTCTCGACAATATGCCTCAGGTAAGTGACCACCGATGCATGTTGACTGGAGCCGTCTATCCGCGAACATCTAGCTGACATTCATGTTTGCCGCCACTGCCACTACGTCGACGAAACGCACCCATCGATCTCGCCACGCTCACCGCTTACTGCTAACCATGACAGAACGATTACATTGAAGAGCACATCCGTCGACATGGCCGTAGACTCGATCATGAGGAGCGTCAGAGGAAGCGCGCTGCCCGAGAGGTGCACAAGGCTTCGGCCGTGGCTCAGAAGGTGACCGGTCTCAAGGCCAAGATGCTCAACAAGAAGCGTCGAAACGAAAAGATTCAGATGAAAAAGACGCTCAAGGCGCACGAGGAACGAGATGTAAAGCAAGCTTCCGCCTCTTCCGACCCCAACCAGGCGCTGCCCACATATCTGCTTGACCGTGAAGGTCAGAAGGACGCCAAGGCATTATCGTCCGCCGTCAAGGAGAGGAGGAAGGACAAGGCAGCAAGATACTCTGTTCCACTGCCTCAGGTGCGTGGTATCGCAGAAGATGAGGCGTTCAAAGTTATCAAGACAGGTAAGCGAAAACAGAAGGGATGGAAGAGAATGGTCACCAAGCCCACATTTGTTGGAGAGAGCTTTACACGAAAGCCGCCTAAGCTCGAGCGTTTCATTCGTCCAATGGGTCTGCGATACAACAAGGTACACGTCACTCATCCCGAGCTCAAGGCTTCTTTCAACTTGCCGATCGTCGGCGTCAAGAAGAACCCACAGAGTCCTCTCTACACACAACTCGGCGTTCTGACCAAGGGTACCATTATCGAAGTCAACGTTTCCGAGCTTGGTATGACCACCACCACAGGCAAAGTCGTTTGGGGCAAGTACGCTCAGGTCACCAACAACCCCGAGAACGACGGCTGTGTCAATGCTGTCCTTCTGTTGTCGTCCTAAGCAGTTTTTCACGCCTCAACTTGCGCAACTTTACAAAGCACAGGATTCTCATTCTCCTCGGTGTACACTAGCATTGCCGGTCTTGATTCATGTTATCAGCACTTTTCTCATCGACAATGCATCTCGTAGGCAAGCAAGGAGAGTTTTGCGGTATGTGGTGACAGATGGATTACCAAAGGAATGCGTTTTTGAGGTGACATGCGATGCTTGACAACGCGACAATCAAGACAAAAGACAGTCTACAGTGGAAGGAGCAACAAGGCTAAGCGCTGAGACACTTAAGCCAAAGGTAGCAGGACACTGCAGATTCAGCTGTCCAGGTCCATCTCTTCGGCTGGACCGAAGCAGCCAGACAGATCGATCGGCTGTGCGCCGAGATTGTGAGCATGGATCTGAGCAGAGGTCGGATGTGCCGAAGAGCTGATATGCTGGAATGAAGTAGCCATTGCTGGTGCATGAGCTCCACCATAGTGATGCCCATAATGCTGCTCTGGCTCGTGCTGGTACTGGTGTTGGTTCATAGCGGCGGACGGAGAATGCATTGGTCCATTTGCGTGCCACACTGACTGTGGAGCATTCTGAGCGAAACGAGTCTCGAGTGGCGATGGATCGGGAAAGTAAGAGCTCGACAAGGACGACTGCTGTGCGTACAGAGGACTTTCAGCTGCGTGACAAGGCGAGGCAAGGGCTGCCATGCCAGGGATCTCGGACATGCTTGGTGCAGGTCGGCCAAAGTAATTGCTGTGAGATGATGCATGGCCAGATCCGGATTGAAACGAGACTGGAGGCTGAGACATAAAGTTGGCTGTTGTCGAGGTAGCTTCGGGTACGAAAGCCAGATCGCTCTGCTGCTTGAGTGGAGAAGAGGATGCTGTGGCGGAAGATGTCGCCTTCAAAACTTCTTCGGGATCCTTCCAAAGAATCAGGGCGCCTCTTGCATCTTCAGCGTTGATGGGTGAGGCATAGCCGGACGATGCTGGGCTTGATTGTGCTGATCGGCGACGACTGCTTAAAAGCGAACCGAGGCTTGGGATGCCCGATGCTCCACCAGACCTTCTTCCGGAGCGTCGTGAGCGGCTCTGACCGGCTGAAGCACCTGAGCGCGAATTCGAAGCAGCGTTGTCTCGTTCCGAAGTTCCAGTGAGGACGGCTCTGCTATGTGCTTCAAGTTTCTCGATGAGCTCGTTGTTGATGACAAAGTCGGAGGTGCTTTCCTTGCTTTCGGTAAAAGTATCGGCGTCCGGGGTCTTTTGCCCTTGTTCAGCTGGGCTAGATGCATCGCCTTCTGAGGATGAAGTATCATCTAGGCTGGTGACTACAATACGATCCGGCTCAACTTCAAAGCTGGTCGGATTGCCGCGCCTGGTGCGCATCTCAGCATCTTGAAGCTCAGCAGAGTTGGCTTGTTTGGATGGGGTGGTTGGAATGTCGAAGCTGTGCATGTGTTGTGGACAAGTGGGAGGAACAATGCCGCGTTTCGCCAAGCTGGGCGATGTTGGTGGAACAGGTGCAATTGCTTGCTGGTATATTGTCGAAGCCGAGACTTGGAAAGGGTTGGAGAAAGCATCAGCCTTGGTTGGACTAGATGGAGGTACACGAGGTGCCAAAATGTTGCCACCCGCATTGGCTGCAAGCGCAGAGGCTAGTGACGAGCTTAGACCAAAAGCTCCAGCAAGGCCGCTATGGGTTCTAGCACCATTCGACCGGCCGAAAGAGGAGGTGCTGGGCATGGAAGAAGAAGCTATTGATGTCGGATCTATCTGAAGGCCAGCTAACTTTCCATAGGTATGTCGATCCTCGGGTGTCTCGAGATGAACACGTTTGGCTGGTCTGGCAAACTTGGTAAGCTCATCTCGGTCGAGATCGGGACTTGTGTGATGTGCGGCTGAAGTGGACGGTGTGGGCCAATCGTAATCGCCATCCGAATCTGAAAGATCTTGGATTCCCCAACTGCTTGCACTCGAAGAATGTCGTGGGACTAGCTCGGGTGAGGGTGGGTTGATGATGGAAGGTATGGACGAACCATCTGCGTCAGTGTTGGAGACCTTATTGCTATCTGAGAATCGACCTCTTTTCTTCTTCTTCTTTGTTACGACAGCGGCTGCTGGCATGGCTGCGAAGCTTGCAGCGGTCGATCTGGAAGGACCAGCTGCAGCCCAGAGCGGTTCAGCCATTGTGGATATGCGAATGTGTGGAGCAGTGATAACCAGTGCTTCGGGCGTTCTGCGCGTGTCGATGTAGGCTATATGTTGGAGGATAGCGTCTGATCAGCCTGAGGCCAAGAGTGGGTTGTGTTCAGCTGAGTCGAGACATGGAATGGGACAAGACTCTGCTGCTAGATTGTCGTCGTCGGAGGGTCTGTGCGGGTGAGGGACTGCGAGCGTGCTACGACGGTTGCCGCATCAAGCTCGTGCGACTATCGTTGCTTATCCAAGTCACGATGGTGGTGATCAAGTTCGACTGGTGATGGTAGAGATGGGTTTCAAGGGGAAAATGAGGAGGCAAGGATGAAATGGCTGTTGAGGAGTTCGAGCAAAGTGGATTTTTGATGGCCCTGCGTGTAGAAACTTCTCCCGATCGCCAATCGGGTATAGAAAGACCAAAGGGAAAGAAGGTTTGAAATTTTCTGGAAGAAATCAACAACAGCGTGCGGCAACTGAATTCGAAATCAATTCCAATCTCAAAAATCAATCAATCAAAAACCCTCCTTTTCCCCCACGTCAAGCTGCAAACGTCCACCTCCAATATCCCAATCGATGCGCAAATCACACTACTCAGCCTTTCCTGCACGGACCTCGCGATCCTCTCCACTCGACTCGATTCGATTGCATTCCATTCCATCGGACGGCTCTTCCGATACTCACAGCCATCCATCGTCTCAGCCAACTCACCACACCGGCATCTCCGACAATTGCTATAGCTCAGCGGAGTGACAGATTTGCCGGTCAACTCTGTCACCTCCGTAGCCATTGAGGACATCGCCTTCGACCATGGTGGAGCTGTTCGGATCCACCGATGCTGTGACTAATGGTGCAAAACAGCAGCAACATCATCAACATCATCAGGAAGCCTCATCGGAACTGCGTTCAAATCTGACTTACAATTCGAGCATCTTTGTGGCTGGATTGCTAATACTCGAACGAGCTGCGGATGGTTTCATTCGTCAAATTGCGCAATTGGCTGGCCTACTCGGCACCAGTCCGACATTGATAGCATTGCTCACAGCAGGAGCAGAATGGGAGGAATTGGTGGTGGTGGTAGCATCGATTGCACATGGAGCATCCGATCTCGCTATTGCCAACGTCGTCGGATCGGCCATCTCCAACGTTCTCGGAGCCTTTTCGTTGGGCATCTTGTTTGCGCCAAGTGCTGTCAAGTTCGATGACAGTTCCAAGAGGTTCGCCATCATCCAGGCCGGCATCACCACCGTAGTGCTGTTGCTCATCGCAGCTGTCCAGATCCAGCATGCCGACAAGGATGAAAAGCTATCTAGCAAGCGCCTTTTCGAGAACGTCGTTGGAATTAGCCTCATCGTCATCTTTATCCTTTACTTTGTCGGCTTATCCTGGGCTATTGGTCGTGGAATGCTAGCAGCTCCTCAAGCATCCGATAGCGAGTCTAGCAGCTCCAACAGTAGCGATGCAACTACGCACGACGATCGCTCTGCTCTCAATAGCGATGCTGCCAGTACCACTACTCTCGGCAATGAAAGTGAAAGCTCCTACATTCCTCCAAGACGTCCTGGTGGCGCAGCAGCACGCAGAGGCCAAAATCGAACCGCTACTTCAGCAGCTATCGAGACGACCCCACTCTTGCTCGGCTCAGCTACATCCTCGAACCTCGCCACTCGACTCGCTCGCAGACGCAGGCGTGCTGTTTTTCGCAATCTGCAAAAGCTTGTTCTCGCCTTGCTCATACTCTCGCTTGCCGGTTACCTTCTTTCTCACTCTATCCTTGAGATCGCATCCATGCTCCATCTCTCCGACACGGTCCTTGGTCTCACCGTACTCTCCTTTGCCACCACCATCCCAGAAAAGCTACTCAGTGTTGTTGCTGGTTTGCGCACAGCAACGCCTCCAGCTCGACCTCCAGCATCGGTTCGCAGACCCAGCTTAGCTCGTCGCGCTTCGATACACGATCAAGCCGAAGACGACCTAGCTCGAAGTGCAAGCAGCATCTTGATGGCCGGAGCAGCTGGTAGCAACATCTTCCTACTCACTCTGTGTCTCGGCATTTCGCTCATCTTTGATCGTGAGCACATTTCACCTTCGCCATCATACTTGCACCCGTCCCTCATCCCTCCAGCTCAACACCGCTTCACTGCCAGTAGCGTCCAGTGGCACGAGTTGGCTTTGTTGGAGGCAGCTTCGCTTGCTCTTGTCCTGATTGCATTCACAGATGGCCAGCGATGGCAAGCCGTTCTTCTTCTTCTTGCCTACATCGGTTTTCTTTTCGCTGAGTTCACCATCCTCAAGCGGTGACCTAGTCTCATTGGCACCAAGTCTGTTTCATTTCAGCATGCATTATTAATATACCGTTGCATACATGGAGCAACTACTGCACTGATAGGATCGCGTTTCGCCCACAGGTCCACGAGATGAGCCCCTGACATGATTTGGTAGAACTAAAGTGCATGTAAGTATACATGTGCTTCTCAACTACTGATGACTCCGCTTGCTTCATTCGACCTGATCGTAACTCCTGATGTCAGCAAACTCTGCAACACCTTGTCATTCCTTTCTCGACCGTTGCTCAACAGCTGAGCTACACGCGACAGCACCTCGGATGACCCTAGCTCGATCTTGTCCTCCACCAGCGGATCTGCTCTTGTAGGTCCACGATTGAGAATCAATACGGGCTTCTTCTGATCCACCGCCTGCTTGGCTAAACGGAAGGCCGAGTAGGTCGCCAGACTTGTCCCAACCAGCAAGACCGCATTGGCGTTGTCGATCAATTCATACGAATGATCTCGCAATTTGTCTGGCACCGACTCTCCAAAAAAGATGACGGCCGGTTTCAGTACACCGCCACAATTCGGACAAGCGGGGTAGTTGAACGTGCTGTAATCGACGTTGTGAAGCTCCACATCTCCATCTGGATTCGTCTTGGCGCTCTTGCCTGTCCTTGCCATTTCACGTTGAAGCTGTGCCCATGCTGGATTCAATCGAGTCAGCTCATCCTGAAACACGGCTCGAGATCCTCGGAAACCACAACCCTTTGGATAGTTCTCTCCGGTTGTCGTGTTCTCTGGCCGCAGCGACACCGCTCTTGGGCCTCGCAGGTACGATGTCGCTGTAAGAGCGTCGTGTAACTCGAGACTGATGGGTCCCTTGTCATCGCTCCGCTTGTATCCTTCGGGACTGGACACGCAGACAACATGTTTCAGAGTGCCGTGTAACTCCAGGATCGTGCTGGCCGCGAGTGACGCTGATGGTGTCGCTGCATGGTGTAGATTGTCGACGTTTTGCGTAATATATTCTGGTACGTAGCCAAGTCGTTGGATCGCCGCTACGCTATAGTGGGTCCTGTTCGGCTTGGCCAATCGGACCGGCGGAAAGCCAAGGTAAGAGCGCGAAAAGTATCGTTGTCTTGCAAGGTGCCCTTTCTCGGATGGGTCGATGAACTCGTGATAAAAAATTGGCCTATAAGATCGATGGACAGTATAGTGACCGTTCTCTCCTCTATATGGTGCAATGCCTGAGTCAACAGAGACGCCAGCGCCTGTCATGATCACAGCCTTGCCTTTCGCCGCCGAGAGAAACTCGGCCACCATCTTGGCACCATTCTCTAGACTGTATTCCATCGTGGCCCGTGTGGCCTGCTCCGGGATCGAAGGTATTGATATCCGCATGGCGTCTCGTCTGACTATCGATCAAGGCTAGATAGGAACTGGCGGACTGGTCGAGGTCAAGTTTCGAATGATGTGGTCACAACACAAGTTTGGAAAAGTGTTGTTCTTCTAGGAACTCGATTCAATTCTTACGAATGCCTCCACATCCCCGTCTGTGCGTGCTGCACGTGACTTGGCATACGCATCTGAGCACAGGCCACACGTGTCACAACCTACTCAGTCAGATGTTTGTTTTACTCCGCGCTGTCGCAAACCGACTCAGCCACTCATTTTGTATATATAAGCTCCATTTCACTCCTCGCTCTCTCTCTCTCCTACCACCATCTCCTCTTCTCGCAAGAGTCGCGCAACACCGACCTTGCTAAAACCCTTCTTTTTACACTTGTTCGCAGCTCGCAGCGTTCACATCTCACTCTGATCGTACAACTGATCTTGCTTCACAGCCGGAGCCCATCGCCCTCTATGCAAGCAGCGAGCACCATCGCGGATGCTTCACGAAGCGATACACTGGAACATGATTGCAATTGGATGTGCCAACGTTCACCGGGACGCATGACGGAAACAAACTGGCAAGAAACACTCAATCGAAACCGTGATCGCGACCTTCCACTGAAGCCCTCGTGATAGGCTGAACAGGATCCAGTTCCATGGGCTGCACAGCGTCATACTCGGTGACTGGTCCGTATGGGGAGGCCAGTCCACAACCGCTGGTTGACCTTCGTTAATGCGCTCTTGTTCTTCAGGATGTACTCCAGCATTCCAGAGAGGCAAGAGCATCCTGTTGTCTTCCTCGTACTCTGCTGAAAGGGCCACCTCTTGGAACAAGGCACTAATCTTGTCTCGAATCCTGAGATCGTCCAAACATGGGTACGTGCTCTCCTCCTTCAGCCCTCGGATCCACAAATGCAGAAATTTTGATCTGTCTTGTACTTGCGAGATTTCTTCCAGGAAAGGATGCATGCTGTTGGACTCCTTGAACTTTCACTCACAGCCGAGGTCGGCAAGAATGGTGAGCAGGCTGCAAGAGGTTAGAGCTCTGTGGGCATTTGTGCACCTGCATTGCAAGCAGCGCCCAGCAAGGGAGGTCCAGCAAGTCTGGCTTTGGAGGCCTCTTTGCGTCCTAAGCTTTTGTCTCGAAACTTCGCTTCCCAGGCAATGTATGTCATCTGTCAGGCAGCTTCGCCTTCGTCAATACCATTGATTTGGTCTGCTTTGGATTGCATACCTGTACAATTGACACTGGCTTGTTCAGGGCTTGTCGAGGTTCTGAAGTGCTGTGACAGTCCACCCACAAAGATGGGGATAATCCTATCTATGCCAGCTTGTCCATGTGCCATTTGCAGAGCAACGCTGCATTTCCAACAGTACCAAAGGTAGTCAGGAGAAATGACACTAATACCTTTTGGCAACATGTCGAAGTGAGTGAAATTCACCCATGCTTTCACAGGATCGTCATGAGAGATGCCTGCAGTTCAATGAGTGTCAAGCCTGTCGCATACAGTATTGCATGCTTCCTTGAGCTTGTGATTGAGCAGCACCTCATCGGGTTCATCCAGGGTTGCAAGCTTCTTCAGGTAGGCTTGCAGGTCAACAGGTGCCAAGAAGACCTTGGCAGGGTAGCATTTGTCCCCTTTTACAGACAAAGCTGGCAGCTTTGCCACATCCCATGCAACCATCAGGACAAAGCATGCAATGAACTTGCCCTGCAAACCTTTGAGACACTGTGTATCCAGCAAAGGGAGGCAATGCTTGGTGAAGGTGTCAATTAGCTGGGCATGCCTTGTTGTAGGAGGCACCTTCTGTTGGTCCTCTGGTGTTGCTGACATGACAATGGTGGCAGCAACCATCAATGCAGGCTCAGAAGGCGAGTCGATGTTGAGATCTCTGTGTTGAACGACCTCTCGTAAGATGTGCATATGCCTGTCAACAGAAGCAGTCTCCATGGCCTTCCTTTGCCTGTACAGCTCTCCAGAATGGGTGGGAATGAGTTGCAATGCCAGATGGGAGGCAAGGACATTGTAGCATTGCATTGCATCCGAGGCATGAAACTTTTTGGCACCAAGCAGCTTGAGCACAGCTATATCCCACCAATCCCTGTGAGGAAGTGAGTCCCACAGCGGTCGGCCATAGCTGCATACTTGATGAGCTTTACAAACCTCTTTGGGAGAGGCGAGCATGCACTTTTTGCTGTGCAACACATCAAAATCCAGACTGACAAAGATGGGTAGTGGATTCTTTTCTCTTGCTCGCAGCAAGGCTTGACCTTCCTTCTGCTCAATAAGCCTAGCAGCACCCGTGTTGGTACTGAGAAGCACAAGCCAGAAGCTTACATGGTCTGTCTCGCATTCAAGCTCGAGCAGATGGTGCCATGCACAATGAAGGCTGTTGAGTTGGTTGCCTTTAGAAATCCCTCCATCAGATGAGCCCAGCCTTTCGACAATCAGCTCCACACATTCATCAAAAGCAACAAAGACTGGCATCTTTGTGATGTTGTGCATTTTGTAGGATGCCGAATGTCATTGATACAGATGTTGTTGAATGGGCTCAAGTTGCCAACTGAGATCATGTGCTGCTTGGTCAAGGTGCCCGGCAAAAACGTTTTGACTACCAAGTGGGTGATTCTCTGCTCGGAGCAACACATCATCAAGCTTGGAACGAGTGCCAGCAATGTCCTCATGGAAAAAAGGATGACGTTGTCAATGACCAGGGCCTCCAAAGTTGTTCAGTTGTGAGAGGGAAGCATACTTGTCCTCAGCAGTGATGCACTTTTCAAGTCTTGATGCCAATTCTGTGAACCATGCGCCAAGAAAGACGGCCACCTGAAGGTTGTAAGAAGCCTCAGTATTTTTGGTACTGTTGTCAAAAAACTTGTATAGGTTTTCCTCAGCCAGAGGGTAGCCATTGGTGATGCTTGTGCTTTCGGAGAGCTTTTTCTGATGTATGCAAATGTAAAGGAGGGGAGCAAGGCCACCGAGCTCCAGGACCATGCATGTCTTGCCCATCCTGCTCGACTGCACAATCGAAGTACCTTTCAAGTATGCATTGAAGCTAATGGGATGGCCCCATTTCGTGAAGTGCTCGTTGACTTTGAGCACAAATCTCAGGAAGCAAAGCGGAGCATTGCCATGATAGATTTGACAGAGTTGGGAAGCAAAATGATCTTCAAGTTCTGGGTTGTGCTCAGACCGGTCATGTCTGGAGTTAGTGACTGGAAGGCAATAGATGATGTAGGTGACCGCTTCGCCTTTCGTGACAGGCACATCTGATTGGATGAGACAGTCAACAGTATCAGTGATGGAAGCTTGGTAATCTTTGATCTCTAGCGAGGTGGTGTGGAGGTGGGTATAGATCGATTGAAACTTGCTGCGTGACTCTCTCAGGGTGGAGAGAAACTCTCCGATCCGATTGTGAAGCCGAGTGTGAAGCCGATTCTGAAGCCGATTCTGAAGCCCTTGATCGTAGATATTTGGTTTGAATCCTTCGTTTTCCAGCATCTCGCTGCGAACCTTGATGACTTCGTAGACTGTTTCACAAAGCTCATCCCACTCTGCTCTATTGGTTTTCGCTGCGGTCAGTGAGGTTTCATATGCTTTGACACAGCCGGGTGATCATCCAGAAGTGTCGTCGAGATGAGGCGAACTCTGAGGCAGGGGCATGGTTGTTCGTAGATGTTTGCGCGAAGCTCTGTGTGTGTCACGCTCCAGCATAGCCATCACTTCGTCGAGGAACCATTTGATGGCATGCATGTGCAAGTCTCGTAACAGATAATACTGAACCAAAGCCATTGTGAGCACTTCTTTGATGAGCTGCACCACCTTTTCAGCGGGTCCTCTTGCTGCTGCATAATCGCTTCCAGCCTGTGCGCTGGGAGCATTGGCGTGAGGATCTTCTTCTTGGATGAGACGTTGCAGATGCTTCCAAAGGAATTCAGAGGTGAGCACCACCTCAGTCGAGGGATTTGCTGCCGACATCAAAGGGGTCGGGGGGCCCATAGCTGTTTAAAGCTGTTACAGGCATTGGCAACGGAGTGCTAAGGGCCAAATATCGTAGAATCGAACTCGATCGCAGCAAGATGACGGAAAGGTGATGGAGGACTGTGGTGTGAGAAAGAGGACAAAAGAACGCTAGACCCTGGGTTTGACGTGAATCTAAGCGAGGCAAAGCAAGATTGGCAAGGTCGATGTTGAAGCAACACTTGCCGAAATGAGAAGATGATGGTGGCAAGGTGGCAAGGTGGCAAGGTGGCAAGGAGTGAGGAGCAAACCAAGTCGATCGAGTGGCTTGCGACACGTGTGGCTCGAGCTCAGATGCGCACGCCATATCACGTGTAGCATTGCAGGTCCATGTTGACATCAATTCATGTGTTTGTGAGACTGCGGATGTGTCAGCGGTGTTGAATGCCGCCATTGCAACTACTGTATTCGCAGTTTTCCAAAGGCTCTCTCTCTCTCTCCCACCGCCCCGCCTTACCCCAGTTCCGGTGCGCATATAGGCGGACCAGCATCGATCACCTCCCCATGACATGCTTCCCTCTGTAAATTATCGCTTCGACCTCAATCAACGACTTCCTTCACCCTTCTCAACGCCAATACTTCGAACTCGCACGTAGCATCATGACTGGAGGCAAATCCGACGCTCACGACCTTTCCAAGGGGTACAAAGTCTCGTGGTCCTGGGGCTCTCAGCACCCTTTTGGTACAGTCAAGGATGTGAAAGACGATGGCGCCGAAGCCGAGACCAAGAAGGGCTCTACGATCAGCAAAGACGGTAGTAAAGAGGATCCTGCTGTGGTCATCGAGACCGCCAACGGAAACAACGCCGTGAAGAATGTAAGTGCGCGGAGGGGCATTTCTCGTCGAATCATAGCTTTGGCATTGACAACGTTGCTTCTGAATGTTCGCGTTCCGGTCCTGGTGCATAGGCGAGTGAGATCGATGGTGTCAAGCCTTGAGGATCATGCAATTCCAACTAAAGTGTTGACAGGAATCCACTCGAGACTGAGATCGTCAAGTGAGTTCGCGTCTAGAGAAGATTGAATCGGACGAAAACTCGTTTCAATTGTCGGGCGTGCTGTCCACAAGTCGAAGGACCAAGATTTGATGACATAAACGTACAGATCGTAGGCGTGGAATAGGCCGGGTTCCACATATAATACAGCTAAAAGTACATCGAGGAACAAGTTCAATCAGGATCTGGGACGCTAGTGAGGCAAAGATGCGTTGGATGGGCATTACCATCCGAATTGAAGCTGCTGGCGAGAGAAAACGGGCGGAGTCCAGTTGAGTTTGTCGGGGTTGATGCGCCTGCGCTTCTTCTTGGCTGTCTTGTCGTGTTTGGCAATCACTGCATCAGATAGCACGAGATAGTGTTTGCCTTGGTACTGCTTGAGCATGTTGAGCGCCATGCAGGTGTGTAGGACATCGGCGTGGGTGAAGGCCGTTTTTTGGGCGATCTCTTCGATGCTTATGTCCTCTTCGGTCTTGAGCAGCGAATCAACAATGATCTCGGCCCAGTAAGCTCGATAACTGAGCAGACCCAAGTCGGAGAGCGGTTTCTCGGGACTGCCGAGCTTGTTTTCACGTTTCGTGAGCTCGTAAGAGAATTCGATGAGGAGCTTGCCGTAGCCTGCACGCTGATGCTGTGGCAGCGTCAAAATACATGCGACGTTGTAGTTCTCTGCCGATTCCTTTTCTTTCGAAAAGTAGCCCAGGAGGTGGCAGCCCAAGTCATCGCGCTTGACCATGCAGTAGTACAGGAAAGGATCGACATCGTAGTAGAGCGTCTTGTGGTCGAGGAAGCACTTGCTAAGCAAGCACAAGTTGCGGCACCACGTCTTCTGACGGCGACCGTCGATCTCGAAGAAAGAAATGTCCTCGTGTCGGTAGATCTCGTTGCCAGGTGGATGTGTGAGCGTGCACTTACTTCGGTGGCGCTTGAGTGTGAAGGGCGAAGGGAAGTAAGACAGGCACATCTCGCAGATGTACAGCGTGTCGATGTGTGCGTATTCGAGCGGGTAGGGACTGAAGTACCACGTCTCGACCTCGGACTTGCCCATCTGAATCTTGTTGAGGTTCTTGACCCGAGCAACTTCGGAAACGGACTGTGTCATGGAGCCCGATGTGCGGAGCTTCTCGATCTCTTGCTGCTTGCTGAAAGTCTCCTGGCCCTGGTTGGCGTTGAGTGAGGCGGTGAGACCGCCGTTTCTCTCTGTGGCCACATCGTCTCGTTCCTGCTGATCGTTACCTCCGAGCATCTCCATGGCAACCACTGCACCATCTTCGTCATCCTCGCCGTCAGCGTCTGCATCCACGGAGTCGGCACGTGTTCTCTGCGCCGTTGAAGTGTCTCCAGAGTCGGCTTTGCGCTTCTGCGGTGTCTTGAGTCCGGCCTCCACATTCTTCGCAGCTTGCGCGGCTGCTTTCTTGAGCAGATTACTGGCGCCTGCGCCACGATTGCCTTTGCCGGTGGGTGTGAGTGGTGTGGATGGTGTGGTCGTGCCACTGCCTGTTCTTACCACCTTGCGCTTGGTTTTATCGTTGACTGGCTCCTTCTTTGGCCATTCCAACTCGCGAGATGTGATCAAACGAGTACCACTGACCCACTCGTCGAGACGCTTGTTGAACTCGCAGTAGTGAACGTAGTATTCGAGCTTCTCTTCCAATGTCGGAGCCGGCTTATCCGCCATCTCAGCTTGCTGCTTCTTGGTGAGTCGAGGCTTTGGCTTTTCACGGATGGACAATATCTCGGCTTTACGTTCTTCCATCTCTCCCGTAACGACATCAGGCTTCTGCACGAAAGCTTTGCATCCGACTACAACATCTTCGAGGCCATAAGTCCCGCCTGGACTTACTTGCGGTCCCTCCTCCGGTCCAGGGGTACCCGAACCACCCGGGGTCCCGCTCGTTGTTTTCTGGGCACGAGGCACCATGGCAAATCCGAAAGCTGCTGATAGATCGAAGACTGGTTCTGTTTGTTCAATATGCTGAAAGGGGCCGTCGTCGTTTGGTGGGAGGCAAATCAGAGAGAGAGCATCTGGCGAAGCGGAAGAGGCGAAAACGATCTAAATTGAGTCGGGTGCCGTGACAGAAAGTGTGGTTCGCTACGATGTGAATGAGGTTCGGGTGCTGCTGTGGGTATATATGCGTCGGGATACGCAATGAGAAAGTGACAGCGGAAACGTTGATGATATACGAGCGGAGAGGTGATGATGGTGGTGAAAGAGATGAATCGCATCCGAATTCGACTCAGCCAAAAATCGAGATTTGCGCGAGATTGCTTGTTGATCGGTCGAATCGGGCTCACGATTCCTCCGATTAGATATTTTCAACGAGCTCAGCCAAATCGCAGGCTGGAATACTGTATCTCAGCTTTGCTTGCGCCAATCGCTCCTTCTCACCTCTCCACACATCTCTCTTCACCCCGAACTCGGCACCTCCTCCTCTTCCTGGGACAATTAGACACCTTCAGCTGCGAGAGCGTAACCCCGCCAACCATCTTCGACCCAGAGTCAGTCTTCGAAAAGCAAAGTCTTGACGAGCCTGAAGACAGGCTCAGCGAGGTTCCCGCGTAGAGGTTCAGCGTCGACTTCCTCAAAGTTTAGCAGCATTGCAACCGGAACAAGTCAGCTGCTCTTGCAGCCATCACCATCAACACATCACGTTATGCAGGAGGAAGCGGACGAGATCCGGCGACTGCAGGACGCCCGCAATGCAAGCGCCACCAAGGACAAGGTCGCTGTCGGCAAGCTAGGTGGTTACGATCAGGAGATCTACGGAGGCAACAAGCGAAGCGATTATGTTCGTGAGCTATCCATGGACAGCAACAGCGACGACAGCGGCTCGGACAATGAAGGCGGTTCCTCGAATGGAAAGAGGTCGAATCCCCTCGATGAATATTCGGCCCCACAGCACCTCCTGCACGAGTTTGCAAATCACGATGAGGATCCCCTTAAAGCGCGAGCCGAGTCAAGGCAGATCGCTGCTCGCCAAAGTGACTACCATCTGCGACGATTCAACCGTGAGCTTGTAGACGGCAAGGCAGTCGATCCTTTTGCAGAGAACGGCCAGGCTGACGGGGCGGAAGAAGAGAGCTACAAGGATCGCATGAGGAGAGCCGAGCTGGAAAGGGAAGAGGAGCGCGTACGTCGCCTCATCGAAGCTAAGGAAAAGGAGCAGAAGGAGAAGAAAGCCGAGAGAGGAGGTCAACAAGATGAGTGGGATATCAAGCCATCTTCGTCCACAGAGAAGCCCGAGGGCGACCGCACACCAAAGGCGAAGCGCAAGCGAAGATGGGACGTGGCAGCTCCCACCGAGACGCTCGAAGCAAAGTCGGAATACAATGGATTCGCTACAACAGAGACTCCTGCCGAGCCAGCCCCGCGCAAGAGAAGATCTCGTTGGGATGAGACGCCAGCGGAAGCCGACGCTGTTGCTGTCGCAGCAGATTCGGTCGAGCTCAAATCAGTAGCCAAGCGATCACGCTGGGATCAAGCTCCTACCAACGAAGATATCAATCAGGTCGCCGACCAGTTCGCATCTGCCCCTGAAAACGGAACTTCTTTGGCAGCGCCACTTGCAACCGACCCTCGCAATCGATATATGACGGATGAGGAGCTCGATTCCATTCTGCCATCCGAAGGTTACATGATCGTCGAACCACCACCCGACTATGCTCCCGTCCGCACACCAGCTCAAAAGCTCATGACAAGTCCCGCTCCCGAGAACGGCGGTGGCTTTATGTTGCAAGAGGAAGGGGCCACTCGCGCTGTGCTCGAAGAGATGATCCCGGATCTTCCTACCGACATACCCGGCGTCGGTCAGCTCGCTTTCTTCAAAACCGAGGATCAAACTTACTTCAAAAAGATTCTGAACGAACAGGATGAAGCCACCCTCAGCGTCGAAGAGCAGAAGGAGCGCAAGATCATGAGGCTTCTTCTCAAGATCAAGAACGGAACACCAGCAACGAGGAAGACGGCGCTCCGTCAGATCACTGATCGTGCTCGCGATTTCGGACCCGGCCCCCTCTTTGACAAGATCCTGCCTCTGCTCATGGAGCGTACTTTGGAGGACCAAGAGCGTCACTTGCTCGTCAAAGTCATTGACCGCATTCTTTACAAGCTCGATGACCTCGTCCGTCCGTATGTTGGTCGCATCCTCGTCGTCATCGAGCCTCTGCTCATCGATGAAGACTATTATGCACGTGTCGAGGGGCGAGAAATCATCAGCAATCTCTCCAAGGCAGCTGGACTTGCACATATGATCAGCACCATGCGACCCGACATCGACCATGTTGATGAGTATGTTCGCAACACAACTGCGCGTGCTTTCTCCGTCGTCGCATCAGCACTCGGCATTCCTGCTCTCCTACCCTTCCTCAAGGCTGTCTGTCGATCCAAAAAGAGTTGGCAAGCTCGACACACAGGCATTCGCATCGTACAGCAGATCGCTATCATGATGGGTTGCGCCATCTTGCCTCACCTCAAGAGTCTTGTGGACTGCGTCGAAAAGGGTCTCGAAGACGAGCAGCAAAAGGTCAAGACCATGACGGCGCTGTCGCTGGCTGCACTTGCCGAGGCAGCCGCGCCATACGGTATCGAAAGTTTTGAGAACGTGCTCAAGCCACTCTGGATCGGCATCCGACAACATCGCGGCAAAGGTCTCGCAGCTTTTCTCAAAGCCATTGGCTTCATCATTCCGCTGATGGACTCCGACAGCACGCTCTATTTCGTCAAGGAAGTGACCCCTACCCTCATCCGAGAGTTTCAGAGCGCCGACGAGGAAATGAAGAAGATTGTACTCAAGGTGGTCAAACAATGTGCTGCTACCGACGGTGTCACAAGCGCGTTTTTGCGGGACGAGATGCTTCCCGAGTACTTCAAGAACTTCTGGGTACGAAGGATGGCCTTGGATCGTCGCAACTACAAGCAAGTCGTCGAGACCACCGTTGAGCTTGCTAACAAGGTGGGCGTGGCTGAAGTGGTCTCGCGTATTGTCAACGAGCTCAAAGACGAGAACGAGCCTTTTCGCAAGATGGTGATGGAGACCATCCAGAAGGTGGTTTCCAACTTGGGTGCCGCCGATGTCGACGAGCGTCTCGAGGTGCAACTAGTCGATGGACTCATCTATGCTTTCCAAGAGCAGACCGTCGAAGACCAAGTCATGCTGGAGGGTGTAGGCACTGTTGTCAACGCACTCGGCATGCACGTCAAGCCTTACCTCACACAGATCGTTTCCACCATCTTGTGGCGTCTCAACAACAAGAGCGCCAAGACACGACAGCAGGCCGCAGACCTCACAACCAAGTTGGCGCTCGTGATCAAGCAGTGCGGCGAAGATGCTCTCCTCGCTAAGCTTGGTGTCGTTTTGTTCGAGCAGCTCGGTGAAGAGTTTCCCGAGGCCCTTGCTTCGATCATCAGCGCCGAGACCGCGATTGCCAATGTGGTCGGTATGACGCAGATGAGCCCGCCCATCAAGGATCTGCTTCCACGCATGACACCAATCCTGCGCAATAGACACGAAAAGGTGCAGGAAGCCAGCATCAACCTCATTGGTCGGATCGCCGACAACGGCGCCGAGTTTGTCAGCCCACGCGAGTGGATGCGTATATGCTTCGAGCTGCTCGACTTGCTCAAGGCACACAAGAAGGCGATCCGAAGAGCCGCAGTCAACAGCTTCGGCTACATCGCACGAGCCATTGGTCCTTCCGATGTGCTTCAAGTGCTTTTGACCAACCTCCGAGTTCAAGAGCGTCAATCGCGTGTCTGCTCTACGGTCGCTATCGCCATTGTCGCCGAGACCTGTGGTCCATTCACCACCATCCCCGCCATCCTCAATGAATACCGTACACCGGAGCTGAACGTACGCAACGGCTGTCTCAAAGCTCTCAGCTTCGTGTTTGAGTACATCGGCGAGATGAGCAAAGACTATGTCTACTCGGTTGTCAGCTGTCTCGAAGACGCCCTCACAGACCGCGACCACGTTCATCGACAGACGGCTGCCAGCATCGTTCACCATCTTGCGCTCGGCACATTTGGCTTGGGCCACGAGGAGAGCATGCAGCATCTGCTCAATTTGATTTGGCCCAATATCTTTGAGACGAGTCCGCACGTGCTCGGTTCTGTCATGGCGGCCATCGAGAGTCTCGAAGTATCACTCGGACCAGGGGTGCTTCTCAATCACACACTTCAGGGTCTCTTCCATCCCGCACGAAAGGTTCGAGAGGTGTATGTCCGCATCTACAACTCGACCTACCTCCGCTCGCAAGATGCGATGGTCGCCTACTATCCTGATTTCTCTGAGTTCTCGGACGAGCGCAACGACTACCGTAGGCACGAGCTTTACACCTTCCTGTGATTCACCAGCCTCAAATTCACATATGAATCTGGTCAAGGGTGTACACCCTTTACGGACCCGTCCATCTCTCCTTGCGTCTCGACACCACTGCATTTGTCTCTCGGTTCTTCTTTTTCAGGCAGTTCGCACCTTTGTAACAACATAGCACGCAAAGTCACCCAACACCGGTAATGATCTATGTATTTTCCCTGCAGCCTCAACAGATTGCACATAACTCTGGATATTGGTGTAGTGCATGCGGAAACAATTTGTGTTGCTCCTGCACTCATGAAAAGAGAATGTTGCGGTCGAAGGAGGACCATTATGCCGAAGGAAGCGATCCAATATGATGATGAAAGCTGACATAAACCTAATCGGAGATCTGGCGGAACCGATCTGTCCAGAGATCGGGTACAATACAGTCCCGCTCGTTGTCAAGCTCGATCATTAAGTAGAGTACTCGCACATTCGGCATGTGCCGCCTCGATGTATATACATATCAAGCTGAGAGCACTAGGATCTCACCACGTTCTTTTCAGTCAATTGAGTATATACGTTTCTGTCCTAAAACAGCAGTGATATTGTGCTCCGACTATTACCGATCGTCGATCATCGGGATCCGTCTTCCTCATTTTTTATCACATTACCGTTGAGTACCTTCCGCAATCTTCTTCCGCACTTCCTCCTCTTTCGCTTGCCTTTAATACCACCAATCATGTAGCTTCACCAAACAGCCATGTCAAAGACAGAACAAGTACCTGCCGCGGTGAGGCGGCTCCTGTCCGCACGCTATCCTACTCTTGAGGTCGATCCCAGCTGGCTGTAAGTTACCAGATCCACCATGCCTTAACGCAAACAGGTTGCCCATTACTGACGCTCGCCTCATACATACGTGAGTAGCAAGGCTTGCGTCAAAAGATTACGTCAGCGAGACCCCGCCTTACAGACAGCCTCGCCCGATCAACTGGCGCGCTCAGTGCGGCAAGAGCTTTTGGACACCGACCTTGCCAAGGTGGTGCCCCCTTCCTACAGCCGCCTCTCTCCTGACGCGCTACTCTCAGCCTCAGGTAAAGTTGGAGATGCGGGACGCGGTGCAGTGCTGGCTCAGATCGAGAGCATGATCGATATCGGTTACTCTGCTTCTTCACAGCTGGAGATTGCGGAAGCGCGAAGAGAGGCTCGCCGAGCCAACATCGACCCCAATGACGTCCCAGCAGAGGTGAAAGCTGCACAATCTTCCTCTGCGATGGATCATATGGCGGACTTCCAAGCTCAAGAGGATGACAAAATACAGGCGACCACCATCTTCGCACGACGCATGCTCAAATTAGAACTCTCGGACGGAGGCAAGGACGACAACGTATTTGCTATCGAGTTGGAGCGAATCCCTGGGCTCGACATGAACGCCGCCAAGATGGGAACGAAGCTACTTCTAAAAGGTGCTCTCATCAAGGACAGCTACCTGCTATTGACATCCAAGACTGTAGCTGTCGAAGGTGGATGGGTTCGAGAGAAGGACCAAGTCGCCGAGGACACGTTTATCAACAAACTGCGATCGCAGCTTGGCAAGCCTCCACTCGGCGACAATGCCACTGGTCATCCGGATGGACCGAGTAACAATGCAATTCCAGAACCTTCGAGCAACGGAGCTGCTTCAGCCGAGCAGCGCGGGTTCAGTCCAGACGATGATGAAAGCGAGCTTCTTGCGGCGCTGGAAGCCGAGGAGGAGATGAAGATCAACGCACCCATTCGTCCAGCCAGAACTACAGAGAATGCAGCTGCGAAAGGAAGCACCGCAAACCACAAAGGCTCAGCCTCTCTAGCAGCATCGCAAGCAAGTACAAGCAAGCGAATGGACCTGGTCATTCCCGAGCCATTGTCGCAGGGCTCTGCAGGCAAGCTTCATAGCCAACGTTCTAGCGGGGCGGAAAAGCTGAAGGCAACGCAGGAGGCAACGCAGGAGGATCCCATCTTATTGCTCGAAAGCGACGACAACGATGAGCTGTTCGCTGCCATACCTGACATCGTACTGGATGATGCAGGCTCTCGGCGCTCTGAGAAGGAAAGCAACTCACGCAATGATCCAATCGTGATCGAGTCTTCTCCCGAGCCGTAGGATCCTCCTCGAGTCGGAGAGCTATATACCCTCTGTCAAAAGCAACATCGCCAGCACACGGCGCGGAAATGACATCAACAGGATCGAATATGATTATTTAAACTACCCGCAGACAGCGCATGGTGAATGATGGATCAATGCTCAGCTACAATATTGTGTCTGAAGTGATCCGTCGACAGGGGAGGCTGTGATGTCGCAGCGTCATTATCTTCTGCTCCCATTCGCTGCAACCCAGCTCCAGGCACTCTCCTTGCCTGCTCTCGATCCTCAACCGCAGGAGCCGCCTCACGACCACCAACACCTCGTCCTGTTGCCTTTTCAAAAAGCTCTCTATACCCATTCTCACCGTCCCACTTGTTGAATATCTGCGCGCATTCCTCGGCGTTGGGCTGTCCCGCGAGAGGATCTGCTCCATGTGCGATCAACAGACGTACCACATGGTCACATCCCTTGAATACAGCACCTGCAACAATGCTCTGACCGCGGCCGTTGAGCTGGTTTGGATTTGGCTTGCCACGCCAAGTACGAGCCGGTGGCCCACTGGAGTCATCTGTTGCTGCTGCGTGCCGCGATGCAGCTTGTTGCGACTCTTCCAACATTCTTCGAACGAGGTCCGCATGGCCATGGTATGATGCAAGCATTAGGAGGGTATCGCCACGGTTGTTGGTAAGGTTGGGTGGCAGACCCACAGCTAGATAGTCGATCAAAGTAGCATCACCGTGGCGAGCTAGGTGAAACATCTGTAATATACGAAAGCAGCATAGTAATCAACCACATCAGCAATTCTCCTGGAATGCATTGCCATCTTTGGGCCTGCAAGCTCACCTTGTTCGCGAGATCGATAGCCGCGTCTGGCAGCTGTGTAACTGATGGTGTGTGCGCTGGTGCATTTTGTTGGTGATGCAACGCGGGTGCCGATGTTATTGTTGGGCAGCTTGTGTCTGGTACAGGTGTCATGATACTTTGTAGAGCTGCTATAGCGTGGTGATGTGTCATGATGCGAGGCTTGTATGAGCCAGCAGCGGTGGAGGTTTCTGAATGGTGAATTAGTCAGGATTATGTCTTATCATGTCCAAAGACGAGTCACACGTGACGCTTCTTTGTCTTTGTTCTGGCAGTCAATCAAAAAAAGACACACACCTCTTGGACACTCGAGAAGAATTGCAAAGGAGAAGCGAACAGAAAGAACAACTCGAAAGCTCGACATTGCCAACGTTCAACCTCGATCATCTTTTCATATCATCGACAGCACTGACTGGCATTCTGTGATCCGGTTGAAAGTTGATGCCAACAGCTCGTGCCTACTCTCTCTTGGCTCCCGGCATCGCAAGCTCGTTACCGTTCGTCTCTACTTCTCAGCTTCGACCCCTTCAGCTCGCATACAGATCGTTCACGCCTTCGACCCCTTGCACAAAGTCGTTCTCTTCGCTCCGTAGAGAAGCTTCCGTCCCGCTGCTCTCATCACCTCGGGCAAGTGTGGCTGCTACCACACCTCACCATCTCATCAGACTCGCTCAATTTCACCCTCAATCCACCATGACCGAAACCCAACAGAACGCTGCCACCACCTCCCGCTTCGGCGACTGGCCCGCCACCAAGGTCCGTGACACCTTCACCGGCTACTTCCAGAAGCGTGCACACACCTTTGTGCCTTCCTCTTCCACTATTCCTTATGATGACCCCTCCCTCCTCTTCGCCAACGCTGGTATGAACCAGTACAAGCCCATCTTTCTCAGCATTGCAGACCCCAACTCCTCCTTTGGCTCCATGAAGCGCGCCGTCAACTCGCAAAAGTGTATCCGTGCTGGTGGAAAGCACAACGATCTTGACGATGTCGGCAAGGACACTTATCACCATACCTTCTTCGAGATGCTTGGTAACTGGTCTTTCGGCGATTACTTTAAGAAGGAGGCTATCGAGATGGCATGGGAGCTGCTTACCGTTGTTTACCGTCTGCCAAAGGACCGTCTCTATGTGACTTACTTTGAGGGCGATGCAAAGCAGGGTCTCGAGCCTGATCTTGAAGCTCGTGACCTTTGGCTAAAGGTGGGTGTTGCCGAGGACCACATCCTGACCGGTGATGCCAAGGACAACTTCTGGGAGATGGGTGCTACCGGCCCTTGTGGTCCTTGTTCCGAGATTCACTACGATAGGATCGGCGGCCGCAACGCCTCCGACCTCGTCAACAAGGACGATCCCAATGTCATCGAGATTTGGAACAACGTTTTCATGCAATTCAACCGAGAGGACGATGGTTCCTTGCGACCTTTGCCCGCAAAGCACATCGACACTGGTATGGGTTTCGAGCGTCTCGTCTCCATTCTCCAAGACAAGCCCTCCAACTACGACACCGACGTTTTCACTCCTATCTTCAACAAGATTCAGCAGCTTACCAGTGCTCGTGCCTACACTGGCAAACTCGGCGCCGAGGACAAGGACGGTATCGACACCGCCTACCGTGTCGTTGCGGATCACGTCCGAACTTTGACCTTTGCCATCTCTGACGGTGGTGTTCCTGACCGTGATGGCCGTGGCTACGTCTTGCGACGTATTCTCCGTCGAGGAACCCGTTACGTGCGCAAGTATTTTCAAGTTCCCATCGGTTCCTTCTTCTCGCAGCTCGTACCTACACTCGTTGATCAGATGGGTCACTTCTTCCCCGAGATCACCAAGAAGGTCGACGACGTCAAGGCTATCTTGGACGAGGAGGAGGCCTCCTTTGCTCGCACACTCGACCGAGGTGAGAAGCTCTTTGAGGAGTACGCCGCCAAGGCCAAGGCGGACGGCAAGAAGCAGCTCAGTGGTAGCGATGTCTGGAAGCTTTACGATACCTTCGGCTTCCCCGTCGATCTTACCCTCATCATGGCCGAGGAGCAGGGTCTTGGTGTTAACGAGAAGGAGTTCGAAGCTGCTCAGGCCGAGTCCAAGGAGATTTCGAAAGCGGGTGGCAAGAAGGGTGAGACCGAGGCGGTCAAGTTTGACGTTCACGACCTTGGTCACCTCGAGAAGGATTCTTCCGTCCCCAAGACTCAGGATGACTTCAAGTACGGTGTCAACTCGGTCAAGGCTAGCGTCAAGGCCATCTACCAAGACCATGCCTTCTTCCCTGAGACTACCAAGATTGGCGATCGTGCCAAGAACTTCGGTATCTTGCTCGACCGCACCTGTCTCTACGCCGAGAGCGGTGGTCAGCAGGCTGACACTGGTTCGATCGTAATCGATGGCAAGACCGAGTTTGTCGTCGAGGATGCTCAGGTCTTCTCCGGTTACGTTCTCCATATTGGTCACCTCAAGCGCGGCGAGCTTTCACTCAACGATGAGGTTGTTGTCTCGTACGACCAGAGCCGACGTGGTCCTTTGCAGTCCAATCACACTGCTACGCACATTCTCAACTTTGGTCTGCGTGAGGTTCTCGGCGACCACATTGATCAGAAGGGCTCGCTCGTCGCTCCTACCAAGCTCCGTTTCGACTTTTCGCACAAGCAGGGTGTCAACGTGCAGGAGCTCAAGAAGATCGAGGATATTTCTATCGAATGGATCAAGCGTGATGTCGGCGTCTACTCCAAGGAGATGCCTCTTGACACTGCTCAGCAAATTCCTGGTCTTCGTGCCGTTTTCGGTGAGGCCTACCCCAACCCTGTCCGCGTGGTGACGCTCGCGTATGACCTCGACACCATTGCAAGCGACATTGAGAACCCCAAGTGGCGCGGTACCTCAGTCGAGTTCTGCGGTGGTACTCACGTTGCCAAGACCGGTGAGATCCGCGAATTCGTCATCACCGAAGAATCTGGCATTGCTAAGGGTATCCGTCGTATTATCGCCGTTACTGGTGACGAGGCTGCTGGTGTTACCAAGGTTGCCAACGACGCTGAAGCTCGTCTTGTCGAGATCGATGCCATTGAAGAGCAGGCTGCCAAGGATGCTGCTCTCAAAGCCTTTGGTACACGGCTTGCCCAGCTCGACATTAGTGTTGTTCGCAAAGCCACCCTCAACGAGAAGTTCTCGGCTATCCGAAAGAAGCTCGATGCAGGCCTCAAAGCCAAGGACAAAGCCGACACCAAAGCTGTCGTTGACGCTGTCGAGGAACACTTCAAAACCAACCGCAACGCCTCTTGCTTTATCCACAAATTCGACGTCGGTTCCAACATGAAGGCTCTCCAATCGGCTATGAACACGGTCAAGAAGATGGATAAGACAGCCTACCTCTTCTCGCAAGAACTCGACATCAATGGCACCAAAGTGGCAGATGGTAATGCACTCAAAGCTAAAGTTGTCCACGTCGCTTACGTTAGCAAGCACGACCAAACCAAGGGACTTAACGCCAAGGAATGGATCGAGACCTCGTCTCAGCATGTCGGCGGTAAGGGCGGTGGAAAGCAAGACTCGGCTCAAGGTGTAGGTGAGATGGGCGGTCAGGCTCTCGACGATGCAGTTGAGGCCGCAAGGAGATTCTACACGCTCAAGTGCGAGGAGAGTCCCGTTCCTCTTCAGTAGATTGTATCAGCTCTAGATCAACATGGTGTACGAAAAGAAACAATTTGATATCCTATGGAACGTTGCAGTGACTATTATGACATTGAGCTTGAACTTGACAGTATAGATAGAGAAGAAGTGATGCAAGAACGACTGACTTTTGATATGCTCGAAACCTACAAAGACGAAAGCAAGGCTGGTGCTGTTGCTATGCTGCAGATGCGAATGCGGAAGTAGCTTCGGAACAGACTACGAGATGCGACGCAATGCAATGAGGAAAGGGACAAAGACCGGGGAACGATGAGCAAGCAGTCAAGTCAGAAGCGCTCGAGCTTGGCTGTAGCACTACCACCAGCTTGCTGCGACTGCTGCTGTTGATTGACAGCAGGTGGAGTGGCTTCGGGATCCATATTCGACTGCGCCTGTGGGTAGCGATGGGCGAAGAGAGCGCGACGAGGATCAACAGGAGTCTCTCGCTGGACCACTCTGGGATGCTTGGTAGACTGAGAAGTTGCGGCAGAGGCAACAGAGCCATCGGAGTGTGCTGTCGAGATCGAGGAGGAAGCAAAGGCATGGTAGTCATTCGCGGTTGGAGTCGAGCCAGAAGACGGAGTGAGAGCCGAAGTCGAAGCCGTACTGAAAGCCGACGTGGAAGCAGCAGAAGCGTTGCGAGGAAGATACCTCTCGCCAAAGATGGCGACATCGAAGCTTGGCGCCATCTGCCGATGAGAAAGGAGAGCCCTTTCGGAGATGGCCAGGGACTGCTCGATAAGGTCTGAGAGACGGTTCTCTTCGGAGTCAGCGACCTGCTGCGCGTTGCTCGTGTATACGTCTACAAAGCGCCGATTCTCCGATTTGAGAGCATTGGCGAGTCGACGATTGCGGAGGAAGGCATCCCTTTTGTGATCAGGAAGACGCAGGTACTCCAGATGCTCCTTAGCTTGACAATCCTCTTCATCATCCTCGTCTTCGCTACTTTCCGACACTACGTGGTGATCCGACGGGTGGGCAGGAGGTTCGACGAGGTCGGCGATTGCGGTTCTTGCAATGGTGCGCCAAAATCGAAGCAGAGTCGGAAACTCTGATTCAACCTCGATCTCGTCCCGATTGCGTCGAGTGACCGTAGAGATCTGAAGTCTCTCGAAGTCTAATTCGCCGAGGCGATTCTCCAGGGTCAGGCGCTGCAGCGAGTCTTGGAGCTCTTGATCGCGCAGTTGATCGATGACCGGGCGGAATCGGAAGCGACGACGTCGTTGAGCCAGCTGCAAGGCGTTGCAGATCTTGGTAGCGAGCCTGCTATGCTCTTGGCCAGCTCTTTCGGCACGCCTCTTTTGGTCTTCGTCGAGATCTTCAAATTTGGTTTGAAGCTCTTCCTCTGGAACCCAGAATTCATCGAGGTCTGGAACGATGTTCTCATGCTCCTCTGGATCGTCTAGATCGATCTCGTACCCATCAGGGACAAGAGCGGAGTCGACAGCTTCATCGAGGATCCATTTATTCTTGCAAGGAAAGCAAGTGCGGTTGGGAGCGTCGAGTTTCCTATCCCATTTGGTGAAGAACTTGTCGGTGAGGGGGTAATCGATGTGGCAAGACGTGCATACACCTCGAGCGGGGACGACACTGGCAGAAGAGGCAGCAGGTTGGGCTCGAGGAAGAGCGCTGGAGCTCTGAGGATTGTGGCAACAGTCACGGCAAATGGCCCTGACGCTAGCTGGATCTTCACCTCTAGCGCGCTTCCTATCATACTTCTCGAGGACAGCCTTGGGAAAGCGCAAGCGAGGACGTTGCACATCGCAGTAATTGCAGCGAATGGTGTCGTTGTAGTCGACATTCGATGCCTGATTACGAGCATAGTTGGGGTTGTAGGGATGATTGCGGTTTTGCCACCCTCCGCCAGAGTGTTGTCGACGGTTGTTGCGAGCCATGTGTGGCGACGTTGGGCAAGGGACAGTTGAATCTCTGTAAATCGCTTCGAAAAACGGTATCGAGTCAATCAGTAGAAGCGAGCTGTCTGATGAGAGAGGCCGCTGAGAGGTAAAGGCTGGGTCTTAAAGCAAGTCTCTTCCCGAAAGTCAGGCAGGTATAAATATGTCTTGAGCCTCATCAATCAAGAATCGTCGGTTTGAGCAGGTCCATTCCATCAAACAACGAAAAGCGCGGCAGCTGCCCCAGTCAACTTGCGCAGGGTCCAAAGGAGAGAAAATGCGCAGCAGAATAAGTTCAAGATAGGTCGGCATTGCAATCCGACTTAACAATAGAGCGAGCTCGTGAATAAACAACGTACATACCAAATGTATGAAAGGTTGTCATGGCAACGACCAAGGAGCATTGCAGGAAGCACTCGACTCATCCCAGTATGGCGTGCTCAGAAGAAGATGCTAAGGTATATGTATATGCCCTTGTAGTTACACCCATCCATAGCAATGATAAGTATTCAAGAAGTCATCTACCTATGGTAAAGAAGCCTGATCGTGGCTTCTAAGTGGTGGATCTGAATATGACCAGAGAAACGTTTCGATTCATTCTCTAATTTTCGTCTTTCTCGAGCGATTAGCAACTCAAGCTCTAACAGCTTCAGAAAAATTTCCGATTCTGCACGGGTTAGGCTCAGGGTTGTGTCTTGCGGAAGGGCGTTTGAGCAGAGAAAGAAAGCACAGACGTCGCTCTTTTGTTAGGTTTTCTGAAAACTGTGCCTTTTCTCCGCCTCCGCATCACGTCCGATGTCGAGGTCGGCGATTCATGTGTTGTCCTTTGCCATCTCTTCATCTCTCCATCTCTCCATCTCTTCCTCTCTCCATCGTCGTCGCTCGGACTTCTCATCCTCTTCTCAATCAACCCGGCTCTTCCTACACCTGCAATCGCTCCTAATCGATATCGAGTCGACACCCGACATGGATCGCTCCCGGCGTTCAGTACAGCCATAGGTTCACCTTCTTCCTAGGTGCCTGGCACGCAGCCCAAGACCCTTCCCCCCTTCTAAAGCTGCTCAGCCAACGCTCGTGCACCAACAATTGGACACACACAGCACAACCAAAACATCGACCTACCTAGCTTTTTCGAACCGCCATGTTTTCCACAATGCAGTCGTCTCTCAGGCCAGTGGCATCTTCGCCAGAACAACAACAGCATCGCTCCAACTACAGCGACTTTGATCTCGCCCTCGAACGTCACAACTCCCACGAAAGTGCAACCAGCTCCAACTTTACTCACAGAGCTGATCCTCCTGCTCAATCTAGCCGACACCGAGGTCTTTCTAGCCTTTCTTTCCATTCGTCTCAGCCCGACGTCAATGCTACGCCCTCACCATCCTCGTCTCGTGTTGCCAACAGTCCCAACTACTCTCGTCCCAGATTCGAGCATGCCCACACTCAGCCCTCGACGCCGTCGCATTCGCACAACAGCCCTCAGTCCTACTTCTCCGCTGACATGCATTCGCACTCGTTCTCGGGTTCCACTCACGGTATCAGCTCTCCATTCGATGAAGACGAGCTTCGTCAGATCATGTCACGTCGTCCTGACGCCGGCACTGCTCCCTCTCTTGACGGTGATGTCGGCAAAGGCGTCAAGTCGGCCAACCATCAGGACATCAGTCCTTGGCTCTTCCAGAATGACAACGGCGCATCTACTAGTACTGCTGTTCCTGCTGCTGCGTCCACTTGTCGTTCTTCGAACCCAAGCACCACGCTTAGCAATCGCACTGCCTCGAGTAGCTCAGCCAGCCCCGCCATGCCTTCACGCTCCATTCGCACCCGTCCTCGAAGGGGAACCGGCACCACTCAATACTCGGTCAATGACGGCGGCATCTTTGCAGACATGCCTGGCCTCACGGCTTCTCGCTCCCAGTACTCGTTGCGTCCTCAGACGCCGCCCTCGGCAAGCACTTCCACAAGCACCCTCAACGGCTCCAAAGATACCCATCCTTCTGCTGCCAAGAAGTCGCGCAACCCGTTCGGCTTCCTCAAGAAGAAGACCTCTACCCATCCCAACACCTCCTCTTCCAACCCTATACGTCATGAGCCCCCCGTCTCGTCGCTCTCGTCGCGATATGAATCCAATGCCGCCAATATGAATCCCATGCGTCCACCCGCTTGGCTCGACAACAATCGCCCTCTTGCCAGCACCACTTCGCCTTCCTCAGCTTCGTTGCGATCACACTACCACCAGCCTCCCGCAGCACAGTCAACTCCATGGCAAAATCCTCTCAATGCTCGCATCGACTCTTTACCTCCTGCTGTCAGCTTGGGAGATGAGCTTGAGTTAGAGACCCAGGCCAAGAAGGAACGCAGACGCATCAAAGGTGTCCGACATCATCTCGGCAAGTCTTCCGAACGGTCCAAGACTGCTGATGATGCTGATTCTGCGCGCGATCTCTCCTTCCCGCAACAGAGTCGGTCTCTCGAGCAACAAGTTGAGCTTTCCCTTGATATGAATTTTGATCAGCTCGAAGACTTTGTTGATACCAACGCCGCGAGGCAGCGGCTGCAGGCGTCCGTCACGGATGGTATCGCCACCAGCCCCTCGGATCATCGCTCGCCCAGTGGGAGTGACTCGGGTCTCTACCGCTCACCTTCGCCCTCTCACGCTTCCCTGGCAGATCGTCAGACATCTGTGACTTCCACTGCCGAATCCTCATCACAGCTCTCGGATGCTTCTCTCGCTCAATCTGGTTCAATTCGCACCTCCAATCGCAACAACGCCAGCACATCCACCGGCACTTCCACCTCCACCATTCTCAGCGATCGAAGACCTTCCCAGATCAACATGCCTCGCAACAGTGTACCCAGAGTCAGCTTGGCCGAGATGCAAAACTATCAGTCACTGCGCAAAATGTCGAGCAACCTTCACGACATGCCCGAAAGTGACTCTTACAACCCTTCCGCCTCCAGTCTACCCGTTCGTCGTGGTTCTGCCGCAGCCAACTTCGCTTCTTCCGACTCGTCCCAGCACGGTGTGGTTGGTTCCTCTGATGCAGCATTGATCGGCCATCGCAAGGACAGTGTCGTCTCTGCTGGCAGTTTGCGCTCCTATCACAGCGGCATCTCGCCAAAGACGTCGTACACCAATCTGTCCAGCACCGTTCAGGAGCGAAACAAGGCTTTGGCTGCCTCGAGCCCCGCCACAGGCTGGAGTGCCTCCCACGCCAAGGACAAGCCAGCCAACGGACGTGCCGACCACAGCTACCAGTTCCCACCCGCAGCTGACCTCAATGCCGGCTCTTTGTTGAACGTGCGCAAGTCGAGTGCCAGCTCAGGACAGGAGGCAAGTTCCAGTTGGATGGCTCCGGACAGTTGGGCTGTACAGCCTGACAAGATGCGTGACTATCTTCGCGATGACAATGTTGGAGAGGAGGAAGAGGACGATGATGAGCATGCCAGAGCACAGCTAGCCGCTGCAGATGGCAAAAGACGTGGTTCCAGTTCCGGCGTCAGCTCCTCCCATGCTTCGAGCATGTTCCGCGTTGCCTCGACGGATCCATTCAAGAAGACAACCTCTATCGCTGGCTCTCGCAGAGGTACCGACGACTCGGTTGACCCACTGACGGTATTGCCGCCATTGCCTACCAACAAAGCAGTGGACGAAGCATCAGTCAACAAGGTGGACGTGCTCGAGCAGACCAACAACCTCGCACAGTCGGCTCTGGCGCAAGGGCAGTCGCAATCCCATTCGCTGCAGTCAGGTCATCACCATGGCTCGAGTCACATACGTCCATCTTCGCGCGGCGGCGCGGGTGCTGCTATGCTTGCTTCGGCCGGCGCTTCAGCTGCTGCTGCTGCAGCCGGTAAACTTGGTCTTCACCGCCCATCAAAGCATCGCATGCATACACGGCCCAACACAGCCGGGTCCATTGGTGCGACGAAACCTTCCACCACCACGCTCAGCTCGACGCTCTCTGCCGAGGACGACTCCAGCATCACTAGCAGTTCTACGAGACGCGATGGGCATCCACTCAAGCGCTCTACCGCAGCCACCACGAACGCGGCTCCTGGCAGCGCTCTTCGCAACCACTTTATCCGCGTCTACAAGATCGATGGCACCTTTGCTACGCTTTCCTGCTCGCTTGTATCGACTGCGAACGAGGTGCAAACCATCCTCGCACGCAAGAGCCTCACCACTGAGTCTGCCGCGTATCGGTTGTTCGTGCGCGACAAGGGATCTGAGCGCCCGCTCGGCAATTCCGATAAGCCTGCACAGCTTCAACGACGTCGTCTAATGCAGGCTGGTCATACCGAGAGCGATGGTCTGGAAGACATGGGCAGAGATGACCTCTCGTATTTGCTGCGATTCGTCTTTCGCCCAGACAGTGTGCCTACCTTTGACTCTGAGTCGATCGGACACAGCGAGCACACATTCCAGCATCTTGATTTGCACAGCAGGAACCTCGAGATGGTGCCCATCTTCTTGTACAAGCATGCAGACTGGATCGTCAGCCTTGACCTTTCAGGTAATCCGATGTCAGATCTCCCGCTCGACTTTGTTCAGCTCTGTTCGAGCCTTCGCACGTTGCGGTTGTCGAACCTTGCACTCAAACGCATTCCGCAGAGCGTCAGACACAGCGAGACCTTGACTCACCTGGACGTCTCAAACAACAGGATCGTCGAGCTGTCGCACATCAGCCTCGACCTTATTCCCGAACTCATGTCGCTCAAGGTGCAAAACAACCGGCTCTTTGACTTGCCATCATATTTTGCCGGCATCAGCACGCTTCGCAACCTCAACATCTCGAACAACCGCTTCGACGAGTTCCCCAAGGTCATCTGCGATGTTCCTTCGCTGGTCGACCTTGACGTGTCGTTCAACTCGATCACCGAGCTCCCAGCTGAGATCAAGAACCTAGTCAACCTCGAGCGCTTTATCCTAGCAGGCAACTCCCTCGAGAAGCTGCCCGATAGCATGAGCGAGCTGGTCAATCTTCGTACCATCGATCTGCGACGTAACAGAGTCCAAGACGTCTCGTCACTGCTCGGTCTTCCACGTCTGCAGAACATTCAGGCTGAGAGCAACAACATCAAGTCTTTCGAAGCCACCTTGGGTCCGCAGCTAACTCAAGTTGAGCTAGGACGCAATCCGCTCAGCAAGGTACGCATCGCAGCTCTCACCACCTGTGATTTGACCTCGCTCGACTTGTCTTCGACCAACATGACGCGATTGGAAGAGGGCCTCTTCCCACAACTACCCGCGCTGGTCAAGTTGACTCTCGACGGCAACCAGCTGGTCGTGTTACCAGACACGCTGGGCGAGCTCAAACGGCTGGAGATGCTCTCGTGCAGCAACAACTTGCTCGCCACGCTTCCCGAGTCCATCGGCGACCTCAAGTTGCTCAAGGAGCTTCTCGTCCACAACAACAACCTCAAGACGTTGCCACAGACCTTGTGGTTCTGCGAGAGCCTTGCCCACATCAACCTTAGTTCCAACCTCCTGGAGTCCTTCCCAGCAGCACCAGACATGCGCACCGATGCCTCGGTCGGAGATGCGGCTGCAGCTGCAGGTGGCTCAGTAATCCTGGCAGCACGCAAGGGCTCGACAAGCTCGTCGTTGACACACAACATCAACGCAAACGGTGTCAATGGAGCTGCTGTCGGAACCAATGCATCGACACCTTCCGAGGTCTTTGTTGCGCCGCTCTCGCTAAGCTTGCAAAAGCTTCGTCTCGGCGACAACCGGTTAGGTGACGACGTTTTCAGCGTGCTGTCGGAGCTCACCTCGCTTGAAGTGCTCAATCTCAGCTTCAACGAAATCTTTGAGATTCCCGACTTCAGTCTTCAAACGCTCACGAGGCTTCGCGAGCTGTACATCAGTGGCAATCAGATCAGCACGATTCCGTCAGACGATCTGGTCGTATTGCAAGAGCTACGCATCCTGCATCTCAACTGCAACAAGCTCACCACGCTTCCCACAGAGCTCGGTAAACTCAAGAAGCTCGCTAACCTCGATGTGGGCAACAACGTGCTCAAGTACAACATTGCCAACTGGCATTACGACTGGAATTGGAACATGAACCCAGAGTTGCGATACCTCAATCTGTCAGGCAATACGCGTCTCGAGATCAAGACCAAGCTGAGCGAGATGGGCTTCACGCGCAAATCGAACATCTCAGATTTTAGTCGCTTGACAAGTCTTCGCATGCTGGGTCTCATGGATGTGACGATGCCGTTGCATTCCAATGCCACGCCTGACGAATCCGAAAACCGCCGTGTCCGAACCTCGTTGTCCCAGATCAACGGTATGGCCTATGGTATCGCAGACGCTTTATGCAAGCACGACAATCTGAGTGTCATCGACCTCGTGATTCCCAGCTTCCGCAAAGACGAAGGCGAATGCATCTTTGGTCTCTTCGACGGTCGAGGCCACGGAGCACATGTCGGCAGTCGCATCGCTCATCACTTGGCCGAATGGATCGGACATCGTCTCTCGTGGGAGTTTCAGAAGCATCAGAACGAAAAGTCGACGGAACCTGTGTCAGTGCCAGATGCACTGCGACGTGCCTTCTTACGCATACAGAAGGACTATGCCGATGCTCTCATCAACGACGGCAGCCGCAAAATGTCGGAAGCTCATGCAGAGGCAGCTGCCGACGTGACTCGCAGCTCGGCGCCTGCAATCGCTGCTGCCTCCAACAAGCATGACTGGCGCGCAGGTACTTCCGCCATCTTGGCGTACGTGGTTGACCGCACGTTGTATATCGCCAATGCCGGTGATGCCCTTGCCGTCATGTCGCGCAACGGTGGTACAGCTCATCTGATCAGCAACAAGCACGAGCCATTCGACCGTGCTGAGATCGAGAGGATTCGTTCTGCTGAAGGCTGGGTTTCGCTTCGAGGCTACGTCAACGACATGCTCGACGTCTCGCGGTCGTTTGGCTACTTCCATCTGTTCCCGATTGTCAATGCGGCGCCTGCAGTGACCACGGTGCAGTTGACCGACTCGGACGAGTTCATTATCATTGCCAATCGAACGCTCTGGCAATACGTGTCGTACCAGACCGCGGTTGACATTGCACGCACGCAGCGGAACGATCCGATGATTGCTGCGCAGAAGCTGAGAGACTTTGCCATCAGCTATGGTGCCGAAGAAAGCATCATGGTGATGGTCATCTCAGTGGGCGACCTCTTCTATCGATCTGACCGGCGCAACGGAGGCGGTGTCAACTTTGCCAACTATCAGAACGCAGACGCATTCAAGAAAGCAGGACGTCGCTTTCGAGAGGAGCTACCCGGTGATCGAACGCTGGCTCGACTTGACCGGGAAGTGGCTCCTCCGATCGGTCAAGTGGCGCTCGTCTTCACGGATATCAAGAACTCGACCTCGCTCTGGGAGACGAACAACGGGATGCAGGCAGCAATGCGACTGCACAACTACCTGTTGCGAAGACAGCTGCGGACGATTGGTGGTTACGAGGTCAAAACGGAAGGTGACGCCTTCATGGTCTCTTTCCCTTCGGTGACTGCTGCGCTGCTGTGGTGTTTCACCGTGCAACAGCAATTGCTGCAAGAGGACTGGCCTCGCGAGATTCTGGACAGCGAGGACGGAAAGGAGGTGTATGACCAGTCTGGTGAGCTCATCCACCGAGGTCTGTCGGTACGTATGGGTATCCACTGGGGTCGACCAGTGTGCGAGGCGGATCCAATTACTCGACGGATGGACTACTTCGGACCCATGGTGAACCGAGCAGCTCGAATCAGCGGTGCAGCGGACGGCGGCCAGATCTTGGCAAGTAAAGATGTGATCAAGGAGCTACAAGGCTTGCTTGGCACGTTTGACGAGTCGTCGACAGGTGCGGCTGGTGCCGAGGGCGAGCAGCTGCGAAAGACGGAGGAAGGGCTAGATGAAGATGCATTCCGTTTGCTGAACCCCAATGTCAGCCGTGATGTGGTGCTGCTGCGAAGGATGGGATTTGGTCTGTCGCAGCTAGGCGAGCGCCGATTGAAGGGATTGGAGACGCCGGAGATGCTGTGGCTGGTCTATCCGAAGCAGCTGGCGGGTCGATTGGAGCAGGCCAAGACAGACGATGCACAGGATGCGCCCACGGCACAAGTGTACGAACCGACAGTGCAGCTGCTGGATATCGAAGACGTCAAGCAAATGGGCATGCTTTGTCTGCGTGTGGAGTATCTCTCCAACTCTACCGTCTGTCCAGGCATCTTTGCAGCGCAAGACGACGCCGAGAGATCGAACCCTGCGACACCATCTGGCGAGACGACCCGCAACCCGATGGACTCGGACAGCAAGACGATCAGCGGCGAGGGCGGTAGCAAGAGCAAGGAGGCAGACTACCACGGCACAGCCAACTCGAAGCTGGTGCTCTCGCATCAAGCGCGTCGAAAGGGAGTCGAAGCGATGCTGAGCATGCACCCCGAGCTGCTCATTTACAGCATTCGGGATGATGCAACGGACGAAGAGTTGGCGGGTATCTTGGATCAGTTGACGACTCGAATCCAGAATGCCGTCTCAACGCTGATGGTCAATGTCCTTCGCGAGAAGACAGCCAACGGAAGCAAGGCGTTGTCCGCAATCGACCCAAGCGTTCTCGAGCTTCTCAATAGTCTGCTTTCACAATCACCACCTCAAGTGCCAATGTCGGCATCGAGCCCCCTCACGAGTCCACTGACCAGCCCTCGCAGCAGATTGATGGAGTTATTGCCATGATCCCCAGGCTCCGCACTTGTTCCTTTCTGCTATTTCATCATGGTTAGCTGTACTCTGTTCGACCTGTATTCTATGTTGCACGAGCAACGACTGTTTTCTCTCGCACAAGTCGGCCTGCTAGAATGATGGGTGAAGATGCAAGTGAGGCTGAAGTGAGGCTGAAGTGATGAGTATCTCGCACGGTAGTCGGAGCAAACAAGGTAGAACGCGTGGATCGTTGTGGCCGAGCAGCGTACATGAGTGTCGCCGAGGCTGTTCCGAGCTGAGCTGGAGCTGAAATTATCATTAATTCTATTTGCCAGTTTCTTGAAAATCAAACACAGAGAAAGAGAAGCGCGTCGCCGAAGGCTCTGTGTGTGTGTGTAAGTGTTTTGCACCCTTAAACGGCAGCACAACACAGCAATTCTGCCTGAAACAACACAGAGAGCAAGGAGCCGAGAACGGCAGGTCACAGCCGAATTCCGAATTTGTCTGTCTCTTGCTCCGATCTCGAGATTGAGAAAGCTCTGACCACATCATTCTTCATTATACACCACATCCACCCTCATCTTAAGCATTGCGCCGTTCAGCCACCTCTCGAGCTCACTCAACGCCTGACCAGCTCCTTCTGAGTATCACGCTCACAGTCAACATTGCACTGCACTTATTCACTACCCCCACCCCCCCTTCGCATCGGTGAACCTAAAAAAGGCACCTCGACTTCGTCTGTATCGCCCAATATTCTCTTCTCCCGCAACAATGGCGCAAGTACTTGATATCGCAATGAAGAGTAAGTGTTATATTCCATGTGTTACCTTAACGATGCTGTAGAGATGACAACGAAGGATTGCTGACCTCACTTTATCTCCTCCTACCTCGACCAACCCTTGATGCTTCGTCTTCCTAAAACACACGACAGTCCCGGAGAGGATTCGCAACTTACGACAGGAGCAACTCTCTGGTCTGCGTCCCCTCGGCGAATTCTTCGATCACCAGCGCGTCTCTCGTCCACAAGACACCAACGAAGCTTTCCAACGCATTACATACAACACCCGTCACTTTTCCGGCAACTACGCAGTCATCGTTGCACTTCTTACCGTCTACGGCATGATCAACGACACCTTGCTTCTCTTTGCCATCATCTTCTTGGTCTTTGGATTCTGGGCTATCAATCGTTTCGCGCCAGAACCCATGCAGGTGGGGGAGCACGTCATTACGCAAAAGAGCCTTTACACTGGTCTTTTCGTCATCGGCATTCCTTTGCTCTGGTTCGCGAGTCCGTTTGGATTCATGTTCTGGCTCGTTGGAAGCTCGGCGTTCTTGATCCTTGGTCACGCTGCTTTCATCGAGCCACCCGTTTCGAGCGAGTACACTGGTGTCGAGGTAGGTATCGCAACAACAAACTCTGAAAGCGACGGTGATAGCGCACACATGCTGACATACGATCTCTTTAATTTGACCTTTCTCCGTTAAACAGACCGTATAAGTGCAGCACCAGACACTATCATACAGCAGCCTACCTGCCATCTCATCGGATCCACATGCCTTTCGCACCACCGCAGGCAAGCAGGCATGCTCTCAACCACACCTTGTAATTATCTCAACCACCGGCTTTAGAATGGCTAGACGTCACCAGTTCACCACCACCATATACGGCTGACGGCCGATTGAGCACAGAACACAAGCGCAGAACGACAGACTGCTGAAGATGTGAAATATGAGTCATAAGCGAATCGCCGGCCGGACTGGGGTATGTGCTGCTACAATACTAGAGGTTCTCCTGGATCCACTTATCCATATCTTTATACTCCTGATCCAGATCGTAGTCCCAAATATGATCAAAGCGTTCCACGAGATGCTGTCCGAGTTTGTTCGGATCGTCTGCCCGCAGTCCGCGGAACTCATACGTATCACCGGCTTCCAAACTCGTTTGCAACACCTTGTTGCCTCTTGGCACACGGATCTTGTCCATCACCTGTATCGCTTTGCTCAAGTTGCGCTTGTTGACCTTGGGATGCGAAAGTAGATTCGAGACAAAGAGAGCGTCTTCGATAGCTTGACCTGCCATAGCACCTTGATGTGGGACACCGCCGTGCGCGGCGTCTCCTGTCACCATCACCCGACCGTTTGTGTAAGATGTTAGCGAGGGGATGATCTGATGAAGCGCCCATTTGCTGGGTTTGTCGATGCATTCCAGCATCTTGATCAGCTCTGAGCTGTATGTGGAAAAGTCGTCGAGCATTGCTTGTTTCGAAGTTTCCTGGATCCAGGACTCGCCTTTCGGGAAAGGTGTCCGTTCGGGCCACCGCGTTCGGTCAGTGACCATAGCGACAAGGTTGACCGTCTTTCCGCCTTGGATGGGGAAGATGAGGATGTGCGAGTCTTTTGCGAGCATCATTTGGGCTGTGTTTGCGTAGAATTCGCCCTTCTCCTTGCCTACTGCCGCCACGAACCTTTCGCGAGGGATCAAACCACGGTAGGCCCATGTCCCACTCCAAACTAAAGAGTCTGACCCAGCCACTGCCGATGGTCCTGCCGTCTTTGGATCCAACGAACCCCTCACTCGACTGTGAATGCCATCACAACCAATCACTAGATCCGCTTCGTAAGTGGAGCCGTCCTCGAAGCTGAGCTTGACTTTCTTTTCCTCTTCCTCATCATCATCCACACTAGGATCTGGCTGTTGGATAGACTTGAATCTCTTTCCAAAACTGCAGATTTCCGGCGGAATCCTCTTGATAAACGTGTCCAAAAGTTCAGCACGATGAATACTCGCCATGCCATACTTTTTGCATAACGTCTCCGACAGCAATGTCTGGTCTTGCGACTCGGCTAGACGCCACTGGAAGAAGAGGTTGCGGGAAGGGAAATCGGCGAATTCGAGGAAGTCGTCGTAGAGACTCAGCCGTTGTAAGGCATTCTGTGCGTTAGGTCCAATGGCAATACCTGCACCGATCTCGGAGAACTTGGAAGCACTTTCAAAGATGTGAACGGGCACACCGCGATCGTGAAGGCCAACGGCGAGGGTCAAGCCGCCAATGCCACCACCTATGATGGCGACTTTTAGGTCTTTTTTCGTTGAAGTAGCTGTTGGCATGTCGAATCAAAGGAGCGAAAGATGGAACGACTAGAGGAGAGCAAGGCGTAGTGCCGGCACTGAGCGAGGATTGCGATGGCGGCTGGAAGTAGGGTAGGCAAGTGGTAATCGTGCAGACATAAGTAGGCAGGGCTAGTCGAACAAGGCTCAACGATTCCCGCTTTTGGGTTCAAAGTGTATCATGCCCACTCAAACAGATCATCTGAATAGCTGCGCTGCATCGCAACTTCATCCGAGCGTACCAAACAAAGCTCTCAGGACCCACCAAGTGGGGGCAACACGAACCAAGACAGCGGTTGCCTGCATAGCTTGTTGGGAACATTGATCGCTGGGTATCCACTCAACATTGCTGCCCTCCAAACGACTACTGGATACACGGATGAACGTTCCGGTACCACATTTCGGTCCGAGCAAGCCAATACTGGCATGATGCTTTAGCGACTGCACTCTTGGGATGGGATAGTGCGGGCAAGTCGGAGTTCACCACAACACAAAGTGTTTGCTCGTAATCAAGACAAGGCAAGCACAAGATGCTTGTATAGTGTATCCGCCGCCTTCCACCGGTGAATTTTATCTGGAAATCGCGGCTATCAAACCTTGTCTTTGTGCAACACTGTGCATGGGCCAAGCAGCATACTGTGAGATGATGGCATCATGCCACTACCAGGTGTCAGTCTTGTCAGCTCTCTGCAACACTTGCAATGACGGATCCTCTTTCCCCACAGATTCCGCACTCCGCATTTCACGCATGCAATCTTGCCGAGTGGGTTTGGGCCCTTACAACCGCTCTCACCATCCCTCCCACAGACAGTTGCTCGCGTAAGCATCGAGGGATATCGCAACTCAATCACATGTCTGGCTAGCAAGGCCCTCAGACATAGCGGTAATCGTAGTACTGCATGGAGTTTGCAACATGACCAAATCTATGTTGGTCATTGCTGCACTTGCGACCTTTGCCATCCATGCAGTGACGGCATCCCAGCAAGCATGGCAGCTTCCACCATTGCCTTTGCAGTCTCCACTTGCCCCGCCTTGGCATTTGACACACAGCAAAGGCGTCCGTCTCTATTCCCTTTGCACTGCAGAGACGCATCAACAAGCATTTCCTCTACGTCCTACAACAGCTCAAGGTCCAGCCGCAGGTCACCCGAGCGCAACTCCTCAGGCGCCTTCACTGCGATGGACCCTGTCCAACACCAACGAATCGATTCAAATCGATGCATTATTCCCCTCACTAGCCCATCTTGACCTTCTCCGCGCAGGCATCATTGCTGAACCGTCTATCGGCCTCAACGAAGGTCTATACCGATGGATCATTGATGAATCCACATGGACGTACACTGCGGACCTCACTGCCATCCTCAACCAGCTTGAATCCACTGAAAGTCAGGAGCAATGGTTGTACTTCCAAGGACTAGATACTATCGCTGACGTCTATATCGCAGGCGAGTTAATCAACAGCACCCATAATGCACATCTTTGGCATGCGTTCCCGATCCCCTCTCAGCTTCTGTCTGAGGAGAGGGAGGAGAGGAACATAACGCTGGTCTTTCACAACACGAACGAGTATGCTGCAGAACAGGCAAAACGGTTCGATCCTGGGTATCCAACCCAGATAGAAAGCAGGGATAGATCGAGGACAACAGACTACGAGTATCCAAATCGCATCTATGTGAGGAAGCAACAGTCGGATTTCGGATGGGATTGGGGGCCTGCGCTGATACCTGTTGGTCCGTACAAACCTGCGTACCTGATCGTGCTTCCTACTTCAACCCGTGGAGAGAAGGACAAGGTCGAAGCAAGACCAAGAGCAGAAGAGCCCAAGGAAAGTCAAGTAGCTACAGGGAGCCGTGGAGTAGTTGTTCTATCGTCAGGCATCGACATCTACCGCAAAGGTCAAATCAATAATCTTGCTCCACCGGACCCTGAGGCCAACTGGATCGTTAATGTGACCCTGACCTTACTTTCAGCTCAAGACGTTCAATGGCCTTCAATACGCCTAGAAATCCCTTGCCTGGATCTGTACACCTTTGACACGTATCTCTCCTCCCAACTTTCCGCTGGACTCGACTCAGGCGTACATGCAGTATTCGAGATCCCATATGGCGGCAAACACTCTCCTTCGCTATGGTGGCCTCGAGGACATGGTGAGCAGCAGCTCTATAATCTTAGCCTACGGAGTGACGAGCTTGGTCTGCATTTCGACCGAACAGTCGGTTTTAGGACGGCGTATTTCGATCTCTCTCCCATCTCCTCCCCTGAGATTGAGCGGAAAGCTGTCCAGCCAGGCTCGAACTTTCGCCTCTTGGTCAACCAAAGGGAAATCTATGTGATGGGAACGAATCTTATCCCTTTCGACACGCTTTCGCCCCGCACCTCACCTGCTTACTTGAGGTGGTTGTTGGAGTCAGCTGTGCAGAGCAACGTTAACATGATCAGGGTTTGGGGTGGAGGGAGTTATGCGACGCAGGAGTTTTTGGATGTTTGTGATAGGATGGGGATTATGGTTTGGATGGATGCCATGTTTGCTGCTTCTCTCTATCCTTACAATGAGGAAGTTTTGGAAGAGGTGAGGGGGGAGGTGGGACAGGTGATGCAAGGTGTGATTTCGCATCCGAGTGTGGTGTTTGTGGTGGGCAATAATGAAGGCGAGCTGTATTTCTTAGGTGGTTATGGGAGACGGAAGAGGGATGAGGAATGGAAGCAAGGTTATGAGGCTGTATTCAATGAGGTGATATTAGAAGAGGTTAAGGGAAAGAGTAGAGGTATGTCGTATATTCCATGCTCGACAACAACGGGTTATGTCTCGTTGGATCCTTACAAGGGGAGGTACGATCAGTACGATAGGAAAAGAGAGTTACATGGTACGGGCGAGCATTACGGATACAACGCATCCCTAGCTTTCGATATCGATAGCTACCCACGCTCGCGTTTCATGGTCGAATTCGGGATGTTCTCCCTGCCTTCCATCCACACTCTCGACCGAATCATCCCTTTATCTGCATCCTCCGATCAAGAGACAGAGTTATACTCGGTGAACTCAACCATCCTCCGCTCGCACCTAAAACACTGGCCGGCAGGAAACCTCACTTACCCCTTCCCCGCTGATCAAGGTCAAACCGAACTGGTTTCCGCGATAAGCACCTACTTCCCCACCCCCTCTTCCACCATCCATCCCCCTCGCGCTCTCTTCAACCGCTACTGTTACTCATCACAACTCTATCAGTCGCTCTATGTGACGAATCAGATCGCTATGTACCGTCGTGGAGCAGCGCGCAGCGAGAGGAATCGAGGATTGGTCGTGTGGCAGTTGAACGATGTGTGGGAAGCAACTACTTGGAGCTCGCTCGAGTACGGGGGAAGATGGAAGATGGTGCATTACAACTTGGCAAAGGTGCAGAGAGAGTTGGCGGTGGTGGCGGTGCATGATGTCAAGAAGGATGAATTGGAGATTGATCTGTTGTACACTAATGCGGCAGGGGTGGGAGGTGAGGTGACGGTGACAAATGAGTGGTTTGATTTCCGTGGAAAGCGATTGCGGGAGGAAGAGGTTCACAAAGTCAGGGTGCCGGATGGTGAGATAGGGTATAAAGTCGTACAGAAGATCGAGAATCTCTCCACCACCATCTGCAGCAATAAGAGGGAAGGCTGTTGGCTACGTCTTACCCTGACTAGCTCCTCTCGACCTCGAGTCAACACTTACTGGACCGCACCTGAAGAGCTTACTCGAACTCTAAGCCATCTTTTCGCTGATGAGCAACTCGGTGCCAACCTTACCCTTTCGCGAGTTCGCTCCTCTAATAAAGCAGAGCATCCCGGTTGGCAGGTGAAAATCAAAAACACAGGTGCGGCTGTCGCACCTTACGTCTGGCTTGAACATGGTCCGAACCATGTTGGATACTTTGCAAGGAACCGGGTGCCAGAAAATGGAATCATCCTGAGGCCTGGAGAGGAGGGTTTGCTGACGTTTGTACGTGCCAAGACGAGTCGAGTGCCGGATGGCGGCGAGGAGAGGAATGAGGAGGATTGGTTTAATTCACTCAGTGTTTCGAGTTTGTTTGACAACTTTGGCCCTCTTTCTGCCAAGTTTTGAGGTGCAATGGTCAGCCTATCTTCTTGCTCCCGTCATTCAATCCAAGTGTCTTTCTGACTGGTTTCCCCCTCCCCCCCTTCAACACTCATCCTGACTTGACACAAATCAGCACGGACAAGAATCTTGAGCATGAACCAAATGTGGGGGGATCAAATTTGCAAGAAATGGTCTCTTCCTCTGTCCTTGAACAGCGTGCAAATCTGACATGAAGGTGTTCAATCTTCGAAATCCTGTGGATTCTCAAAGTAGTACTGAACCGCCATCTCGACATTCTTTCCGCACATAAAGTAACTTTCGATCGCCTTTGCTTCGGGAATGCCCATGGCTACAATCTGTTCGACACTCGTTCTATCTTGTTCGCTCAACTCTGCCAGGGTAGGCAATTCCATCTCCTCACCAGCTCCACCAGCGGCGCCTCCGGCAAGAAGGGAAAGCACGCCTTGAGGGTCATGGTTCATTGCTTCAGCGAGTTGTGGGTTTGATTGGGCGATTGCCTGGACGAGGGGTTGGAGTGCGGCTGGGTTTTGCTGAACAAGTTGTTGCAATTGAGCAAGCATAGCAGGGTTACCCAGATCGATCACTTGTTCTCCACTGCCGTCGTCTTCGCCTAGCAGCCCACCGGCACCTCCGGCTCCAGCTGCACCAGCACCAGCTCCGCCTCCAGCTGGACTGCCAGCAGCACCGGGACGACCGGCTTGTTGAGCTGCAGCAGCTGCTTCGAATAGGTTTCCTGCGCGACCGCCTGCTGGAGTTGGAGTAGCAGGAGTGGCAGGAATACGTGCAGCCGCACCACCAGAAGTAGGAGCAGCAGGAGTGGCAGGTGCTGCACCGCCAGCTGAAGGAGTCTGTTGCTGTTGATGTTGCTGTTGCTGCTGCTGCTGTTGCTGCTGTTGTTGCTGCTGTTGTTGCTGCTGCTGCTGTTGGGCAGGGTTGGCAAGATGTTCTGGAATGCCAGTCATCAGGTACTCAACGGCACGGTCGGGGTTGTTAAAAGCAGCACGCATAGCCCTCTGAACTTGTTCCCTCTGGAAACCCATTTCCATCATGCTCGACATAGCAGATTCCAAAGGTCCACCGGTGAGGAAGCTTCCCGAATCGCCGCCAGTGGTGGTTTGCCCTTCGGTGCTGTCGGATATGGGAGAAGTGGTGGTGGATTGTGTTGCAGTGGTGTTAGCTGCAGGAGCAGTAGCATCGTCCTTGTTCGCCTCTTCAGCAGCAGGCGCGCTCTCGACAGGCTTATCAGCAGCAGCAGCAGGCTTGGGAGCTTTAGGCTTGGAAACCATGACAACAAGGAAATCCTTCTCTTTAATGTTGCAATCAGCTACCGTCTTGTCATCAGTCAAGATTTTGCCACTGAAGATGATTTTCTGCAGTTCGGGAGGATGACCCTGTTCCTTTTGGATTTTGGACTTGATGGTGCCGATAGTGTCGGTGAGCTCGGCATCGAGGTGGAAGTTGCCGCCTGCGAGAGACTTGATGAGGATCTTCATTGTGAGTGAGAAGGGGTGGTGCTCAGGCTGATTTGTAAGGGCACAAGTTGGTGAAGGTCGATCGAAGGTAAGCTCGGTTCGGTTGGCTGTAGTGAGCAAGATGTCTTTGCCACTCAGAGAAACAAGGCTTTGCGAGAAAAAGAGTATTTTTGAGAGTGGAGGAGGGTGTACGCGTCAACCTCTCGGCCCAGACTAGAGATTTTGTAATGAGAGGAGAGAAAAGTTGTATTCGAAAAAAGCCAATTTCTTTGCGCCTTGGAGATGCCACCTGTCAAGATCGATCACGCTACTTGCACCTTTCCCGTCAGGCTGCTCCATCAGTCTCTCTCTCTTTCAGCCCATCAGATGCCACCGGCAACAGCTTGAACACAGCAACTGACCCCTCAACCTGGCTTCACACAGCACACTCTTCAGGCAGACGCATGTTTCGGCAGCAATCGAATGCGAGATCAAATTGAGAATGACAATGCAAATCTTAAGACCTAGAGCCGCCGCCGGCGAAGGCAAAGTGGGCAAGGCAGAGAGGACACAGCTACTAGGATACAGTTGAGGCAACAGAGAGTCTACGACACGAGAAGCGAACAGCGAAAAGAGGCGGACGAGTTTGAGACTTGCCTTATTGCCTCCCTCCTCGGTGGTCAAGCCTGGGAAAGAGGAGAACAAGGTGCTAAGCGTTGCATACTCTACCAACATGAGAAAGACGAAGAAATCGGATCAAGGTTGAGCTAGAGTGATCCATCCCCCAAGTGAAACTCTTATGCTTCAAGTAAGCTTGAGGAAGTAGGCACTTCGCTTACCCGTCTCCTTCGAGTGCTGCAACCTCACCAGCTTGTTCGATCCCTTCTGAACCTGACTGAGAACATAACTTCCCGGGAAATCCTCACTCTCCCCCGCAGGCTGACCAAGGAAGTTGACGTAGTAAACAAACTTGTCCGCCTCAGCAGCAGGCTGTTTGGTCAAACTCCAGTACTGCAACAACTGAGCCGAATCATCGCTAGGTTCGCATTGAGCGGCGATCAATCTTGCATCTCCATCTGCCAACTTGTCAGCAGAGACACAGCGTCTACCTTGCAAATGAGCGGGTTGAAGACGACCGTAGGTAACCTCGGCAGCTTTGTTGGATTCGGCATGGTAGGCCATGAAAGAGCTGTAACAGGGGGTGAAGGCGAAGTTTTCGAACCGAGCCGGTTGACCAGCTTTCTGAACATCAAGCTGTTGGTAGCCGTCGGCGTTGCGGAGACCCTCGAAGGCTGCGCTCACTTCGCGGCCGGCAGAGGACATCATCTTGAGTTGACCGATGTGGATAGGCGTCGAATCGCATTGAAGGGTAGGCACTTCGCGCTCCTCGACAAGGGGCATGCCGAGGTCCCAGTCACCGAGACTTCGAGGAAGGACCGAGGCGGAGACGCTGCCAATGGCGAGCAGAGTAGTAAGGGCGGTGACAGTGGTGAAACGCATCTTGAGTAGTAGTTTCGGTTTAACGAAGCGAGGTTAGGTGGAGGGAAGATTGGATTGAAAGCCTTTGCTTTATAGACCATGTATTGACTTATGAGTGGGGCAAGGATTGGACAAGTGCGGGCACAAACTGATGAATCTAGCTTCCAAGATTCGAGGGTGAAGCTGGAATGCAGGGGTCGAGCGGTTGTGTGATAAACGAGTTCCGTTGTGCGAAGGCTTTTGTGTGCGTTGTCGACGGCCGGTGCGTAAGGGAGGGACAGTTGTGGGACAAGCTGGGGGGCGGTGGGACTTAGGAATATAAAGACAGTTGAGAGTTGGAGACGAGACAAAAGAGAGTGCGGGTTGGTTAGAAATATGCCGTTGTGGCTGAACAGATGTGGGGGATATGGGGGATAAGTGGGGATAGGGGCAGAGAGAGATAGAGAGAGATAGAGATGGTGAAGTGGAAAGAAAGGCGGAAAGGATGACAAAGTCATTCATGTATATGTAGCCAGGGTTACTCGTTGGTGAGATGAAGATCGACCGTCGGCATTACAGACCCAACATTCGACCTCGTCACACACCGGAGGCTGACAACTGGACATCAGTTGCAACGGAGCAGAAAGGGTAGGTACATGGAGAAGGCCGTGAGGGCGTGCGGAGAAAGGCAGACGAGGCTCGGGATGGAGGCTGCAGACCGGATCGTCAATGCAGCGCAGATCTGTTTCAGGGACAGCAAAGTGGACCCAGTGGAGAGTGTGTGCAGCCCAGGAGACAATGCGTATCAGACTTGGGATTAGGCCGACGGCAGCCTTGTACAAGTCGTTCTCACCATTCTAGACTACAAGCGGAATGCTTTCAGCAGCACAAACCAAGTTGAATACGAGCAGCAAACCGTGTCTCGGTGTAGGACGCTGTCAGACAAAGCCGAGTGCGATATGTAACTTGCCTTTCTTGATCGTCCGCAAGCCTATTCGCCTCCTTCCAATCCTTGCTCGTCTCTGATCTTTGTCGTCACTCATTCCACTGCTATCTACACCCGCGTCAAGCCGGCAACAAGCACTGTACAATCTGGAAAGGGATGGAAACAGTAGCTCAAAGAAACACAGCCATGCAAACTGCAAATAAAGACCGATCGACATGGTGTTGCATCTCTCCCTGGGCTTGGCATTGGCATATGTAGCTCTGCATTGGCATATGTAGCTCTGCATTAGCATATGTAGCTCTGCATTGGCATATGTAGCTCTGCATTGAAGCTGCGGGCTGCATCGAGAGACAGAACAGTGTCGAGTGGTAGGTTCAAGGGACAACGTTGACCGTGCCTTTCCAGACCACGCTCGGTGAAATATGCACTCAACACCGAGCGATCCGAGCAAGTCCCACTCACCTCACCCCCTTCCCCGCAACAGTCGCCGTTCATCATCAAACCTCTTCTCGTCACGATTACAGCGGCCCAAGATTGAGAAGGAGGGCGAAAGCAACAGTCTTGGAGTTGAGCAAACTTTTATTTGACATGTTTGTTTCAAGCCGATCTCACACATTGATGTTTTTTTCTTTCGTCCCTGCAGAATAACGGTCAACATGACGTATCGCCTGCAGCTCATTTTGCGCTTAAGCACAGCATTGTTACCGTCATGCCATTGCATGGCCATCCTCTCTTGTTCGCTCTCTGGTGTCTCATGAAAGTGTTGCTTGAGACTGTGGGAAAGAGCCAACTTACGACGATGAAACACTTCTTTCTGACTCTTGCCGCCACATGTGCAAGGACCATCGATCTTGTGATGTTCAGACCCTGTCGCTTCGGTCGCACACTGCCACCACTCACAGACTACGTAGAAGCAGAATGATGGTGGAGATCGCGAGTGTGCCAAAAGGAAAAAGCAGCAGAATGACAGTGGACGGCAAGAAGATGATTCATAGCCGCATCGACGAAAGCGTCGTTACAGTAGTAAGGCGGTTGCAATTGAGCGCTTCGTGACCTCATTGCCGACTGTCTTCAGTCCGTGCGCAAGGTGACAGCCGCACTTCGTTCGCCGTCCTTTGTCCCTGAATGGTGCTGTTCGGTCTACAAGGTTTCCGTCGTCCTCGCCACCAACACCACCAGCAGCAGCAGCTTCAAGTCTCAAGTATATAAAGCACACGGCAACGATTCACTAAGCTTCGTTTGACTCGACACCAACCTCTTCAAATCGCCAACCATGGAAGCCTCCAAAAAAGACGAAGCAATCGATGTCTCCTCCCCCTCCAATCCAGCCCATTGGTACGCCTACGCCTCCTCTGCGTTCCTCATCTTCCTCTCCCTCCCCCTTCTCCTCTTTCCCCGTCTCCTGCTCCTCCTCTCCACGCCTCGCGGCGCAGTCGGCCAACCCGCACACACCAACGACCAATCCTCTGTATCCGCCATCGGCCCCCAGTTAACCCCTTTGGAGCGATACGCTTCTCACACAAACGCAATTTCAATGCTAGCCATGGCTGTACTCGTTCTCGTCCTTTCCGGTGCCATTCCCATCTCCACCTCCCCTGTCCCTGATTCTGCTTCTTCGGGCAAATCTCCCTTCCAAGTCCCCACTGTAGTTGTCACAGCGCTGTACTTTGCAGCAAACGCATTCACCGCGTGGGTTCAGACTGGACCGAGACAGGCGAAGGATGCGATGGATCCAGCAAGTTTGGGAATCGGTGCATTCGGCAAGGTCGTAGGATTTGCTCATGCCGCTTTTGCCTTCTGGGGTTTCGGCGTTTTCATGTTTGGGAACGATTTGACTAGGAATGCGAAGAAGACGGGGAATGAAAGTGCTAAGGATAAGAGTGTGAGCTCGTTTCCGTTCAAGAGTATGTTTCCGATATCTGCCCGAATTAGATCAACTATGCAGTACAACGCTAACAAGGCACATCTCTCGTCCTATCATCCTTCATTGCAGACCAATACGCAAGTCAGGAAAAGGCCAAAAAGTCGAGCTAACCTATTCCACCTCATCTCTCGTAAAAACAAGGTTCGTTGTGAATGCAAGTGCCTTCAAACCGGCTCCAATCAACCCCCAACGCATAAAATCGCTGCTCGGATCATGACAACTTGCAATCAATCACATTCGCGTTGAACAACGCTCGCAATCCATCATCTGTCGTATGTGTCGTGTGTGACAATCCCAATCAAGCACAGAAGAGGAGTCTCGCATGGCTAGAGAAAGCATGAATATTACGTGTACGAGAGGCCCCCACGTCCTGTTGTATAACTAGAAGCTATAACAGGACGGCTTCTTTCAAGCCTTAACCCTCTTCTCCACACCCCCATTCGCCTCTTCTCCTTTCCTCTTCTCCCCCTCCCCGCTCGTTTTAAGGCCAAACCTCTCAGCCCGTCTTCTAGCTTTCTCCTTCTCCTCTTCCTCTCTCTTCTCCCTCTCCTTCCTTTCGTCTTCTGTTTCTTCTGGTTTCTTTTCCACCACTACCGCTTCCCTCCTCTCCTTCTTTTCCTTCCTTTTATCAGCAGGATTAGAAAGAGGTTTGGTAAGCTTTGAAACGGCAGCTTCTTCTGTTGGATCTAAACCGAATTTAATGGCGCGTTCAAGTTTTCTTTCAGCTTCTCCCAGTGGTTGACCGAACTTGGCTGCTCGCGCTTTCCGTTTTTCCAGTTCGACGATTAGGGCTTGTCGACCTTCTTCCTCTGATGGCTCTGCAGGTGAAGTGGAAGTGGTGAATGTTTGCACTGCGCCATTTTGAGTGGTTGTGGTTGTGGAAAGTGCGGGTTCGGAAGCAGCGAGGGCCAGAGCCGGGGTGGGAGTTGGATCAGCAGATACTGGTGCCGGTGCAGCAGGGGGTTGTGCGGGGCTAGAAGCAGCCCCCTCACCACCACCTAGGGAAGCAGTAGCTTGTGGATTCTCCAACAATCTCTGAATCAAATCCGGTTTGTTTCCGGAAACAGCCAATCCTGCTGCTGTCAGCAGCTGTTTCAGTTCTGTCACTTTTAATGATTGTAGCTTGGACTCCATTCTTGCTCTCTTCCCCAGTATGTGAGCTGAGGGTGTCAATTTGGATGCTGAAGGATGATGGCAGGTGTTGAAGAAGATGGTGAATGTGGATGCAGTGAAGGAAGCAAAGAAGGCGAGAGCTCGAAAGCAATGCGTAGACGCACGGACTTGATTCCGCAGAGAAAGCGCGTCGATCGAATCGGCTTTCCGTTTAGCCACGCCTTGAATCGGGCCGATCGGCGAAACAGACCTCTCCTCAAACCACAAACTCGCACGCACATGCTGTTTCCTATAGGTCCATAGTTCGCATTACACCTTTCTCCTCGCAGCATACTCTGATACAACAGCGAGGATCAACCACCAAGCGCAACCTCAACACACCCACCCAACTCAGCCCGAGGCTCAAGCAGCTCAGGGTTAAAATATTCAATCAACTCCCTAAACAACCTCGTTCTTTCCACGTACAACGCTGAAGGTCTTCCCTCATCCTCCCCCACATGCAATGTCGGTAAGCTATTCGCTGCAGCCGCTGTTCCAACCTGCTTCTTCTGTCGATGCTGTAAAACTTGGGAAGCGGAAAGCATGTCTGATCCACCATCGTCTGCGCTCACCAGAGAGGAGACGGAAGAGGCCATTTCGGCTTCGTCTGTTTCTGCTTCTTCTCGCGTGCGTTTGCCTCCTACAGCTGCCCAAGTCTCGGTGGAGTGCGGGTGAGATGTGTAAGGGTTGAGAGGGGAAGAGCTGATTCCGCCGCCTATGACGCGGTCGTTGCTGTTGTTGTGGCTGTTGTTGTGGCTCTGCAGCAGAGGATCGTCCGAAGTGTATTCGCCCATCCCCATCTGCGGCTGCAGGGGACCGCGACCCATCTCAGCATTAAGCAGATGCGGCATGAGTCGACGGAACAATCGCGACTCCGACTCGTCAGAGTGATCGACTACAGCTCCAACCTCTGTCTGCAGATACATAAGCGCTTCCAGTCCCAATCGTGGCCCGCCGTCTCCCGCTCCTGCCGCAGAAGGGGATCCCATGGCAGCAGGAGAGGAGACGCCCGCAGAGTTGGCTATGTCTTCATCTGACTCGTTCATCCCAGGCGCAAGATTGCGCGTCATCTCCAAGAACCTTTGGCGACGAACACGGAACTTGGCTCTCCTAAGAATCTCGCCTGGAGTGGGCCGCAACAGCGTCAATCGCCAAAAGTCGTCCAAGCGGTAAGACCGATCCGAAGCATCTTCCGGATTACCTCCGTGCAAGTAGTAGACCTTCTTGCGATCATCGAATACCAATTGAGCTGCATATCGGGGCTGAGGCTCTGTTGGCTGAGCTCCATTGCCTGCGCCACTACCACTTGCAGGCCTAGCCCGAGTGGGAGTCGGTGACAGAGGCGAGCTGCCCGGGTTAGAAGCACTACCACCAGCAACAGCATTGCCTGTGCTTACGCTCTCGAACGTGTTCTGTCCAGCGTATGGCGTCCAGCTGTTGGCAGGTGGCTCGATGGGCATCTCTTCGTCGTCCGCACTCATCTCATCCGAATAGGTGGGCAACGCCTGCAGAGGGCCAGACTCGGGCACATCGTCTCCTTCCATCTCGCCATCGACATCGATATGGTCGCCTGTCCCAAGCATGCCATCCTCGGCGCCCAATCCCAGTCCCGGAGCACCGGCCCCACCACTTCCAACACTGACAGCCTCAGAAGCAAACTCAGACTGCTTTCCGCCTTCATACTGATACACCTTGCGCCAGGACGATCGTGGGATGCTGTAGATCCAGAAAGCACTCCTCTTGCGTTCGTTGCGACCGCCGATCAACCCGATGAAGACGCTGATCTCCCGAGCTGCGACATCGATGGTGGCACGCTGAGTGAATGCGGCTTCGGGACCGTTGTGCGCCGTGTTGCGTGACACTTCGCGAACGGCGCCCGTTGCCAGATTGTACGTGTACATATCCGCCAGGAAGGTGGCAGAGGCACCGCGCTGACCGCCTAAAATCCAGATCTGTCGCGTGTGGGATGGCGAGATACCCGAGGCACCTGGCCTACCACTGTCCAGCAGCATGCTGTGTCCAGACCTACTGAGAATCTTGGCACCGTTCGAGGTACGATCGTCGAAAAGGAATGTCCAACTGCGTTGAATGATGTCGTAACGCCACATGCCGCTGAACTCGAACTTGGCGGGATCTGGATCGGTGACGCGACCACCGAAGACGTACATCATCTGATTTTGCGCGTCAATGACAAGACCGTGGTCAAAGATTAGCTTGGGACCTCCATCCGCGTAGGTGTCTGCACTGAGCCTTTCCCACTTTTCTGAGCGTGTAGAGAAACGGAAGAAGTCGGCCTCTCGACCAACTGGCGAGGCGAGGCTAGGTTGACGATGCTGCGAGTCCGTGCGAATGCTGCTCTGCAGACGCGAGGACGCTCCCGGCGAGCGACCGATCAAGTCTGCATTTCCGCTGTTGCCGGTCAAAAGCGGTGAAGATTCAGAGTTGGAGGCAGGTGCTGGTGTCGAACCCGCAGAATTCGATCCGTTCCCTCCGGCGGTCGCAGGGCTGTCAGAAGGGCGCGCAGAGCGACTCTGACCGCCAACGCCGGCACCTTCCATGCCAATGTCGTCCGTCTGCAATGAGTTGTCTGCCAAGATCATCTGGATGTCACGTGCAAACGACTCTGGGTAGCTCGCAAGGAAGTTGGCACGTGTGGTTCGTGCGGTGGACGAAGAAGGCGACACTGGCAGAGCAGAGGAAGGCGAAGCAGTGGCGACATTGCGGCTGCCATAGCCCAGAGAGTCAGAGGGGATTGGTTCGGACTGCTGTGTGCTTTCGTAGTCAATGTAGCGACCAAGAAGGTAGATGCAGCCGCTCTTTTCGTCGAGACACATCTTGTGGCAGCTTCTCGGGCTGGGACCACCTTGCAGCTGCGTGTCAGCTGAGATCAGACGCCATCGATTCTCGTTGACGTGGTAGGCCCAGAAATCGGAAAGATCTCTCTGACCATCCCATCCTCCAAACAGGTAGGCGATGCCCTTTTCAGAGTCAAAGACGATAGCATGACCTCCTCGTCCGGAGGGTGCGAACCCTTGCGATGCTACATCGCTGGTGTGTGACAAATGCGTGGCTGGCGGTGAAGGATGGATTTGTGACCAGCTCGCTTTTGGGATCTGTCGCGAGATGTAAGCTGAAAACATCGATTTTTGCCATGGCTGAGTCCAGATAGCACTGCGAGATAAGTTTGCAATACCGCCAGGCGACATAGGCGTAGATGAGCCGCTGTTGGCAGGATGGACAAGATCACCGTAGGCAGCACGATTGAGGCAGAGCTCGACCTCATCCCAGCTTGCACGACGCACAAGCGCATCAAATAGCGTCGTCAGGAGAGGATGCTCGAAGGGGCGGTGAGGACTGTAGGGAAGCAAGTTGGTCTGAGAAGGGGTTATCGTCGGGTCAGTCTGACTCGGTGGGGCTAGGTGCGAAGAGTGCAGCAATGCTTGGAAGGCGGTGTGATGGCCGAATTCGCGGAGATGCTTGAGGATGAGACGTGTCGCCGTCGACTGTCGATGCTGTTCGTAGCTGCGTGCTACACGGGAGACGATAGCAGCGTCGCTGACTCCAGCCAAAGCGACATGCCAGATGCTGAAGTTGTAGTTGGGTGTGTGGGCAGCAAGGGGCACGATCTTGATGTAGCGAATAGCAAAGGGAACGGCATTGCCGGTGTTGACGAGTGCATGGGTAGCTGAGCGACGATCTGGTGCGCCGTCCGCAGGTAAGAAAGTAGCACTCTCGATGGATGAACCTGAACCTGAGCCGGTAGCAGCATCCTCGAGCCATCGAAGCTCAAACGTTTCCGACAGAGCATCATTCTTGAGACCGCCTCGAAGGAGACGCTTGCTGGCGGGTGGACGACCGTTGACAGAGGAAGATGGCAAAAGGCTGTCGATGGTGGTGGATCCGTAGACTTTGAAGTCACGCAAGTTGCATGGATGCGGCTTGTGGTACTTGCCAAAAGTGATGGAGCGCACCACACTGAGTTTGTCGAGCTTGAGGATGATGTATTGCTTCTGAGGATGAGCAGGCGTAGCTGCTACAGGCACAGTCGCCGTTCTGCGGCTAGAAGCGGCAGAAGATGATGATGGAGATGAGCCATTGCTAGAAGAGGTAGCAAGTGCCAAGTTCGGGTTGTTTGCAAAAGCTGAGTTGTTGCCAGACGAAGAGGATGCGCTGGTGAGGTAGCTGGAAGGATCGAGGGCCATCCCTGTGCCGGTGGAAGAGCTGCTGGCGGAAGTAGCCGAGTTGACAGCATGTTGGGAAGAGCCGGACCATCTCGAGTACATTTCATGAGGTCGATTGTGAAGAATGTTGCTGGGATGGTATGTACCTGACCACGACGACGCTTGAGCTATGCTGTATTTGAGCGGGACATTGGCTGAGCTGAGCAATTGCTGCAATCGTGAGACCGCATCGCTGGCGTCGGCATGAGATCCGAACCAATTCATCTTTCAGCAAAGAGACAGAGGCGGATCAGCCGAGCTTCGAGTGTCAGCTTTTGAATGGCGTGGGGAAGAAACGAGGGAGGCGCTTGCCTTGAAACTCTGACAGCAACAAAGACGGATGCTCCTTGACTGAGATGCCCCTTGCCCTTCGGCGAATCCGATCGATTGTCGGATGGACCGTGGAACAGGAAAGATGGACAAGCAGATAAACGCGTCGATTGAAAGCGAGACGACGGTTGCTGCGGACCAATGATGTGGACGTGAGAGAGAGAGAGAGAGAGAGAGAGCAAAGTTAATGTCGATACAGTGTCAAGGAGCATGGGCCCTCTTTGCAACACGCAATCCATCTCCAAAGCAACACAACACAGCAGCAGAGCGCGTTGCAAGAGAGCAAAGGCCCAGAACGTCGTCACAGGGTCCAACGTCTCGTGGCTCATCGAATCTGGCGAAATTCCTTGAAAAAAAAAAATTATGCCCGATGCAGATCCAGCTGGTTTGACAGATACGGGCTTCTTGTCTACTGCAGCCCACGCTAACTTACGGCCTCAGCGAAAAGAAACAACAGAAAAAAACTGCCATCCGAAATATTGAAAAAATCATGGCTCTAAAATGCACACACTGAGCCAATTCACCGGCACGGTCGTCGATTCGGCGCTGCCATGTGGGAGAAGAGAAAGAGGGCGAAAGAATGGTCCACAGGACACTCTTAACACCAGCCCGCCAATGACTCAAGAGAAAGCAGCCGTGAGATGCTGCTTGCTCACCAGAATCTCGTCTCCTTCCGCGGCAAAGTCGGTGAATTGTCTCTCTGGAAATTGACCGAAAATCGTCATTGTGCGAGCGACACAAGAGGGTGCTTGGTTAATGCATATGTGACGATCCCTTGTCAAAGCTTACTTCTGCTTCTTGTGCCACCATACATGAACTAGATTGCCTACAATCATGATCGATCGATGGCTCGCTCGCAAGCCAGGAAAGGACAAAAGTTGGCTCGATGTGCTGCTGACTGTTCAGCATCAACCGAAATAGCTCGCAAGCGGCAGAAGACACCGGACAATCGAAAAGGAGTTCAAATTAAGCCAAGTACAGTATGTACAGGGTTCCGGTTGTATTTCTTTTTCTGTAAAAAATTTGCTATTTCCTTCTTCCTTCTCGTCATTTCACTCATTTCACTCATTTCACTCATTTCACTCATTTCACTATTTTTGTTTTATTTATTTATCACTGATTTGACACTGCTCTTGTGCTATGAAAGCGGAGCCGCGGGAAGGCGGGATCTTGGCACAAGTCTGCCATATGAGACGCTTTTTTGCTCATCTCTGGCGACTTGCGAGTATAAGTCATGTTAGTCACAGCAACTTGCAAACAGAGAAATACTGTAAACAATCAACTCTTTCTCTACACTTCAGATACACTCTTGACAAAGTTGATCGTCGCGGAAAGCTCATGCTCGAGAAGCAATCGTAAGGTTCCTTTACTTGCAACAGAGCGACAACCGGGCTGAAAAGCAACCATCGTCTAGCTTTGTTTTCTCAGAGCATCATTCTTGCCTGTCTATCAGAGAGAATCTGTTTTTTTGTTTTTGTTTTTGTTTTTGTTTTTGTTTTTGTTTTTGTTTTTGTTTTTGTTTTTGTTTTTGTTTTGTTTTGTTTTGTTTTGTTTTTTAATTTATTATTTTTTTTATAAACTTTTGCTTATGGCCGGCTTTTCTACGTATTTGCGCTCTGCTGCCTTATTTTTTGAGCTGGTGGTGACGCAAAGCCGGCGACTTTTATTTTTTAATTTCAATTTCCAGTTTTCTTCCTTTGTTTAAACGCTACTGCTCCACCGCTGCTCTGCCTTGAAACCGCTCTGATCTCAGTCAATCCAACCTCCAACTTACTCTATCCGCTTTGACAGCCAGATCGTCACTTGTTCCATTCCATCTCACCATCCCGACTCTTCACCATCAACCATCTTAGCTGTCATCGTTGGCCACACGATTCCTTCTTCTCTCGTCATCTCCGAATATCACGGATCGTCACTACCACCACCATCCACGCAGCTTCTTCTCGACGTACATCCCCATAGACCCTGCAGCCACTGCAACAGTCGGAACCCTTGAACGCCGTACTTGACATAACTTGCCTTCCGAAACAGTCTCGAAACGGATATCTACAAGACATCCTCCTCGCTCTTCGAAGCCACCTTTGTCAATCACCTGCCAGACTCTACAACTTCCAATACGCTCAAACACGCGAGAGATTGGCGCTACTTCTGTCCCTCCATGCGTACCACTCCTCTAGAATCCACGTCACGGACGGCCACCACGTAGAAACCATGTTGCCCAGTGGCCGCGACAATACTTCGCGCTCCTCCTATTCGGAGCAACAACAACAGCAGCGTCCCATCTCGGACAAGGAGGAGATTGCAAGGGCAGCTCTCAGATCCCTCGCTTCACCCAGCGCCACTTCAACACCAAGCGACCCACAGCTTCTTCCGCCACCACCTCCGCTCGCCCCACCTTCCTATTCCCCAGCTCCCAGCACCACAGCACAATTTTCACGTCTACATCCTTCGCAATATGGTTCGTCTCGCGAGCTCCCGCATCATAGCTTGGAAGAAGAATACCGTACAGCATCCTACGACCGACGAGAGCCTGCTAGCCTAAGAGAGACAGGCATGACTAGAGACAGCAGCTCCTCGTCTTCCTTCCATGAGCAGCATATCACTGCATCTCCCGAATCTTCACCCATCCTGGCGGCTGCTCCCACGCTTCCGCCGCTACCTCCTCCTCAGATGTATGCTCGGCACAGCATTCCTTCCACATCCGCTTCCAGCGACATTCACGAGGTGGCCATTCGCCGTGCTTCTGTCGCGCTTGGCGTCGACGTCGAGGAAGTCCGTCATATCGTTCACAACACCTACCTTTCACACCGCACCTCTTCCACCTCGTCGAGCGCAGCATCTGCAGCTGCTTCGAGTCAAGGCTACCTGCCTCCTTCATCGGCAGCAGAGCACGAGTCTTCCTTCGTCCGCCAGGTCCTCGGTGCCTACTCGCTAGAGTCTGATCGCGCATCTCATGCATCTCACCCACATCCGCATCCCCCTTCACATTCGGACTACGACTATGATGCTCGCCCTAACGACACAGCTGCTGCTGCTGAGCCGTCTGGCATGCCAAGGTATGATGCCGGTCCCTCCACCTACCGAGCTCCTCTCTATCCACATGCAGCAGATCGTGCACCACCTCAAATAAGCTGGGGATCCACTGCTACCAATCGGGCCCTCAACCATGACGCTGGATACTTGCATCACGGCATTTTCCGTCCTGCCTATCCTGCCTATCAGGACACTCGCCGTCCCGAAGCGCCCACTTCAAGTACTTCGGCGAGCATGTCAACTGCGCCCCTCCCACAGCAGAGAGAAGAGTCGCCCTCTCCGTTCGCCTATGATGCGTATCGGAGGACATCTCATCATGTGCCGCCGCCGCAAGAGTCCAGTTACGCCGCACTACCTGCGAGCAGCAGCAGGATGGCGTCGAGAGCGAGTCAGGATTATCTCGACGAGCTTGCGCGCAGCCGTGCCATCGACGAAGAACGACGCTTTAATCCACGCTCTCGCTATCCCGTCTCTGCCTATGCGCAGCAGCATCCTTATGTGCCACCCAGCTCCTTGTACGAGCGCAAAGGCAGGTCAATTGACGACTATCTAGAGCAGCAGCAGCAGCAGCAACAACAACAACAACAACAACAACAACAACAACAACAACAACAACAACAACAACAACAACAACAACAACAACAACAGTCCCAGCTCCCACATCAACGTCGTGGATCCATCGCCTACTATCCTGGTCGCACCACCACGACTGTTGCTGAACACGAAGATGACAGGCTGCCTGATCGGCACATGCAATCCACCAACCGCCACTCGTTCCAGCCTTATCTTTCAACAGGCAGTCGATACACGATTGTATCCTCTTCTGCAGCCTCAACTTCGTCTCCCCAGCTTTCGCCGACGATGCCAGAATCTCCACGCTCCCAACAGTTCTCTCAGTTGCGTTCTCCCGCTCCTCGCTCGCCTGCTGCTGAGACAGTCGCGTCCGTGGCATCTTCGTCTGTCACATCCGTAGCTGGCATGACACCTTCTCCACTTCTTGGCGCAGTTGGCGGCTCTTCGTCTGCCAACCTTACTCCGGATGATCGCGAGCACGAGCCTAAGCCGAGCCCTGGAGTCGAATCGGACAGGTCCAGCTCGCTTCATAGCGGCTCAGTAGAAACGGCAGCAGAGTCGACTCGTGCTGGGGTGGCCAAGATGCAGATCGACGATGATGGCTCTTCATCCAAGGCCACAAGAGGCGCAAGTCGCAAGCCCGGATCTTCTCGCTCCTCGTTCTCACATGCCGACCGCGGCTCCACACTCGTCGCTGGTACTGAACTCTCGCATTCCGAGATCATGCAACGACTGCAGGACAAAGTCAAGAGTCGACTCGCCGCCAAAGGCAAGGCAGCAGCCAGTGCTGCAGGCAGCAGCAGCACCGGTAAGAACGGAAAGCCAACAAGCAGTGCAGGAAGCGACAGTCGTAGCCGAGTTGCACGACTTGCACGCGGCAATTCAAACAAGCGCAGTGCATCGAGCATCACCAAGTCCGAAAGTCCTTCACGTGCTTCGGATGCATCACCGACATCATCAGGCTCGCGCGTGGGCGAGAGCAAGAGCAGCGCCAGCAACAATGACATTATGGAAGCGCCAACAGCGGAAAAGTCGGCTTCACCAATGGGTGGTGTACCTGCACCTAAAGTCAGACGCACTTCAGCATCGAGCCAGCAGAAGCCAACGCCCGCACCCAAACCATCGCCCAAGTCACCTCCTTCCAAAACAGCCTCGCTTGCTTCGACTGCAAAGAGTACCGAAACGCCAACTTCAATCGCGGCAGCTCTCTTGTCGCCCACGGATACACCCACGCCTTCGGAAGCCGCGGCAACTCATGCTCAACGCATATCCAGGTCGCCTCTCTCGCCTGCTGAGGGTGTCGTGGAGTCAGCTTCGGGTCAGGCTCTACCGGCGGATATCCCAGGAGCAGGTCAGATGAACGCTGCTTCGGCGACCAAGCAGCAGACATCCAAGTCCGGTATCGATTCGTTGATTCAGGCTGCTCAGGCGAGCGATCCTACCGAAACCAATTCGGCCATCGCCTGAGCTGGTGCTTTCAGTATGGAGCGGCGTCTACCTTGTGCTGGCTCGTCGCATAGAGCGCTCGAAGCGCTCGCATGCGGCCGTACATTCTTTGGCTCGCGGAATTCACGTGCTGCCATTCCAACTCAAGCTTTATTAGCTGGAAGTCATCTTGGCAGCATCGCACACACGCTTCTAAAGCTTAAAGCTTGTCGTTCTTTGACGGGCTTCGACGCAATTCGAAGAGTTTATTCGAACGCTTCAGCCGTGCACCGTCAAAGGCTTCCGTTGCTTTCCGGTCAGCTTCTTTGTTCCTTCTAGAACAGACAAAGAAGCACATCTTCGTCTCACTGCTCAGTCTCATCTTCGCCTCACTGCTCAGTCTCATCTTCGTCTCACTGCTCAGTCTCATAATTGCCTCATCCGTTTACTCTTTCTGTCTTTCTGTGTTTTGTTTCTCGCATTTCTCCGCAATAATACGTTTTCTGTTTCTCATTCCTTACCTCTCGGCGATCTCCTTGTATCTTTGCATCTGTGGAACGTCTTATTGTCTCAACAAGGCAGCCTGGCCATGAGAGCCGGTTCGTTTTTAGACTGGTGAGATCCGGCCCGCAAAGTGGGACCCCAAGCGCCACACGTAAACCTCCCGCGATCTCAATAGGGGTGTTGCATGAAGTATGCACCAAAATTGCCCGAGCTCGACCTCGGTGCAATACGGCTTCCCTTCTTTGTTGATGATAAAGTACGACCCACATTTTGGCTCAACACGGTGGGGCATTGTGTTGACCATCGACCCACCGAGTCCCACGACCTGTGATTGCTTTCACCAGACGCAACTTGTCGTCGTTACACGTTGCTTGAGCTTGTGCTCAGTGTTCGAACACTTTTCAATCCGGTGCTTTACTGTGACCCGCTTTCACACCAAATTTTGAGGTCGGTAACTTGTTCATTACCTGGTTGTCTGGTCCATCGATCGCCTAGATTTCCCTTCATGAAGGCTGTTCCAGACAGATACAGAGATGGTTTCGACTTCTTCGGCAGCCGAACGACCAGAAGAAGCTAGAGCCTCGTGAGATCTAGACGCTTCGATACTCGCTCGTAAGCGCTTGGACCCTTCTTCCTCGCAGAAAAGAAGAAGCGAAGACGTTCTCGGCTTCGTTAAGGCCCATATGTTTCCCTCCAACTCCACAGAAACAAGGGAGCAACAGAGCCTTGCATGGCGCTAGTTGACAGCCGGACCAAACCAGCAGAGTCAATCGCGCTCGGTCCTCACCTCATCTCATCTTGCGTCTAATTGCGGTTCGATCCCCGCTCCGTCTCATCTTGCGTGTAACTGTTGTTCGATTCAAGATCGCGAACCCACCGGGGCGGCGGACACCTCGTGAGATGGTGGGGACGTGGATGAGCATTGGCACCTATCAAGCCGTCTGACCAGTGTGGTGGCTGATCAGCTTCATAGCTCCTCTTTTGAGAGTCAAGTGGGTTTGGCGGCGTTGGTAAGCAAGATAGCCTCATTCAGAGTGTGGGGCCTTCTAGCTTGGGCAGTGCACTAGTGTGCAGACACAAGCCTTGGCTGTAGCTTCCGAGACGAACGAAGGAAAGAGGGTCCTGCTTCGCACTCCTCCGAGTGTCGTCGCCAAAACATAAAAGGATACGAATTTTTGACGGTCCTCCCAACTATTCCTCTCATCTCACCACCGTCTCTGTCCCCCTCACCACCGTTCCTCTCCTTCTCACCTATTCAACCTTCCTCCACTGACCGTCCCTTCCCTTCCCTTCCCTTCAGCTTGTCAACAAAGATGAGGCCGACAATGAAAGCCCTCCCCATAGCGGCGGCTTTCATCGCCCTCTCCACCCGCTTCGTCACTGGCGCCCCAGCCACAACCAACCAACCCATCATCATAGACCGAATGTGGAGCACCACTTACGACTCCTCGAAAGTCCAAGAATTCAGTAACCCCGGCATCAAGTTCGTCTCTGGTACTGCCCTCACCGAATCAGTCAACGTCACTGCCGAATCCTCGGTTAAAAACAAAGACAAATACGATCAAATCGGTATCTCTATCAAAGAGAACCAAGTTCACCAGATGGTCGATGCTTTCGGTGGAGGTATTACCGATAGTGTCGCCATCACTCTGCAGGATTTTAAGTTGAAGCATCCGAAAGATTACGATGACTTGCTCCATCTTCTGTTCTCGCAGGATTCGAAGTGGTACCAGAGGGGTGGTGTGGGAATGAATGCAGTTCGTGTACCTCTGGGTGCTTGCGACTTTGGTGTTTCTCCTTACACGTATGATGATACGGAGGATGGATCGGAGGATCCGAATTTGGAGCTGTTTACGATTAAGAAAGCACCTAAGCTGTGGAAGACTCTGCAAGATGTCGTTGCTATCAACCCCAACATTCAACTCTTTGCTACTACCTGGAGCGCTCCAGGGTGGATGAAGGAGAATACCAACGCCGACCAGCCTTTGTTCGGCGGTAATCTCAAACCAGGCATGGAGGAAGTTTACGCAAAGTACCTCATTCGATCCGTCGTCGACATCAAAAAGCTTGAAAACCTCAACATTTACGCCCTCTCCCTCCTCAACGAGCCTCTGATCCCGGAACTCAAGTACCCAACGATGAAAATGACCGCCGTGCAAGCTGTCAAAGTTGGACGAATGGTTCGCGATGGACTTGACAAAGCAGGTTTCAAATCGCTTAAGCTTCTCGCCTGGGATCATAACTGGGACAACACCGAGTATCCGCTTGCAGTCCTCAATGCTGATCCTACGATCTGGAACGGTGTTGCTTGGCACGGATACGCTGGTTCACCGAGCGCTCAAAAAGTCGTCGCTGATGCCTATCCCGAGAAAGATACATACTTCACCGAAAAAACCCAGATCACGCAATACTTCTCCGAGCCGTACAAAAACATGAAGAACACTGCACGAGAACTGATTATCGGATCGATCAGGTACGCTTCGAGAAGTATCATCATGTGGAACCTGGTGCTGAGGAAGGATGAAGATGGGTTTACCACACCTCATCTTCCGAATGTTTGCGTGAACTGTAATGCTGCGATCCTCTTACTGCCCGAGTCGACCGATGCGGATTTGAACAAAGGCGATCCGACTCATACGAAAACGTTGGCGGATGCTAATGCTGCTACTAAGGCTGACAAGGATAGCGGGATCAAGAAGCGCGATCTTAGTCGTCGTTCTCCTGCTGAAGAAACAACCGAGATCAAGCCTAAAATCCCCAGCAGGTCTGGTTCGAAGCCGCTAGACCAGTCGATTATACCATCCAGGGTATTCGACGTGAAGAAAACCGGCACTGATTCAGTCTATACTTCGTCCTTGTTCAAACGCACTTCGGACATGGCTGTTCTCTCTCACCTCTCCACCGCTATTCGACCCACAGGTGCTTCGAAAAACTACTCGAAGAGGATCGGAGTCCAATCCACAGACGAGTATACCGATCTTGGAGGCCGTCTTCTCGCTCAAGCTTTCAGACAAGACGGTGTCAAGCCAGGAGTGACGAGGTTTTCGTTGGTACTTCTCAACCAAAACGATCACTATGAGTCAGACGTGTTTGAGGCGGCTACTGCGGTGATCAGTTTCAGAGGGATGGTGGCAAAGGTTACAACTATGCCGGGCCTGTATACTTTGAGTTGGGAGGCCGAGACGGTTGCGCCGCTCACAAAGAAGGATGCTGAGAGTGAGGATGCTGCTCGTGCTGGTTCGCAGAAGGCTGACCCTGCGGCTAAAGATTCTACTGACCCTGCGGCTAAAGATGTTTGAGTTTAGGTCCCGATACTGGCGATCGGGGAGAGTCTAAGTACGATGTCACTGCTGCTAAAAGACAGAAACATCTGCTGATCCTGCAGCTAAAGCTTCTGCTGACACTGCGGCTAAAGATTCTCCTGACCCTGCGGCTAAAGCAGCTTCATGTGTTTAGAAATCTCAAAACACCTCAGCGTCAACCATAGACCTCGTTGTCGCTGTTTCGTCTTGATCATTCCAAATGCCATGGTTCATTGTTCTGTCTTGTTTTGCAAACACAATGCCATCACCATTCTTCTCAAGTGCTAGTGACTGTCTGTCGAAACCCGTGTTGTAGCTCGTTGCTCTTGCTGCACACCTAGTTGTGACAGTCGAGCATGCTGCTTTCTCGTACCAGAAACTTATCGTTCGTGGAGCATAAATCTCAGCAGAAGCCGAAAAGGGCATTTCTGCGCGTCGACATATACCGACAAAAAAAGCGTTTCCCGCGCAGCTCTAAAATTTTGCGGGGTTGAGATGCAGTCTGACGTCGTCAAATCCAAAAGAGCGCGCGACTCTGAGGTGAGGATGCCAAATTTAGCATCATCCTTGTGTCCCCTCCGCACCGCTCTCCAGCCTTGGCATCGCTTTACACTGTCTCGCGCTGCTGCTTCTGTAGACGAGAGTCGAGCCAGAGGAGGAGAGTGTGAGGCACAATGACGGGCTGCTAACAAGGCTTTCGATTGCAACTTGGTTGCGGGTTGTGGGTTGGAAGCTGACTGTCGTACGATGGTCTGGGTGAGTATTTTTGGAGTCAGCAGCAAGACACGAGCCGTCATATTAGTGAGAAGCGAGCGGGAAAAGAGAGCTCGAATGGAGCACATCCGCTTAAAGTTGCTTAGCGAGCAACTGAGCTCACTTTCTCCCGCTCTTGGCCGAAGCTGACGGTGACCCTAAAACCCCACGTTCCGTCACTCTGCCTCTCTCTGCCTCGCTCAGGCTTCTCTGTAGGTTTGCCACATTCATATATATCCCCTCTCGCTCTAAACCCTCGATTTCCCCACACAGCATCCTACCATCAACACACACCATACTTTAAACGCACGCAACGCAAATCACAATGAAGATCAGCTCAGCATCCCTCCTCGTCATCTCTGCCGCTCTCTTGGCTAGCAGCACCACCAATGCTACTCCTCTTGCGTTCAACGCAGACGACGACCAAATATCGGTCCCTATCCAAGTTCCTTTCTCCGCCACCCCTCGCGTTCTAACTTTGCCCAACTGGTTCCACCACTCTTCTGACGACGACGGCGACATCTGCCCCCAGCTCCCTGTGCAATGCGTCCGCGATGGCAAAATCGTCGGAGATCTGGGCAAGCAAGATTTCTGTCGACGCGGTCTCTCTTGCTCCATGTGCAACCCTAAAAAGAAATCCCTCGACTGCAACACCAAGTACATCAAAGAGTGTGCTACCCAATGCACCGCTCGTGGTCCCCTAGGCGGTAAAGCCGACCAAATCTCCCACATTGTCGAGCAGGGTGTCGAGGGAGCAAAGCAAAAGTGGGGTGTAGTGATGGATGGTGATGAGGACGATATTTGCCCCGACATGAAGGTCAGCTGCAAGAACAAGGATGGTGAGACGGTGGGTAGTATCGGTAAGAAACCTTTTTGCAGGGATGGTGTGACTTGTGGACAATGCCATCAGACCGAGAACAGCGTTGAGTGCAATGCAAAGTTTGTTAAGGAGTGCAAGGCGCAATGCGAGGCTACTGGTCCTCTTGGTGGCAAGGGAGTTTTCGCCTACCTTTACTAGGTGCACTACTTGATTCGGGACGTTGCTTCCTGTTGTTTGTTTCGCATTCGCATCAGATACTCACTCATTGTTAATCTCATGATCTCATAACGAATCCTCCCTTTGGCTGTCCTCGCTTTGACTGTCTGTGATAGTCACTTCGTAGGTTAATGAGCATGAATTAGGTGCTAGAAATGAGCTTTACCATCCAATAAATCCCTATACCGAGCCTCACGATCAGGATCCAACTCCATCAACCTTTCCAATAATCCCTTTGCTTTTCCTTTCCATCCCCCCTCCTTCTCTCCCCCCTCCTTCCCTTCCAACCCCGCCAGAATCGTATACAAATGAGCAAGCGAGACAGCACACCACTTGCTCTCCGGTTCCAACTCAAGCAGTTCTTCTATCACTCCAATCTCTTCTTTTATCACTTTCGCCCTTCTTTCTTTTCTCCCTTCCTTCTCCTCCTCCTTCTCCTCTGCAGGCGAGGGTGGCGAGAGGAGGAGGTCTAGGAGCCAACGATGATAGAACCAAACGCTTTGATCACTTGGATCTGTATAGATCGCCTGTTTGACCAACTCAAACTCTGCATCCAATTTTGCATCCACCTCCTTCACGCCTAAATTCTTTGCTGCCCAAACGTGCGGGAGAAGTTGGGTGCGCTGATGCCAAGCGGAAAAGTTGCTAAAGTTGCTCTCGATCTTGCGTAGTGCATAGCTCAACTCTCTCTCCGCCAATTTCAATAAGATCTCCTTCGTCCCTCCTTCTTCTCCCACGATTTCAGGGCGGCTGAGTAGGGATGGGAAAGAAAGCTGCGATGCTACCACTGACCAAGAAGTACTGGAATGGGAAGAGAGAATCGAAAGCGCCAAATGCTGCACTATAGCCCGTCTACCATTCCAACCATGAAAATTCCTCGGATCATAATCAAGCATCTTCTCGACCAACTTCAACTCCCTTTCCCAAACCCATCCTTCCCCTCCTCCCTCTGCTGGCGGTGGTGGATATTGGGTCAAGCACCACATTCGATGATTCCAAATCCAATACACTTTTGGGTGGGCTCGCAATGCGTGTTCTGTCAAAGTTAAGTCGTCTTCGAGTAGGTTCCTGTTGCGATGTTTTTTCTCTTCTTCCTCCACTGCATCCACCTTCTTTTCTCCTCCTTCGGTGTGCTGTGTTGGTTCGCGTAGACTCGCAAACACATCCTCCTTCTGCCCCTCTGCTGCCTGTTCGATGGGAGACGCGAAAAGGGAAAGGAGGATTTCACGACGATAGTTCCAAACGGTATATAGCTCCGGGTTAAGGGTTAGGAGTTTCGTCGTGTGTTCGAGCGCGGTTTGGTCTTTGCGTGAGGAGGATTTGTGGGTGAAGAAGGTGCGTTCGATTTCGAGGTATGCGGCGAGTTTGGAGGATTCTTTGGCTTTGCGTGCTGCTTTGGCTTCGGAGGTGGTTGCTGATTTGGGTTGTCGTTTGACGCCGTGCATTTCTTAATACTCCTCCCCTTCTCTTTCCGAGGGAGAAGTGGAACAAGTGTGGGAGGGAGGCAAGTTGTGAGTAAAAAGTAGTTAGAAGCGTGCAAAGGGTCGTGCGCGAAACATCAAAAGGGTTCAAACAGAAGTGTTGCCGAGAGCCGAGATTTTTGCAAGGAAAGGGTCCGTGTTCAAGAACGACGGATGTCGAAGTGGAGGATTGGAGAGCTGTCAAACTTGGATTCGCCATATCATCTTCTTGGTTGCCTTGTCATCTCTTCGCAACCCTCTCACTGCATTCGGACAGGAAAAGAGCAAACCCACTACGCAGGAGAAAGCCTGCACAGAGGCTGTAAAACAGAGAAGAGCTGTGCAAGATGACGTTCAATGTCGGCCTTCGGTGGTCGTCACGACAGGCAGCAACAGCAGCTGCACGGACGTCCTCGATTCCGCTCCTCAAGCTGCCTTCCAGCTGTCATCCCCCGCTACTATTCACGAGACTATCCTCGAGCACCTCATTACGGCCATTCTCACTCAATGCATCATCAGCAAGACCACTATTCACTCCCGGTCTGCAACAACCACATGCTCTCTTGAAACCCTTCCCCGATCCTTCGCTACGCGCAACTTGCCTCCTAGCTGTACGCAACTTCACATCAACCTCCCTCATCCGCTCCCAACCGACCCCATCCACACCACCACAACCCTCCACCCCCTCCTCGCCGAACCCGAAACAACCTCTGTCAGAAGACATTCTAACCATCCCCAACCTCTTAACAATGCTTCGCCTCGCCGTAACCCCTTACATTGGCTACCTTGTCGCCACCCACCATTTCGTCCCCGCCGTAACCCTTCTCTTCTTCGCCTCTCTCACCGATCTTCTTGATGGCTATATCGCCCGTCGTACAGGGAAATATACTGTATTCGGCTCCATCGCTGACCCAGCCGCTGACAAAGCTTTAGTCACAACCATGGTCATCTCTTTGGCCATGTCAGGGATACTACCCTGGACTGTAGCTTCTATTATTCTCGGGAGGGATATAGCTTTGGTCATCTCAGCTTTCATTATCAGGTATTGGACTTTGGAGCCGCCGAAAACGTTGGCAAGGTACTTTAATCCAAGTTTGCCATCGGCTACTGTGACGCCGACGCAGATTAGCAAGTACAATACATTTTTGCAGTTGTTATTGCTGGGACTTTTGACATTGTATCCGATTTTGTTCCCTAACCAGCCAAGCCCAGGACTGAGCTTTTCGAACGGGGTTGATGTGGAGAAGAGAGTGAAAGCGGGAAGCGAAGCAGAATCGCCAATGGTAGAAGAGACGAGAAAACAGCTCGCAGAGAAGGGATCCTTGGGGCAGCAAGCGAAACGATGGATCGATGCGGGGATAACGGCTTTAATGTGGATCACGGCCGCTACAACGGTGTATTCAGGACTAGGGTATTTGGGTGGTGCAGGGACGGGAAAGGTGCTGGCGAGTAACGTTAGGGAGAAGATGAGGAGTTCGCTCGCGAAGAACAAGCCTAAGCTGTAGCAAGCGGAAAAAAAAGGGGCAAGTTTGTTCTAGGTTGCTAAAAGGAATGGTACAAGTACAAGATGTGTGATGCTGTATGCGAGTGTGTCTGCGGTAAAGGGATGAGGTTAGAGCTCAGAATGCTCACTATTGGAGGTCGACCAGCTAGTAGCCAAGCCCAACGCATGCAGACAATGCACCAAGGACCGTTTACAAGCCTCAATACTCTGTTCTGCTCGCTTCTCCAACCAGTGAAGCCAGCCTGAGAGTCCACCATTACCCGCCTCCTCTTCCATCTTGGCCTCGGAGCGAGTCTCATTCACCCTACGCCCCACCTCCCCCACCCCTTCTACCACCTTGGCCTGCTGCGCCTGATACATATCTCTAAATCTCTCTACAGCCCTCAAACTCTCGGCGATCCTATGCGCGGCATTCACCAAGGCAACCAATTCACTCCTCTGCAACTTGACCTCCCCTCCTCCACCCTCCTCATTGCGATTGAAGAGCAACTTCAAGGCAGTCCCGATTCCATTTACCTGCAACTTGCCCCATAGTCGGCACTTGTCGCATCCCACGCAATCCATTATTGCCGAGATATTCCTGAAATGTTGCCTGAACTCTTGCTTTAATTCGAGCGATTCGCGGTTTTGGCCATTGAACATTTGTGCTTCGTCGAATGTTGTTGGGCATGCTCTTGCATCGGAGATGAGCTGGTCGAGTTGTGCGATTGTGGTCGGATCGTCGATTGAGTCTCCGTGACGCAAGCTGAAGTTGTCCTTCGAGTCACCAAGACGGGAAAGAGCACGAAGGAGGAGAACATAGTCGAAATAGACGTTCTGCAATCGCTCTGGATGTTCCGCAATCCTAGTAATGAAACATTCGAGATTGGGAGCCCATTCACCCGTCTTGGTGTCCAAGAAATCATGGCAGATATGGATCGAAATGCTCGCATGCAATCCCGAGATGATCCTGTAAAAGACTCGTTTCTCAAGACACTGTTCGCTATCACCACTATCCAACGGCGCTTGCAAAGATGAAACTAAGCCGCTAAACCCAGCTCCACCCAAAGGACTACTCTGCAAAACCGTCTTATCGACAAACCCAGTGCCTCCTGAACTCTGCGGTCTAGCCGGCTCGACAAACTTGACCCCGTTAAAACAGTTCTCTTCATATATGCTCTTCCAAACCCTATTCGCACTTGGTCCAGCATAACCAGTGAATCTCTCGGGATTCTTGATCAGATCCACATACACCCCTTCCTCTCCCACTTGATCGTCTAAATGACAAAACTCGGTTTGACTACAGCTACAACTGGCATCGCTACCCGTCATAACCACATCCCCCGGCAGAGCTGTTGTGACACTACTCAACCTGTTCACCCTAAACTGCTCGGGCACGTTGGCCTCTTGTTCCGTTTCAACGGAACAAGCTTGATTCATACAAAACCCATTCTCGTTCCAAAAGGGACATTCTTTGAAAAGGTTCACCTTGTAATACTTGAAGAAATTGGTGGTCCGAAGTGCATCGAGTCGATCGAAGAATTGGGAATTGATGGTTTCGACTGTTTCGTAGTCGCAAGATGCATCTTCGATTTGACCGGTGGGTCGACATATTGGTTCCCCCTCACTCAAGGTGGCGGAAGAGGGACGAGAGGGGGTCTTGGGTTTCGTGAGTACTTGCTGGAGGAAATCTGCTCCTCGGGAGGAATCGGATGCGGGTGAACGGAAGAGTGCGGGTCGAGAAGCTGCTGTGCTGGAGGAAGCGGAGGCGAGAACTGAGGTTGGTGAAGCGCTGAGAAGGAGTATTGTCGTGAGAGCGAACAAGAAGAGTGTGACCGAGATGCCGATTCGATCAAGTGAGCGTCCATGTGTCGGAACATCGCCGACAGAGATGGACCGAGCGTGGGAAACCATGGTTGCGCTTGTATCGTGTTGCGACGGCTATTCCGATGCGATGGTCCTTGTACGCCTTAATACAGTAGCGGATCGGTATGCCCGAGATCGGGCTAGTGTTTGCGATGGTTATCGGTGCAAGCTTGGTGGATTAGAGCAAAGACATGACTTGCTTTCGTTGGTAGTGTTCTTGAACGGTTGGACCTTGCGTCGGTGGTCTTGAAGGTGGTAGATATAGAAGAGAGGCAAGCAGTGTTGTGTTGTGTCCAGTGAAAGTGTTGGTTTGATTGCGTGGCGTGGACGTGGCCACATACATGTGTCGGTGTGTCGGTGTCGAGTATGCACCTCACATAGCCAACAATAAATGCCATTTGCACAGCACTTGATAACTGAGCCGCAGCAGCCAACTTGCAAGCAAGCCCTGGAAAAAGCAGGCCGTTGTCTTGCCGCTCCCAGCGAATTGACCGAAATCTCGCTGCTGCTGGTGCTGCTGGTGCTGCTGGTGCTGCTGCTGGTGCTGGTGACGTGTCTTCCGGATCGACCGCTGTTAGAGCGACGTTTTGAACATGTTGGTCGTCAGCTGTCAGCCTGACATAATAACACCAACACTCCGCTTTCACGCAGCTCTCTCTCACTCTTTCGCCAAGCTAAGGAACGAACGACTTTCTTGCCCCGCAATTCGAAGATGGTGTCGCACCAGCAAGCCAAGCCTCCGAAATGATGCCGTCTTAGTCCGTTCTTCCGAGCCTCGGTTACGAGGAATGAAGCCTCGAGCAAAAGCTTGAGCCGTGGTAATGATCAGGAATGGCATTCGTGAGAAGCTGATCGATACTCTTATTGTTCGCTGCGAAGAGTCGGTCCAAGAATGCGGCTCCGGCTTGGGGGAGATGTTCTCCTGCAGCAATGGTGCTTTCCTCCGCATTGTTCCCTTTTGAAACCTTGCAAAAAGAACCTCGCTGCTCCTTCGAAAGACGCTGGTGCAAGTCAAAATGCACACTGGCCTCTTTTTTCCGCATTTTCAGCTGTTCACACTTTCAAAACGTGCGATCCGCTGCTCGGACACCAAGAAGCAGAGAGCCGAGAACTCACATCGAATAAAATGGACGGATCGAAAGTTGTAAGTGTGAGATGCATCCTTCCACGCTTTCCCTTGCACTCGCAACCGTTTCAACTTGCTCATCCTCTTCCTCACCGCCCACCATCTATTTCATATTCATCGAGGCTTGCAACATCCCTGCATCCCAATCTCATCAAAGGAGGCACTTGGAGGATCACCTTGTCTTACTTGGATCTGACATCCATCCATTCACCGCCTTCACTACTACCACTCGGAAGAAGCTTCGCAAGGGAAACACGGATTCCACACGGCAGTCGAGAACCGAAGATCTCGCTCTGATCCACCGTAAAGCACATCTGCTTGGATTCCCGGACGTATACCCTGCAAACCCTGCCACTGCCCACCATGTGCATCCCAAAATCCAACCACAAGAAGCTCGTCGATGACTGCTACCCAGCTCCTAAAGCCCTTGCCACTTCGGGCCCAGAGTATCGTCCCAACTCGAACGAGCTTGGTCGACTGACCTACTATGCTGAGAACAAACCCGCCAAGCTTACCAAAGTCGGCAACTTGCTCGACAGTAAAGCTCAAGCCGATGCCAGAGCTGCCAAAGCTTCCGGTCCTGCTGCTGACAAGGGAAAAGCCAGCTTGATGATCACCCTTGCTATCACCAAGAACCTGCTCACCGAATGCAAGTCCTCGCTCAATTACTTTATCAAGCCCGCCCAATCCATCATTGCTTCTGCTCTTGACGCTGCTCAAGCCACACAAGCACGTCCTCGCGATCTCGAGATCAGTGCTCGAGCTGCCAGCGCCTTTTACGCACTCGCCTCGTTCCTCGACCCTGCAACGACCGCTGTGGATGATGGCTTCCAACGTCTTCTCCGTTCTTTTGCTAGTCTTGCTGTAGAGCGTCCGATCAGTGTGGATGCTACGCAGGGTGAAGATGCCGAGCAGCGCAACCGTACTCGACTCATCGGTCTGGGGGCTCTCGCTGGTGCTGTTGGTTCGGATGCTATCTACTCGTCCAACTCGAAATCGCTTATCGCACTTATCACCCCGGCTCTTATCGAGAATGCTAAAGCAAACCGTGTCACTCTCGACTGGCTCCGCAGCGAATCCAACAAGGCTTCCGAGGGCGAACCAACCTATGCAGAGTTCAACATCTCCAAGAAGCCTCTTGCTATTCGTTCTACTCGTTCCATCTCGGCCCATGTTGCAGGCGAAAAGGACCCTTCGTCCGAAGATGTCGTTTCAGCTTCCATCGGAACACTCCGAGGTTTGCTGCACCACGCCGATGCAACACAAGTCCAGAGCGTTGTGCAGAACGTCATTGTTTGGCTCGACAACAAGTCTGCACTTTCGATTCCTGCTCCTTCGGATGGACGTCAAGCCGTTTCGCAGTGGGAGGATACCGACTGGTGTTGCTGGCTCGCGCAATCTCTCTGCAGCTGGACTCCACTTCAGTACCGTTTTGTTGTCCTTGACACGCTGGTTGATCACCTAGTCGAGAACTGCGAGGGTAAGGCTACCACCAAGCATCTTTCGCTGATAGAAATGTCGCGCAGCATCCTCACTGGACAGCTCAGCTTGATCGGTCTCAGCACAAGCGACACCTTGAGCAATCTCTCGGCTCTTGCGGTTCGTCGAGTCTACAAAGATACCCGGGACAGTTTGTTGCCTCCTCTCGTCGACTGCATTAGCGGTCTCGGTACGCATGTTTACTATGCGGACCAGATCAACGACATTGTTGAAGAGATTGCTGGTCGTATTGCTGCACTTCAGATGCCCGAGACCGCTTCCGACGCTGCGTCTGTCAAGGGGGGCAACACCAACCTCAGTGCCGTCCACCGTGGTCAGCAGCAGGACCTCAACAGTCACATTCACCGTCAGCGTCTTGCCAATGCAGGTCCTGAACAGCGTGACGAGAGTATTCGTGTTCTGTTGTTCTGCTTGCAAGGTGTCCTGCGTGCAACGCATCAGTCGAGTGGTGAAATTCACAAGGCGGTTGATGTTAAGGATGGAAGCAACGGTGGTGCCGGAGGTGCTACTGCATCCAAGCAAGCAGGCGGCGGTGCTGGGGGTTCCGAGGATGACAAGGGCAAAGCACCTGCTTCGGGTGAGACCAAGTTAGGTCTTGCCCATGCTGGCACTCGAAACCGAGTTTTGCCCTCGTCAATTTTGGCCACTGCTAGTTTGCTTACTTCGCCCAACCATGCCGTACGTCTCGCGTATGCACAGACGTTGATCACACTCTTCCGTGACGAGTTCGACCGCGAACAGCTCGAACGCGAAAGCTCGGTCTTCGCTGCTGCTCCCATCAGCGAAAAGGTGGGGGAAGCTATCGGCGTGGTGCATGCTCTCGGCGCTGCAGTCCACGTCATGTGTCTCAGCAAGAGTCTTTCTCCTCCCGCTCAAGTGCTGAGCAATCTACGCGAGTCGCCGTTGGAGCTTTTGCCGCAGTTGGATCGCATCAATGCTGACCCTGGTCGACCTGGTTCGCTCAACAGCGATGCTTCAGGTGCTTCGGCGGGTGAAGCTAGTGCAGCATTGCCCATTGACTATGTTGCTGCAGCTCAGGCGCTCGAGCACCTCGTGACCGCTCTTCCCTGCAGTGCTGCTTTGGCATTGACACCGATGCTGATTGCGCTTGACAGGGATGCTGGCAGTCGACTCGTCGTCAACGGTGCGACGGTGAACACTGGGTTTAACCAGCGTCGTCTTTCGTCGCGCATGGTTGCAGCTCGGGTATTGGCCAAGTTGGGCGAGACGTTCGATGTGAGCTCCGTTTCGAAGGCAGCGCAGAACGTGTTGGCGCAGATCCCTTCGCTCGGTATCGAACCTGGACCGTCCCCCGCTGCTGGTTTGACCTTGCCTCCCGAGGTGGTGCCCTTCTCGGTGGTTGGCGGCGGAATCAACGCTGCTGGTGAATCGAGCAGCTCCAGTTCGCCTTGGATCGATGGCAGTTCGGTCATCAGCAGTTTGGCCTCAAGCTCAAAGTTGCAGTCTGCCACTCGTTTGGACGCAACTGTGTTGAAGCGATGGTTGGAACGCGATTGGAACGTCAACATGGCCGTAGATGAAGCTTTTGCTGGATCCAGCCCCTACGCTCAATCCTCGCTGGCTTCTGCATCTCAGCAACCTTCTCGCCGAGCCTCGTTCACCCCTATCAACGATGCCCTCGTCAACGGCAGCAACGCTTCCTCTGCCTCGGTCAACAGACCCAATCGTCTCAGCATCTCAGCCGCCTCGACTAGTGTTAACGACCTTCGAGAAGCTCTCGGATCCGTCTCCCCCAACTCGGCCAAGCATGCGAATGGATACAGCGACGATGGGGGATTAAGCCCTGCTGACGTGGACAACCGCCGTGCTCATAGAAGGGAGTCGCGACGTGGACCTACCATCGGCAGCTCGAATGGTAATAATGGTACCAGTGCGGTGGCTATTCTGGATTCGTTGAAGGTAGGAGTGGATGAGAATGTTTCGCGTTTAGGTCCGGATAGTTCATTGTCGGAGATCAAGAGTAAGAATGTCGGTGCTACGGGTGCTGGTGGGGTAGCGCCAATCAGTCCTCCTTATGCTTCCTAAGAATCCCTTTCCACTTTCGTTTTGTTGTTTCGGATTGGGGTTGCATCACACATTCGTTTTAGGTTGTTCAAGGCGCATGTTTGTTGTGCTGCCTATATCACTGTCGTTATCCCGATTGCTTAGGTCGTGGTTCTGATCTGGTTAAACCTTACCGATCCATTTCCCACAAGACTGCTGAGTGGTTGGAAAGAAAGCATCCGACTGTGATGTTGGTATAGAGCGATGGATCATCTGACAGAGTTGTAAGGGATGCAGCCTTGAATTTTCGGTTCAAGATGATTGGCGCGGTCTAACAACATAATTATCGCCGCTTTTCTTTGGAGCTGAACAAAGGAATTTCGCACGGACGCCCAACGATTTCCACAGCAGAACAGCAGAACAGTAGAACAAGCACACAGGGGGCTCACGCATCGCATTTCGAGTGTCAAAAGAGTGTGTGTCAGTGCAGGCCAGCAAAAGTGCGCGTCTGAGCAGAATGATGGTCGTAGATGCCATTTCTCCTCATCGCCATCTTCCTCCTTCTTCCCTCGCCCCCACATCATCTCCTTCTCTTACCACCTCGCCCTTGGACCGCCAGCACGAGGCCACAAACTCACCATGGTCCGCATCTCCAACCTCACGCTTGCGCCACTAGCGTTGGCCGTAGCAGGCGCATCGGCAAAGACAAGCCTCTACCTCTCGCCCGCACGCAACATCGCAGCACCTATCCGTATCAGTGCAGAAGAGGCAGATCGTGTTCTTTCGCATCACATCAACACCGGTGATGCATTGGACCAGAAGGATGAGACGGAGATGTGGGCTCATTTGCTGTATTCCAACGAGGAGGTGGACCAACGTGTGATGGTGGAACGATTGTTCGATGGACATGAGCAAGAGCAGAATAGGTTGCTTGTGCTTATGCACGGGTCTGCGTATGATGGCGAGTGCCCCCCTCCTTCCAACCCGTGATATTGCTTCGACAGCATTTGTTGAACAATGCTCAATGGAGTGCATGCATGCTGACATCTCTTCCTTTTTTTTCTCTTTCTTTTTCGGTTCTGATAGATGTGATCCCAAGCCATCTCTCCCCAACGCACACTATCTCTACCTCTCCCAACTCCAACTCCTTCGACGCCCTCTTTGATAGCTATCTCTCCTCCGTCTCGCAAATCCTCAAATCCTCCGACTCCGCCTTCTCCCACCTCGCGGGGACCTTCATGGACGGATTCAGCGCTAGCATCGATTGGCTCAGCACCACTTCCCACTCCGCTGCCTCCAAATGGTCCCAGGAAGCATCCGAGTTGAAATCCACCGCATTCAGCAAACTTGAAAAAGAGCTTCGATCGGCTGAAGCACTCCTTGCTAAGCTCGAGTCGTCCGGTAAAAACGAGGATCTCTCCCTCCAGCCTTTGCGTTTTGCAGGCCTGCAAGAGGTTGAATCCACGTATGGAGCTGATAGCGTCGAGTACGCAAAAGCGAAGAAATGGGTTCAGGAGGCAGTTGAAAAGATTACTTCGCTGTTTGAGGCTAAATCGGAAAGTCAAGGTCGTGCTGCATCGATTGCTTTCGTCGTCACTTCTTCCTCGAACGGCTCTGGTGCGGTTCCACACCTCGCTAAACGCTCCGATCTCCTCCTTCCGTTCAAACGCCAACTTTCCTTCGACTCCGCACTCAGTTCGCAAGACGCATTGGAATCTAAACCCTCCGCCTCCCCCTTCCCCTCCCGCCTCCCCTCCAACCTCCTCTCTACGTGCTTCACTTCAGCCACAGACCTCGAAAAAGCCACAAACAGCTGCTCAGGCCATGGTGAGGCAGTGAAAACCTCCAAAGGCGGTAAACCGTGTTACCGATGCCAATGCAAAGCAACAGAAGTGAGGAAGGGAAAGAAAGTCTACTGGGCCGGTGCGGCGTGTGAGAAAAAGGATATCAGTACAGAGTTCGTACTGTTGGCGAGCAGTGTTTTGTTGCTGGTGCTGGCGAGTGTGGGTAGTGTCTACTTTTTGTGGATGCAAGCAAGTGAGGAGCTGCCTGGGACTTTGGCTAGTGTTAGTATTAGTCTCAAGTAAGGCGAGACGCAGTGGCGCTGGTGATGAGAATGGGCAATGTTACAGGCATTGCCGTTGCACACCACTTGATACATACACACACGGTTCCTCTTCTCTTTGGATCGGTTTCCTGCAATACACACATGAAGCTTGACATGACGTTGCTGTGCCGATGAATGTGTCTCGATAACGATGAAGACGATGTCAAGTGTTGCAATATGAACAGGATGAGTGACTGCGTATGGCGTTGCCGAATCCGAAGCAGCTTCGGCCTGGATGACTGAGAAGCTGGAATTGGGGCCGGCAGCTTCGATTTGGGCCCTGACCAAAAGGCTGAGCTTTAATCCCAGCCTGACTCACACGGCCGCACAGAAGGGGATCAGTCGGACGATACAGAAGCCATGTTAGATTGAGGGTCAGCGAGGTGGCTCGCTGACCCTCAATCTAGCCCAGATGCGCACGCCATGTCGCCAAGTCACGTGCAGCAACCCACACGTGCTCATGTGCCACCAATCCTCCTCCTCCTTTTTTCATCTTCATCTTCAACTTCCGTCATCGCACGCAACGACACCGTTCAGCGAAGAGCGCAAGATCCAACTCGACCTTCAAAGATCGGCACGAACCATGTGAAGCGACCCTTCGGGTCAAGTTTTTAAGGGCAGACGATGTCCAGCTTGCTCCCTCCAACAACCTTTTAACAAAAGCATAAACCGGGCACGATGGGGTCAATTCATCCACCCTCACCACTCAGCAGGGCGTCTGAATTAGGGTGGGTAACGTCACGTATCATCGATTCCGATTCATCGCCTTCCTCTTCGATAATATCAGGTGCATCGAGCAGTCGTGATCTAGTCCCAGCTCCACGCCCCAGCGATCTACAGATCATATTGCGAACTAGAGATCAAACCGCATATTACGATCCTTCTTCGAACGAGCTTTCGCTTCAAAAGCGACATCCTTCTCGGCAGTATGATGCGTCTGAAGGGTCAGAGCCTGGGTCGGGGGAGGCACCTCTTGTACCGCACCGGAGTCAAAGTCTTTTGAAGCGATTTACGAGGTCGTTAACCCCCGCAACGGCAACAAGAGGGAGGAATAAGGCGGGCGAGGGAGTGCAGGTGGTTTGTCCTACTTGTGCTCGTCCCTGGTCGATTCCCCACGATGATGATGAGGAGGAGGGGGGGGGATTCGGTCATCGATTCGAAGAAGAAGCCCAAGATGCGACGGCGGGGTATGAGGGGGACTCGCCATCATTCATGGCCCCCAACTACTTCCGTCTCTTAGCACAAGCAAACACCACCCCGCACAGCAACAGCCCTTCTCGACCATCAACACCCCAGCAAAGATTTTCACCTGTATCAGGCACCTCAACCCCCCTCTCCTCCACTCCTCACCCTACCTCTGATCCCATACCCTCAACATCATCCGCACAAGGCTACTACTCACGATTCTTCATCGAACTTCACCCTCTTGGTCGAGGTGCGCGTGGACAAGTGTTCCTATGCCAACACATTCTCAACAACAACAAACTCGGCAAATACGCCATCAAAAAAATCCCCGTTGGAGACCACGCTTCGTCTCTACTCCAGAGCTTAAACGAAGTCCATCTGATGGAAAGCTTGCATCATCCACATTTGATCCATTATCAACACGCGTGGATAGAGAGGTGTAGCTTGGGGAAGTTTCAACCGCAAGTGCCGACACTGTTTGTGCTCATGATGGCGGCTAATGCGGGTAGTTTGGCTGATTGGATTAGTGCGAGAGCGGGGGAGAAGCGTGATTCTTCTCCACGGCCCACAGGGGTTGAAACACCGGTGGACAAGAGTGGGGAAGAGAAGGTTGAAAAAGAAGCGAGTCCAGTGGATAGGAGGAAAATTGAGAGGCTGAAAGCTGCTTTACGACAGCGCCGTGCAACTCGCCAAACCCAACCCACCTCCTCGTCTCCTCCTTGCTTCTCCACTGAAAGTGAGGCAAGTGCGGGAGTGGGAGTCCACCTTCTCCGCACAGAAGAAATCTACTCTCTCATCCACGACATAGTCTCCGGTCTATCCTTCCTTCATAATCGCGGGATACTCCATTTGGACATCAAACCGGGTAATGTTTTGCTGCATTGGGATGAAGATTCCCTCATCCCGCGTGCGCTCTTATCCGACTTTGGCTCTTCTTTGCATCTCCATGACAACTGGACCCGCACACGATCAGGTCATACGGGAACGATGGAGTACATGAGTCCAGAAACGATCGTCTCTGACCCCAAAACAGGAAAGTTGAGAGAGTTGAGTAGCAAAGCTGATATTTGGAGTGTGGGGATGATACTTCATCTCCTACTCTTTTTTAGGCTGCCTTATGGCGAGGTGGCAGATGTGGAGAGACTCAGGGGTGAAATTGGGAGATATAAGGGTTTTAGGAGGGCAAGTGGAGCGGGGAAGAAGGGGGGAAGGGGGGATCAAGTGTTGTTAGGACTGTTGGAGAGAATGTTAGATGTTGACCCTTCACGAAGGCCGAGTTGTGAAGAGATACTTGGTGTTTTGCATCAAGCGAAACAAGGCAGAGGTGAGGGTAGAGGCAAAGGTGGTAGGACAAGTTTCCGAGCTCAAGCTTACGGTGTTAAGCAAAGTGGAGGAGAAGGTGTTTCGTTGGCGTTGTATAGGCCAGCTGCTTTACCACCCCTACCGAGGGATCGTCATACATCACCGATCGGGATCGCGCCTGAAACTTTGATTCGAGGATTGGTGACGAAAGAAAGAAAAGCAATCGCTGTTGCGCTGGTTAGGTGTCTCTCCCCAACCCTCATTTCATTCTCCACCGCAGTCAAAGGGGGTGAGAGAAAAGGACCGGTGGAAACGATAGCAAACACACTGATCATTCTGCTCGCCCTCATCCACCTCTCTTCTTCCGTCTCTCCGCAAAGAAGGGGTAGAGCTTCGGTCGGGTGTTGGATCGCACACTTCACCCTCCTCTCACTCATCTGGTGGACGTCATACTGACTGTAGCTACACAACTCTGACATTCACGACTCTCTTTTTCAAATGTGTAAGACTGCATCAAGCATTGCGTTGTGATCATTGGCGAGAGTGAGCAACGAACCCATGCTTTGAAGCTAGATTGGCCAAACTCGGCCCGTCATCATCTGTTGCACGCTTCTCTTGCTCCGCCGCCGCCTCCTCTCCACCGGAATCGCTATCGGAACGATACCCGGCCAGCAAGCCACTCAAACTCGCATTACTGCCCATTATCGTCGCCGTAGACTGCTTCTTTCCCTCGTCATCCCCCTCCTTCTGCCCGCCTTTCCCAGCACCAGGTGACGCCGACAAGTCTTCTTCGGGACCCAGCTCGACAAACACACCGGTGGCAAGGTGAGCGGTGGGCACAAGACGAAACTCGGGGAACTCAACGACCGAATATCCGTCGGGTAGATTGCGCAGCAGCCAGGCTAGGCTCGTTTTTCCTGGTTGGGTGAGATGGACTAGAATCGATTTGGCGCTGGTGGTCTCGCTTGCTTTGGTTGGGCTTGTTGGTCTGACTTTGTCGATTGGTTGGGTTGTAGCTGCGGGAGGGGTTGGGATTTGCGTTGTTGTTGTTGACGGCGGATCGGATGACGGTTGGGTTCGACCCAACCGCTCAGATAGAAGCGAGAGGAGGAAGCTAGAGACAATTCCCCCTCCCCTTCCTCCGACCGCTGTTGCTTTTGCTGCTGAGGATGGGTCGTCCATCTTCGCACCAGATCCAACCTTGGCTTCTGTATGTTTCTCAACTTCATCCTTCACTTCGGTGGCAACTTGAGCGGATTTCCTTGGCCGAACGTTGCGCTCACCTTGGTTCTGTCCAAGGCTATCAGCGTTCTGCGCTTGTCGCTCTTGCTGTGCCTCGGCTTCGATTCGTTGTTGAGCAGCCAATTCAGGATTAGCTTCTTCCCATCGACGTTTTCGATTGCACCAATCTAGATACCGTGTCGTTGATTCGTTTGTAAGTCTTGCTGAGTAAACGGGTACCAGTACTGCCCATTGTTTTGGGAATTCTTTCAACACCACGTATTCCCCCTCCTCCTTCATCTTCTCTTCCTTGCTCGGTATTGGCAACCCAGCGTCAACCAAAACCTTTCTCGCCAGGACCCAGCTTTTCTGCTTCTCCTTAGCAGCGATCTGCAATGTTTCTCGGGCTTTTTGTACATCCTTCTTACTAACAAAAGATCGTAACTGTAAATCATCCAACAAAATCTCCCCCACCTTCCTCTCACTATCTACTTTCCCCACAATCCATCCCCCTCCTTCCTTCCCCTTTTCTACCCCTGCCACATTGGCGGGAGGTTTAACCTCGATCGTAAGATCCAACCTCTTGGATTTACAACTAAAACTACTCTGATTTAGTTTGCGTCTAGCCATACCCTCAGGTAGAAGCATAACTTTAAATTTACGATAATGGACTTGTTTCATCAGTTGTTCCCGCGCTCTTTGCTGATTTGTTATCCTACCTCCTGTGTTGGGCTTCGACGAAGAGGCGTAGGCATTAACAGTGGAGGGGGAGGTGGTAGAGGAGGGTATGGGCAGATTGAGGTTGAGAATTCGACGTCCTTCTTCAGCAGCATTACGACTGATCCCACTCAGAAATAGGTAGTCTTGTAGCATGTGCGATTCGTTGTACTCTGCCAATGACACGAATCCTACCGGAGCCGTTTCGTTACTTGTTATGCTGGTGCTAGAGGCGGGACCAATGGCGGCGGAAGGAGACGAGGCGGTCCCTGGTGTTGGTCGGGCGGAAGAAGAGGCGGAGGAGGTGCAAATCTGAGCTTTATGCAATTTGGTACAAGCGAGGGAGCATGTTCGGGCTTTGCATGTGGGACAAGTGTACTTCGATGGTTGTAGCTGACATTGTTGACAGGTTGCGGTCGATGCTGATGGCATGCTTTCTCTTTTGCTCTCAGATTCGGGATGTAGGAAGGGGTTTTGTCCGTGTGCGTGAGTATGGATTGTCGCCGGATTGTATAGCGTCACGATTGCTTCTCAGTCGTGTTCGTCAATACGTGCCTTTGCTTTTGGGAGCAGAAAAGTGAGATCTGGAGCAAGTCAGAGGGAAACCGAAGGCGATGCAGGGGTATATACGAAAGGTGAATAAGTGTGTGTAGAAAAGATGAATGCGACAGGTTGGTTTCACCGCTTTCTTTCGGTGCGAATTTTTAGCCCAGGGTCCTGCCTTTGGTGGAGGTCCCGAGTTCCGAGTCCTCACCATCCTCGTCAAAAAAAGCCTAAGTTCTCAACTTCTTCGCACAGTCGACACAAACACAGACAAAACAGCAGAAAGCTCACAACGACTAGACATGCAAGCGAGAGTGCGAAATGTTGATACAAGTACAAACCACAACAACAAGAGCGACTGCAATAAAGAGTATTGGTATGGCTAAGTAAGGTTCAGCGCCTTCCCTTCTTCCTATTCTGATTCATATGTCTACCATTCCCACTAACCGGCATCCCAGGTTGAACCTGATCATCATCTCTATCCATTTCGTCTCCATATTTCCCATCCATCTTCCTCTTTCTCTTCCCCGACCCTCCCGCTCCACCGACACCTTTATCCTTCAACTCCCTCACCGCCGCCCTATGCGCCTCTGCCACTCTCTCACTCAGCAACATTACCGCCTCTTTATCATTCCCTCCCGGAAACTCGGTCATTTTAAGTGCAATCACAGCTTCAATCCTCTGTAACAACTCCACGTCGTACTGCGTAACCAGCGTTACTGATCGGCCTGATCGACCTGCTCGAGCTGTACGACCTACTCGATGAATATAGTCTTTCGAGTTTGTGGGGATGTCGTAGTTCACCACCAAATCTACCGCTGGGATATCTAGACCTCTTGAAGCTACATCGGTCGCTACGAGAATTGATCGGCCGCCGGTTTTGAACTTGTTGAGTGCACCTAGACGGGCTTGTTGACTCAACTGTCCGTGCAGTGGAATCGCGGGAAACCCAAGCAATCGCAAAAGAATCGACAACCGCTGCGAATCATGCACGGTCCTTGTAAAGACAATGATCGAATGCCCTGCTTGTTCGTTGGCCAGATGCACCAGATACGTGTCCTTGTGTGCGAAAGGCATGAACAAGTAGTGCTGTTTGAGCGTTGATACGGTCGTATACTTGGTATCCACCTCCACTCTGACCGGGTTTTTGAGGGAGGCACGTTGGAGTTTGGCAACTTTAGTAGTCATCGTAGCGCTAAACAGCATCGTCCGTCTCTCTCTCGGGATTGATTGAAGGAGTTTATCAATGATAGGACCGAAATCCATATCGAGCAAACGATCCGCTTCGTCCATAACCAAATACTGCAATCCCCTCAACGAAAAGCCTTTAGTATTCTCCAGATGATCCTGCAACCTTCCCGGAGTAGCCACAATGACATGTGGCCTCTTGGACAGGGCAATAGACTGACTCATCATATCCATCCCACCTACAATCGTAGCTGATCGAACGCCGATTGTCGAGCCCAACGCCTCGACCTGCTGGCTGATCTGATACGCCAACTCACGCGTAGGTGCGAGAACACAGGCGAAGAAGGGTTTTGGATTATCCCAAAGCGCTTGAAGGATGGGGATTGTGAAAGCGGCGGTTTTTCCGGAGCCGGTTTGTGCAAGACCGATCACGTCTCGAGATTGGAGCGCTTCAGGGATGGATTTGACTTGGATAGGGGTGGGGTGTTTGAAACCCATGTTGGTACATGCTTCGACGATTTGTGGGATTACACCTAGGTCGGAGAATGCGATGGTGGAGCCGGTGGGGGTGATGGAGGGTCCTTTTTTGTGGTCCTCTTCTTGGGCGTGGGCGGTGGATGTTGCTGCGTCGTTGGAGGCGGAGGATGAGGAGCTATCACTATCACTATCGCTGTCCGAGCCGGTTACACCATCGTCGGAGCCAGCACGATTTACTTGGTCTGCTTCATCTTGATCCCCGCTACCGACGTGGCTATCTGCGGACTCTGGCTCGGGCGACGGGGTTGGAGCCTTGCTCTTCTTGAGTATCGCTGGAGAGGCGGTGGGTCCGGAGACCTTCGCAGACTTTTTGGCTGGAGATGCTGTTCCTTTCGCCATTTTTGTAGTTGGTCGTAGCTGACAAGAAGATATAAGGTGTAGGGTATGATGGTGTGGAGTGGAAGCGTTGGAATTTTGCTGAGCGCTTTCTTGAAATTTGCTGGAGAAATCAAGAAAAAAAAGTGAACCCTTTCCTATACAGATCCGAGTTCCGAGCAATTTTTGTGGGTGGGCGGAGAAATGTCGTACGAGAGTTGTTACGAGGCGGAATCTGATGATGGATTGACTCGTGTCCCGATCGGCACATCCATTCCAGACGAACGAAGTCAGCCCTCCTAATCTACTACTAACCATACACTCGACCACACCACATCACACCACATCACACCATACCGCACAGCCTCTCTAGCCAGACAAGGGCTAGCAAGTGGATGGCCAAACTTCAAAGGGCATAGGAGCAGCAAAGGCAGGCGCGCGTACTGGAAGCGTCAATCTGGCTTCCACTTGAAAGAAAACACAACGAATCGGAATATCGACTTTTTCGAGGTTTTGGATCGTCGCGCGACCTTTTCCCCCACCAGCAACATCCCGTCTCCCCCGCTCCAGCCTCTTGACTCCTCTCGAGCATTTCGACCCCATTTCGCTTTACTCTCACCTCGTTTCTTGGCAGCATCGCATTCTAGGAACCTCAAGCTACGTCCACATACCCGCGTTGGTCAGCTTTTCATCGCTGCAGTACCGACAACTTCGCTTCGAAAAACAGGGGAACACGGCCGAGAATTACTGCGCTTTTATCGAGGCGGAATCGCAGTCAAACACGCGTGTTGTGTGTGTGCGGAGACGGAGACCGCGCCGTTCGGCATTCACGATTTGCGTGTGCAACAAACACATACACTCATATTCACTGCAAAAACCGCGGCTGGTCTCCTTCTCGTCGTCGGCGTCGTAGCATATCCCGCCGATACGGTCAGCGTTGGACGACATAGTGTTTTCGAGCATTACTGCTATAGCCGTTGTCGTTGCGGCTAGGCACTCGATATCGAGCCAGAGTGCGCTCGTCATCATCGAAGGGTTTAGGGACCCTGACGCACGAGCCTCCCCTCTTTCTCCACCTCGAACCTCACGTTCAGCCACCCGTCATCATCAACGATAGCAGCCATAGCATAGCAACGGCAACGGCAACGGCAACGGCAACGGCAACGGCAACGGCAACGGCAACAGCAGCAGCCAACATCGACATCGTATCGCAAAGCTCTCCGTCCTTGGCCCGCATCCCCGTTCCTGCTCATCCTCATCGCCGATCATCTCCGCACCACATCACCAGCATCACCGTCAGCTTTCCAACACCATACCCACCTCAACTACAACGTAGCTGCATCTTTGTCGGCACTTCGGCGACCATACCTTGGATCCCTGGTCAACGGGAGCGGAGCCGCTCAATATGACCGTCAGCCATCGCAAAAACAAACCGACATCCAAAACCGAAGATGGATCCGCCTCCACCACCGCCGCTGCCGAACCTGGCGTTCGATATCACTGCGATGCATGCGGAGCCGATATAACCCTCACCGTCCGCATCCGATGCGCTGGAGGATGTGCAGATTTCGACCTCTGTGCCTCATGTTTCTGCTCTGGAGCTCAACCTAGCAAGCATAAAGCATGGCACGATTATCGTGTGGTAGAACAGCATAGCTATCCCATCTTCTGCGATGATTGGGGAGCAGATGAAGAGTTGTTGCTCATCGATGGTTGTCAGACGTACGGCTTGGGCAATTGGGCTGATATTGCAGATCATATTGGCAATAGGACCAAAGAGGAGGTTCAAGAGCATTATATCAAAGTTTATGTCGAGGGCAAGGATGGAGATCAACGTGGAGAGCAGAGAGCGGAACAAGCTATCCAGAGATATTCAAGCCTTGCAAAGCCGATATTTGATCCTTTGGTAGATGGGCAAGGAACGGGGAGTAGGGTTGCATGTCAGTTGACGACAGAGGAAGCACCAGTGCTTGGGCCGAGTATGTCGTTTCTTCCTACAATATCTCAGGATGAATTCCAACGGAGGAAGAGGAGAAGGGTGGAAACGTTGAGAGAGGCACAAGCGTCTTATTCGCCACCGAAATCGGCGAAACCGTTGGTTAGTGCTCCGACCAATCATAGCGAGTTGGCTGGCTTCATGCCGGGTAGACTCGAGTTCGAACATGAGTACGAACAGGATGCCGAACATTTGATAAAGGATATCGAGTTCGGAAGGGTGTATGATTTTGGTGGTGCGGATATGCCTTCTGAATGGGAAGCGTTGGGCAGTAAAGCAACGCAAGGGCATGTGAGGATGGAAGCGTCGGGGAGAGGTGGACCTACGAGCAAGAAGGCGACTCAGACCGCTGATGATGATAAGGAGACGAATGCGGATGAAGATGCTGCTGCTGCTGCTGCTGCTGCTGAGGAACAAGCAACAGCTGCAGAGAAGGAGAAGGATAAAGACGCAGAACCAGAAGACAAGCCTTTTGACTGGGACGAAGATCCTACCGATCTCAACCTCAAGCTTACCGTTATTGATATGTATAACGAGCGCTTAGATCGGAGATTGCGGAGGAAGCATTTCATGTTTGAACGCAATCTCGTCGATTACCGACGCAACCAAGCTGCGGAGAGAAGACGGCCAAAGGAGGAAAGAGAGTTATTGTCGAGGACGAAACATTTTGCTCAGATGCAAACCGCACTTGACTACGAGGATTTCTTGAACGGCTTATGCTACGAAGAGGCGTTGAGGAAGGCAGCGGCCCAGTTGCAACATTATCGAAAGATGGGCATTTTGACGTTGGAAGATGCGGGTTGTTATGAGAGGGAGAAAGCGGAAAGGGCGAGGAAGGCGGAGGAATTGGCTGCCGGTGGATTGGTTGCTTTCCCAGCTTCAGGTGCTGCTGCCACTCCGATTGCTGCTTCTGCTAGACCTCGGATCGATGCTGCGAGGGCGAGACAGAGAGATACGAGCACGCCTACTCCGATGGATGAGAGTTTGGCTTCCGCGAGTGCCACTCCTGCAACTGCTGCTGGTGCAGCCACTTCTGCAGCACCCTTCGCTAACGGCAAAGACAGCAAGAAGGACAAAGATCCTACTTCCACTAAGGACTCGAAAGACTCGAAATCCAAAAAGGGTGGCCCGAGCTCAGAGGAACTCAAAACACCACGCAAACCACCGCAACCACTCAACCTTGCCTCTGCACCCTCCCTTAACCTTCTCACCCCCGCCGAAGCACAGCTTTGTTCGGCACTCCGTATCCTGCCTCAGCCATTCTTGCTGATCAAATCGACCCTCATCGCTGAGTTTATCGCAAGAGGCGGGAAATTGACGAGGAGAGAGTGTAGAACGTTGGTCAAGATCGATGTGAACAAGTTGGGCAAAGTATGGGATTTTTTTAACGAGATGGGTTACTTTGATGCTGCCAAAGAAGCTGGTTGGACCGGAGGAGTGGGTAGTCCACCAACAAGTAAAGATAGAGAGGTGAAGAAACCGGATTGGTTGGATGGAAGTATGGCTATGAGTGCTAGTTATTCTTTTGCTCCAACTTCGAATGGGGTAAGCGGGGGGAAGGAGGGGAGTGGTAGTGGTGCAGTGGTGAACGGTGGGGGAGGCGGATTGTTTGGCAAAGCGTTTACGAACGGGAGTGGGAATGGGCGAGGATTATTCGATCTTGCTCATTCGAATAATGCGGGCGGAGTAACGTCGGCTCAACAGCAGCAGGCGTTGTTGAATCATAATGGGAGGGGAGCACCACTTGTTTCGTCTTCGCCGACGGGTTTGGGGAATGGTGTGAATGGGAGCAGTAACACCAGTGGGAGCACAGGTGCGGGTGGTAGTGGTGATGGTGGATCTCAAAGTCCGAGGAAGAGTGAGGGGTATAGGCCTACCGCTGCTGTCTAATTGCCCCTCCTATATCATCCCTTCGCAATACGTCTGTATCGTTAGCATCCGTGGAATAGTTGATGCTGTTGAATGCATCTCTTGTACAACATCCTTCAACACTATCCCGAGTGAATATCAGTCTGTGTGGTGGTGTTTTTTTTTTTTTTTTTTTTTTTTTTTTTTTTTTTTTTTTTGGTTGGTCTGAAATAGAGCTCGCACGTCCCACGAGTCCGCACTTGGCTTTGTGAAACGGGCATAAGAGAGAGATTCACAAGCAACTCCGCTGCTGCTTGTCCTCCAACTATCGTCACTGCCTGTATCACCACCACTGCTCGCATCACATCTCTCGAGTCGGACCAAATCAGGCTCAGCGGCAACGCACTTCTCTCTCAGTACTGCGCTATCACACACCAGATCGGACTGGAACCCCGTAATCCCCCTTCTAGTCGAGTATAGGTCTCTCCAGCATGGCCCCGATCCGAATCCCATCAGGAACCTACACCACCAATCCCGCCTCCTCCGCCTCCGCTGGCGCATCCACCGCCCCACCCAGCTCAGGCTGGGACTACATCCTTAAATTTATCCTAGTCGGCGACTCTTGCGTCGGCAAATCCTCGCTTCTTGTCCGCTTGACCGACGATCGGTTCCTAACCAACCCTGACCCTACCATCGGTGTTGAATTCGGCTCGCACCTGATCTCGCTCCCCAGTGGAGAAACTGTAAAGGTGCAAGTCTGGGATACAGCCGGATCCGAATCTTTCCGTTCCATCACCCGGTCCTACTACAGAGGTGCAGCAGGGGCGGTGTTGGTATACGATATAACGCATCGGCAGAGTTTTTTGAATGTGAAAGGATGGTTGGATGATGTAAGGCGAAACGCGGAGGACAAGGTTAGTGTTGTGCTTGTTGGGAATATGTATGACTTGGTGGAATCCGGAGACACTAGTTCCGCGATGGGGGAGCAAGAGGAAGCAGGGGATGGAGGCGTGGGGAGAAAAAGATTAGAAAGGAGAAGAAGCAAAGGTAAGAGAAGGCAAGTGAGCTATGAAGAAGCAAAACAGTTCGCTCAACAGGAAGGCTTGCTTTTCTTGGAAGCGAGTGCAAAGACCGGGTATAATGTGAAGCAGGCTTTTACTCAGGCTGCTATGGATATCCATTCAAAGTTTTCGGCGCAAGCGAGTGATGCAGCAGGCAGTCAAGGTGCGCTTGGAGGGGTAGTAGGGGGGAAGTATGATGGATCGACATTGGGAAGGAGTAGGATACGAGCGAGGGCGGGGGGCAGGACAAGTGGAACTGTTGCGTTGCATCAGCCGAGTCCAACAGCAACGGCGCGAGTCGGAAGCAATGCTAGCGGCTTCAGTATTCGCAGTCTTACTGGCGGCGGTAGCACTGCACCGTCTGCAGAAGGAGCGGAGGAGCGACAACAGCAGGGGAAAGATGCATGCTGCCTTATCGCCTGACCTTCAATCCCACCCGCAGCTAGCATTGCAATCACACACATCAATCACGCCAAAGCAAAAGCAAACGAATGTGACGTTAGACTCTGTTTGCGTTGAGAATGAACTACTTCTTCCGTATGCGCAACAACTGTGTCCCCTGTCTCCTATACTCTTCTCTTCTTTCCTCATCGTCATCCGCCACGTCTTCGAACACGAACCCTTTCTTTAGCATGGCGAAGAAACGTCTATCCGCCTTCCTCCGTTTTTGATAACAAAACAGAATCTCCGTATCTTTGGTACTCAGCGCTGCCATTGTATCGATCAACGGCTGGAATGCGGATTCGAGATATACGCAATCGGCTAGCAACAGTACGTCCGGTTGAGGCGAGGTGAACTTGGGCCCTGGTGCTGTGTCCCAATCGAGCTCTGCTACTTCGACGAGGCCTCCTGTGTCCGTGTTGGTGGAAGTAAACTGGGAGGAGGAGGAGGAGGGGGAGGGGAAGTTTAGGAGTAAGTTCTCGCGCATTAGGGGAAGCATCACGTCTTGATCCGTGACCAAGATTCTAGTGTTGCTAAGGCATAGGGCGTGGACTAGATATCCGACGAGACCGGTTCCTGAGCCTAATTCAACGATAGTCTTCCCCCTCCAATCGAACCCATTCTTATAATAGCCTTTGTTCTTCTCCTCTCCCTCGTCACCCCCCTTGCTCTCCTCAAACCGAGAGTATTTGCCCGCTATATAAGCGCCCAAAACTTCAGCCGCAGGCCAAATCTTCCCCCCGCATCCCTTCGTCATATCCAATTTCAGTGCTACATCCCACCACTCCTTGCCCCTCCCATCAGCGTCCGGAGAAGGGTCGGATATCAACTCCGGTCGTCTTGAGAGATCTTTATAATAGCGGATCGTGGTTCGTTTCTCGATGATAGATTCGATCTGTTGCGGGATTACACTATAGTCGTTGCTGCTGGTGAGATCGCGAATGTCGGTGGTATCGGCATTGCAAGTGGAGGAGGCAAGTGTGGGGGATGAAGGAGCGAGGAAATGACGGAGAGGGTCTAGAGCGTCTAGTTCTTCTTCTTGACGGAGGAGTGTTGCTATGTCTTTTCCTTCTGCTGGCGGCATTGTCTCCTAGGGCGAGGCGCTCTGTGTCGATGTGAGGTGAGGTGGCAAGAGAAGCAAGATAGGTGAGAAGAGGATAGGAGGGGAAGAATGAAAGTTGTACAAGAAAGAACAAGCAAAGCAGACCCTGAGAATCGAAAAAAGCTAAATTCGGTGCCCTGTTGATCTGTGTTAGGTTCTTCCAACGAACAACCATGGGAGGATGGAAAATGTAGTGGAGAAAAAGAGGGTCCAAACTGTGGAATGAAGTCATTCATTCCGTCATGATGCCCAGTCATTTTTGCTCATACAGAAGAGATACAGGACCGGGTCAAGCTTTCCGAGGCGCACGATCCAACCCTACCTTGTACCTCCTCCTCGTTGTAGTTCTGCTTTTTCACCTTCAACACCATCAACACGACAGAGACGAACAAAATAGACAAAGATGCGCCCAACACAAATCACCCCTGCGCTCCGCCTCACCTCCAGGCCAGCCGTTTCGCATATCGGTCTCACCCCTCGTCTACAACGTTTCTCAACCACTCCTTTACGCCGTGATGATCGGTCCAGAGCGAAAGCGGGTCCTGTAAGCCCTCTTCCTTCTCCTCCCAGCCCTTTCTTTCCTCTTCAATATACTCTTTTACTAAACCCTTACCCCCATCCCTTTTGCTTCCTCGATATAACAGGTAAAGAATGTGCTCAATAGACCAGAAATCGTCCCCCTGTTCCTCTTCACGGGTGGAATGATCTGTTTGGCCGTCTTCTTTGCCGGCCGACATCTTATCAAAGATAAGGAGCTTCGATTGGATTCGAAACAGCAGGATAGGTTGAAGACAAAGACGGAACAATTGGATTTTGAAGCGATGAAACGTGTTACGGAAGAACCGGAGGGGAAGCCGACAAAAGAGGCTATTGAAGAGGAAAAAAAGAGAGAAGAGAGGAAGAGACAGATCAGGGAGGAGAAGCAGGAGAAGGCCGAGAACAAGCTCTAGCGTCTTGCATCGAGTCAATTGTGCGGTTGGAGAAAGAATACAGGACACTGAAGCTTCCGTTGCTTGTCGCTGCGAACGATTTGTGTTGTTGAAGCTGCTAGAGCTGGGTCGGATCTCACAAGAGATATGGCCGCAGCACAGCAGACATTTTGCTGCTGTGTGATCAAGTCGAAGCTTGCTAAGCAATGCAACTCGAGACAAAGTCAAGGACGATCCTCTGATCGGAAGCAGCGGGAGGAACATTGCAGAGCTAGTTGATTGTCAAGACACACGCAACCAGTAAGTCGGGCGGAGACAGAGGTAGAGCATCGAGAGCAATGGGATACAAGTACAGACCGTAGGGCGACCGAGTCGGAAGAGAGAAGTATAGTACTGTACAGTACATGGTGACTTTCGAGCAGTCACTATCAGCAATTAGGCGAGCGGGAACCAGATGGAGCAAAGGTACGGTATCAAGATCGAGGCAAAGCAGGATGTCGGCTCGAGTCGAGGCTGTAGACAATTCCCTATTGTTACAAGCCGCGTCGGAAAGATTAAAGGGAAAAGGACGCTCATCAGTGATCATTCATCCTGCGTCTTCCGCGGTGTAGGTTGTTGGACTTACGTTATTGCTCGTCTTCACGACGTGTTTAGCCGCCACCAGGGCAATGAGTGTCTTATTGATCTTTGCTTGTGACATTTCCGGGTTCTTGACGATCTCTGCAATTCTCAACCCCTTGTTGCCTGCAGCGACAAGGGCCATGCATACGTGCTTAGCAATCGCGTTTTGCTTGGGATCGTTTCCTCCGCCCCTGTACTCCAATGGGAGAGTCTCGATGATCTCGTCGGTGTAGGCTTCGCGTTTCTTCTTCTGTGCGAGTGTCATCTTTGGCTTCGCTCCTGCTCCTGCTGCCGGTTTCTTCGCCGCCACTGCAGTGGTCACAGCAGCATTGGACGGCTTCTTCAGCGCGGACTTGAGCGTAGGCTTGGCAGCAATCGGTGCCTCGCTACGATAGATGCTCTCATCATCCGTCGTAACGTATGTTTGATCCGCCGCCGTGTTTCCCATATACGCTTGCTGCTGCTGCTGCTGCTGCTGATGTTGCTGCTGCTGCTGCTGCTGCTGATGTTGCTGCTGCATCGGCTGTGACGAAAGCGCCAAATCCAAATTATGCTGTGCTGCATACTGTTGAGCCTGTTGAGCAATCCTCTTTTCCGCCCTATCAAAATTATCGTGCAGTGGTGCTTCAGGCCACTCGACACAGTACGCGTTCATCTTAAGACCGTAGATGTACATCGCAAAGTTCTCGTTGAAGCTATGCAGACTCTCGTGCACCGCTTCGACATTCTCCAAATTGAGTTTCAATACACCGACTTCTTCCGCAAGATCGGTCATTGCACCTTGAAGAAACGAGAGAGGGGTTCCCCCGGCATTGAGCTGTTTAGAGGCGGAATGGGAGAGAGCGTTGAGTGAGCCACGCGAAATTCGACGGAGTGGTGTGGTCGGTGTTGGAGCTGTGGGTGGTCGTGTTCGTGACATTTTCGTAGAGTGGCGGTGATGACGATGGTGGTAGGGATGAGGGAAAGGTGATGATGGTGAACGGTGGGAGAGAAAGTGTTGGACTCTCGAAAGTTGCAAAGTTGAATGGCGAGAGAAATGGCTGCAGAAAGAGTGTCACTTTTGCGCGTCGCGCGTTCACGTGATGCGCGCGCAACAGCCGTTGCGGGAGAGGAGAATTTTTGAAAAGGTGTTACTTTGTGCGATACCAACACTTTTTGAGCGAGAAGTAAAAATGGACATGCGTGACGCTATGCGTAGCCAACTTAGCCTTGCCCTTCCTGCTCAACTGACCAGTGCCTTGAAGCTCGATGAGGCTGCGATTGACCGAGTATCCTTGAAGTACCCCATCAAATTGGCCGCTGAAGCGTCAAAATTCTCTAACCTTTCGATCCTTTGAGGATCAAATGGGACACTCGCTCTTGTAAGTAAAAGTATATGGAGACTAAAAGGTGGATCGACGCTTCGTTTACCCTGGCTGCTACCAAAGAGGTGTCTCTGACGAGCTGGCTTTTGCGACTGGTCATCCTGCACTTGTCTTGCTTCCGGATCGGCATGGAAGAAGCGCACATCATTTCGAAATTGCCCTGCCTCACTACTCTGATGCTGTCGACCCAGCCGAGCGTTGAAGTGGCGATCGACATCTACGATGCGATCACGACCATCCTCGCCACGGGTGAAGCTCGAACCAATCTCAAGAAGCCCACACTGGGAGAGTGCTGCTTGGAAACTCTGCAGGAATATCATTGCTCCATTGGTATCTGCATCTTCATGATCCCAGAAACTTATCACATGACTCTTGATCATTCAAGGGATCCGCATCCAGGATTCGAGACCAAGATCTGGCATGGCTGCTAGCTTACGAGAAGTTCTGGCAAATACACTGACTACGAACCTTTGCACAGCTTTCGCGCATGCCCAAGCTCAGGACTAGGACTTCGGCACCAGTTCCGCTCAATCTGCTCTGCGTATCAACACTACCAGGAACTTCTTCGCAAGGATCTCGTCCGCGAGCCGGACTTTCGTTGGAAAAGGATGCTCGACGTTGTGCGCTGGGAGACAGGCCCTTTCGAGCAAATGTAGCTTCGCACTGAGGTCGGAGGGGCAGGGCGTACATTTGAGTGGAGCGGTGTCAAAGACCGGCACTCTTTGGCATCTGCGCAAAGCGCCCGTCGACGTCCAGCTCTGCGCCGCGTGTAATTTTCCAAAAAAGAAAAGAAAAAGAAAAAGAAAAAAATCCCACCCGTTTTCTTGCCTCAGCCGCCCTTGTTGTTCTTCTTTGCCGCACGGGCCCCTTTCTTCCCCACCATCACCACCACCATCATCTCCTTCTCCCCCCACACTGAGACGCACGCATTTGTCCTGCCGTGGGCAAAGCGCATCCAGCGTCTCACCTCCTACACCGCCAAAAACGCACGAAAATGGATCGACCACTCAACCTCCAAACAGCCCTCTCCCTTGGATATGTCGGTTCCATGATCGCTGCCGCCCACCTTTCCTCCCATCTCCTCCTACCTCCCACCTCTTGGCGCAAAACCCGACTGGCCTACCTCTGGCTAGCATTCGACGCCATTTGCCATCTAACGCTCGAAGCATCCTTCCTCTACCTCTCTACCCAACCCCGCACCGTAAACGCTTCGCCGTCCTTCTTTGGGTATCTGTGGCAGGAGTACGCAGCAGCAGGCAAGAGATGGGGAAGCGCAGACCCGGCCCTAGTAGCGATCGGGTTCATCAGTGTGCTCATTGCTGGTCCGTTGGCAGGGTATTGCGCATCGTTGTTGGCCAAGGGGGATAAAACGCATCATTACTGGGTAGTGGTGTTGAGCGCGGATGAGCTGTGTGGAGGATGGGCGACGTTTGCACCTGGATGGTTGGCTGGGAGTGGAGAACTGGAGACGGGAGATTGGTTGTTGTTGCGGGTGTATCTGGTGGTGATGAAGATGGTTTGGGTGGTGGTACCTTTGTGGTTGATGGCGGATAGTTATGTGTTTGTTGCACAGAGTTTGAGCGAGAGTGGCGTGGTGGATGCGACGATGGGGACGGGGGTTGCGACTAGGAAGTCGCCCCGTAAAAGTAGTGCGGCAGCGAAGCAGCAGCAACAGACGGGGACAACTACAGAAGCAATTACTTCTTCAAGAGGTATTTCGGGTTCGGCATACTTCTTAGTCCTAGCAGCGATTTTCCTGTATATCATGCCGAGTGGTGCTTCTGCTTCCTCAACCCCCACTTCGAGCGGATACGATCCAAATGGAAGCACGATCCTCTTTGCTCCTCGCAACAACACCACTTCTCCCTCGCTGCTGAGTACCCTCCGCGGTGTTCTCACCCCCATCCTCCTCCCCCTATTTCTCATCACCTTCAGCATCACAGTCGGAGCAGTGCAAGTAGCAGATAAAGCCATTCGTCGAGTCACTCGTATCAACCGTACACGTCGTCGAAAACTGCTCTCCTCTCTCAACATTTCCGAAAAGGATTCGCCTAAACGGACCATCATCGGTTTCTTCCATCCGTACTGTAACGCTGGTGGTGGAGGAGAACGGGTCCTATACGAAGCTATTTCTCTCCACCTCTCGCTAGATCCTAATGTAGTTGTTGTAATCTACACAGGCGACTTTCCCGCAGCAAGCAAAGAGCAGATTCTAACCAAAGCTTCGGCCAGGTTTGGGATCAATATCGACTCGAACCGCATCGCGCTCATTCCTTTGGTCAGGAGATGGATGGTACAGGACACCGCTTGGAGTCGCTTTACACTTCTGGGTCAAAGCTATGGAAGTGTTTGGTTGGCATTCGAGGCCATGTCACAGCTGGTTCCCGATGTTTGGGTTGACACGATGGGTTATGCTTTCACCTATCCCGTTGTCGGCCTGTTCGACCGTAAACTGCCGATTGGTGCGTATGTACACTACCCGGTGATCAGCACAGACATGCTGACCCGTGTGGCGAAACGCGAGGCTGGGTATACCAACGATGCCTCCACGGCAAACTCTCGTTTACGTTCCACGGTAAAGCTGATTTACTATAGAATCTTTGCATCGTTATACTCGTGGGCGCTGGGTAGGGCGGATAAAGTGGTTGCAAATGGTAGTTGGACTCAAAATCATCTAAACCAACTCCTAGGCAGAAAGAAAGGAAAGGAGCAAGTCAGCGTCGTATATCCTCCCTGTGACACATCGCAACTTTCCACCTACAGTCTGGAGCGGAGGAAATGTACGATTGTGAGTTTAGCTCAGTTTAGACCCGAGAAAGAACATCCTACACAGCTTCGCATCCTCGCCCACCTCAAAAGTACACATCCGGAGCTGTTCGCGACCGAAAACAGCGGCAACTCCTCGCGCTCCGCACCTCCCGTCAAGCTTCTTATCATGGGTTCAAGCAGAAACACGGAGGATGAAAGACGAATCTCACTCCTCCGCTCCCTCTCGGCCAATCTAGGCTTAGACAAGGACGTAGAATTTATCGTCAACGCCACTTGGTCTGCAGTTACGGAGAGACTAGGAGACGCAAGCGTCGGATTAAGTACGATGAAAGACGAACATTTCGGGATCAATGTTGTGGAATTTATGGCTGCTGGATTACTTACGCTTAGCCATAAGAGTGCTGGTCCGTGGTTGGATATTGTTTTTCCCTCAATCAACCATCCGGTTGATAGTGGTGGTGAGCGATCCGCCGCGTCGCACAACGGCAGCGAAGAAGATGGGCCGGGACAGAACGGAGAAGCTCCTAACGGCGAAAGCAAAAATGGGCAAGAGATGATAGGTTTAGGCTACCATGCGCAAAGTGTGGAAGAATACTCCTCGATTCTAGCGACAATTTTTTCGCAAAGCCAAGCAGAATTGATGCCCGTTCGAGAAGCTGCTAGGAAGAGAGCACAAACCGTGTTTGGTCGAGAAGCTTTCGCTACTGCTTGGCAGAACGAGGTTTGGTCTGCACTCGAACTCAAACTCAACCGCAACCGCAACCGCAGTGATGCAAGTAGAGAAAAAGCGGAGTGATGTTAGAAGAAATACCAAGCTTTGTCCATCTTTGCGCCTCTCCTGGAAGGCAAACAAAGCGTGATGTTGGCCTAGTATCGGGCAACCGAGACAACCTGCAATCGGTCTCACACACACAAACATGAATTCAAGACTCAAAGTCGACCCCTTCGGCTCTTGATATGACAAAGGATATCTGCATTTGTGAATCAACAACGTTCAAATACACGATATAAATCAGGCAAGTTGGCCACCTGAACGACAAACTTGTTAGCCTGCTTACTCGGAATGTACCGTCCACGCGATTTGGTCATATTGTTGAACCAGTAGTTGCGGATCTTTCGCTTGGCTGATTCTTGCATCTCTTCCCGCTCCTGTTTGTTTGCTGCTTCCAATTGGACGAGGGATGGTGATGTGCAGCCGTTTCCGTCTTCTACTGATGTCTTCGAGACTGGCTTCGAGTTTGATGCTGAGCAAAAAGTAGAGGTAGAGGTAGTAACTGCAGGTGGTAGCGGGGCAACTGGCAAACAAGCTCCGGAAACCTGCCTGGCAAAAGAATCAAAACACCCCTCTTCATCCCCCCAATTCACTCTTGCCGCCAACCTAACCAGCAACATCGGCAACCTATCCAACTCCACCCCACACCCTCCTGCACCCGGGATCAAACTGGGCACTGCTTCCAATGTTCGCTGTTCAACATTAAAACATAGCGAGAAGTATTCTTCCAGCATGTCGGCGTGCTCTAGTAGCACGTTCACCACCTTCTCCTTCATCTCCTTCACTTCCTCGCCGGAGGGTAGACCAGAAACGCTTTCCAAACCCAACCGAACAAGATCGTCGAGGGAAGGAGCTGGATCCAAACGAATGCGCTTCAAACTGCCGAACTGACGCAAGATGAGTTGGTAGGCGAATTCCCGGATGAGTGCGTCGTGGTTGACTAGTAGTAGTCTCGTTTCGTGTTGTATGAGACTCAAGCCTTTCTGCAAGTCGACGACTCCGACAAATGTGTGGTTCTGGACCACTTCGGTGAGATTGCGGTGTTGCGATTTGGTGATCTGGGAACGCAATTGACGGACGGAGGTGAGAGAGCAGTCGGAGTCGGTGATGCGGATGCTTTGCGTTTGTGTGGGCCAAGTAGGTTTGGCTGCGGGAGGAGGATCACTCACACTGTCTGCGTATGAGTAGTAGTTGTTGTTGTTGTTGTTGTTGTTGTTGTTGTTGTTGTTGTTGCTGCTACCTAGCCTGCTCGAAGTAGGATCCTGCAAGCTCGCTGAAGGTTCATCGTGCTCCATCATCACTGCATCCGTGCCGATGGAGGATTCTTGCGTAGCTGCACCATCGAATGCACGTTTTTTGCCAGTCGACTTGGCAGACGTTGATGAAAACATGGCATCCAGCGTCTGCGTCTTGGCATCGACCCGCACCAAATGCCGAGGATAGCCTTTGGACGACGAGATTGAAACATCTGTCTTTCTCGTCGTGTTGGCGCCACTGCTACTTCCGACACTACTGCTACTACTGCTCCTTGTCTCGCTCAGCGCCGGCCTGTTGTCCCGATCACTTGACCTTGCACCACCAGATTCTGCCGCCGACCAAGATGAAGCTGCTGGATTCCGTGCAACTGCCGACGATGACCCAACATCTGAAGATAGCACCGGCAGCACGGCCTGCGAAAAAGCAAAAGTCCGACTCGAGTTGGCCCCAGCCAACCTCTCCTGCGCCGCCTGACAGATCCTCTCCACGATCTCATCCTCATTCAAGAAATGCACCTCCTTCTTTGTGGGATGAACATTGACATCCACATTAGCCGGATTGATAGTAATCGCCAAGTAAATCCAAGCATGTCCGCCCTTCGGCAACAGTGTCGCATACACCGCTTCGATCGATCTCTTCAACAAGGGACAATCGACCAGACGATTGTTAATAAAGCATAGAAGCGTTGTACGTTTGCTACTCCAATTGGCCCCACTGATCCAGCCTTGACAGGAAAAGCCCAATTGGTCGTCAGAAACAACTTTAAGCTCGACCAATTCACGCGCTACCGCATTGCCATGCAGCACACGGATTGTGTCCAGAGTAGTGTTGGTGGAAGAGGAAGGGGTGTTGAGGTCGGTAGCATTGCTTGCTGCTTTGCGGCAAACGAATCCGACGCCTTTGCCTCCATAGTGAACGGCGTATTTCGACACGACATCGAGTGCTCGATTGTATTCGTCTGCTGGACTGCGTAGTGCTCTACGACGTTGTGGTAGGTTGTAGAACAGATCCTCGGCCGTTATGAGGGTGCCATCAGTTCCTGCACACTGTTTTGGATCGCTGCTTTGGCCAGGTTTGGGTGGTGCCAGTGCTCCATTTGCGTAGTAAGCGCGAAAGGCACAGTCCTGACTCCTGGTTTTGGACACGACATTCATACTTGCAGTGACATAGCTGATACTAGCAAGCGCTTCTCCTCGGAATCCGAAAGTGGACATGCTCTCCAAATCGCCAAAGTCTCGTAGCTTCGAGGTAGCGAATCGCTCGCAGAGCAGAGGCAAATCTGAAGGTTGAATACCCGAGCCATTGTCTTGAATCTGAAGCGTCTTTATCCCACCTTCCTTCAAAGTGATGCGGATGAGGGTGGCACCGGCATCAAGCGAGTTCTCGATGAGCTCTTTGAGAGCGTTAGCCGGACGATGAATGATTTCACCTGCTGCGATGCGGTTGACTACGCTTTCATCGAGACGCTTAATGGGCCGATAGCGCGAGGACTCTGCCTCGGGGGAGAGCTGGATGACATGGTCGTCGTTTCCCGCCATCTTTGCTTCGCTCGGTGATGGGGACTGAAGGTGAGGATGAGAGCCAGGTGTCGGTGTGGTCTTTTTAAGTAGCTGGTAGACAATTGGCGCTGAGTCCAAGTTTGGAGCGAAAGAGTGTCGAGCTACGGCTAGCCATTCTTGCTGGCGCAGCCTATCGGATTTAATTTGGACCGGATGATGATACTGGCTAAGTCAAGGCGATGAAAGCATGATGAAAGTCATGTGTGTGTGCGTATGTGATGAAAGTGTTGCTCTCAAGCCAAAAGAACCATTGCACTTTGCTCTTTCAGCACGCGTCGCGTAGATCTCACACACTTGTCCCATTGCGCACCTTGCCACCTTGACAACGCTCATCACCCTCCACCACCACCATCTTCTTGACACCATACTCTAAAATCATGTCAGAACTTTCATCCCCAGGCCCATCCGCCGCCGCCCCCACCACCAAACCAACCTCCACCAACGGCGGCACATCAGTCTTTCCCATCGCTCGTGTCTCGAAAATCATCAAAGCAGATCGAGACGTAGACATTTGCTCGAAAGAAGCAACCTTGCTGATTAGCATAGCTACCGAGCTATTCCTCAAGAAACTCGCAGATGAAGCCTATACAAATGCCAAGCTCGACAAACGCAAACACATTTTCTACAAGGATCTCTCGAGGGCGGTACAGCAGATTGAGTATCTTGAGTTTTTGAAAGATGCAATCCCAACACCGATGGCGCTGAGTAGTGCCTTAGATGCTAGACAGCGCAAGTTGCAGCAAAAGCAGTTGGAGGAGAATATGATTTTGGAGGGTACGCTTGAGGATGACGATGAGGAGGAAGAGGAGGAGGAGGAGGAAGAGGAGGAGGAAGAGGAGGAGGAGGAGGAAGAGGAAGAGGAGGAGGAAGAGGAGGAGGAGGAGGCAGCAATGAACGACGGCGAGGAAGAATCAGCTTCAAAAGCAACCAAGAGCAAACACACATCAAAGAAGAACAGCAAAGCTTCGTCCAAACCACAAACTGCCGCAGCTGACACTTCCGACGCTGGAGAAGAGCAAGAGGCGATGCAGCAAGACGATGCATAGTCTTACCTCCCAATCTTTTTTTTTGACTCACATCTGTACTTGTAGCAATCGCAATACACACACACACACACACCTACACACGTTCTCACAATCTCGCCTGGCGATGATGCTCAAACGAAATCTACTTGACCATGAGTAAAAGCTTGTAAACAATGACATCAAAACAAATACTTGGTGCTTCTCCCATTTTCCACCACCAAACCTCACTCTTCTTGTGCGGCTTACCCCATAACCACACCCCCCGCAGCTCTGTCACTTCCCTCCAGTAGCTGTCCGAACAACCCAGCCGCACTCTCCTCACTTCTCATCTGCAACATGTACACGATCCCAGTTCTATTCCCTCTATCGCTCAACTCTACCGCTACACCAACCTTTCCTACTCTCTCCACACCATCCGTTAGCACAATCGTACTGATCAACGTCTTTCGATCGTTCTCCACCACCAACTGCTTGATGTCGTTCGGCAAGATATGGTATAGCTTCAACCTTGCATTGCCAAGTGACTTCCACTGAGCATGAGATTGCTTGAGAAAGAGCTTGCATCGCATCTGTGCCGAAACTGTGGAACGAAATGGACCTGACTTCTTGGCGACGGGTGATGAAGGAGGTGAAATGTCGGTACCGCGTTCAGAGCGGTCTCGACCTTCTTTCATCATTGCAGAGGGGAGTTTAGGGGCTGTGGAGCCTGTGCTTGAGACCGAGCGGGTTCGGATGAACGAACGAGATCCTCCCTCAGCTTCGTCGGATGTGCGACTGCCACCGTTGGCAGAGGAGCCGTGGGATGCCTGACGGAGATTGGGGGCCGAAGGGCGACGCATGGGTTCCCGTGGGAGCATGCCGTTAGGTGGAGGTGGAGGAGGTGGACCGTGGCCCCATGGATGAGGTCCACCAGGGCCGCCAGGAGGAGGTGGTCGTTGCATGGGTGGACGTGGTGCTCCATTGGCAAAAGGGGGCATAGGTCCTACAGGCCCACCAGGTCCCATACCCGGTCGAACTTGCATAGGACCAAAGCCCGGACTGTTGCCTGGACCTCCTGGCATCTGACCAGGAACAGGACTGGGTCCACCTCGAGGGAAAGGCATTCCAGAACCTACTCCTGGAGGTCCACGCATCCCCATTGGACCACTTCCAGGCGAACGAGGAGGCATGTTCGGATCCTGCATCAGCGGTGGTCTGCCCATATGCATCGAGCCCGGTCCATTGGGACCAAACCTCGAAGGACCAAACGCAGGACTTGTGTCTGGAGAAAAGGCTCCATTCTGCTGAGGAGACATCATCCCTGGCCTAGCGTTCATCGGCGAAGGAGGTCCTCCAGGACGCTGCTGCTGCTGCATGCCCGGACGAACGCCAGGCGGTCCACCAAAGGGTGTTCCCGGCCCGAACTGACTGGGCGAAGGCGACCTTGGAGAGAAAGCCGAGCTACCACCTAGTCCGAAGCCGCCTAGATCTGGTGAGCCAAGTGCAGCAACTTTGGGAAACGAAGCAACCGAATTAAAAGAAGCCTGTCTCGACAGATCCGATCCAATCACCGGTGAGTTGCCCCCCTCAGGACTGAACGGTGAAGGACCGGTAATCACCTCCTCATTTCCATGTCCATGCGCTGACGACGGAGTCACCGAAATAGCCGGTGACAGCGCGGGAGTCGTCAAACTAGGTCCAGACGCCAACGACGATCCAGCCGAAGGAGCCGACAAAGCAGGATTGCTCGTCCTTACCTTCAAGCCCATATTCGCCGCAAATTTGTTGCAATCCGAAAAGTGTTCCAACCAATCCTCCTTTGCTTCCTTCGAATCGGTATGAACAATCAACTTCTCCTTTCTCAGGACCGTAATCGACAAAACGTTCCCTTGCCCGCCCTCATCAGCAACTCTCAGATGTTTACCGGCAAGAGGCGGATATAACAACCACATATCCGATCCCACCCCACCTTTCGACATTTCCGCCCTTTCGCTTGGAGTCATCCTCTCGCAAACCAAAAACAAGTCGGTAAGCAAGAAGATGTGTGCCCTACGGATGCTGATCTCCGGACCACCGCTGCTGGGGGTGAAATGGATGACAACATCCGCCGACTTGCGCAAAGCACGCGCGAAGGGCAGGTTGGGAGGATGCATCTGAAGTTGACACTTCTTGGGCTTCATGGTGAAGATGTCCAGAGTCTTGGACGTGTCGAGGCGGTTCTCGAGATGCGCGATGGGTTGCGTGAGGGAGTTGGTTCGAGTGGAAGCCGAGTCATCGCCTGTCGTTTGCGAATTGCTGTCGTGAACACTGGCTGCTTCCGAGTTGCCGCGGATGAGATCTGGACGAGAAGGCGAAACACTGAGTGGCTGCTCGAGGTTGAGACCATTGAGCTGGGTAGTGGGTGCGTCAAACATAGGCATGCCTCCTGGCGTCGGTGCTCGACCAGCAGCAGGGAGTAGCGTGGGGTTGGATGTCGATGCAGGCAAGGCAGCAGCAGCAGCAGCATTATTACTTGGCTCTGCTGGGGCCACTGGGGCCGTTCTCGGAGGCGATGACAGCTTACCACCCATCGTCTGAACAGGCCGCACACTAGGCGACTGCGTATCAGACGTCGAAGTAGCCGACGAGACGCGATCACGCGGCGAATTCTCGCCAGTAACGTTGCTCTCTGCAAACGAGCTATCACGCGACTGCGACTCTCGACCGGCCACTTGCTCGAGCACCGAGACGGCCAGTCTACGCTTGGACTTTTCCACGAGCTCATCCAACTTGTCGTTGGCGCGCACCAGCAAGCGATGATCGCTCCTGCCAGGTTGTGTACTCTTGAGCAAACGTGAGTAGAGCTTCTTGTAATACCTGAGCCGAATGTGTGGCAGTGCAAACAGGCTATCCAACGTCCATGGCTCGTTAGGATCGCGCTTTCGATCGCTGAAAACCATCGGATTGCCCTCAGCGTCTGTCGCACCCGAGACCTCTTCCAGCAGCTTGGAAATTCGCGGATTGGACTGCACCACACCCCAGGCATCGAAATCAGCAAGGTAGCTTTCGCAGAAACGCGTGTAGGGCGCCTCAAGGTCATCGATCCACTTCATAAGCAGATCACCCAGTGCTTTGGGCGAAGATGGATTGGGTCCAATCTCTTTGAGTGCCTTCAAGAAGCTGCGGTTGGCGCGATAGATGGCTTCGACGTTGCGGAACATGGTATCGAGCTCTGGTGGTGGGAAGTTGGAACGCGACCAAGCCGCTGCGACCTTTTTGATGATCTTGCTGAGTTCCGAGACGTAAGCGGCTTCCGTTTCGAGAAGATCAACAAGAGGGTTGGTCTTTTTGCCCTTGTCCTTGTCGTTCGCGTCGTTGGAGGGGTCTTGACCGTTTCCGCCGCCTGATCCATTAGCGTTGGCGGATCCGCTGTCGCGCTGCGAATCGTCACGACGTGCACCTGGGCCCCCATTTCCGCCACTGATACGACTGGAGCCGCCAAAGGCACTGCCGTTGCTGCTCGAGTAAGCGCCGGGCCCGCCAAAACTGCCACCGGCCGAGAGACTGGAGCCTGCATTCTGGCTCAGGTCAAGGCTGGAGGTGTTGGCTCCTGAGAGGGATGCAGAAGAGTTTGAAGCCTGCATTGCACTGGATGGACGAGCAAGAGCATCGAGCAGCGCTGCCTTCTTGCGCGAGCTGGTATCAGCCATCGGAGTAGCCAACAATGGCGACCTTGGCAAAGAGCTGAAAGTGGAAGGCCCTGTATCATGGTTGAAAAGAGAATGAGGTATCGAAAAGGGGCTGTGCATGCCACTACCTGGTCCCATGCGTGGGAGCAGGTCGATGGGAGCTGCTGCAGACATGGTGGCTGCTATAGAGGGAAAGGAGGGCGTGCGTGTAAGCGAGCTGCAGTCCTTTGGTTCAGAGGCTTGGTCGATCTGATCGATGCAGTCACTCTCGCAATCGCTACTATTGTCGTCGTCGTCTTGGTCTTGGGCGGGAAGCTGATACTGTTGCGAAAGGCTCGAGGGAATGCGGCAGGCGACTGTATAGCTAGGAGATGGCTCGGATGTGGCAAAAGGAGCGCTACGTGTCGGATAGGCCCAATTTCGAACTGGACTGCTACTTCGATATTCGAGAGCTGCTGGACGAGCAAATGGAAGAGTGAAGCGCTGCTGTGAAGGAGGCTGAAGGTGATCGAGCTCTGCTGCTGCTGCTGTTGCTGCTGTTACTGTTGCTGTTGCTGCAAGCGATGCTGGTCTTGCTGCTTGGGACGGTTGCTGCCGTTGTCGAGGTGGGATGCATGGTGTCGGGAGAGAATGTCGTGGGTGGATGAAGCGGTCAGGGTAATCGCGGGGCGGCATGTCGATGCAAGAAGAGTGGTGGTGGTAGAAGATCAAAGGTCAAGAGATGGTGGCGATGCGAGGTTTCCAGAGAGCAGTCCGACGATGAGGTGGGATTGCGAGTGAATGTGTAGAAGTGGGTCGGATAAGAAGCGAGCAAGAGGAGAGAAAGAAACAGAGTCGTCAGTACAGCTGGGTCTGGGAGAAAGTGGAGTGCACGTGCGCATCGTTTGTCGGAAATGAAAGGGAAGCGTACAGGGAGGTAAAGAAGATAGTTACAGATCAGGAGGCTGCGTAGGCTTGGAAGCGAGATGAGATGGAGGGAAGCCTTAGGTTGAGATTGTTGCGCGTGTCGTTGGGTGCAGATGAAGTCCGAAGCTAAACTTGCTGTGCGATCAGAAGGATATGCTGAAAGAGTGCTCGTTGAGATGGACTTGATAGCAAGAGCAGGTTTCTGGATACTGGCACAGCTGGGAAATGGAAGTTTGAACGAAGAGCGTGGAGCTTGAGTCTGTTCTTACGAAAGAAGATGTCCGAGTATGCGAGCGTGGCGGTGTTTAAACAATGTTGGACCCGCCGACCTGAGGGCAGAAGAAAGCGAGGCTGTGGTAGAGGGATGATGACGAGAAGAAGGAAAGCCAAGTGGTCGTTGAGTTGAACACTGTAAAGATTGAAATCGAAAAGCGGTCCAAGCAGGTGATCCAATGCGACTATGATACGAAGCCAAGCGTGAGTGTGGGTCGTACCATAAATGTGGCCGTGATGGAGATGTGATCGAGTTGGCGTCCCAGATGGTGCGGCCAACAAAGGGGATGAAAGAGGGTTGATGGCGACGAAAGAGTCGAGAAGCAAAAGAAGAGGCGACGACGACGAAGCGATAGTGTGCGATTCGCCTGTTTGGCTTGCAAAGGCATGTAAGATCCGATTGAACCTCGGCAGCAGACAGGGAGAAAAAAAGAAGAAAAAGAAAGGGGAAAAAGGAGAAAAGAAAAAGAAAAAGAAAAAGGCGGCAACAACACGCAGAGACAATGGCGAGCGAGGCGGAGAATGGGCAAATAGCGACAAGGGCAGCGTGGGAGAAACATTTCTCACAAAGGCTAACATAGCCATGCCATGCCAGCCAAGCAAAAGGTCTGGCTCGCAACCAGTCTCACAATCTCACTCCAAAAGCCACACAGCACACACGCACGCACATTCACCATGCGCAAACAAGTAAGTTCTTTCGCGCACACACACACACACACGCGCACCACACCCGTCTTATTCTCTTCCATTTTCCGAGCTTTTTCTTCTTTCTATATTTCAGGGCACATGAACAGCGACGGAAGACCCCTTTTCTTCTTTTCTTTTCTTTTCTTTTCTTTTCTTTTCTTTTCTTTTCTTTATTGAATAATGAATTTCGCGCTCGTGTTTTGAACCTCAGCTCAGAGATCAACAGATGGAGAGCGTGTTTTGCTCGAGTAGAAGAGGGCGACGCACTCTCTCTTTTCGCTTGCACGCGCGATTTCCCACACTCGCTTCGGATCAGCCGCTGCTACTGCTGCTCTTCTCATCGCCGATACAGAAGCGACGGAAGAGTCCAAGACGATGAACGGATCGAGCTAGATCTCAGATCTCGGCTGGTGATGTTTCCCGATGCTGCAGCAGCTGTAATGAACAGGAGATTCGGATAATCACGATGAGCTCGTGGGACGGCGATGAAAGATATATAGACGATCACGTTGCGCTTTGAGACAGGTGTGTTCGCGCGCTGGCAATGCAACATTTGAAGCGAAGGCCGATCTGCTCTGACTTATGCCACTGCCATGAATCGCTTCGCGTGGAATTGAGGCTTCTTCATATTAGAAGTGAAGAAGTTTTGGTCCCGATACTTGCGATCGGGGAGAGTCAGAGCACGATGTCACTACTTCTAGAAGACAGAAACATGTATACTCAATTGACTAAAGAACGTGGTGGTGCTTGATATATATACAACTATGAGGTGCGTGCCGAATGTGGGAGTATCCTCCTCCATGAGTTAGCTTGACAACGAGCGGGGTTATGTTGCACCCGATCCTCAGACAGATCTGTTCCATCTGATCGCCGATTGCGTTGATGTCAGCGTGCATCATCATATCGGATCGCTTCCTTCGGCACTTCATCCGTCTTGAACAGCTTTCCGAACGAGTCTTTCGATGCCAGCGGGTTGATCGGGTCAGGATCGGCTGCTAACCCCGATCTCTCTCGCTTTTTGGTGCCTCTTTTTTTCCTGCTTTTTTGCCCTTTTTTATATGACCTTTTTGTTGTTGAACGCTTTGATAGATTTGTGACTTCCTTCCCCGTAACAGTCTTTGTGGGGGGTGTTTGAAATAAATGTCATATTATGCGGTCTAACATTGTAGCGCATTTGCCCCTGCCTGACTCTGATCATCTCCCTTAACACATAGAGAGTCTCATATACAAGTCCATATAAGCGTTTCTGCTGCTCCATACACTCGAATGACACCGCATGTGCAGTTTCACAAGCAGTCTGAACCCATACCTGGTCGGTCTGGAACGATTCAATATATCGCCATTGAGCGATTCTATTAGCGAACCTCTTTTGTCCTCTCAGTCAGAGTTTGCGCCTAGTACTCGAGCGCCTTCTCCCCCCTAAGTTCATTCAAATAACCCTCCAGCTGCCAAGCTCCGTTCCAATACTTGATACCGGCCCTCACCCCCCCCTCTTTCGCAATTCTCGTCTGCAGCCCTCTGAACTTGCGAACAAAAGCCAAATCTCTCTCGCCCAGCCTCAGTACCGGACAGTAATCATTACCCCCGTCACCCACGTAGATGATTCTATCAAACGCCTCTCGACCGCCGTTCCTCTCTAGGAACGCATCTAGTTCTGCACCTTTACACATATTTGCGCTGCAACCGACTTTACATCCGTGTGGCTTTTCCGCTGTTGCTAGCACTCGACGTTCGAGTTTTAGCAGGCCTTCGCGGGTGAATTCGGCGGGGTTAGTGACGATTTCATCGAATAGCTTTTCCAGTTTGTGATGTTTGAGGATGGTAGAGATGTAGACCGTGTTGGAGTTCGAGAGAAGGAAGAATGTGGTGTGGGGGGAAGAGGCGGATTTTAGGGTTGATACTCCTCGTTTGACTCCAGGGTGAAAAGGAAGCGTTTCGAGAGCAGAGGTGATGTCGGATGGTGAAGCACCGGAGGCGTGAAGTTTGCGAAGCAGGTCGGCGCACAGATCCGTGAATTGTTCAAAAGCCTTGCGACGTTGAAGTTCAGCCCGAAGAGAGGGGTTGAGACATTCGTGTACGTATCGGTCTGTGTCTTGGTCGACCAAGGACCTATGTGGGCGAATGGGCGAGCAGGAGTATGCGAGCAGGAATGTACGAGATGCAGGAAAGATAGCGATCACACGTATGACGTAAAGATAAGTTCGAGCAACGAGCAGGATAGAAACAAGACAAGAGCAGAAAGATCAGCATTCATTCCCCCCTCCTTCTACGACAACCTTCCCAACCTCCTCCAACCAAAGCTCTACGGCTAGAACGAGTAAAGATAAGTACATACCAATCAAAATCGAAAACAATAAGCTGTTTGTCCACCCTAGGCAACGGTGTAGGAGCAGTGTTCATCTTGAACTTCTATATCTATCGGTATGATGATCGTTGAAAGAAAAGAGAGAGGCTACAAGGCAAGTGTTGGCCGGCGCGTTTTGTTCTTTCTCCAAGAAAGTGTAAAAAGAGAAGAAAGAATTGCCGAGCCAAAAGCGAGCCCGGAGGTTTTCGCGGCTCTTGACTCGACCTTTTTCCAATCTAATCTCCCTTGCCTCTCTCTCTGCTCGCGACACACAGTCAAAAGATCCCCAATCAGCAAACAGCCCGCCAGCAAATAGCCCACCAGCAAACAGCTCGCCGAGATGTCGCGTGTCGCCAGGTCTCTTACTGGTGGTGCACACCCAATAATACACTGCCGGCAATCCGGGGCATCATGAGTCTAAACGACATCATTACAGGAACCAAATAAACGCCGAGTAGCAAGTATATACAAACTCGAAACTTGAAACAGACAGAACAGGTAGCTGCACGGCTATTCATACCATCCCAACCAGTCTTGCAGAGTCTGGATGCGCTTCAACGAACCTCGAAATCTCCAAAAATATGATAAACATCCCTCCAATCAATCTGTTGCCCCTTAACCTTCTTACTTCCAACCTCGTACCTCTCAGCCCAATACTGAGTCGTCTCCTTTCCACCCGCATCAGACCCTTTCTCCGCCGGTACAGGCTGCCAAAGTGTCTCCCTCGTATCATGATCCATTGTCCTCTTAAACCATCTTGGTTCATGAGGTGGCAACTCTCCCGTCTCCCTCTTCCTCCTCGTCTCTCTCTGGAAATCCTCCAATTTCTGCTTGAGATCGTTGGCCTGATCGAACTTGCCACTTTCAAAAGCAGAAAGATCGGGACGAAGACGACAATCCGTGGGTGCGAGCCAAGGTCGAAGGTCATCAGGGCAGGAATTGAGCGTAATCGCAAAAGGTGTAAGGTTGAAGGGAGTCGTAGGCTTATCCGAGTTCCTCCAAAGCAACAGGTATTCGGCAAGAGGTTGAGCAACTGCAATCTGTCCATCCGGTGCATCGACACTTTGGTCTGGATTGAGATCACCAGAACCAGCACCACACTTGCGTGCGACCAACTGCGAGTTCCATCTTCCAGCAATATCCCATCGCATATTTCCCTGAGCATCGTAGACACTTCCTCGAATCTCGTACGCGTCTTTGCCTCTCCAACCTCTCGGCTTGAAGGTCAAAACACATCGATCGCCAGTAGCCTGGTTCGTCACTTCCATATCACCAAAGTGGTCAATCGTGGGACTGCCCACAATGAATCCGGAAACCGAAGTAGTGACCTTGTTCCACGAGTAGTGCTCGAGCACATGATCGTCCGACAACATCGGTGCTATTTTCAGCTCTTTATCCGCCTTGACCCATGATCGGGGCACTTTGAGGTTGACATGTGCCACACCGGTCGGTCGGATCTCGAACGTCCTACCAAGGAACTTGGATTTGGCGTCGACACAACCCATATACTCCCACGTCGGGCTCTGTGCAAAGCAAGCCGAAATAGGTGGATGATGCGAGACCTGCTCCGAAACGTATCTGTACTTTTTATCGGGTCGCATGTACTCGAACGTCTCTCCCAACAACGGGTTGAAAGGCTTAGCAATGCGCCCGATGGTCGAAGAGTAGTTGCTCATCGCAAATGCAGCTACAAAGGCAATACGCTTGGTCGAGTCCTCCTGCATCGAAGCAGCATCGAGACATTCCGAAAACTCCATGTCCTCCGCCATACGCTGCAACATCGATGTCGGCTCGTTGAAGCTGACTGGGAACGAAATCTTGGTGAGATCTTTACCGATGTTGTTCTTGAGAATAGCCCAAAGCGAGACCGAGGGTCGATCATCTTTGCCAATGGGCAATTTGCTTCGTAGATGCCTGTAGGGTTCCATCGCTTCTTTCACCAGATCGTCTTCGACCAGAGACTTGTCGAACTTCTCGGGCCACTTGTCAGGGTTTGATGCAGGCTGAGTGAGCGGTTGCTCCACCTTGAGACCAGGCAAGTTACCCGCTTCGATAGCGTCGAAGAACTCGTCATCGGCATCGTCGATCGAGTCGCGAACCATGGCTCGATCGTCGGCGATACCCAAGATGGCGGATCGCTGAGCGATGATGGGTGGAGTGAGGTTGTCATCGAGTTGCAGTTGAGCACCGTTCTCTTCACCGAGACGACGAGCAGCCAGCGAGCCAGGAGCATCGCTTTGGACCGTCTCGTAGGAGCCGACAGTTGCATTGCTCAATACAGTCGACTGACGACGCGGTTCAGGAGCAATCAGCGTAGACCTGACAGAACCGGACGGGGCGAGACTAGCACCGCCGGGCTGAGGCGACATGACAGACGCAGGGGAGTGGCCCATGGTCTCTCGCACTTCACGCAGAGCTTTGCGTCGACGTGCATTCTCCTCGGCAGCCTCCTTGAGCTGTGCCTCCATCTCGGCATGTTGGTGGGCAAGCACAGCCATGTTCTCCTCCCACAGATGCTTGATCTGCAACTCGCGTTCGTATCGTTTGGTCATGTACGCTTCACGAGCCGTGACCATGGTCTGGTATTTTTCGACGAGCTGCAAGTTGCTGCAGACAGCTGACTCGAGAGCCGAACGCACGGTGTCGCTGTTGCTGATCATGCTGCCGGACGAGAGACGGCTGGATCGGTGGCGCTTGCCGGCGCTGCCTTCTTCGGAAGAGTTGCGGGCAGAAGTGGAAGTGGGAGGCGCAGTAGTAGAAAGCGCGTTGGCATTGACAAGCGTCTCGATAAGACGCTGGCTGGCCTCTGCCTGCGCCTTGAGCGCTTCAGCAGTGAGAGAGAACTCGGTCTGGTATGGCATAGGACCACCGGTGGCTCCAGCCTCGTTCTCGTCCTCGACACGACCTTCACTCGAGAGACGACTGAGAAGACTGGGACTGCGGTTGGCCATCGAAAGCGATCGCTCGCTGGCTGGACCGGAAGAAGTGGGCGACTTGATCGAAAGCAGAGCACGACTGCCCTTCTCGCCAGGCGCAGTGGAAGAGGGAGGAACAATGCCAGCTCCTCTCTCGCTAGGTGCAGTTGATGAAGGTCGAACAATGCCAGCTCCCCTCTCACTAGGCGCGGTGGAGGAAGGTCGAACGATACCTGCAGGGCTGGCGATCCCACCTTGCGCCTGGAGCGAAGAGGTGGAAGGAGCACGTGGACGGTAGGAGCTCTCGGCGCGGCTGGTCTGTCGCTCGAGGTTGAAGAACTCTTTGGTCTGTTGGAGCACCTGAACCCATCGAGCACGCTCGACAGGATGTGTGCCACGAAGGTAGAGCTTGGAAGTGCCCTTGCCGGTCTCGCTGATGATCTCGAGACGGTGCTTGTCGTTGTTGTCGGCGCGGATCTTGGCAAAACGCATGTTGATAGCACCACGAGACTGCTTGCCTTCGTCATCTTGGCTGTGGTAGTAGGAGAGAATGCCGTCTTCAAGCACGAACCATCGCGTCTTGTAGCCGTGAGCAATGTTGGTCCACTTGCCAAGGTAGCCTTTGAAGGCAGGCGGCTGACCCGAGTAGGAGGCTTGGCTTGCTCTAGCAGCATCTGCATTGTGGAGCTGACGCAAGAGTGCCTTGACCTTCTCGTCCTTGGTGACATCGTTGACTCGCTTGCCGCGACGGTCACGGGCATAGACATCAGCGCCCTTGCGCACGGCAGTCTCGATCATGCGCGTGTCCTTGCGCTTGACGGCTTCGTGCAGGAGAGTGGTGCCGTTGGCAGATTGCGCATTGAGGTCGATAACGGCGTATCGGGGAAGGTCGAGCAAGTGGTGGATGTTGGCATCGGCGCGAGGCAGATCCTGCTCGTATGCAGTGAGAAGTTGCAGGAACCTGACTTGAAGCTGAGCACGGCTGACTTGAATGTGCTGAGCGATCTCAGGCGACTTGGCTACTGCAAGTGCGTCTTTGCCGTCAAGATTGCGCTTGGAGTCGTCAATGTCTTGCTGCTCGAGCATGAGTTGGACGACATCGTCTCTGCCAGAAATGGATGCAATGTGGAGGGCAGTGTTGCCGTGCTGCGCTTCAGTGGCGTTCAAGTCGATGGTCTTGTAGTTAAGGAGGAAAGAGATGATGTCAAAGTCGGCACATCTTACAGCGAGATGAAGAGGGCTGGTGCTTTCTTTGGCGAGATGGTTCTCGTTCTTGTGTGTCTGTTGGAGAAGAGGGATGAGGGCTTGCTGATCGCCCTTTCTCAAAGCTTCGAGAAGCTTGAAGCTGTACACGGCTTCGGCGACTGCGATTTGCGGATGTGGGGGTGAGAGGGTTGCAGAAGAGCGTGGCGAGGCGGTACCGATTGTAGTCGGGGATGAGGCATGTGTTTTGGGATTGGCGGCGGTGATGGTGAAGATTTGTTTGGTATGCGAGCGAATGGTGAGGGCGACGTTGTGAAGGGAGCGTGAATCGATCGAGAGTCGAAGAGCACGGTCGACAAGTGAGTGGCAAGAGTTTCGACGCAGCAAGTCATGGTCCGTTGCGGTGGTCGAAGTCATGGTGTTGTTCGGGAGAGAGAGAGGTGCGAAGAAAGAAAGGGGCGGGAGAAAGAAAGGGGCGGGAGAAAGAAAGGGGCGGGAGAAAGAAAGGGTTGATGTCAGTATGGTTGCAGACGAGGATGTTGCAAACCAATGATGGAAGCCTCGAAAGAGGTGGAGGCGAACAAGATGCTGCCAGGGACGGTGCTTTAGGATAGTGGCTGTGCTGAGCTCGGCCTGAGCGTCGACCAAGCCATCGAGTGCGCCCTTTGTCGATGGCAGAAAAGCAGTGAAAAGCTATCTCGGAACGGCCGATGCTTTGGATGGAGAAATGAAAAAAGAACTTACCTTGATCACCAGAGGCAATGCTGCCATTCTTGGCCGTCTGTAGATCCGGCTTTGCCGACGCCATTGCGGAGTTGGAGGGGAACAAACCGTTCTTGATGATGATTGCCAGCTCAAAGAGTGGAAATGCGCCTCTGTGGGTCTCTTGTCGGATGTGCCGCGCACGGCTGAACAGCGTGGGAACTGATGTAGCAGTGTCTGTATGTAGCAGTGTGTATGTGTATGTGTATGTGTGTGTGTGTGTGTCTCGACTGTATCCGTATTAGCTAGTTATTGTATGCTTGCTTGTTGCGATGCGAAAGGGCAATGCGAAAGGGCAATGCGAAAGGGCAACGGGCGTTCTGGATGTAACTGCCACCAACCAAGCTTTGACCGCAAAGCTGCCAATCAAGTCCAGTCGAGTATCGATGTAAGTGCCACTGACCAACGAGATGCGGTCTTCGTAGTTGCGTGCGGATGGAAGGCTATCTCGAAGAAGCCAACGAGGTTGAGAGAAAGGCAAGGATAGACACTTGCTCAAAGCAGCTCAAGCAGCAGCAAGAGCAGAACAAGGTGGAGCGGGGCAGACAGACGAAAGCGTGACAAGTGACAATACAATAATCCACTGTGCAGTTGGAGGAGTGTAGGTGTGTGTGCGTAAGAAAGTGCCTATTCTGAACAAGATTGCTCTGTGGCTCCCTGTAATTGTGCGTGTCTGTGTGTGAGAGTGTGAGAGTGTGAGAGTGTGAGTGTGTGAGAGTAACTATGAGTGTGCAAACTGTCCGTTGTACAGCTTGCAGTTCGGTTGCAGCAACCATTCGCCTTTCAACAGTGTCAACCGCATCCAAACACCCTTACCTCGCCGAATCACACACAAAGCTGCTTCAAAGAGATCCGAATCCCAAGTCTCGAAACAATACTTGACTTACCTTGGCACCGAGGACAGTCGGAAAACGAATTGGCATGTGGCTACGTCATTTCAACAATGAGAGAGCCTTGTTAAGCCCACAGTCGGACCAATTTCATTTTTCACGGCCGACAAGCAAAGTCAAACAAGCTAATTGTTGCTAAGGTGTGCTTTTGATATGCGCTGACCTTAGTTGCAGTCGTGGCACTGAGTGAAGCCGTTGTAGCTGGCAGCTCCAGTGTGACTGTTTCATTTACATCTCCCAAAAGAAAGTTGTGCAAGTTTGTTAGCTTCAATCGATCGTGAAACACACACGCCCCATCCAGGTCATGGCTTGATTCTCACGTAACAGTGGCACAGTACTCGCCGCTGTTGGTCTGGTAGATAACCCTGTCAGCACCAGGCGAAACGTAGTTCTCCTCGCTCCAGTAGTCTCTTCAAGAGAGCAAAGGCAGATACAGGCGAAAAGGGAGGAGAAAATAAGCTTTCTACGCCTATTGCCGTCCTCCTTCTCACCACCCTTTTCAGCTCGATACTTACAGGGACCCTTATAGACCAAAGGCAACTCGCTCCATGGACCAGATCCACAGCACAATTCGATCCCCTCTGATGCTTCGTCATAATAAGAATGCGGGTAGTTGTCTGGACGGTCTCCACTGGTAGCGTCCCGAAGACCAGCCTGAACAGCGGTCTGGATGTCTGAGTACTCGTAGACCTTTCCGCCGCAGTTGGTGGAAGAAGGCATCTCGCATCCGGCGACAAGGCCAGCGCCGGAAAGAAGCGTAGAGGCGATAGCGAAGAGCTTCATCCTGGGTGAAATGAATGAGAAGAGCGGTCCTTTCAAGCTCCTTGAAGTCGACGAGCAGCACGAGTCTTTATAGCTATGAACAACCTCTGATGTGAGCCTGCCCTCTCCAAGCAGATCTGAGTTCACTGCTTACAAGAAGCCCTGCTGGACATGTTGATCAAGCGAAAAAAGCTCTTCCTCTTGAGAGATCAGAAGGGTGCACTATTCTTAGGGAAGCTCAACATTCAGCTGTCTTGAGCGAAAGCTAGCGCAGCGGCAACGGAACTTGAACCTTGGACATCAGCCAACTTTCTTCAGTTATGGGTACCTGTGCAACAGGCAGTGAGAAGCAACCATCGCGGCTAAGCCAAAGGAGCTTAGCCGATTTTTAGATGGATGCAAGGAAGAGTATCTGTGCAAACCAACGGCGGCGATCGTCGGGAGACGGACATCACCAAACTCAATCTGACTGAATACGCTCAACACTGCTCATGAGAAGGAGAAGAATAGTCCAGCAGAATGGCAGCAATGGGGTAAGGAGGACAGTGGTGATGACAACTGTGCGGCTCTTTTTTGGAGCTGGTGTCGGCAGGAACGTGTTTCGGCGTGCAGCTCCTCTTTCATAGGGTAGTGGTGGTCACTGAGGCCGTCTTCTAAGAGTCGCTCCTCTGAGAAGAATCACTTCTGCCTCTGGTCATCGGTTTACTTGAAATCGTGGTCCTTAGACCGGTCACGGTGAGCACAAAGCCAGGGGTGAAGCACAATTACTCATGTGTCAAGTAGAGTTCTAACATAGGAAAAAACTCCACCACATCTCAGTCGGCACACAAAGCTGTCCGTGATGTATCAAACAGCCCAGAGCGAGTACAGAGAGGCCTTCCCTGTGTGGACCTAAGTAAGGCTTGTTGCCTGTGTTAAATGCGTCACCGTGCCTTCCTGTTCGAGAACCTGAAAACAGGCATTTCCACCCTCAGAGCCCAAACATCTCGCCTTTTTCCCTCCACTTTTTTTTCGACGCGTTCTGACTGAGATTTTGCTGCTTTGCTGAGTTGCTGCCTTGCTGAGGTTGCCGAGTTGTCCGTTGGTGTGCCTTCTCTCTCTTCAGGTGCTCAGCTGACTTTCTCGCTTCCGACCAGCAACCCTTTCTCTTGCTCTTTCTGTATCAAGCTCACACCTTCATATCGAACCATTTACCTCCCCATTAACTCAACTCGTACCCCTACTTCCTTCCTCAAACACAACCCCTTCAAGCTTCTGTCAAGATGGCGTGGAACGACGACCTCCTACTCAAAGTCGTCAACATTGTTGCCTACGTCTTTTTCACCTCGGGTAATGTCTATTCCCAACTCGGTGTCGGTGCAGACCCCGTCGTCCAGGAAACCTACCTCACCCCCGCGCGCTGGATCTTTGGAGTATGGCCTTTCATCCACGCCCTTTTCTTGGGCATGATCATCTACCAGTTCACCGAAGCTGGATCTACCCATGTCGTGCACGGTATCGGATGGCGCTTCCCCGGTCTTTGCATCCTCAATGCTATCTACTCCGGCTTGACCTCGGCACAGTTGAACGCACACCACGATCGAATCTACGCTATCCTTGCATTTATCGTTATGCTTCTCATCGCAGGAACTGTCTCGCACTGCTATAGGTCGCTCAAGGTTCATCACACGGCAAACAACCTCGCTGATACGATTCTGGTTCATCTGCCCTTCAGCTTGTACCACGGATTCGTCGTTGTGCTCCTCTTCGTTACCGCCTTCGAGGCATTCGGCCTCAACGCAGTGACACACAAGGCTGGGATCATTACAAAGATCCTTGTCTTCCTCTCGCTCTTGTTCTTGGAGTCGACCGCAGCCGGTTACGTTTGGTACTCGGAGGGAGACGTGGCTGGAGCATTGGTCATCAGTCTCAGTCTGCTGGCCATCTTCCAACACCAGACTAGCAGCAAGTTCATTCACTGGTCTGCACTCGCTTTCTTTATTATCAGCTTGATTGCGGTATTGAGGGCCGTGCTTAGCATCTTTACTAGCAGGAACAGGACCGCACTCAACGACGAGGAGAGGGCTCCTCTCGTTGGTTGAAGAGGCCACCCAGCTTCAACTGTCGATCAAGGGCCTAGGCTCGTCAAACATACGGCTTTCCGCCATTCCTCTTCCCTAACGCTTGCTCAGCGAGTCAGACATCATCTTCTTGTATCCTAGCTCATCTCGCTTCCTTTGATACCAATCTCACCACCCAAGCATCTCATATTCCATCACAGCCTGATTTGTCTTGCCTCTCAATGTATCGAGTAGCATTTGAGATTACATTCAAAGCAATAAATGGCTCTCAATCCTTACTAGAGTGACTGACAACAACATCACCATTTCTCCCCCTAACTACCTCCCTTATCCTTTTACTCAACTCTTTACCCAAATTCATCCTGTTCCCTCTTCTCTCCGTTCCATCTTTGTTGCTTTGCACCTGTACACCTGCCAGTAGGCCCCTTTCTTGTTTCTCGTCCCCTTGACATCTTTCGTATGCTTTCACTAAGCTCTGCAGAGATGGGTAGACGGTGGCTATGCTTTGTGCAATCGCAGGTGTGACGCGTGGGATTTGCTGCAACATCATCATGTAGATTGCTGAGGCGGAGGAAGAGGTGGTGTTGCGACCTGTGTCGACGGCGAAAGAAAGATGGCTGTCTCGAAGCATTTTGTAGGGTTTCAGGGAGAGATCCGAGGTGAGTTGGTGAAGCCATTCGATCGAGTCGACGAGAGAGGATGCGTGGATTACGTAGCAGCGGTGCATGAGTTTGAGCGTCAGAAGAGCGCGTTCGACAACGGCTTGTGGCGGGACGGTGCTGCTGGTGGCAAGAGGATCAGGGGCGCAAGTAGCTTTGCGACGAGCTCCCTTCGGCGCTGCATCCGCTCTGTCGGCAGGATTGGCGGTGGTGGCAGTGGTGGAATCGGACTCAGCAAGCTGCTGTCGAATCCTAGCAGTGTAAGCACGATTCTCATTCGCCCTCAGTCGACTATAGTACCTAACCAAACCTTGACATATCAAAAACACCTGCTCTTCCGCTCCCCTATCTCCATTCAACACCTCCAACCTCCGCTTCAAGTCTCCATACCACCTCTCCAACCCCTCCTCTCCCTCTTCCCCTCCCCTTCCCCCGTCCCCCTCCATCGCCTCACTCATAATCCTAATTATCTCCTTCGCCTCCATCACAAGCACCACCATCCCCTCCCTCCTAACCTTCACCCGACCCGCTTCGAACGGGACCCAACACCTCCTCCCCTCGTCCCAATCCGCCTTACACTTCCTTCTAAACCTAAGTAAGGGCGGTTCAACCAACCCAGCACACATATTCACCTCCGCCCCCTCCTCTTCAAACCTCGCTTTCACCGTTTCCTCCTGTTTATCGAGAGGTTGGCCGGGAGTGAAGAGGGTTCGATCGAGATCGATGATCAGTTCGCGCATAGTGTCGGATTTGGAGGTGCGAAGACGGTTGGCTTCGAGAAACTTTTTCTTTTCGGTTGCGAGACGCAGTTTGTGCGCTTTGGCGGCTTCTCGCTCGATTGCCTTTTGCTCGCGCGCTTGTTTGGCTGCTGCTGCTTTGGCGGCTTTGCTAGGCAACTTGCTGGAGGTGTCTTTGATTCGGTCTGTCGTCTGCACGTCTTTGCTTGAGACGGCGGTAGTAGTGTCGTGAGGAATGTAAAGATTGTCCAGAGCATCAAGGAGCGAGGTGGTCCTACCCATTGGTCTCGACCTCTTTGGTGCTGGTGCAGGTGGCGCCTCCTTCGATCCTTCCACATCACTTGTTGCTGCAGCTCGCCTCTTCAGGCTGGGTGAAACATCCACCACCTCCCTCCTCTCCAACCTCAAAGGTGAAGAAGGAGAACGCAATGGCACCTCATCGGGAAAAGAAGAGGGCGGCAGTTCCGGCAGCTCCATGTCTTCTTCTGGTATATCCTCCACCACATCTCTCCTCCCACCATTCTGACTCGCTCTCGGCAATGTCAGTGAAGCAGCAGGAGGCGGACTACTAGATAGAATCACAATTGGTGTCGATTCTGCTCTGTAGCTCTGCCTTGCTGTTCTTCTTTCCACCACTCCCTCCCCTCCTCCTGCAGGCCGATTGCGAGCTTTGGGTGGAGAATACGCAACAGGTTGACTCGAGCTGAAGTGTGACTGTCCCCTCGCGCTGAACTGTGATCGAATAGGCGACGAATCTAGCGGCGGTAACGGATCAGCCTCGCTAGCAGGGTCGACGATTGAATCTGACCCAATTTCGATGACTTCTGGTATTCTTGTTGCTGTCACATTGGTTGCTGCTTTTCTGATGTCCCTCCTCGTGGGAATGTTGGGGAGGAATGATGAGGGACCTTCTTCTTGCGAGCTAGATACTGGCTGGGAGGCTGTACGGCGTAGCGTTCCGGCTCGACTAGATACTGGAGCTGCACCAGACTTGGCCCCATTCCTCGCCTCTGTAGTGTTGCTGGTAGTTGCGCCAGACCGCGAGCGCAGCAGATCACGAAAGCTAGGCAGCGAAGTATCGGGAGAAGGGTCCGCTAGCAGTCTAGCCATTCGTTGACCTGGTGTTGGGTTTGAGATTTGCGATGGATGTAGTTTGTCTGCTGTGCTCTGCTTGCTGCTTTTGCTGGCACGATCGATGTCTTGAGAGGAAGATAGAGCGATGATTGAGCCTGATGAAGCTGCATTCCCCCGGCGAGGCGACTTGCGCATTGACTGAACCTTCTCGAGCTTTGATGGTCCGGTAACAGTTCTTACATCTTGAGACCTTCTGGTACGACGATGTTCACTATCGCTGTCGCTGTCGGAGCCGCTATGGATCCAGAGCGCACCGACCATCGTTGCTGCTCACGGAAGAGCTATGTTGCTTTGCTTTCGCGAATGAGAGATCATAAGGCGTTTGTGTGTGGGAGGGACTTGGAATGTGGTGTGTGAAGTTGGCTATCTGTCACAGTGGCTCAGCTGCCTTTGTGCGAGTCTTGATGCGCCTTTCGTTTAGAGTCACTTTTCTGTGAGAAAATGTGAATCGTACGGGTCCCGATGATCAACGATCGGAGAGAGTCTGAGTACGATGTCACTAGGGGGTTTCAGTTATCTCTGAGTTTTGAAAACACAATACTTTGAAAATATGTTTGGGCCCAATTTTTGATGCCCCAAGAAACTGCACAGGCCTGTGACACATGCATCTTGGAGTTTCACTTGACTTGCCCAGTAAAAACAATCTCTGATTCCCTACACCAGGTCAAGATCAAAGTGATCATATCAGATGTTGTTGAACACTATACTGAACAATGCCAAAACCTTTGATTGAAAAGCTAAAGCAAATAGCTTACATCACACCTGTTCTGATTGCTGTCTTCTGCAAGCCTCATGCCATCAGTTTTGTCTCTCCTGCCATTTGATGAAGGCCAATGTTGTCATTCCCATCCTTTGAGATTCTGCTGTTGTGTCCTCAAAAGGGCAGCCATGAGAAGCAAAGAGTGCAGTGAGCATCTCCTCCCTAAGATCCAGTGCTTTCTCCTGCCTGAACTTCTGGACTTGGTTCTGAGACATGCCCTCCATGGCAGCAGCCTGTTCCTGTTTGTATTGCTGCTGGTTTTCCCTTCATTGTATCCTTGCATCTTTGGTAGCCTGCTGATATGCTTCCATCCCTGATGTGGTCTCCAGCACCTCAGCTTCAGATAGAGTTTCTGATGCCTTAAGGTATTCTGCCACCTCATCTGGTTGATCATAATGGCTTGTGAACATATGTGCAATGATACAAGCCTGGACTGTATGTGCAGCTTTCTCATGGTCCTCTTCTCGATACAGGTTGCCTCGAAATCCCATGAGACATTGGAAGCAGTTCTTGAGGTAGGCAATGCCATGTTCGGCCTTGACACAAATGCAGGAGAGTGAATAGTTGAAGTAGTGGAGATCTCTGCTCTTTGCAGCTGCATGTCAGGGGTCTCGCGCCTGAAACCCAGGTCGGTCTGTCGAGATACTCGGTGACTATCAAACTGTGCGACAGCTATTGTCTCAGTAACGGTGACTATCAAGTTGCACAGTGACAGCAGGTGGCATTCGTTGTATATACTTTCATAGGTTTCGGCTGACCTCTGTGGACACTCTGTTCAGGGGTAGCTTGGCACGATCAATATCAATGCTTCGGTTATGATGACACCAAGGTCTGGTGTGAGTGTTGATGATGATGAGGTTGATGACATTGGTGATAAGGTTGGTGAGTGTTGATGATAATGAGGTTGATGGTGTTGGTGATAAGGTTGGTGGCGTCAACACGAGTGTCCAGTGTGTTGACTTTGATGCTTGAAGTGATCCCCAGGCCACAGTGGACTACTGCCTTTGGTTCTATCTATATCTGGACTGCTAACCTGCTATGGGGCGCCTATGGACATCAGGTAGTGGTGATACAACACACACACTATGATGAGGAGCAACCTTGATAGATTGCTGCTATGCTGACTGAAACTAATATATACTTATGCTGAAGTGATAACTAGTTATGGTGAGTAGAGTGGATGAGGATCCACTTGACCTATGATGATGAGAAAGCATGGTTATATACCTCTTCACAGCATTGCCAGCGATGCTGCTCCTGCTCTCTCTCCAGAGAGTACCTTCTTCATCGAGTACTGCTCAGGGGCCTCTCCTGCTTGGCACCCCTGTGCCTCTTGAGTGGTGTCGACTCCTTTGACACTGCTCCTCCTCCTCATGACCTGGTGTCGACTCCTTCGACACTGCTCCTCTTCCTCAGGACCTGCCTGCTAGTGTCCTATACACTGCTCCTTCTCCTTTGGCTGGTGACAGTTCCTTTGACTCTTGTCTCTCGAGCCCCTGAGTGGTAACCATCTGAGCTTGGTCCTCTTCGTGGCTGTGCCTGCTCCTTGAGCTTGGTCCTCCTCGTGGCTGTGCCTGGCCCTCCTCACATGTGGCTTGTGTCCTCCTTTGCATGTGAGTCCATAGGAGTCCATGGTCTCCATGGAGACTGCACTATGACCATGCTCTCTACTGGTATTGACTAGATCTTCGATACCTGTGCTCCTTCCATATGAACCTGTGACCCTCCTGCTTCTTGAGCATCCAGGCCCATGACACTACCCCCCTCTTAAGAGCTGAGCTCTGTCGAGGCATGCTCTGGTCTGGTTCATGCTGACTCCTCCTCCTCCTCCTCTTCGACAACATCGTCAACATCACTCTTCCTCCTTCTCTCAACATCATTCTCCTTCCTCCTCCCCTCTCTCTACCCCTCCTGTTCTCTCCTCCTCTTTCTACTTTGTCTACTCGCTCGTCCCCCCTCCGACACCTCATACTCCTGGATGAGGTCGGGACAGTTGAGGTTCTCTACTGGTTCCCATGAAGCAGCTTCTTCTGAGTACCCTCTCCACAACACTTTGTACTCTGTCATCCCATTGTGTGAACGCTTGTTGATGAGTGCTTCGACTTTGAAATCGAGGTCCTCATCTGGAAGTGATGGTATGGTGGGCTGTTCAGCTTGTTGAGGAAGAGAACTTGTTCTTGCTGGCTTGAGCATGGAGACATGGAACACATCATGCACCCTAAGGTTTGCTGGCAATGTGATTTGATAAGCTCGGCATCCTACTCATTCCTGAACTGGGTAGGGTCCTGCAAACTGGGTATCCAACTTGGGTGTGGGTCTCCTTGTCTTCCAGTTTCGATGGTTGATATAGACCATATCACCCACCTTAAACTCGATGTCCTTGTGCTTCCTGTTATACTGGTCTACTGATCTACATTGTGCCTCTCTGATCTGCTCCTGGAGGTACTTGCAACGCTCCTTTCCATCCATGAGGTACTCGAAGCGACCTGGATCATTGACTCCTAGTTGTTGAGGGATGTCAGGATGAGCTTTGGGGTTCCATCCATAGCATGCAAAGAATGGTGAGACACCAATGCTGTTGTGGACCATGTTATTGTATATGAAGGCTGCAGTGTCCAGCAGGTCGGCCCAGTCATTCTGCTCATAGTTGCAGTACATCCTTAGGTACTGCTCGATGACCTGATTGACCCTCTCTGTCTGACCATCAGTTTGAGGATGGTAGGCCATGCTAAGTGAGTGCTTCACACCCATTTGTTCTGCAAATGCCTTCCATGCTCCTGATATGAACTGCCTGCCTCGGTCCGAGACCATGTGATCTGGGTATCCAAAAAGTCTAACCATGTGTCTGTATAGCAACACTGCAGTCTGTTTGGCCATGACTGTCTTATGGGTTGGAGCTAGTATGGCAAACTTGGTCAACCTGTCAACAATGACTAAGATAGAGTCATAGGTCTTGGAGTCATACTTCTTCGATGGTGGTAGTCCTTCGATGAAGTCGAGGGATATGGAGCCCCAGGGCCTGTCTGGTGTTGCTAGTGGCTGTAGCAAACCATATGGACGATGACAAGGAGCTTTGTACCTAGCACATACAGGACAACTTGCTACATAGTCTGCAATCCAAGCTGTCATGTTTGGCCACCAGTAATGTTGTTGAGCTGCCTTGATGGTAGCATCTCTTCTTACGTGTCCAGCAGTGATACCATCATGGCATTGGGTCATCACCATGAACCACAGATGCTCTACAGAGAGGGACTGTCCATCTACCTCTTTGGCACTCCTTGAGTGTCGGTTGTTGGTCCTCCCTGGCATGATTACTTTGGGGATAACCAACCTTCCTCCACTGTACCATAGGTCGTCCTTGAGCTCGAAGGGCTTCTTCCTATGTATCTCCTGTAGCTCTTGGTCTAAGGGCTGGAAGATCTTGACCAGGTCTTTGAGACCTTTTGATGCTATGGACTCCATTGAGAGCATAGGGGCCACTAGGGTCGAGTCATGGTCTGCTGTCTCCTTGAACACTCGAGGAGGCAGTAGTTGCCTCACATTGTGATCCTGCTCTTCACCAGCTGGTTGCATGTCTGTCCTTCTGGTGAGAGCATTGGGTTCACCACCTTTGTCTCCTGGTCGATACTGCAATATGAAGTCGAAGTCTGCTAGTAGTATTGCCCATTGAGCCTGTCGACCTGTGATGCATCTCTGTGACTTGAAGTACTTGAGGGCTTCATGGTCAGTGAGGATGACCAGTTGGCTTGGTAGTCCAGCTAGCATGTGTTGCCACTGAGTAAGGCAGGCGACCACAGCTAGGAGCTCCTTGTCATGGATTTCATAGTTCTTCTCGGCAGAAGACATCTTCCTAGAGTAGAAGGCCACTGGATGCCATCGTCCTTCATGCTCCTGCTTGAGTACTCCTGCTATAGCAAAGTCACTTGCATCAGTTTCCAACCTTGTTGGAAGGTGGTAGTCAAAGTGCTGAAGCACTCCTGCTGATGTGAAGGCCTGGATGAGCTTGTGGAAGGCCTGTTGGGCCTCCTCTGGTAGCTCGAACTTCTTGAACCATTCTATAGGCTTTACCAGTGATGTCAATGGCTTGGCTATGCAAGCAAAGTGGGCTATGAACCTTTGATAGAAGTTGGCAAAACCCAGGAACCTTTGGATGTCATGGATTGACTCTGGCATTGGCCACTCCTTGACAGTGTGCACCTTTTCTGGGTCCATCTCTATGCCCATTGGCTTGATGATGTACCCCAGGAACTCAACTGTCTTGGTGTGGAACTCGCACTTCGACAGCTTAGCAAAGAGCCTGTTGCTCCTTAAGCGAATGAGGACCTCAGTGACATGCTTCACATGTACCTCCTCAGTGTCACTGAAGATCAGGAAGTCATCTAGGTATACCACTACATATACTCCAATGATGTCTCGGAAGATGACATTGATGAATGACTGGAAGTGAGCCAGAGCATTGGCTAGGCCAAAGGGCATCACTAGGTACTCATAGAGTCCCAACTGAGTGCCAAAAGCTGTCTTCCATTCATCTCCTTTAGCAATCCGGATGAGGTTGTATGCTGCTCTAAGGTCTAGCTTGGTATAGATCCTTGCCTTCCTGAGTAAGAACAGCTGCTCCTCGATGAGGGGCAATGGTGCCCTGTTCTTGACAGTGATCTCATTGAGACCTCTGTAGTCCACACAGAGTCTGAGACCTCCATCCTTCTTTGGTACGAAGAGCACTGGTGATTGTGCCGGGCTCTTCGATGGTCTTATGAACCCCTTCTCGAGGTTCTCATCCAAGTACCTCCTCAACTTGGACATCTCCTTGGGTCCCTTGAGGTATAGGGGCCCTTGAGGTGGCTTACCTCCTTCTATCAACTCAAGGTGGAGATCATGCTTGGTATGATGGGGCAGCTTGTCTGCTTCCACCTCATCGAACACATCTCACAGGTGTTGGTATGGCTTTGGTATGTCTGCAGCTGTCACCACCTTGTCTACCTCCACCTCCATCTCTACTCCTTTGTCTGTGCCTGTAGGTACAAAACCAAAGGCCAGGAGTGATGATGGTGGCTCCTCCAACAGCATGAACCCTATGGGTCCATCTTCCAGAGCTGCTTGTAGTATGCACTCTGCTGAGACAAACTTGTTACCATGAAGGGTTGGTCTCCTCATGGTTAGGCCCCCTGCTCCTGCTGCTTCAGGGGGTCTCCTTGGGGGTCAGTCCTGCTCCTGAGTCTTGAACTCCAGCTGGCCCATATCCCATTGTATGGTGGGTTTGAGCCTCCATAGCTCAGTGAACCCCAGGATGAGGTCATAGTCAGCAGTGTCAGCCACTGAAGCTTCGACCACACCCAGATTGTGTGTACCAATAGATACCTGCATGCTCGCAGAACTATTGATGGAGAGTTGGTGTCCAGTGACACCATGGATCGATCTTGTTTTTATGGGTTTTGTGGGTATTTGGTACTTACTAATGAAAGAATCTGAGACTATGGACAAACCAGCACCGGTATCAGCTAGTATCTGAGCAGGATGGTCTTGAACCATTCCAGAGAGCTCCAGTACTGCTTTGCCTCTACTGGTAGAGAAACATACTTGACAATCTTGATATATACAGAGTGATGGCGAGGAGGTTTGTAGAGCAATGCATGCCATCAGTGCATCACCCCACTGACGTTTCCCTCGTCATCATCATCATCGTGCTCCTCCTCCTCATGGTCGAGGTCCATGGGTTGCTGGTATGAGCTGAGGTCCATGGCCTCGGGGTCAGTCTCAGTGCTGCCTGTGTGGCCATCTCCTGAGTTGGTGGCCTCCTCGAAGGGGTCTGCTGTGGTGACCATGACCTTTGGTCCCATGGGTCGAGAGCTAAGAGGGTCTATCCTCCTGCTGGGGCAGTCTCTGGCCCAATGGCCGATACCCTTGCATACATGACAGGTGTTGATACCTGTTGGAGCAGGGCTTCCTTGCTTCAAGGTTTGGGTGGGATGATGAGGAAGGGGTTGGTTAGTTGGTCGGTTTAGGTTTTGTGTAGTTGCTTGTGTAGTTGCTTGTGCTGGTGATCGAGCTGGATAAGGTTGAGTGGGTTGATGTATGGGGATTGAACTTTGAATTGGCCAAGACCCAGTTCTTAGTGGAGGTGACATGGCATTTGGGAGTGAGTGTCTAGTCGAGGACTGCTGTAGTAGCATCCTCTGTTGATCAATCTCCTCAACCTCTCGATACCACTCCCATCTCTTCCCAGGTGGATTCCTCTCGAACTTCTCCTGTATGCTGCGAGTGAGACTTCCTCTGAAGAGATCAATCACTAGCTCGTTGTCATCTAGGTTGACCTGTCCCTCCAAGTCTCTGAACCACTCTACATGACATGTGGCAGCACCAGGAGCATCACTTGTGAGTCTGAGAGCCAACAGCTTGTTGTATGCCTCCATCCTAGCATTGCATGGGTTGGACTGCTCTGACAGTCGCTCTGTGAAGTAGTGCCAATCATTGAACAACCTTCCTTCTCTAGCTCTATCAATACGGAGCTTGGAGGTCCACCACTCTCTTGCTGTCCCTTCTAGTTGAGCACCCATGTGGTTGATCATCCTAGTCTGCTCATACACCTGGTTGAACTTAAACCATGCTTTGGCTTCTAGAATGAAGATCTCCATGTCTCGGGGATTGAACTTTGGAAAGGGGGTGGTGATGGGCTTTGACCAGTTAAGCTCTGCCATGATGCTAGAGTCCTCCTCCTGATCAAGAGCATAGTGATCTGTCCTGCTCTTGTTATATGGATCCACCCTGGACTTGACATATCTTGGCCCCATGGGTGAAGCATACTTCTCGTAGTTGACATCCTCCTGCTCATCCAGGTTGAATGAGACTGATCGTCTTGGTCGTGGAGCTGGAGTAGGAGTATGTGGGTCTCCTATCATAGACTCATCTCCTCCTCCTGCTTGGTCTTCTGAGTGAGAGAGGTCCATTGTCTCCTCCCTGCTCAGTTGAGCTCGTTGTAATCGTTCCTCTCAATGACCCTATCTGGTAAGCTCTAGCTGTGCTTCCAATAGAGTGAGTAGTCTATCGAGCTTATTGTTGAGGTCTGGGTCTGTCATGGTGATTGTGAGGAGCTGCTTGAACGATCCACTCTAATGTCAGGGGTCTCGCACCTGAAACCCAGGTTGGTCTGTCGAGATACTCAGTGACTATCAAACTGTGTGACAGCTATTGTCTCAGTATCGGTGACTATCAAGTTGCACAGTGACAGCAGGTGGCATTCGTTGTATATACTATCATAGGTTTCGGCTGACCTCTGTGGACACTCCGTTCAGGGGTAGCTCGGAACGATCAATATCAATGCTATGATGACACCAAGGTCTGGTGTGAGTGTTGATGATGATGAGGTTGATGACGTTGGTGATAAGGTTGGTGAGTGTTGATGAGAATGAGGTTGATGGTGTTGGTGATAAGGTTGGTGGCGTCAACACGAGTGTCCAGTGTGTTGACTTTGACGCTTGAAGTGATCCCTGGACCGCAGTGGACTACTGCCTTTGGTTCTATCTTGATCCGGACTGCTAACCTGCTATGGGCACCTTCGGACATCAGGTAGTGGTGATACAACACACACACTATGATGAGGAGCAACCTTGATAGATTGCTGCTATGCTGACTGAAACTAATATATACTTATGCTGAAGTGATAACTAGTTATGGTGAGTAGAGTGGATGAGGATCCACTTGACCTATGATGATGAGAAAGCATGGTTATATACCTCTTCACAGCATTGCCAGCGACGCTGCTCCTGCTCTCTCTCCAGAGAGTACCTTCTTCATTGAGTACTGTTCAGGGGCCTCTCCTGCTTGGCACCCATGTGCCTCTTGAGTGGTGTTGACTCCTTCGACACTGCTCCTCTTCCTCAGGACCTGCCTGCTAGTGTCCTATACACTGCTCCTTCTCCTTTGGCCAGTGACAGTTCCTTTGACTCTTGTCTCTTGAGCCCCTGAGTGGTAACCATCTGCATGCTCCTTGAGCTTGGTCCTCCTCGTGGCTGCGCCTGGCCCTCCTCGCATGTGGCTCATGTCCTCCTTTGCATGTGAGTCCATAGGAGTCCATGGTCTCCATGGAGACTGCACTACGACCATGCTCTCTACTGGTATCGACTAGATCTTCGATACCTGTGCTCCTTCCATATGAACCAGTGGCCCTCCTGCTCCTTGAGCATCCAGGCCCATGACACTTGGTCCTCTTCGTGGCTGTGCCTGCTCCTTGAGCTTGGTCCTCCTTGTGGCTGTGCCTGGCCCTCCTCACATGTGGCTCGTGTCCTCCTTTGCATGTGAGTCCATAGGAGTCCATGGTCTCCATGGAGACTGCACTACGACCATGCTCTCTACTGGTATCGACTAGATCTTCGATACCTGTGCTCCTTCCATATGAACCAGTGGCCCTCCTGCTCCTTGAGCATCCAGGCCCATGACAAGTACCTTCTTCATCGAGTACTGCTCAGGGGCCTCTCCTGCTTGGCACCCATGTGCCTCTTGAGTGGTGTCGACTCCTTCGACACTGCTCCTCTTCCTCAGGACCTGCCTGCTAGTGTCCTATACACTGCTCCTTCTCCTTTGGCCAGTGACAGTTCCTTTGACTCTTGTCTCTCGAGCCCCTGAGTGGTAACCATCTGAGCTTGGTCCTCTTCGTGGCTGTGCCTGCTCCTTGAGCTTGGTCCTCCTTGTGGCTGTGCCTGGCCCTCCTCACATGTGGCTCATGTCCTCCTTTGCATGTGAGTCTGTAGGAGTCCATGGTCTCCATGGAGACTGCACTATGACCATGCTCTCTACTGGTATCGACTAGATCTTCGATACCTGTGCTCCTTCCATATGAACCCGTGACCCTCCTGCTTCTTGAGCATCCAGGCCCATGACACTTGGTCCTCTTCGTGGCTGTGCCTGCTCCTTGAGCTTGGTCCTCCTCGTGGCTGTGCCTGGCCCTCCTCGCATGTGGCTCGTGTCCTCCTTTGCATGTGAGTCCGTAGGAGTCCATGGTTTCCATGGAGACTGCACTACGACCATGCTCTCTACTGGTATCGACTAGATCTTCGATACCTGTGCTCCTTCCATATGAACCAGTGGCCCTCCTGCTTCTTGAGCATCTAGGCCCATGACACTGCAGTGTTGCTGTATGGTCCAACTGTGTAGCTGGAGTAGCCATAACTAGCATCAACCCAGACAAACTCGCCTTCATCAAGATGCAAACGAGGCTTTGCAACAATACCACTGCCTGAAGCCCAGACTCACACATCATGTGATGACCCAGGATGTCCAACCACCAACTTGACAATGTGCAAGGAATGAGGGAGGAAGACAAGGGCAATGTTGAATGTATAATCACCCTTGTATGAGTAATGCTTGCAAGCATTGAGTGCTGGCTTCCAAGCAAGATTGATGTGTGTACCATCTACCACCAACCATCCTCTAGACCATTCCTCAACTCCACTCTTATCAGCAACCCATGCTTTTGCCTTAGCATGCTTGTCTTCAGTTGCAAAGGTTACTACCTCGCTGTTCAGCTTGTATAAGCCTGCAATAGTCCTATCTGTCCACACATGAACTGTGCCCCAACTGCAACTGCAGGCAAATGCAACATCACGAACTCCACCACCATTTCCTGACCATCCAAGCCAATATAGACCAACTGCCACTTGCTGCTGAACACACCGAAAGCTTGATATTGATCTGAAGGCATTGGTTGTGCTGAGTCTGTAAGTGAGAGCTTGGAATGCAACTGGGGTCATGCAAACAGCCCCTTGAAAGAGCTTGCAGTTGATGACAGCATATCAATCAAGCATGTTGATGAGGGGATCCTTTTGTTGCAGCAGTTGAAGGTGTTCAACTGTGTATCAAGACTGGCTGATGATGTTGTAAGTCCTGATGAGCATGAATGAGACAGCATGATTGAACATGTCATCATCAGAATCTTCAAGGTCATCATTAGGGTGCCAAGTGGCATCGACATCCATCAGATCAAGTTGCATCTTGGATTCCACCATCAATGAGTGCATGATGGCGGTCTCAATGTCATCCAGGAGGTGCTGTTTGTCAGAAGTGCACACCATGGTTGAAGTAGAGGGCCAGAAATAGGAGAGGATGATGTGGTCCAAAAGAGAGTCCAAAGCTACAAACACAATGCAGCTGAGTTCTGCACAGCTGGGTTCTGTGCAGCTGATTTCTGCACAACATGCATGCTTGGAACTGGGGCTACACCGATCAGCATCTTGTATGTGGAACAATTCATCACATTGAAGCAATCTACATTTGAGAGATTACATGGAAGACTGGGTATGGGGTATGCTAGTCATACATATTGAGAGCTAGCTTTACAGAGAGCAATGGTACAACAAGTTGGAAACACAGGAACAGAACTTGGAGAACTCAAAAGGAACACCATTCTTGCCAAATGGTCTACTCATGAGCTGAATCACTGTTGTCCTGCTGATCCATGGCAAGAACCAGTGGGTCAAGATCAAGATTGCTTTGACTACTTCCAGCAATGTTGCCAAAGGGTAGATTAGGGTTCATCATCTGCACCATCTCCATGAGCCAACCATGCTCTTCAGTTTGCATGCACTCTTGTCTCTCACTTTCTTCCCTGGCAAATTGAATGTGCATTTCCTCCCTCTTCATGTATTCCTCCTCAACCTTGATTTGTGCCTGAAGCATGTCTTGGGTGCAGGCCTGCACAATTTCTGACAGCTCTTCTCACTTGCTCTTGGAAGTGGAGGGTTGAGACTTCTTGGGTGTTGTACCTGTGGCTGGAGAATGGTAGACAGAGTCACCATCACCATCGTCCACTTCATCAGCCTCAAAAGCGGTGCTGGATGAGCACTGGTGGGTTGGAGTGTCTATAGGGGTAATGGTGAAGGGGGTGGGGCCAATCAAAGATGGGTTGGATGAGGAAGAGAAGGGCAAGTGGGATGAAGATGAAGCAGCAGCTGGGGTGGCTGCAACTGAAGAAGAAAAAGATGAGATAACTCTTGCTCCAATGGGATCATTTTGCAACTCCTCAAGAATGGATTCCATGCCAGGAATGTTGTGTTGCTGAGGGTAGTGAGCAATGCTGGCATCATCCATGTTCACATCAGCATCAACCAAGTTATTCTGAGAGGAGGCAGGGGTGGCATCATATGGGTGACCAGTGAGAAGAACAACTGGACCAGTCTGTGCATGGTTGGTCATCATCTCATGCCAGTGCTCAAACCAAGGGTGGCTTTGAGCAATCAATTCACATGTGGCATAGTCCTGCAAGTTGATAAAGAAGCATAGACAGAGATATAAAGTATAAGAACATTGGCACACTTAACATGAATCAACTAAGTTGTACTTACTGAGCTGTTGTGATCCATGTCTTGAAGAAGTACTCCAGCACTGGTCTGCTGTGAGATGGTCTTCTTGATGTTGTTGTATTGTTCAGTGAGCCAGCGAATCTTAGTCTTTACTCGACCAGCACCACCAACAGTAGACTCATCTGGGAACAGCTCCTGCCATATCTGCCTGCAGATAACATCTTTGTTTGTCTTCAGACCCTTTTCCTGTTCTGCAGTCAAATGTCCTGGCAATAGAACATGTTGGTAATGATCATTATTGTAGATGATATCAACGAGGTTATTTATGTCACTAGGTGACCAATTGAAGTAGGCAATATGATCTGTTTTGTTGAACCTGCTGCCATGAGTACTGGCTTGATGTCTGCAAGCTGCAGAGATTTGAGTTGGGTGGGTAGAGGTTTGGCAAGGCAAAGAACCAGCAGATGTGGTGGTGTTGGAACCAGAAGGAGTGGAGGAGGACAAAGGGGAAGTGGGAGAGGTTGCTGGCTGAGTCGACTCAGCCCCAGCCAAGGTGCTGGAAGTTGCAGAAGGGTGGCGCTGATGAGAGTGATCAAGGTTGGACTGAGCTGACATTACTGTGTTGTGCTGCAAAGCAGTTGAAGACTGCTCTGATGCTGGAGCCAATCCAGAGGCTTGCTGCAAAGCTGTGAATAGTGTAATGTTGTTGATATGGTTGTGAGGGGATGGCATGTCCATGTCCTGGCACTGACAGGGAGGAAATGCTACTGGAGATGGTGATAGAAGTGAAGCAAGGACAGATGTAACTCAAAGCATGAGAAAGTGTAGACAGTGCAGAAAGTGGAGGTCAAGGGTTGTGCACAGAATTGTGTTAGAATCACATGATATCAGCACATGACAAAAACTCCTGCTGAAAACTCAAATATTCAGAAACCTGGGCTCATGGCAAAAATAAGTAGAGGTTTTCAAAACTTCTGAGCTTTTCTTTCCTGGCAGAGCTTACTTAAGCAGCAAGCTTTCAAAATCCAAAAAAACCATGAAAACTCAGAGTTTTGAAAACTCAGAGAAAACTGAAACCCCCTACTGCTGTTTTAGGACAGAAAGGTGTATATTCAATGGACCAAGAAAAGAATGTGGCGAGAGCCTCGAGCTCCCTGCTTAACATATCTACAAAGTGGGTGGCACATGCTGATTGTGGGTGCATCCTACTTAATGACGAGGTCTGACAACGAGCAGGACTAGGCTGTACCCGATCTTCGATCTCTGATCAGATCCTCCTTTGCCCGATCCCTTTTGTATCTGCTTATGTCAACCAACATCATCATAATGGATCGTCATTTTCAATACTCTGGCCTGCTGAAAATAACGATCCAATGAGATGGTAAAGGATGATGCAGAGCTGATCTGATCGAAGATCAGGCAGGGCCGATCCAGTTGAACTACCAATTCGATCAAAGATTAAGTTGAGTCGATCTCAGTAGAGATCAGGTGCAATGCAGTCCTGCTCATTGTCATGACAGATCATGAAGTAGTAGTACTCCCACATCCAGCAAGTGCCACTCACATGTATATATACCTCACAGAGAGTGCTAGGCTCTCACCACATTTTCGACAGTCAATTGAGTATATATGTTTCTGTTTTTTAGCAGCAGTGACATTGTACTTAGACTCTCCCTGATTGCCAGTATCAGGACCAAAACAACTCAAGTTTCCAACATGGCCTTTGGTGGAGGTGTCACACGCAGGTGACTTGGCAGAAGAAAGGGTCCAATTTCACACTTTTTTTTTTCTTTTCTTTTTTCTTTTTTCTTTTTTTTGGCAGGAAAATTTGGTACGAATTCTAGCTTTCTTCCTTCCTCAAACTCCCTTGCAACCATTATCATTTTGGTCCCTTGCTATCCCCATTTCGCACTCCTGAGAGGAATAGCAACCATGGCAAAGACTATCGACTTTCTCGCCTCGGATGGTGGGGATGACTTCTCAACCTCACGTCCAGCCAAAGTCACTCGAAGCAAGAACGCCACCGCTTCCTCCAGCAGTAAACCATTAAAACGTTCTCGCAAAGCCGCCAACGACAGCGACAACGACGATAACGATGATGGCCTCGATATCACTTCTTCCCTCCTCCCTACCCCCGCTGCTGCTACAACAAGCGCTCCCACACCCGCACCCAAACTCAGCTCCTCCCAATCAGCAGCTAAGAAAGCGTACGCCTCTCGCACTGCCTCGAAGCCCACCGACCCAGAAGATGACGATGCACAGTTCATCGCTTCTGTCATGCAACAAGCCAATGTCAAAGCCGGTGTCGAAGTCGCCAAAAAGGCTCTCTCAGGCAAAAAAAAGCTAGGCTCAGGCATCCTCATCGGGGGAGGCTCGTTCCAATCCATGGGTCTCCATCCCTCCCTTCTTCGCTCTCTCCTCATCAGGGGTTTTAGCACCCCAACACCCATCCAGAGACAAGCAATCCCAGCAATCATCGCTCAACCTCCACGCGACGTCGTCGGAATGGCCCGTACAGGTTCCGGTAAAACCCTAGCATACCTCATCCCACTCATCAACCGCCTGAACGGTCGCCATTCAAGCACGTTCGGGATCAAAAGTCTGATTTTGTGCCCCTCGCGAGAGTTGGCAGTCCAAATTCTCAGGGTCGGCAAAGAGATTGCGAGAGGTTGGAAAGGTGATCCCGGAAAAGACCAGGATAGTAGAGGGCGGGCTATTCGATGGGCAATGATCGTCGGAGGTGAATCGTTAGATGAGCAATTTGGGATTATGAGTAATAATCCTGATGTTGTAATTGCTACTCCTGGACGAATGTTGCATTTGACGGTGGAGATGAATTTGGATCTCAAGTCGGTGGAGTATGTTGTGTTTGATGAGGCGGACAGGTTGTTTGAAATGGGTTTTGCAGAACAGTTGGAGGAGATGTTGTTGAGGTTGCCACCTACTAGACAGACGTTGTTGTTCAGTGCTACTCTGCCGAAGAAGCTTGTCGAGTTCGCCAAGGCTGGGTTGCAGGCTAATCCAAAGCTGGTTAGGTTGGACGCGGATAGTAAGATCAGCGCAGATTTGAGCATGACTTTCTTTTCAGTCAAACCTTCAGAGAAGGAAGCTGCACTCTTGCTCCTCCTCCGTGACCTTATTGGCGTGCCACTGGGCGAGCAGGCAGCACCAGACTACGAAGAGGAAGCGCAATTTAACCAAGACAATAGCAACGACGAAGGCGGCACTCCACACAGAGGCTTCGGTAACCGCAAATCGAACTTCAAAGGCAAACCCTCCAAGTTCAATGGCAAACGCAAGCGAACTGGACCTGGAGGAGCACTCGAACTCCTCCCCCACCAAACTATCATCTTTTGTGCCACCAAACATCACGTCGAATACCTCCTTCTCCTTCTAACCACCACCGGCTACGCTTGCTCGCACATCTACTCTTCCCTCGACCAAGCTACACGTGGAATCCAAATGTCCAGGTTCAGACGAGGTCAAACGAGCTTGCTCATCGTAACTGATGTTGCTGCAAGAGGTATCGATCTGCCCGTGCTCGAACACGTAGTTAACTTTGACTTTCCGCCTCAATCGCGGACCTTCGTGCACAGGGTCGGACGAACAGCAAGAGCAGGAAGAAATGGTTGGGCTTGGAGCATGTGTACGAATGCCGAATTGCCGTACCTCTGCGATCTGCAGCTTTTCCTCGCAAGGCCGTTGATCTCGTCTCACATGGCTGTGGCGAAAATTGCGGAAGGGAAGGATGTGGAATTTGCGGATCCACTGAACTTGCACGAGAGTCTGGTACTGGGTACGTTCCCGAGGGAGGCGTTGGATTTGGAGACGGAGTTCATCACCTCCTCCCTCATCAACACCAACAGTAGTACGGCGCACGATATCCCTGCTCTGAGACAGGTAGCCGAACGAGCACAGCAGAAGTACGAAAAGTCCATCGCGAAAGCTTCGCAGGAATCGCACCGCAGAGCAAAAGAAATGATCAAAGCGGGAAGCATCGAGCAGATCAACATCCGTACTGCCGCTGGGACCGAAGGTGAAGTACCGGAATGGACGCTTGCTGGTTCGCCACTGGAGGAGATGGCGGTACACGACGTTGTCAAGCGAGCCGAAGTGTATGGGTTGAACGGTCCCACAATGGCTGCTGCCGCCAAGTCGATTCTTGGCAGCGATGCTGCTGAAGGTGCAAGCGCGGCAGGCAGCGGCGGAAAGGCAGCGTTGAAGGAGGCAGAAGAAGCGGCTGCACGGGCTGCGTTGTTGGCCAAGGTGAACTCTTTCAGGCCGCAAGAAACGGTGTTCGAGATTGGCATTCGAGGTGATGCTACGCCATTGGGTGCACTGATGAGGAGCAGGAGACAGACGATGGACGTCAAGACGAAGCGTGCCCAGGCGATGGAGGAGCGAAAGAGGATGATGGAGGGTGGAGCCGCCAGTGATGAAGAAGAAGACGCTCCTAGTGCTGCCGGGAAGAGTAGTAAGAAGGGCAAGAAGCCCGTCGCCAACGACGAAGATGAGGCGATGGGTGGCGCAATTGTGGATCTCGAGCAAGCGGACGAAGCCGATATCTTGGCCGCCTTCGATACCACTCGTTCTTCCTTCTCCGCTAACAAAGCTGCTGCAGCCAAGATCGCCGCCGAGGACTCGGAAGACGAAGCTTCAGGCTCGGACTCTGATGCTGACACCACCGCTGCCGCTCGCCCCACCAAGCGCACCCGCGCCACCACTACCAGCACCAGCACCAAGAAGCGCCCCGCTCCCGGCTCTTTTAGAGACCCCAACTTCTACCTCTCCTACGAGCAAGAAGGATCCCGTTCCGAACGCGGCTACTCGCTCAACAACCCTCAATCCAACGGCATCGATTCTTTCATCCAACAAGCTTCCGCAGCCTCTTTCGATCTTGCCGGCGACGAAACCGTCCTCGGCGCTCAGACGCAACGTCCCAACGTCACTCGCTGGGACAGCAAAAAGAAAAAGTTCATCCAAGGCACAGTAGGAGCGGATAACAAAAAGATGATCCGTACCGAGTCTGGTGTTCGTTTGCCCGCATCCTTCCGTTCTGGTCGCTTCGAAGAGTGGAAGAGGGAGAAGCGAGTGGATATTCCCAAGACGGGCGAGACAGAGGGTAGGGGTGACGAAGCCGGGGGTAGCGTGATGGGGTTGAAGAAGTTCAGACATAATAAGGTGACTCCATCGAAGAGTGCGCTCGCGGCGGCGCAGACGTTCGGGAAGGGTAGACCGGGACAGGCGAAGAGACAGGCGGCGAAGGATGAGGTGAAGAGTGCGAGGCAGATTCAGAAGGAGAGAGAGATCAAGCAGAATAGGATGGAGAAGAATGCTAGACCGAGTAAGAAGGATGGGAAAGGTGGAAGAGGTGGTGGTGGTCGAGGTAGAGGTGGCGGCCGAGGTGGAGGAAGGGGTGGAGGAAGGGGTGGAGGAAGGGGAGGTGGTGGTAGAGGTGGTGGTCGTGGTGGAAGGAGGTAAACCCCCTCCTTAGTTCAGAACGCAAGCTCTCGCTTAGTTCATATACAACACTCTCTCTGTACCATCACATCTCAATCAAGCACACTTCTTTCTTCAGACACACGCACGGTCACATCTCTCTGAAGTAACTCTCATCTGCGCATGTACGTATGATTTCTGAGTGCTTGCAGCTCCTCATCCCTGTCGACTTCCATCCTTCCTTCCGAGCGCAGCACCAAAAAAGTTACCAAACTTTCTCAAATCGCTGAACGCTCTACCCGCACCGCCCTGCTGTCCGCCTGCACCCGCGTTCGCCCCTTCAAATCCGCCTCCGCTACCTCCCAATGTCGGAGACTTGAGACTATCAGGTCCAAACAGCGACGCCGATCTGTATGGGCCCGTCGAGGCGCTATCCCTCCTCGTGGCGCTGTCCAAGAAGCTCGGTGTGGACGCAGTAAACGGCGAAGAGAGAACGGGGTGCAAGGGCGGATCCATGTCGAGCTGGGTGAGGAAGCTCTGATCTGTCAATTCGGCCGCACCTGAAGACGAAGTGCGGTCGTTTTGCTCGCTGAAGCCGCCATCGTGAGACGAAGTCACTTGAAGGAAGCGATCGAGTAGGCCGTTCTGATCGACCTTCCTGACCCCTTTGAGATCCAATACCTTTTGGAAGTTCGAGAAGGATCGATCGCCCACAAGCTTGACGTAGGACGAGATGAGATCCATCCCTCCCTCTTCATCCGCCTCGATCGGTGCCAAGACCACTTTGAGAAGCGTCTCTATGCGATCCGTCAACCTCTGTACATATCGCACGTAGCTCGCCGCTTGGTTCGACAATGCTGTCTGTTCTGCAGATGGTGTAGGCATCCAATGCGACAGACTGGAATCCTTGTTTCCATCCAACCCCAAACCCAGATCGTCCACCGGATACCTCGGCAACTCAATCAAACTCTTCTTAAGCTCTCCCGCATCCACCAACAACTGCTCCGCCATCACTTGCGTTAAAGGCCGTAACCTCACCAACCCTTGCATAAACCTCGTACACAACACACTAACCACCTTATCGCACCAACTTCTCACGTATCTCTTATTCTCCACATCTTGCCTGACCACTACTCCGATCTGCTCTAACAAACTCGCCATGTCCATGACGTACTGCAACTTTGCTCCACTCCTCGGCTGAAGCTGCGACCAAGGAATAGCCGGACGCAACATAGAGTTCCATATCGGTTCCGAACACAACTCTAGCTCCCTTGCCAGTGTTTGAACCGCGTAGGAGACGAGGGTGGTGAAGATCTCTCTTTCCTCGTCGAGACTGATCCTCTCTTTGAAGTCAGGATGGATCTTTTCGCGCAGCTTGTCTTCGAGCTGACTCGAAGTGCTAGCGCAGTAATCGGCAGTGTTGAGCACAAGGCACCATTTCTGGATCTCGCCAATGTTGGGTCGCACATCGATCGATCTTCGCGCTGGTTCTGGACGAAGGAGAGCGGAACGTAAGACGTCTTCAGCGTAGACACGTAGCCATTTGCGGTAGACTTCGTAGAGATCTCGCAGTGGTTCACGGTTGGAGAGTCGAGCGCACTGTTCGAGCGTCTGACGGTAAAAGTAGAAGAGTTCAGTGGAGGAGGGGAGAACCGTTGTTCCGCTGCCACCGGTGGAGGAGGCAGGGTTGGTAGGATCAGCGCTGGTGGAAGGGTCGAAGGCGTTGTCACCGCCGAAACCTGCGTTGCCGTTGGCAGAAGGTTCGTCGTGTGACACAGGAGCTCCTTGGCGTCGATACTGAACAAACATCTCTGACAAAGCTCGATCCTGAGCTTCGACAAAGACGCCAAGATAGGGGTCGAAGATGGCGGATAGAGTCTGAACCTGCAATTGTGATGGTTGAGATGGTGTTGATGTCTGTTGTGCTTGCCCTTGCTGTCCACTTTGCTGCTGTTGTTGCGATGCATGCTGAGTGTTGGGCGGAGCAATCAATTCCTCAAAGCTGACTCCAAACTTCCGACTCATCACCCCTTCAAACTCCAAGGTGGCATTCAAAGCCTCCATCAGCGTCGAGACGTTCAACCTTGACTGTTCCCTGATCAAAACACTTCTCAAATCCTCCTTTGTCACATCTGAAAACCTCCTTATCAACCACCTCTCAGCCTTCCATCCTTCCAAAAATGCCGCTGCATGTTCATCTTCATGAATTTTCAAAATCCTCCTGAACCAAGCGAATCTTCTCGAAACATTGTCCAACTGTCCTGCTTCATCCGTCGCCCTGAAGATCCGCCTATATTCTCTGAGCTGCAAGGAGCAATACCAGTCGATCAACGTCGACTTGGCCTCTGCGCCTATCGCATCAATAACCAGCGCAGATTCGGGGAGATTAGTCGACCGAACAGCCCTGTTGGGATCATGGAGGAAGAAGTTCTCGTACTCTTTCATGATGCTCGTCCGTAGTCCGTTTTGCAGCTCGTTGACTTGTTTCCATGCACTGGCGATGCGCTCTACCCCACGATATGACTGGAAGAAGTCGAGAAGACTCCTTACGGCCTGAAGCGCAGACGCGGCCTCTCTGTACCTCTTTGTCTCTGCCAGCCGCTGCATTTGATCCACCCCGTTCACCAGCATCTGGAGCCGCTTAAGCGCAGTCATCGAGGAGACAACGTTGCGCTTGGCAATATCGAGACTGCGAATGTCGCGAGTGATCTCTTTGACGACGTTTTCGGATTCTCGTGCTTTCTCGCGGATCAAGAGGAGCTGTTCCAGTAAGGCGGCGATGGATTGCTGGACCTGAGTCATGCGGTTGGCGTCGATTTCACTTTCGAGTTCGGCGGCGAGCGTACGGATTTGATCTCTACATGATTGTATTTGTAGTCGGAGATGCGCCTGGACTCGGTCGATCGATGCCAAGCTGAGCGGCTCATTTTGAGGTGTGGAGGAGGAGAGGAGCTGGTCGAGCTGGTTTTCTAGCGAAGACCGGTCGGCGATGTTGTATAAGCCATTTTGTGGGCTATCGGAGGATAAGATGTGGTCGATCTGAAGAGCAACATCGTGCGATAGCTCTGTTGGATTTGACTGTGGTTGTGGTGGTGCTGTGGACGATGAAGCAGCATCACCACCAGGTGACGGAGACGGCATGATGCTCGTCATTGCTTCCAGATCCGAAGCTGAGGCGAGAATCAACAGCCCGCTGCACCTGCTACTGCACGTATACCACCTTGTATGAGTCGATGCAAGCTGGGAAGGGCTAAGGAAGCAGTGTGATGAGGAAAGATGAGGTCGGTTTGATTGTGCTGCGCATGACATGTCGGTTGGCCAAGGCGTCAAAGCCGGAGTTCCAGAATGTTAAACTTCACAATATCACGTGACCGGTTCGCGCGTACAAAGTGTGGGTTGAGCGCTGCTTTCGCCGTGTTGGACTGCATTAGCGCGTTGATATTGTTTACCTGCAGCGCCTGTCAAAAAGTCAAAGTGTGGAGCAAATACAGTCGAGCAGCCGAACGATGATGGTCTGAACCCTTCGCTCACGATCCATCCACTCACGAACACCAGATAGCCGATCATCTAAGACAGCCTGGACGCTCCAGCTCGAATTCTGCACGGGAGCGACACCCAGTACATGCTTGGAGCGTCACACCGCCTACGACCCTCACTGACTCCATCAAACCAGCTTGATCTTGTACGACCTGCACTTGTCCACTCGGAAATAGCAGCAGGGCTTCCAGCCTGACCAATCCAACACAATGTCATGCAGACCACCCCCCACAGATCATCTTCCTCCAGCATCCTCTGCCGCGACTGCTCCAATCTCTGTTGTCCGCCGTCCCTTGGGACCAAGCACAAAATCCAACGTCCTATCTGCCACCCTTGCTCCTGCGAATCCAGCTCTCAAAACACAGGTCAAACTCGAGGATCGGCTCTCCAAAGCAGAATCTCGCATCTCCGACCTCACTTGGGAAAGAACTACCGCACTCAACGAACTAGGTGACCTTCAAACAGAGCTCCGACTTGCCGCTCAACGAGAAGCCAAGCTCAAACATTCCCTTGAGAAATGGGAGAAATCTCACGCTACACTTAAAGAAAAGAGCTCCAAGCTCAACGACCTTCAATCGCGACTAGCAGAGCTTCATAAAGTGCATAAAGAGTCGAAAGCACGCAGGCAGAAGGAGATCGAGGATTTAACCGAGAAGCTCAAGCGAGAAGAGGAGAGGCGGAAACGCGATGCTGCGGACGCAAAATACAGCTTAGCTGAGGAGAAGGCGAGAGCTGAGGAGTACCAGGCCAAGTGTAGGGAGATTGAGGCAAAGCTGGAGAGCTTAAGAGTGCAAGGGACTGCATCGGATGATGTGGTACGAGAGAAGCAAAAGATGATCGAAGAGTTGGAGAAACAGTGTCAATCGGAAAAGATCATTGCTATTGATGCTCAGAAGTATGCTCGAAGGATCGAGAATGAGCTCAACCAGCGAATTATACAGCTTCAGGAGGAGGTGGACAGGAAGACGGAGGATGCGGCGCGGAGTGGATTACAAATGCAGGCTAATCTGGAAGCTGCAAAGTACGAGTTTCAATCCGAGCTGGATACATTGCAAGAGGAAATGGAAGAAACGAAGCAGCAGCACACACAAAACCTTGCTATGGTGGCGAACGCGGTTTCGGAGCACATCAATGCTTTGCAGCAGCAGTCTCGTTCGGAAAAGGATGTACTCCTGGGAAAGTGGCACCACAACGCAACGGAACGCATCAGCTTGGAGACGATGGTAGACGAGCAAGCAGCACAAATCCACGAGCTAGTTGCAGTCGTCAAGCAGGTACAAGACGATCGTGACGCAGCGAAGCAGCTTGTCTCCGCTCTCCAGGCTGATTTGGTCAGCATCACTGCTGAGCTCTCTGCAGAACGTCAGCTAGTTACCCTCCTCGTTCAGCAACAGGAAGAACAGCAACAGAACAGAATCAATCTAGCTTCTAACACTAGCTTTGGTGATCTTTCTGGCCTCACCAGTGTCCTTGACTCAGACGAAGCATCCCCCGCCCTCCTCCGTGGCGAAATGGAAGATCTCCAATCGCGCAACAGCTTACTCGAATCAGAAGCCGCCGAACTTCAGACCCGTCTCATCTCGCGCTCCGCCGAAGCAAAGGCCTCAGAAGAAGCTCTGTCCACCGCTCGCGCTCAACTCTCCACCCTCGAGTCCAGTCTCGCTGCCAAATCGCACGAGATCGAAACACTCATTTCCCAACTCTCCGAGCTTGAGCCTCTCCGGAGACGTCTCGCAGCAGCAAACATCGATCTCGCCTCAGCTCACGCTGAAGCAGCAAGTGCAACCGAAGCTCAGCGCTCGCTCTCTGCCTCTCTCGCCAACTCTCGTCTCGCGGAAAAAGCTTGGAGAGAAGAACGAGACCATCTTGCCTCGCTTCTTGACTCTTCTGAGCACTACCAAGAGCTCTATGTTGAGCTCGTGGATCAGACCAAGCTTCTCGTTGAGCGTAACGCGTTGCTGGAGGAAGAAAAGGCCGAGCTGTCGTCGCTGAACGCGGAGCTATTGAGCCATAATAATCCAAATCAGAAGATAATGTACATGGATCGAGTAAGACAGGAGCTGGATGAGAAGAAGAGGGAGAATTTTGCCCTAAGGATGGAGTTGGAGAGAGCAGAGGAAGAGAGGAAGGGGTTGGAAAAGGAATTGAGGGGGTACAAAAGTGTTGATGTGCCATTAGGAAGGAGGCCGAGGACGGATGTGGTGAGGGTAGCGAGGGTGGATCAGGAGCAACATCAGGGGTTGTTGAGGAAAGTTTCGGGCTTGGTGGAGGGGCAGCAAACAGCAATGAGGTCGGATGGAGGGGTTTCTACCCCTCTTAGGGCTGGATTTGGTGTTACTGGAGTGAAGGCACCGTTCACGTCTCAAGGTCCAAGATTTACCGCTGTTCCTTTGCAGCCTGAGCTGCAAAAGTCTTTGTCTGGGCAGACGAAGGAGCGACGAACGGCCCAGAAGGAGGAAGTGGAGCAAGAAGAAGGGTTTGCGACGGGTAGCAACGCTTTGCCTCATCCACCTTTGCCTGTCGATACGGGTCTTTCGCCTAAGAAGCGACGTTCATACGGCAACCTCTCTGTTCACGCTGCTGGCGAAGTCGCAGAAGAAGAAGAAGAGCCCGAGCAAATTGAAGACGATACCTTGCTCCCGCTTCCCACTGCTACATCGCAGGAGAATGTCGAAGAAGTAGCTGTCCGACGCAATCGTCCTCGACTCACCCTAGTCAATAGCGGCGCCTTACGCATCGGTCAGCCACCCGCCTCTGCTTCTTCCAGCAGCATTCCTGTTCCCGTCTCTTCTTCAGCGCCTGCACCCATCCCCGCATCTCAGTCGAACCCCACGACCCAAACCCCAGCAGCAGGTCGTCGCCCAAGCCTAGCAACGTCGACTCTGGGTATCAAAGCTCGACGAGTCTCCGAGCTCGTCCGTGCCTCCACACCTCCTTTGCCCTCCATTGCAGACTTCTCTTCGCTCGAAACGCCCAATGCCCACCTTCTCGATGCTGCCCTACCCTGCTCCTCCCCATACGGGCTAGCGGACTGGACGGCAACAGATGAAACGTCCCATGTCCCTGCTCTCAACCCTTTACGCCACTCAGCTATCGCTCACTCCACCCCTCTTCCTCACAACAATGCTAGGATGAGGAAATCGAGATACTCAGGGGCTCAACGAATTCCTCTCGGCGCGGTGGGAGACTCGAGCGCAACCCCAAGGGCAGGATTGATGGGCGCAGCAAGAAAAAGTGCGCTGATGGGTATGGATGGTGAGATGATGGAGGATGAAGGTAATTCTTTCCGCAAAGGATGGTTGTATGAAGGAGATGAGGATCAGTTCGAGTTGCCAGAGTTTTTGATTGAGCAAAAACCAGTTGCAGCAGCGACAACAGCGGCGAAGAAGGGGAAGAAAGTGAAGGGTAGAGTATCATCTAAGATTGCACCTGGCCCTATGGCTCGCACTTTCGTCCGCTAAACGTCTCACATAATTGATACCACGAACGAATCAGTCAGATACAACTGTGTATTACGATGTCGATTGAGTTGCAAAGTGTAAGTCCTACAGGTGAATCTGACGAGAAACATACGTCGGTGGAAGGTCATAGATATCATGAAGACTATGAGCCAACATCTTCTCGTCTTCGAAGAGATGTACCTCATCTTGCATCGAGATACGATACAGGTTCTGCACTGAGTCCGTAACGTTATTGATGTCTTCCAGCTCCGGCGTGTTCCTAGCATTCAACCCAATGAATATCGCATACACTGCCAGAACCACAAACAACGACCAAGCAGGCAGCAAGAATGCCCATTCTCTATTGGGATACCAAGCAATCCCTACCTTCTGCAACACCTCATCCGGCGTTAGCGCCCATGCGATCCAACCGATCCACAGGACTGTTGAAAAGATAAACAGCGCAAACCCGTAGTATTCTCCTGACGACCTTTCTCTTTCTCCCCCGCCCGCGGTCGTACTGCCTACAGGTGGGCTTTGGGAGGGGAGAGCTCGAAAGAATGGCCTGCTTTCTCGTCGACCCAATTTTGGGGTGGAGCGTCAAGGGTAGATTCTTCTTCCACCGGTAACGGGGAAGTTGAGCTAGAGTGAGGGGGGTAGGTCGACTGGAACTGGTCTTCTAAGGGTAATGCGCTCAAGCTGTGCATCTGGAGTGCAAAAGGTCCTGACTGAGCTTGGAAGTTGGACCGAGCCATGAAGCTCCATTCGTATGTCTGTTCTGGTTGGAATTCGCCGGCTGTGTCCTTGTCTACGGGTCTGCCGCGGTAGGAAGGCTTGAAATCTTCCCAGGTCGAATCGAAGACCCAGAACTCTTCATTGCTCAACACGGGGTTGACTCTGGATCCCTTCATTCCCTCCTGCGTTTGCGGAACGGTGAAACTCCACTCCCAAACAACACCACTTTCCCTTCTACCATCTGGCCTGCGTCGAGGTTTTTCCGTCTTGATCTGGAAAACAAAAGATGTGACGGGGCGCTTGCCGCCTCCTGGATTACTGCCACCAGGAGGAATAGGAGAGGGTTCTGACCAGTTTGGTTCGCGACGAATGACGAGTCGGAGACCGGAAAAGTCGGTCTTGGCGAGTGTAACGGGGGGCGGAGTGGTGGAGGCTTGGGAGGCAAAACCGGAGCCGCCGAGTGTGGTGGTGTCGAGGAAACCGGAGAAGACGAGTTCGCCGCGTGATTGAGATGGGTATTGGACGATAGCGGTGCGAGAATGGCTGGTTCCGCCTCGGACTCGGTCGTCGACGGCGGTGAAGTCGTCAGATCTCCAGGGTAGGGCAGGTGCTCGAGGATTGGGTCCCGGGGCGAAGAGGGGGAGTGTGCCTGCGTATGACATCGTAGCAAGCACCGATACTGCTATCGAGGAGATAGCGGACGGCCGAAAGTGGTGCATGATGTTGAAGTAGAAAGGATGGATGGAGACCAGCTATATGTGAATGGTGGCACGAAAGATGCAAAGGTGGAGGAAAATAGTTGAAATATAGAGAAGTATAAAAACACCACTTCGGGGCCACGATCAGGCTCCTTTCGTACAGATGTATAGCTACTTGAACACTTGTCATTACTATGAAGGAGTGAGACTACATGAGCATATATATACCTTGACACTATCTCTGAGAACGTTGGACTGAGATGAGTCGAGTGTCTCCTGCAGTGCTCCTGAGTCGTTGCCACGTCAACCTTGATGCAATCAGCTTGTGAAGAAGCGGCGTTCACTTTTCATGAGCTTTGCCCCACGTTGAATAAACCCTGGGAGGGCCCGACATGTTAGATTGGAGTATTCGGGACCGGGAGGCCGAAATTAAGCAGGGTGTCAACCTGACAGAGACAAAGGCGCAGCATACTCTCCAGGCTTGACACCGAGATATGAGATATGCCGGGTGGCGCGTTGACATGGCAACGGTTATGAAGGCGCCACTGGACGCACGCTCAGTGGCTGTGGCTCAATGGCGAGTGTCGGTAGCTGTGAAGCTGTCAGAGGTCTCGCGCCTGAAATCCCAAATTTGCTGGAAGAGCTTGATCTGGGACGAGTGAGCTCCTTCCAACCAATCTCGGTGAAATACGTCGGATGACTGTATTCTGATGGACTTCGGCTGACCACTGTGAACACTCCGTTCAGAGGTAGCGTGGCATGTTCAGAGTTACTTGGATACTTAGTGTATGGTATGATTACACCTGTTGTCACACAAGTGCTCATAATGCTTGGACAGTTGTAATGATGGTACTGGTGGTGGTGCCAGGACTGCAGTGGCGGTGCTGCCTACAGTTGAGGTTCTGTAGCGTTGATGGAGATGTTGATGACATCTATCAGCGGTGATACAACACACACACACATGTCAGCGGTCGTGCGCCTGAAACCTGAGATCAGTAGTAGTATCAGTACTATCACCAATTCTGTCGAATTATGCGACAGCACTAATGGTATTTCGATTCTTAGTGAAATATGTGACAGAGCCTTCTCTGTCACCTTTCCTGTTAGAATCTGTAGTTGTATTATCATTATGACAGATTTTGACTAACCACTGTGGACACTCCGTCCAGAGGTAGCTCGGCACAATCAGACTACAATACAACTCTAAGTGAGCTTGATGTTGACACCAATGGTCTGGTGTGAGTATGGGTTGATGATGCCGACACAAGTGTCCAGTGTGTCGGCTAATGCTTGAAGTGATCCCCAGGCTGCAGTGGACATCTGCCTTCGGTTCTATTGTTATCCAGACTGCTGGTTGCTACGAACCGCCTTCAGACATCAGGAAATGATGATACAACACATGCGCTTCGATGAGGAGCAATCTGTTGATTACTTCTATGCTGACTGTGAACTAATGATACTTATTGCTTGAAGTAATACTAGTTCATTTGATGAGTGTAGAGTGGATAAGGATCCACTTGACCATTTGTGATGAGGAGGTAGGACTATATACCTCTTTGCAGCATCACCAGTGACACTGCTCCTGCTCCCTCTCTCCAGAGGGTACCCTCCTCGTCGAGTACTGCACAGGGATCTCCAAGGAGGTACCTCCTCTGTATCAAGCCTTGTCCCTCCTGTCTTTCCTGAGCTGTGTCGACTTCATCAACACTGCTCCTCCTCTTCATGTCCCTTTCACCAGTGTCCTATACACAGATCTCCTTCCTTTGCCTGGTGACAGTTCTCTTCTACTCCTGTCCTGTGGGCCCCTGAGTGGTAACCAACTGCATGTCACTGAGCTCGGTCCCTCTCACATGTGAATTGTCGTACGGACATCCTTACTACCGATCTCCATGGAATCTGCCACACGATCTTGCTTGCTGCAGATTCTGGTGGGATTCATAATATCGACAATGCTCATGCTGATTTCGCTGTGATCTGCCATAGAGCTGATTCTATTACCGATCTCGGTGAACTTTGTCACAGCTCCTCCAATCTACCCGATTCCATGATTCCTGCACTACCTTCATATGAACTTCGGTCTTTCCTCGTTCTGCGCACCCAGGCCCATGACAACACACACACACACACACACACACACACACATGGAGTAATTGCAATGACTGGATTGCAACCAGAGACAATACTGAAATGACAGTGTACTGCGCTGTAAAGCCAGATAAGATAAGGTACTGATATGTAAGATGAGTTGTAGAGTGGAAGAGAATCCACTTGTCTACTATGACAAAGAAAATGTGTGTATATATATGTGTGTATACAGTGTCGCCTGTGACACTGTTACTGCTTCTCCTGAGAGGTATAGAGACCTCCGCAACACTGCTCATACACCTTCTGCTCCTCCTGTCTTGTATGAGCATCTCCTTAACGCTGCTTCTGCTCTGTCTGCTCCTCCTGATCTATGGGGATACCTCCTTGACCTGTGTGTGTCCATTTCCCTGTGTGGACACCTCTATTGTCCTAGGTCCCGCTCCATGTTGACATCCCTATTGTCCTGCTCCTGCTCCATGTGGACACCACTTTGACATGTGTGTGTCCATTTCCTCATGTGGTAACTTCTACACATGCTCCCATGCTTGGACCCCTTCCATGCATATTGCCTTCTGTCATGGGACCGGAGGCGCAGGAAGCAAGAAGATTGAAGCCATATGAAGAGGAGCACAGAAATCAAAGGATTGGGCTATGCAAGAGTCTAAGGCAGAGTTCACTGAGATTGGTAGTAGAAACAACTCTATGGCATAATCTGCCAGGATCAACAGGAACAAGGTTGGTATCACAGAATGCAGCAGAAAAGGTAATACCACGTTAGGTATGACAGATCTTATGAGGATCAGTTCAAGAAGATGCCTCTATTGCCAATATGGCAAGAAGAGGTCACCAAACAGGAGGGGACACCATCAGATGAGGTAGGGACCCTACACAATGATGAAACCAGTGTAAGAAGGTGGGCACTGGAGTCAGGAGGAAGATGAGAAGAAGGGGGTGTGAGTCACCACTCAGATGAAGTGGGACTGGCCCCTGATGGAGATGAGGCAGCAAGAGGCCCATCCAACTACAGGAGGCGAGGAGGTGGTGCCAATGAGTGGCATCAAAAGATGGATGGAGAGCATAGGAGGAATGAGGAGGATGAGCAGTGTTGTGGGCAACATTGCAAGAAAGGTATATAACCATGTTCCCTGTCCTAGCAAGTGAGTGGATTGCCATCCACTCTACACCATACCATAAACTAGTTATCACTTCACATAAGTATACATTAGTTTCCAGTCAGCAAAGTTGCAATCAAGTAGATTGCTTCCATCATAGCACATGTGTTGTATCACTGCTCACTGACATCCAAAGGCAGTTTGTAGCAAACCAGTGGTCCAGATAACAATAGAACCAAAGGGAGTCATCCACTGTGGTCCAGGGTTCACCTCAAGCACTCAGTCAACACACTGGACACTCGTGTTGGTGCTACCAATCATATCACTCACACCAGACCTTGGTGTCAATATAAGTTCATACATGTTATTGATCATGCCAAGCTACCTCTGGATGGAGTGTCCACAGTGGTCAGTTGAAACCTGCAATAGCAAAACAACTATTACATCTTTGGGTGAGAAAAGTCATAGAGGCTTCTCTACAACATACCTTGATAGAAATCATAATACACCACATGTTACCACATATCTTGACAGGATTCATAATAGACATGTTTCTATTACAGATATCAGGTTTTGGGTGCGTGACCTCTGACACCTTCTTCTGTATCTCTCGTCTTGCCACTGGTAATGACAACAAGCCTCCTCTGGCTATACTGTCGCTCCCATGCAATTGCTTGACTTGCAATGCATCAATGAGTCCTTCTCACAGTGTCACAGGGTCAGCGGATCAGCATATGAAGTGTGCACCAAATTGATCTGTGGCAATCATCAGGAATTGACAATCTAATTGGGTTGGTAGTGCATATGGCTTGCAAGATCAACTGAGTTCTGGAATCCTGATTAATCTCACAAGGATTGATTGGAATCAGCCTGATTGGCATGTCTCAGCAAGTTGGCTGTCATGAGCAAGCATCAGGAGATTCAGGAAGGAGGATACTGGCATTAGAAGGAGAAGCATATGGAGATAACCACATGCAGGAGTGGGGACTGAGCTCAGCATCATGCAGATGGTTACCACTCAAGGGGAACATGCATACAGCCACAGGGGACCGAGCACAGGGGCGACCACATTGTCATGGGCCTGAATGCTCAGGAAGCAGGAGGGTCACTGGTTCATATGGAAGGAGCACAGGTATCAGAGATCTAGTCGATACCAGTAGAAGAGCATGGTTGTAGTGCAGTCTCCATGGAGACCATGGACTCCTATGGACTCACATGCAAAGGAGGACCAAGCCCATATGCGAGGAGGGCCAGGCACAGCCACGAAGAGGACCAAGCTCAAGGAGCATGCAGATGGTTACCACTCAGGGGCTCGAGAGACAAGAGTCAAAGGAACTGTCACCAGTCAAAGGAGAAGGAGCAGTGTATAGGAAACCGACAAGCAGGTCCTGAGGAGGAGGAGCAGTGTCGAAGGAGTTGACACCACTCAGGAGGCACAGGGGTGCCAAACAAGCAGGATAGCAAGGAGAAGGAGCAGTGTCGAAGGAGTCGACACAGCTCAAGAGGCACAAGGGTGCCAAGCAAGCAGCAGGATAGCAAGGAGGAGGAGCAGTGTCGAAGGAGTCGACACAGCTCAGGAGGCACAGGGGTGCCAAGCAGGAGAGGCCCCTGAACAGTACTTGATGAAGAAGGTACTCTCTGGAGAGAGAGCAGGAGCAGCGTCGCTGGCAATGCTGTGAAGAGGTATATAACCATGCTTTCTCATCATCAAAGGTCAAGTGGATCCTCATCCACTCTACACCCATCATAACTAGTTACCACTTCAGCATAAGTATATATTAGTTTCAGTCAGCATAGCAGCAATCTATCAGGGTTGCTCCTCATCATAGTGTGTGTGTTGTATCACCACTACCTGATGTCCAAAGGCAACCCATAGCAGGTCAGCGGTCCAGATATAGATAGAACTGAAGGCAGTAGTCCACTGTGGTCCAGGGATCACTTCAAGCATCAAGTCAACACACTGGACACTCATGTTGATGCCACCAACCTTATCACCAACACCATCAACCTCATTATCATCCACACTCACCAACCTTATCACTGACACCATCAACCTCATCATCACCAACACTTACACCAGACCTTGGTGTCAACATAACCTATGTATTGATATTGATTGTGCTGAGCTACCCCTGAATGGAGTGTCCACAGAGGTCAGCTGAAACCTATGATAGTATATACAATGAACGCCACCCACTGTCATCACACAACTTGATAGTTGCCGAGCAACCAACTTGTCGAGACCAATACTGAGACAATAGCTGTCGTGCAGTTTGATAGTCACCAAGTACCTTGACAGACCGACCTGGGTTGCAGGCGCGAGACCCCTGACACACATGATCAAGGGGGCTTGGCAACAGGACTCAACAGGTGGTTAAGGGATTCACAAGATAAGGTCAAGGAGGTAGTCACTGGTGAAGAGAGAAGGAGCTGTGTCAAGTAGACCAGGGATTGTCTATGAGGAGGAGGAGCTGTGTCAAAGGGGTCAACACACATCACCAGGCAAAGAAGAGCATGGAGGCAAAGGGGCAGTATTGCACAAACCAATATGCTGTGTGAGCAGTAGAGGCATAGCATCAAAGGGATTGACACCAGCAGGAGAGAGAGTGTCAAGAGGAGGTGAAGGCCTCTCAGGAGGAGTAGGAGAGGTGTCACAAATGACACCAAGCAAATGCATAAATACTCTCATTCTACCATAGCATACAAGTGCATCCTCATCCACTCTACTCTATACTTTACATACTCTTTACTTGACTCATAGTTACATATCATTGCAATAGCAGGGCTTTGCAATGACACCTCATATGTGTGTATTGTGTTACGGGATCGGGAATCAGGTAACCAAACCGAACATAGTGAGCAGTAAAACCACTACACCAGCTAGACCCTTAGCTGGTGTACCTGATGTCATGGGCCTGGATGCTCAAGAAGCAGGAGGGTCACGGGTTCATATGGAAGGAGCACAGGTATCAAAGATCTAGTCGATACCAGTAGAGAGCATGGTCGTAGTGCAGTCTCCATGGAGACCATGGACTCCTATGGACTCACATGCAAAGGAGAACCGAGCCACATGCGAGGAGGACCAGGCACAGCCACGAAGAGGACCAAGCTCAGATGGTTACCACTCAGGGGCTCGAGAGACAAGAGTCAAAGGAACTGTCACTGGTCAAAGGAAGAGGAGCAGTGTTGAAGGAGTTGACACCAGGTCATGAGGAGGAGGAGCAGTGTCGAAGGAGTCGACACCAGGTCATGAGGAGGAGGAGCAGTGTCGAAGGAGTCAACACAGCTCAAGAGGCACAGGGGTGCCAAGCAGGAGAGGCCCCTGAGCAGTACTCGATGAAGAAGGTACTCTCTGGAGAGAGAGCAGGAGCAGCATCGCTGGCGATGCTGAGAAGAGGTATATAACCATGCTTTCTCATCATCAATAGGTCGAGTGGATCCTCATCCACTCTACTCACCATAACTAGTTATCACTTCAGCATAAGTATATATTAGTTTCAGTCAGCATAGCAGCAATCCATCAAAGGTTGCTCCTCATCGTAGTGTGTGTGTTGTATCACCACTACCTGACGTCCGAAGGCGCCCATAGCAGGTTAGCAGTCCGGATCAAGATAGAACCGAAGGCAGTAGTCCACTGCGGTCCAGGGATCACTTCAAGCATCAAGTCAACACACTGGACACTCGTGTTGATGCCACCAACCTTATCACCAACACCATCAACCACATTATCATCGACATCACCCATCTCATCACCAACACCATCAACCTCATCATCATCAACACTCACACCAGACCTTGGTGTCATCATAACATTGATATTGATCGTGCCGAGCTACCCCTGAACGGAGTGTCCACAGAGGTCAGCCGAAACCTACGATAGTATATACAACAAATGCCACCTGCTGTCACTGCACAACTTGATAGTCACCGATACCGAGACAATAGCTGTCGCACAGTTTGATAGTCACCGAGTATCTCGACAGACCGACCTGGGTTTCAGGCGCGAGACCCCTGACACCTGATTCACACAACACTGAAGTATAAGCATTTTCACTCCCAAATGCTCCGGACTCGGAGAACGGAATTCCTATTCCGGTGACATGTTGTATCACCATTAGGTGTCAACTGTAGGTGGTGTTACTCAACACCTGCAGTCCAGTCCCTTACTGTAGGCAGTGTTTGCTCAACATCTGTGGTCCAGTCAGTTATTGTAGGTGGTGTCCAACACCTGTGGTCCAGTAACTCCCATCCTCTGTAGGCGATAAGCATATCATGGTCCAGATGACATTAGAGAGCATTAGCAACAGTACTACAAACACTTGTACTGTAAGGAGAGTATACTACTCTCCCTCCAAAGAATAAATGGATGTGCTGTGCAACCTCTGAATGGAGTGTTCAAGGTGGTCAGCTGAAACCTACCAGTATGAAGCCATCTGGTTACATTTAGTTGAAACATTCTGAGTAGATCTTACTCGATTGTCCTCACCAATACCAATCAGCAACACCCAATCTGGTTTCAGGTGCGTGACCGCTTACACACAGTATGTTTGGCAAAGTCTGCCAGATGGGCCCATTCTGACCCATTTCAGTGAAACCAGTCAGAAACCCGCAACTTGACCAATTTCGCATTTCGTGTGCACAGCGCATCCAATGCCTGTCTAGGGTCTTCTGCGCAGGCCCTGTGACAGAGATTTCCGGTTTATTTTCAGCCAGCTTGAACTCTTTATCAACACCTTCAAGTAATTGTGCTGACATAGTCATTGTACTCCTTTGCCATGTATTGCCTCAAAACTCTAATAGTCCTCACTTGCAATTCTTTGCTATCTTGAGCAGCATACTGTCATGGGCCTGATTGCGCAGGAAGCAGGAAGGTCCATTGATTCATATGAAGGGAGTGCAGGAATCAGGGAGATTGGGCAGAGTGTAGGATTTGTGGCAGAGTTCACTGAGATCTGCAGTAGAATCAGCTCTATGACTGACCTCAGTGAGATCAGTTCGAGGTGAGGTGGTATCATGAATTCTGCCAGGATCTGTAGTAGGCATGATCATGTGGCAGGTTCCATGGAGATCAGCGACAAGGATGTTCTTACAACAAATTCACATGTGGGGAGGACCAAAGCTCACATGCGAGGGGGACCAAGCTCAGGGACATGCAGCTGGTTACCACTCAGGAGTTCACGAGATAAGAGTCAGAAGAGTGGGACAGAAGCGGTATGTCAGGGTCAATGGCTTGGCTATGCGAGCAAAGTGGGCTATGAACCTTTGATAGAAGTTGGCAAAACCCAGGAACCTTTGGATGTCATGGATTGACTCCAGCATTGGCCACTCCTTGACAGTGCACACCTTTTCTGGGTCCATCTCTATGCCCATTGGCTTGATGATGTACCCCAGGAACTCGACTGTCTTGGTGTGGAACTTGCACTTCGACAGCTTAGCAAAGAGCCTGTTGCTCCTTAAGCGAATGAGGACCTCAGTGACATGCTTCACATGTACCTCCTCAGTGTCACTGAAGATCAGGAAGTCATCTAGGTATACCACTACATATACTCCAATGATGTCTTGGAAGATGTCGTTGATGAATGACTGGAAGTGAGCTGGAGCATTGGCTAGGCCAAAGGGCATCACTAGGTACTCATAGAGTCCCAACTGAGTGCCAAAAGCTGTCTTCCATTCATCTCCTTTAGCAATCCGGATGAGGTTGTATGCTGCTCTAAGGTCTAGCTTGGTATAGATCCTTGCCTTCCTGAGTAAGAACAGCTGCTCCTCGATGAGGGGCAATGGTGCCCTGTTCTTGACAGTGATCTCATTGAGACCTCTGTAGTCCACACAGAGTCTGAGACCTCCATCCTTCTTTGGTACGAAGAGCACTGGTGATTGTGCCGGGCTCTTCAATGGTCTTATGAACCCCTTCTCGAGGTTCTCATCCAAGTACCTCCTTAACTCGGACATCTCCTTGGGTCCCTTGAGGTATAGGGGCCCTTGAGGTGGCTCACCTCCTTCTATCAACTTGAGGTGGAGATCATGCTCAGTATGATGGGGCAGCTTGTCTGCTTCCACCTCATCGAACACATCTTGCAGGTGTTGGTATGGCTTTGGTATGTCTGCAGCCATCACCACCTTGTCTACCTCCACCTCCATCTCGACTCCTTTGTCTGCGCCTGTAGGTACAAAACCAAAGGCCGGGAGTGATGATGGTGGCTCCTCCAACAGCATGAACCCTATGGGTCCATCTTCCAGAGCTGCTCATAGTATGTGCTCTGCTGAGACAAACTTGTTACCATGAAGGGTTGGTCTCCTCATGGTTAGGTCCCCTGCTCTTGCTGCTTCAGGGGGTCTCCTTGGGGGTCAGTCCTGCTCCTGAGTCTTGAACTCCAGCTGGCCCATATCCCATTGTATGGTGGGTTTGAGTCTCTGTAGCTTGGTGAACCCCAGGATGAGGTCATAGTCAGCAGTGTCAGCCACTGAAGCTTCAACCCCACCCAGATTGTGTGTACCAATAGATACCTGCATGCTCGCAGAACTATTGATGGAGAGTTGGTGCCCAGTGACACCATGGATCGATCTTGTTTTTATGGGTTTTGTGGGTATTTGGTACTTACTAATGAAAGAATCTGAGACTATGGACAAACCAGCACTGGTATCAGCTAGTATCCAAGCAGGATGGTCTTGAACCATTCCAGAGAGCTCCAGTACTGCTTTGCCTCCACTGGTAGAGAAACATACTTGACAATCTTGATATATACAGAGTGATGGCGAGGAGGTTTGTAGAGCAATGCATGCCATCAGTGCATCACCCCACTGACATTTCCCTCATCATCGTCATCATCGTGCTCCTCCTCCTCATGGTCAAGGTCCATGGGTTGCTGGTATGAGCTGAGGTCCATGGCCTCGGGGTCAGTCTCAGTGCTGCCTGTGTGGCCATCTCCTGAGTCAGTGGCCTCCTCGAAGGGGTCTGCTGTGGTGACCATAACCTTTGGTCCCATGGGTCGAGAGCTAAGAGGGTCTACCCTCCTGCTGGGGCAGTCTCTGGCCCAATGGCTGATACCCTTGCATACATGACAGGTGTTGATACCTGATGGAGCAGGGCTTCCTTGCTTCGAGGTTTGGGTGGGTTGATGAGGAAGGGGTCAGTTTAGGTTGTGTGTAGTTGCTTGTGTAGTTGCTTGTGCTGGTGATCAAGCTGGATAAGGTTGAGTGGGTTGATGGATGGGGATCAAACTTTGATTTGGCCGAGACCCAGTTCTTAGTGGAGGTGGCATGGCATTTGGAAGTGTCTAGCCGAGGACTGCTGTAGTAGCATCCTCTGTCGATCGTTCTCCTTGACCTCTCGATACCACTCCCATCTCTTCCCAGGTGGATTCCTCTCGAACTTCTCCTGTATGCTGCGAGTGAGACTTCCTCTGAAGAGATCAATCACTAGCTCGTTGTCATCTAGGTTGACCTGTCCCTCCAAGTCTCTGAACCACTCTACATGACATGTGGCAGCACCAGGAGCATCACTTGTGAGTCTGAGAGCCAACAGCTTGTTGTATGCCTCCATCCTAGCATTGCATGGGTTGAACTGCTCTGACAGTCGCTCTGTGAAGTAGTGCCAATCATTGAACAACCTTCCTTCTCTAGCTCTATCAATATGGAGCTTGGAGGTCCACCACTCTCTTGCTGTCCCTTCTAGTTGAGCACCCATGTGGTTGATCATCCTAGTCTGCTCATACACCTGGTTGAACTTAAACCATGCTTCGGCTTCTAGAATGAAGATCTCCATGTCTTGGGGATTGAACTTTGGAAAGGGGGTGGCGATGGGCTTTGACCAGTTAAGCTCTGCCATGATGCTAGAGTCCTCCTCCTGATCAAGAGCATAGTGATCTGTCCTGCTCTTGTTATATGGATCCACCCTGGACTTGACATATCTTGGCCCCATGGGTGAAGCATACTTCTCGTAGTTGACATCCTCCTGCTCATCCAGGTTGAATGAGACTGATCGTCTTGGTCGTGGAGCTGGAGTAGGAGTATGTGGGTCTCCTATCATAGACTCATCTCCTCCTCCTGCTTGGTCTTCTGAGTGAGAGAGGTCCATTGTCTCCTCCCTGCTCAGTTGAGCTCGTTGTAATCGTTCCTCTCGATGACCCTGTCTGGTAAGCTCTAGCTGTGCTTCCAATAGAGTGAGTAGTCTATCGAGCTTATTGTTGAGGTCTGGGTCCATCATGGTGATCATGAGGAGCTGCTTGAATGATCCACTCTAATGTCAGGGGTCTTGTGCCTGCAACCCAGGTCGGTCTGTCAAGGTACTCGGTGACTATCAAACTGCATGACAGCTATTGTCTCAGTATTGGTCTCGACGAGTTGGTTGCTCGGTGACTATCAAGTTGTGCAGTGACAGCAGGTGGCATTCGTTGTATACTATCGTAGGTTTCGGCTGACCTCTGTGGACACTCCGTTCAGGGGTAGCTCAGCATGATCAATATCAATGCTTTGGTTATGATGACACCAAGGTCTGGTGTTAGTGTTGATGATGATGAGGTTGATGACGTTGGTGATAAGGTTGGTGAGTGTTGCTGATAATGAGGTTGATGGTGTTGGTGATAAGGTTGGTGGCATCAACACAAGTGTCCAGTGTGTTGACTTGATGCTTGAAGTGATCCCCAGACCACAGTGGACTACTGCCTTCGGTTCTATCTATATCCGGACTGCTAACCTGCTATGGGTGCCTTCGGACGTCAGGTAGTGGTGATACAACACACACACTATGATGAGGAGCAACCTTGATAGATTGCTGCTATGCTGACTGTAACTAATGAGTACTTATGTTTCTAAAGTATTGACTAGTTGTATGGTGAGTAGAGTGGATGTGGATCCACTTGACCTATGATGATGAGAAAGCATGGTTATATACCTCTTCACAGCATCACCAGCGATGCTGCTCCTGCTCTCTCTCCAGAGAGTACCTTCTTCATCAAGTACTGTTCAGGGGCCTCTCCTGCTTGGCACCCCTGTGCCTCTTGAGCTGTGTTGACTCCTTCGACACTGCTCCTCCTCCTTGCTATCCTGCTGCTTGCTTGGCACCCCTGTGCCTCCTGAATGGTGTCAACTCCTTTGACACTGCTCCTCCTCCTCATGACCTGGTGTCGACTCCTTTGACACTGCTCCTTCTCCTTTGATCAGTGACAGTTCCTTTGGCTCTTGTCTCTCGAGCCCCTGAGTGGTAACCATCTGCATGCTCCTTGAGCTTGGTCCTCTTTGTGGCTGTGCCTGCTCCTTGAGCTTGGTCCTCTTTGTGGCTGTGCCTGGCCCTCCTCGCATATGGGCTCAGTCCTTCTTTGCATGTGAGTCCATAGGAGTCCATGGTCTCCATGGAGACTGCACTACGACCATGCTCTCTAATGGTATCGACTAGATCTTCGATACCTGTGCTCCTTCCATATGAACCAGTGACCCTCCTGCTTCTTGAGCATTCAGGCCCATGACAGCGGGATTCGTGATATCGATGATGCTCATGCTGATTTTGCTGAGATCTGTCATAGAGCTGATTCTACTGTCAATCTTGGTGAACTCTGCCACAAATCCTATGATCTGCCTGATCCCTTGATTCCTGCACTGCCTTCATATGAACTTCGGTTCTTCCTTCTTTCTGCACATCCAGGCCCATGACACCCAGTTTGCCTGCATATCCAGCATTGAATCTTTTGTGGCTTGCCTGTAACCTTTGCATTCATACTGTTATCAACAGTCTTGGCCTCCTTAGTTGATTTGTCCTGATTGTTGCTGTTGGCAGCCCTGGTGCTAGCTTGACAAGGGTCAACCTTCTAAGCAGGAATACTTTTGATTGCCAACTGACAAGTGCTTAAAGCAATGGTGAAAGCACTGAAGCTGAGCTGGTGGACAGTAGCAACTGTCTCCTTGTATACGGGGTGACAAATTGTGCACTTTTGTAAAGCCGAGAATAGGGTATCGTCTGCGAATGGTTTCCCCAGGAGACTGTTCTTATTCTGGATAACTCTGATCTCCTGAATGCTGTTCAGTAGCTTCACCCCACGTTGAATAAACCCAGGATATTTTCGGCGTATCTTCAACTAAATTGCCGCACAAACTCTTTTCGGGAAAAAAAAACTAAAAAAAAAAAAAAAACTAAAAACGAAAAACTAAAACTAAAACGTGGCTGCAGATGCATCAGGTGATCGTCAGGAAGGCGTGCGCCTCTGGGCTGGACTCAACAATCGGAATTGTTCCGCTTTGTGAAGAGCGGAGCGGAGATCGGAATGCCTCAGCAGCCTCTTCACAACAACTTTCCGCTTCTGCGCTCCTCTCTTCACCACCATCATCTCCACCAAAGCCAGGCGTACTATTAGCAGCCTGGTTTGTCGATTGTTTGCCCTCCCTGTACACCCTCTCCTTGTCGAGCTTCGAAGAGCTCACGGGTCTTTGCCTGCAATCCACTTAGTTTTTTTTCGTGTTATGTATATACAATTTTGGTTATGTTTCGTGCGATTGAGTCCAGGCGGGATCTGCAGGAATGTGTCTCTCGAGCTGTCTAATCCGGCTAACACAAGAAAGCGCCATACCCGGTCTCAGTCACACAGCGCTACCACCACTTCCGTTACCATCATCCTCGCGCTATCTTAACCTGAAACAGCGCGCAACGCCTTTACCGACCTGTTCACCACAAAGCTCGAGGTACTGCATAACTCTACCTGGTACCTCGTAGTTGGCCCGCTGTTTAATTTGCAGCAAGCAGCGACCGGCATGACCTCTCACACATTAGCCCGCTTTGACGCATCCCGAGACCTTCAAGATGACTGCGCATTCTGTCGTATCGTTGCAAAGCAATCACCGGCATACGTAGTGTACGAAGATGAAAACAACATGGCTTTCCTGGACATCTTACCGTTACGGCCGGGGCATACCCTGGTGATTCCGAAGAAGCATGTACAACAGGTGTCGCATCTGAATGCTGAGACCGCAGCGTCCTTGTCGCAAGCACTTGTACAGACAACTAGGGCGATCGGCAAAGGTACGTAAAGTCGAACAGTCAAGCGCTCAAGATATCAACTCTGATGATTGGGCCCTTTTGTGAAACAGCACTTGGAGATGAGAGGTTGCAGGTAATCACGAATCAGATCTATGCTCAGCTCGTACCTCATGTGAGTCAATGCTTCCGCTCGCGACGTACTTCCGTTTTCTGACGTACTTGAAGCAGTAAATACGTAGTGAGGATAGAGACCCTGACGAGCATCCCTCTTCACTGACTTCGGCTGCACAGGTCCACTTCCACATCGTTCCAGCAGCGCTCGGACGCACGAACGAAAAAGCTGACAAGCCAGCGGCATCCAAGAATCCGATGACCATAATGGGACTGGGACATGGACGCGATGAGTTGGACGACGAAGAAGCAGAGAAGCTGTCTAAGAAGATCCGTGAAGCAGCGGATGCGCTCCAGAAGGAGACAAAAGCGAAATTATGATCCCTGCTCGGTCTCGGGCGAGTGACGGAGGCAAGGAACCTAAACAATAGCCATCCGTGCGTGCTAGAGCTTCTCTAGGATGAGTGCGTGCATGTGTCATGATCGGTTTGGGCTGCGGTTCTGCGAATGAGAGCCCGAAACAGCATGTGAACGAGAGCTGGGAGTACTGTTCCATGAAAAGCGTCTCGGATGCAGGCTGCAAAGTTTGGGTCTAGATCTGAGACGGTTTTTCTGTGGTAAAGTTGATATATTCGATCTGCGTGCGAGGACTGCAACATCTAGAGAGCAAGCGAGTTGAGTTTATTCAGAGGCCTTCTTGATCTTAAGATCGGAAAGGTCAACTTGCGAGCCAGGAGCAACAGCGTGAGGCGATGCTTGCTCGAAAATCCTAGTTGATGGCAAACAAAGCAGATTGGATGCAGCAACATGATCCGGGTCAGCATACGAACGTTCTAAAGCATGTATCGTTTGCAGCTCTGTACTCACTGTGTGTAACGCAACCTGTGAACGGGAGGTCGTTCAGCATCCTGGAAAAGCAAACGCTCCTCTGCCTTCTCCTTGACAAGCTCGAGATGTCTGGCGTTGCGTTCCTTCCATACGGAGGTAGGGGTGGACCAGTGTTCAATGTATCGGGTGAGCCATGGCTTCTGCTGGCCTTCAGAGTGAAGGTTGTCTTCCGACTCGTTGCCTGGTGCTGAACGGCCAGAGGAAGAGGCTCGGGAAGGGTGTGGGTCGGCGTGAAGGGTCGAGATGCGGTAGAGGCCGAAGACGGCAATAGCTCCGAGGAAGGTGTAACGCCAGATGGGAGCGCCAAAGTTCTCGCTAGGGTACTCCTCGTCGGCAGCAGAGGCGGAGGAGGAAGAGGTGCCGGCACGAACGATGCGAGTCGAGTGAAGAGATCGGATGGGAGATGAAGATGCAGCGACGAGAGCAGGGGCTCGTCGGAGCGTTGTGCTGACGGAGAATGTGGCGACCATCTTGCGAGTGATGTAGGGAGAAGACAAGGGTGTGGTGACGATCAAGAAGGTGGAGCGTGACGCTATCAACGCCGATATCATCAAGCAACTCCAAGAAGCTCTCACTCTCTCTCCACTGAATCGGTTCCGAATCCTCAAACTCGCGACCAGCCAGAGAGTGCATCTTGATTTCCAATTGCCATCGAGCTTCCCGATTCGCACTAACCATGGTGATCGACCTTTTTTTTTTTTTTTTTTTTTTCTTTCTTTTTTTATGCTTCCATTTCCGCACGGAATCTTTCGTCGGCTCAGTCTGCTAGCTGATTGCGCTCTAACAGTCGAGGTCGAGGCACATGGTCGAACTCATTCGAATTTCTCGCTTGCTGCAAAGCTTTCTTGAATGCAATTCGCGTGTTGGTCTCGGCGCGTAGGTTGAGCAAAAAAGCAGAGACCCTGAAAGACCAGCTTGTTTTTAAGTGTGGCTCTTCGACAGTGTTTTGACCATAACTAGAGCGTCGGGCCCCTGTGTGTAACATGCAAGGAATACTTCCATCGACGCTCGCTCACTTGCGCTTCTGCGACAACAAAAGAACTCGACTACAACCGAGATCAAGTCCTTCCGCTGTCTGTCCTGTATGCGAGTTGTGAGCCTGCCATTGTCCAAGAAGGAGCGCTTGGCAGGATTTGTATCGTCTCATTCTCCGGCCAACGTTCTGTTTTGCAGCCTGTCCGTGTATGGTGTTCCGATCTTCCGTCAAGCATTGGCCATCTGGTTCACAGTCGAATGTTGTAGAAAGGTGATCAAAGGGAAGAGCTCAAGGTGGGTTGTAGCATAGCTGGAAAGACAGCGAACGTACGCTTTAATTTCGGCTGAGAGGATCAAGTGCGTTTGCTGTGTGCTCGTGTTGCACAAGCGCGTACGACTTGTGCGTGCGTGTAGCTTCAGCCATTGCTGCGTGTACCTTCATTTCGAAGCTCAGCCCACAAGATCATCGAAGCAAATGACGAGCCTTACAGTCGTACTGCTGCTCCAACGTGCTGAAAAAGAGTGTCCCTGGCTGGAAACTAGGCGAAAATGTTGGCCACACTTGCGTTGCTGTGCTCTGCTGTGCTCTGCTGTGCTCTGCTGTGCTCTGCTGTGCCAGTTTTATTATTATTATTTTATTATTTATTTTTAAGCGAGCCTGTTGGTTTCTCTCGAGGTTCCAGAGTCGCGCTTTTTTGCTGTCACATACTTACTGTAGCCAAATCCCAGGCAACTGTGGATGGGTCTCCAGAGTTGACGATTCTCGTCCGGTTGACAATCTCAAAGCTTTGTCTCTCCATCATCATCACCATCATCACTACCTTCCCTTGTCGACCTCCCCATCTTTATCGTCTTCCGTCTCGACTCCTTCTTTGTGGCCCGACCTATCCTACTCGCCTCACGATCGCCTACCTGCATCATCCCACTTCGGTTTCGGTCCGAGGTTCGACTCAAGCTTCATCTTTGCATTCACCATTCGCCCTCATCGATCCTCTTCCGCTCTTGCTGAGAAGCCATTTCGCTTCTTCTATCCAAACACTTTGCTCTGTTTTGGCCGTTTTACACTCTTTTGACCTTCGCACTTTAACAAGATTCAATCTGAAAGACGGCTGTCAGCCTCAGCATCCAGCGAATTTTTGAGAAAGAGCAGTAACCACACCGCACTTGTAATGCTTTGGTCCGCACGCCATTGACCCGCTCACTCCCGTTCAGCCTTGGCAACACCGGCCACTGCTCTTCCTTTAGATCCCAGAGCACAACAGCACATCTGATCAATCATGCTGGAGCCACTTTCTTCCCCTTCTTCGGCCACCATGTCGAATCGTCATTCGTCATCAACATCACGGCGTCTGGCACGTGCAGTCTCCAAATCAGCCCTCCTTCTCACGGCCGCCCTTCCGCTAGCATCTGCATCCATCGCCAACTTTCCCAGCATCGACTTTGACCTTCTAGGTGCTGTCAGCATTGCAGGCTCTTTCGCCGGTATCGAGCTCTGGAATCAGACCGGCTCTTCAACAAGTCCGAATGCCACTTATGACCCAGTTGCATCTTCTCTCCTCTCCCGTGCTAGCAATGGCACCGTCACTTTCATCACCGCCACAGAAGAGGGCGGCACCATCCGTGCCATTTGCCAGATGCAGTCTTCTCCCAATACCGTCTTTGTAGCCGGCAACTTCTTCTCGATAGGTGGCACATCTGTCAGCAACATTGCCTCCTACAATCCTACCACGAAAACTTTCAGCGACATGGCTGGAGGTCTTGATGGCACCGTGCAAGCCGTCTACTGCGACAATGAACACCAGCAGCTCATCGTCGGTGGCTCCTTTTCTGGTCCCAACAACGGCAAGACCGATCGCTACCTTGGGAACGTAGCTCAGTGGGACGTAGCAGCATCAAGGTGGAACCCAGTCGACTTTGGCGGTCTTGATGGCACCGTCAACACTATCACAGCCGGAGGCAACTCTTCGCTAATCCGATTCGGAGGTCGCTTCGACACTCGCTTTGCCTCAATGGGCGCCAACGGCGTCAGCTCTGGAACCAACACATCTGCCTCAGCCCTGACATCCGCTCTGACGCCCATCTCGCTGGGTCAAGTCGAGTTTGTCGGCGGTCCCAGCTCCAGAGATGCCGGCTTCGACAACCCGGCTCAGACCCTCTGTCCTCAAGGTCCCGACGGCAACGGCAACTCGTATCTCTTCGAAGATGGTGCCGAAGGTCGTCTCACCGTCCGTGCTTTCCGTGCTCTCAACGTGCGCGCCATCCGACTCGGCAACACTTTCGTCGATGGCCGTGGTACACGCACGTTTGCTATCGTCTCCATCCCCGACAACACAGAGCTCGAGTTAATCTACCTCGATCCAGCTACCGGCCAGAACGCAACTTGCACCAACAACTGTCCCCTCGCCCATGACGCCGCCTTGCCATATCAAGATTTCCTCATCGCGGACACGCCTGCGAACAATGCACCGGGCGGCGTAAAGGCCCTGACCGGTGTTCAGTTCACCGCGTCGTCCTACTACGGCACTGGAGCTGGTCTGCACGTTCTCGAGCTGCTCTCCGAAGGTGGATGGGCCTACGCTTACAACGCCCTCAACCGTGGAGCCTGTGACTCGGATCAGAGCGGTGTCAACGGTACCGACTCGTCCTCCACCAACGAAGGCGGCTGGTACACAAGCACCATCAACACGCTCGCCGGCACAACCGAGCCTGTTCTCGCCTACACCGACTCGTACAGCAACCTTCAGTCCGCCGCGTCATCTGCCACTGTCACTTTCGCTGTCGACGTTCCTGTCAACGGCAACTACACCATCAACATGTTTGTGCCAGGATGCCAGGCCAGCGGGCAGTGCGGACAACGCACGGATGTCAACGCCAACGTCTTTGCTGTTGAAGGTTCGCAGGGCAATCTGACCCGAGTCTCGCAGACCAACGAGCAGGACCGTGTCGTCCAGATCTACAGCGGAGAAGTCAACAAGGCCGCTACAGGCTTCCAGCCCACTGTAATTCTCTCGATTCCATCCGATGCTCCAGCACCCTCCGGTGGAGGTGACTTTACCGTCATTGCCGACAAGGTCAGCTTCTTGCTGCGTGACAGCAACGAGACTAACCAGATGGGTCGATCATCAGGCTTTGGCGTGCTCGAGTACAACCTCTTTGACCCTGCTGTCACTGCCCTGCAGAGCAACGGCACTGGCGTCTTGCCCAACACCACCATGACCGCTCTTGATGTCTTTTCCGCCACGCTCTTTGCCAGCGGAGTGCGCAGCAACGCCAGCGACAATGCTGTTCAGGCCATTGCATCCGTGGGCTCGCGCACCTTCGTCGGTGGATCCTTCAGGTCGCACGGCAATGTCACTTTTGCCAACATTGCAGGCTTCGACTCAGGATCCGATGGCAGGACTCCCATCGCCATCGCCAACGGAGGCCTCAACGGTCCTCTTGAGGCGCTGGCAGGACTTGGGAATGAACTCTTCGTCGGAGGCAGTTTCACCGGTACCGCCGACAACTCGGTCTCAGCCTCGTACTTTGCCCGCTACGATCCCGATGCCAACGCATGGTCAGCAGTCAGTGGAGGGCCCGACGGCGCTGTCTCGGCCATCTACCCGCTTGGTCCAGACGCGTTGCTGGTTGCAGGTGCTTTCGAGACGGTCAACGGAACCGGTCAGTCAGGTGGTTACGCGGTGTGGAACTCGACTTCCAACGGTTGGCAGACTCAGGCCAGTTTCGTCTCGGCAGAGATGACAGCTGCCTTTGCCGACTTTGCCTCTTCATCCCAGCAGAGCTTCTTGGCCGGAAGTGTTCGTGCTTTGAGCCTCCAGTCGGCGTCTGGCGCTGCACAGATGCATGCTCCAGACAAGAACGGCAACTTGCCCGTCATCGAGTCGCTCAACTTCCAGTTCGCTACGCCTGCTGGCTCTTCTGCTTCTGCAATCTCGTCGGCTAGCCTTGCACGCAGGCGCAACTTCCAACAGCAGCAGCGAGAGCAACAGCAGAGACGGAACGAACAGCAGGTTCTGCAGAAGCGAGGCAACGGCGCTGGCTTTGGCTCCAAGTTGCGTTCATTGCTCCCGCGATCGCCTTTGAGCGGCAACGATGCTGACGCTGCCTCAGCGCACGTGCCATCATTGACCAAGCGTGCAGACATCATGTTGCCCGCCTCGCTCGTGTCGAGCGGCCAGAACGAGATCCTAGCCAGCGCCTTTTGGCAAAGAGACGACGGCTCCTTCGTCAACATCCTCGGCGGCAACTTCACCACCACCACTGGCATCCGCAACCTCGCTTTCTACGACGACTCGAGAAACACCGCCTCTGCCTTCCCTGAACGATCCACCTCAGCCAACCGCCCAGCTGTGTCGGCGATTCGCTCGTTGCTCGTCGACGCCGACATGCTCTATGTCGGTGGTGATGGCGGCTTTGAAGCCTACGACCTCAAGAAGGGCAGCTGGGTCACCAATAGCGCTCCTCTCACTGCCAGCTCAGGCCAAGTGCTCTCCGTGACCGCCATCAACCACCGTCCTGACACCACGCAGCTCATTGTCTCCGGCGATTTTGCGTCTGCTGGCTCGCTTCCTTGTCTCAACGTTTGTCTCTGGGACACCAACGGCATGCGATGGTTACCTTTGAGCGCTGGTCTCAGCGGCCAGATTTCCGCAATTGACTTTGCCGGTGGCAAGGCCAATCAGCTCATCTTGGCCGGATCCATGACTGTCAACGGAGCTGAAGCCTCGCTCGCCAGCTACAACTTTGACACTCAAGTCTGGGCCGCCTTGGGCAGCGTTGGTAGAGGCGCCAACCAGATTCCTGGACCAGCGACAGCCCTTAGCGTCGACGATCTCAATGCCAATGCCATCTTTGTCGCAGGCCGTACTGCCGATGGAAGCGCGCCATACCTCGTTAGGTGGGACGGTACCCAGTACACAGCCGTTGGCACTGGTCAGTTTCTTCCGGCGACAGGCATTTCGCAGTTGACATTCGTTCCCATCTCAAAGGCGCATCCCAGCAACCCTATTCTCGAGGACAACCGTCTGCTCGTGATTAGTGGCGCTTTGACAACGCAGGACTACGGCAACATTTCGAGTGTCTTTTTCGACGGTCAAAACTATTCGCCTTTCTTGCTCGCCACCAACCTTGATGGGTCCTCCGGTATTGTGCGTGCCTTCAGCCGATCGACGGAGGTGCTACGCTTCCCCAACCTTCATCACCTGGCTGTTGGGCTTGTTATCCTGATCTCGATCGCCATCGGTCTTGGAATCGTCTTCCTCTTGGTGCTGCTTGGCTTGATCTGGGCCGTTGCGAGGAGACGACCCGAGTCGCGCGACGTAGATGTACCTCTCTCGGCCAGTGACGATTCGCTCGGTCTGGGTGAGAAGAAGCGACCATCAAGCTTGCTGGCCACGCTCAACGCAGCTACTGAGAACGCTATGCTCGGCGAGAACGGTACGGCGGCTGGTGTTGGTGCCGCGGGCGTAGGTGCTGCTGGAGCTGCTACAGCTCGTCACGGTCTACAAGACTCGCACGGTCAAAACTTGAGTGACGAGGCTGGCATGTCCAATTACCACAGCGATGGTGATCGCACTGGCCAAAGCGCTCACACACAGTACCATACCGACGATGGTGGCTTCTCGGACGCAGAAGCTGGCCTAGCCATGACTGGCACTGGTGCCGAGGCAGCAGCAGCAGCTAACGGTGGTGGTCAAGAAGACTCGCCGATGGAAGGCATCCCCGCTCATGCAAGATACGACTTTGTACCCAATCACGAGTCGGAGTTGCCTCTCACAGCGGGCGAGCCAATCGAGATCTTGGATGACCAGGATCGTCACTGGTGGCTGGCCAGGAACACCCAAGGCCAGACTGGTGTCGTTCCAAGTGCCTATGTGATGTGATGCGTCGAACGCTTCCTTTGACTTTAAAACCTCGATGTGCTCTTGCCTTGTGCTTGAGTATCCCGAACTTTCTTCATCATACCCGTTCCGAGCTTCTGCTCGAAATACTACTGTCTTTTCGTTGTGTATGCTCATTCTGTTTCCACACCTCACTCTGTGACTCTCTCTTCGCTCTTCGTATGCCTTGCAGCATGCTGCTCTTTCCACTTGTCATTACACCTGCTTTGCATCTAATACTCAGCATCTTCTCATTCATGCTTGTATGGTGTGTGTTGTGTCGAGTGATGGTGAAGGCTGAGCAGTTTAGTTTTGGCCAAGATTGATGCGGTCTAACAGATTTGTTGATTTGCCCGGCTTTTGAGTTGCTTTGGAAGATCATGATGGACTCCACACTTCGCATTTCGCACTTCCCACTAGAATCACTTCTTCCACGTCCACGATCGTTAGATCGTCCACCATCATCCACACCTTCTCAGACCTCCTCGAGAGAAAGAGCCGGCGCGCTCGCTCGAGTCTGAACTCCCTTTAGGACGTCGATTAGTGTACTGACGTCTCCACCAGACGACATCTCCGACTCGAAACTTTGCAACAGTATCAACTCGGCATCTCCGTTCCGTCAACCCAGCTCCACGACTCAGCTTTGCCCTCCAAAGGCCGGCTGTCCGCATCATCAGTGTTCGTCCTCTATACCCTCAGCATTCGGACAGCACACGTAGCATCTCAACGACCATCGATAGAGGCAACAGGTAGCCCTTCTCTCACTTCTTGAACTTGCAAGGTCTTGAACAATTCTCAGCTCCGTGTCAAGAACAGTGACAAAGAGGCAGCACCTGAACCGCTTCTGATCTTGCTGCGATCGTCGCATCATTCTCGGCCCAGCTAAATTGTACGCAACAGAGTGTTCACAAAGGCCGCTTTCTCAGTGACTTTGACGTCAGATCGTTTTTCTGTCAGACTTGAATCCTCTCGACCGTTTTTCATCAAAAGCATCGATATCCGCCTTCCTTGCGGTCCTCTCCAGCAACGCTCTTTCTCAGCCGCACAATCGTGCCCAAACTGGCTCTAATCGAGCTGACTTCTCCTCACCACAATGGCGTTCGACCTGGACGCGTGCATCGCCACGCTGCTCAAGAAGCAACTCCTTGGCGAGGCCCTGCTCAAGGAGATCTGCGAAAAGACAAAAGAGATCCTCATGAGAGAATCCAACGTCGTTCACATCTCCGCTCCTGTCACTGTCGTAGGTGACATTCACGGTCAATTCTACGACTTGATAGAGATCTTTCGCATCGGTGGCTACGCACCACACACCAACTACCTCTTCTTAGGCGACTATGTCGATCGAGGTCTATTCTCCGTCGAAACCATCTCCCTCCTAACATGTCTCAAGTTACGGTATCCAGATCGGGTCCAGCTCATTCGAGGCAATCACGAATCCAGAGCAGTCACACAAACATATGGGTTCTATACAGAATGTCAAAGGAAATACGGCTCTGCCAACGTTTGGACGTATTTCACGGATATGTTTGACTTTTTAACGCTGTCGGTGGTGATTGATGATCAGATCTTTTGTGTTCACGGTGGCTTATCTCCATCGGTACAATATATAGATCAGGTGAAGATCATCGATCGGTTTAGGGAGATCCCACATGAAGGTCCAATGGCCGACCTCGTTTGGTCAGATCCAGATCCGGACAAAGAGGAGTTTGCAATCTCTCCACGTGGTGCGGGATATACGTTTGGCGCTTCGGTGGTGAAGCACTTTTTACATAGGAATGGTATGAACCATATCTTGCGAGCACATCAGTTGTGCATGGAAGGTTTCAGCGTGCTCTACGACGACAGATTGTCAACGGTTTGGAGTGCACCGAATTACTGTTACAGGTGTGGAAATATGGCCAGTATATTAGAGGTCTTCCCGGATGGTAGTAAGCATTTCAACACTTTCGAGGCTGCGCCCGAGAACGAGAGGGATGGACCGAATCAGCACAACTTGAACGGCGGACCCACGGCGAATGGGAAACATGAAGCTGTGGAGTACTTTTTGTAGCACGAAGACAAAGGAAGAGGTAATCATATCCCGATACACAACAAAGCTTGATGATCTGTAGTGATACGAACCAGAGCTCTAAACGTCCTGATAATGCTGTAAAGTATGTTGCACCGTCGTCGTTGTGTGAGTGCTGGGAGCAACAGATACGGTGAGCTGCTGTTACTCGACAACAAAATTATGTAATGGTTACAAGGATTTATATAAGCTTACCTGTGCAAGGTAGCATATCAAAGGCGCTTTGGCGGAGTGGTTATCGCGTGGCACTAGAATCTCTTCTTCGATTCTAGAGTATTATCTGCTCGACAAAAAATGCCATTCCCTCTGGGAGCATAGGTTCAAATCCTGTAGGCGTCGCTTTTTTTCTTCCACGGAATACCCCTGAAACTGGAACGTTCGAACGCGGAGGACTGAGGGGCATCCCCTCCAACTTTCTGGAGCAAGATCGATCAGAAAATGGACGAGTTATGCTAAAACGAATTTTTTTACGATGGTGTCAGTGGCGATAATTAGGCGTCGCTCCTGATCACCTCGACCTTTCGTCATCACAACTCTCCACCAAACTTGACGAGGACACTCACCTGACCACCGCGCACTCCACTGCGCCAAGAACCGACAGCATCGACGACTTTGAACGCCACCTTCGCAACATCCACACCCGTCCATCCATCCATCCATCCATCCATCCATCCACCTATCCGCAACCGGCTTGACCTCGCCCTTCGCAAGTGTTGCTGACAACTCAGCAGGTCCCAACGGGCTGAGCACTGACAGCATCGACGCCTCTGCAAGCTCCAGGGACAGCGAATGCCACCTTCGCCACCTCCACAACCATCCATCCATCCATCCACCCATCCATCCATCTGCGACCGGCTCGGCCTCGACTTTCGCAAGCATCGCTGATCACTTGGCTGACCACAGCGCACCCCGACCGCATCAAGATCCGACAGCATCGACACCTCCGCAGACTCCAAGGTCTGCATCCATCCGTCCGCAAACGACTCAAACTCGACTCAATGAAACCGCGACTTTCGCAAGCCTCGCCACTTGGCGGCGCTGGGGAGCTCAGCATAGCAATATCAGGCAAAACCAGCACCTCTTTCGCTCCGTACCTCTCTTCGCAACAGCTCTGGAGAGCCTAATCACGACGGCAGCTCCTGATCACGACGGCAGGTCCTTTGCCCTACGACTGCCTCTGGTTAGAGCACACCCTGCTACTGAAACAATCTCAAGAACGACGTAACTCACTCTCATGATCATAGTTTCAATGCTCCGCTCTCCAGAACGGTACAACCTACTCTCTCGTTCTCTTTCATGGTTCCAATGCTCCGATCTCCTCACCGAGATCACCTACCCTCACGACCACTGCTCCAACGCACCCTGCCCCTCTCGCTCATCTATACCCCTTCCCCTTGTTCCTGACCAATTGGCCTGCTCTTCAGCGGTCACGATCTGTTGCTTTGGACTCCGACTCTCTTGCCCAAACACCGAGAAGCCACCTCTTTACAGGGACCCAATGTCGACGGACTGCGCACTCTTTGAGGAGTTCGTCTATGGCCGAGGAGATCCTCCCTTTATGTGTGTACATACTTTTTTTTTTTCTTTGTATCTACTTTTCCACTCTGATGCAATTGAACTTAGGCCATAGGGCCTGATATATATATAAAACCGGAAAACTCGTCAAACTTGTCAAACTCTGGAACCTTGGAACGCGGACGGTCGAGGGGCATCCCCTCCAACTTTTTGGAACAGGATCAATCAGAAAATGACCGAGTTATGCTATAACTCAAAATTTCGAGATGGTGTAACTGGCCGTCAATAAGCATTGTTTCTAATCACCTTGACATTTCGACAACACAACTTTTCTTCAAACTCAACAGGGATGCTCAGCGGACTCTAGCACACCCCAGCATATCAAGAACCAACAGCTTTGATATCTTTATGGGCTTCAAGGCTCATAAACAACACCAGGACATCAACCGGATCCATCCGGTCTCAAACAACTCACACTTGACCACATGACATCACGTTTTTTCGCAAGTTTCGCTGCTTCAGCGACGTTGGGGAGCTCAGTATCACATTGCTGTGCAAAACCAGCATCTATATCAACACCACCCACCCATACAACCCATCCTTGTCTCCTTCGGTGACGTCTCTGGGGACCTTGATCGCAATGACAACCACTCCTCACCCTTGCTGCCCCATGCATTCCACAAGTGCGTCCTGGGGCCAGTTTTGCTCACTCAGCATCTCACTTCTACTACTTTATGGCTAAATCCGGCTAAGCCACTGAGGCCCTCGCCTACAGTGAGGAACTGGACCGCAGGTGTTGAGAGAAACACCACCTACAGTTTTGATGTCCGATGGTGATACAACACACACGTTCGAGATGTCATTGCAAAGGCTTCTTGCTATTGCAATGATACATAACTAAGTTAGAGTAAGTAAAGCAAAGAGTGGAGTGGATGGGGATCCACTCGTATGCTATGGTGAAGTGGTAGTATTTATGTGTTTGGAGGGTGACTACCTTCTCCTCTTCTGCCGACTGTCTTTGTTCGCTCTTCCGTCTTTTCGCCTGGCTAAAGCTCTGTCCTCCTTGCCAACTTCAACCTATAAAGGCTCCTCTTTTCAGTCGTAGCCCCCATCCTCCCTTCACCACCCACACTACTCCTCAACCACACCAGCTCCTTTTGTGCCTTTCCATCTTTACTCAATGCTGCCTATCCACTCCAGTGATCAACATCGCCATGCATCCAACTCTGGACCTGTTCTCACCTCCACAGATATGCAGACCCCTGCAGCTGATGCATCCACCACCTCCACCACCTTATCTGCTCAAGATAATGCTGCCCTCAAAATCCCCGCCACTACTCAAGAGGGCACCAATGAATCCACCTCTGTCCCTTCTTCTGAACAACATAATGATGGAGTTGACGAGGCCATGGAAGAGCTCTACCTGGCTGAGCCTGACCAGTGGGCCTTCCAGCCCATATTCACTGGTAGACTCATTTGGTTGGCAAAGCATTCTGACAAACCTATTGTCCCCTTTGAAGAGCTCCCACTTCCTCGGTCTGACCAAGCCAGAGTGCCTCCTTGCACTGTATGCTGGCAATCATCCGAAATTTCAACCTCAATTGCAAAGAAGACATTGCCCGAGGTTCTCTTCATCTCCAGGCCTGCCAACAGATGCAAGCAAAGGGTATTACAACACCCAACTGTGTTGTTAATTTTCCTCATGGCACTGGCCATTCATGGAGATTACAGTGCCTTGTGACCACCTGGTTGCTCTCAATGAGGTCTCCTTGGTCTTCAATCAGACCAGTCTTTAACATGTCCTTGTTGGGGCAGCTCTCCCTCACAATTCCCTTGCTCTCGAGATACTCAATGTTCCTCAAGCAAATGTGCCAACCACCACCACTCGCTATGTGGCTCAATCTCTCAAGACCTACACCCAAGTCCATGATGTTTGGATTTGACAGGTCTCTTACCATGATGACCCCACTCCTCTGGCCAATACTAATGTATACATTGCCCTCATCACCACTCCAGCAGGAGATGAAGGAGGCCTTGACCCAGTTTGGCTCCATGCTATTCCTGGTTATGTACAAATCCTCACCAATGACTGCAAGCTCAGCAATGTTGGACATTTACAATGGTGCCCATCTTGCAAGAGCTGAGTGAAATACTTCCACACTTTCAAAAACTGTCCCAGTTGCCTCTGCCACAAGTGTCTATGTACTGGGCACATTGCTGCTGTCTGCCCCAATACCTCACATGATGATGGCAATACAACTGCTGTCACTCAGCAAGTGGAGGAAAGTACTTGTGGTACCAATGCCCTCGACTATGGCACCTAATCATATCCTCCTTTCCAGCTCTCTTTTCATTGCCACCTGGAATTGTGCAATGCTTAATGATCCATCCTGCTTTGCAGCCCTACACAATCCATCCACCCCTCTCGGCAAAGCTGAGATTGTCTTCCTCCAGGAGATGCGACTCGCCTCTCCACAATGTCAGAGGTCTCGTGCCTAAAACCTGATATCTATAATAGGAATGCATCTATTATGATTCCTGCTGAGATATGTGGTAACATGTTGTGTATTACGATTTCTATTGAGGTATGTCATAGAGAAGCCTCTATGGCTTTTCTTGCCCAAAGATGTAGTAATGTGTTTGCTATTGCAGGTTTTGACTGACCGCTGTGGACACTCTGTCCAGAGGTAGCTTGGCACAATCAATAACTGATATGAACTGGTACTAACACCAAGGTCTGGTGTGATTGAGATTGTGATGTCACCAACATGAGTGTCCAGTGTGTCAACTGAGTGCTTGAGGTGATCCCTGGACCACAGTGGACAACTGCCTTCAGTTCTATGATCATGAGCTGGACTGCAGGTTGCTATGAACTGCCTTCAGTGTTGATCATTATCCAGACTGCTGGTTCTATGAACTGCCTTCAGATGTCAGTGAGCAATGATACAATACATGTGCTATGATGGAAGCAATCTACTTGTGATTGCAACTGTGCTGACTAAAAACTAATGTATACTTTATGTCGAAGTGATAACTAGTTTATGGTGTAGAGTGGATGGTAATTCACTCACTTGTTATGACAAGGAGTATGGTTATATACCATCCTCATAGTGTTGCCTGTGACACTGCTCCTGTTCTGTGAGACCCCTCAGCCCTATGTCTCCTCCTCGTCCTTCCTTCCATTTCCCATCCATGCTGAGCTGCTGCTCACTGGCACTGCTTTCCTCTCTTCCTGTGGATGGATGGCCCTCGTGTTAATCATCATCAGGGGCCGATCCCACTTCATCTGAGTGGCGACCCACCCCCCTTTCATCTCCCTCCTGTCACTAGCACCCATCTGCCTGCACCAACTTCATCATTGTGCAAGGTCCCTGCTTCATACAGTGGCGACCTCCCCATGTTCTCCATCATCCCCTTGCCATATTGGTGATAGAGGATTCTCTCAAACCAATCCCCACAAGGCCTGTTGTAGCAAATGTGATCCTGCTGATTCTACTGACCCCTGTAGTAGGACCTGTGTTCCTACTGATCCCAATGATTTATGTCATTGGGTCATTGATCCTACCAATCTTACCAATCCCTGTCAGAACTCTACTTTCCTGCTGATTCTACTCCTGTAACAAGACCCATACTCCTACCAATCATGATGGGTTATGTCATAGCACCATTGTTCCTACCAATTTTGCTGGGCTCTGTTGGAACTCTACTTTTGCCTGATCCATGATGGTTGCACCAGATCTCTTCATATGAGTTCCGTTCTTCCTGCACATCCATCCGGTCCCATGACACACAACACCTTCCGACAGCCAACCCTTTTCTTCACCTTCATCACCCCTTCGCATCCCGAGGTCATCAAGCGATTCTAGGTCAAGATTGCGGAATATTACTTCGGAACACCAAGTGGAAGATGTCAGAGGTCTCGCGCCTGAAACCTGATATCTGTAGTAGAACTGCTTCTATTACAGATCCTGTCGAGTTATGTGATAAAGTCTTGTGTATCATTATTTTGATCAAGATTTGTTGTAGAAGGCCTCTATGACTTTTCTCACTCTAATATGTGATAGTTGGTTTGCTATTGCAGGTTTCAACTGATCACTGTGGACACTCCATCCAGAGGTAGCTCAGCACAATCAATAATGATAGATGTATTGCAATGACACCAAGGTCTGGTGTGAGTAATGCTGTGGGCACTGACATGAGTGTCTGGTGTGTCAACTGAGTGCTTGAAGTGATCCCTGGACTGCAGTGGATGACTGCCTTTGGTTCTAATGATCAAGAGAGCTGGACCACTGGATGAACTGCCTTTGGGATGTCGATCAATGTCAATGAGCAGTGATACAACACATGCGCTACAATAGGAGCAATGTCTTACAATTGCTACTGTTGATGGACTACTAAGTATACTTATATGAAAGCTATAACTAGTAAAATATGGTGTAGAGTGGATGGTGATCCACTCACTTACTATGACAGGGAACATGGTTATATACCTTTCTTGCAGCATCACCTGCAACACTGCTTCTCCTCCTCATCCCTCCTATCCTCCCCATCCACCTTGTGATGCTGCTTGTTGGCACTGCTTCCCTTGCCTCCTGTGGATGGATGGACCTCTTGCTGCCTCATCTCTGTCACATTGGCACCCACCTGCTGGCACCAACTTCATTGTTGTGCCAGGCCCCTACTTCATCTGGTGGTGGTGTCCCCTCTATTGTTTGGTATCCTCCTCTTGCCATATCAGCGTTAGAGGAGCCTCTCAAACCAATTCTCATGAGGTCTGTTGTACTTAGCATGGTATTACCATTCCCACTGAACTCTGTAGTAATGACCTTGTTCCTGCTGATCCTGACAAGTTATGCCATAGAGTCATTTCTACTACCAATCTCAGTGAACTCTGCCTTAAGCTCTCGCTTAGCCCAATCCCATGATCTCTGTGCTCCTCTTCATATGACTTCAACTCTTCTTGCTTCCTGTGCATCCGGTCCCATGACATTACCCTTCAATTGCATGTGCACTTCCCAATGAGGGCCTCGACTTCAAACTTGAGCTCCTCATCTGGTAAGGGTGGTATGACTGGTTGTGCTGTTCTTTGTGGAAGTGAGCTTGTCCTCACCAGTTTGAGCATGGACACATGAAACACATTGTGCACCCTCAGGTTTGCTGGCAAGGTGATCTGATATGCTCTTCAGGCCACTCATTCTTGGACTGGGTAAGGTCCTGCAAACCTGATATCCAGCTTTGGCATAGGTTGCCTTGTCTTCCAGTTCTGGCAATTGATGTACACCAATTTGCCAACCTTGAACTTGATGTCCTTGTGCTTCTGGTTGTACTGTTCCACTGTTCAATGTTGTGCCTCTCTGATCTGTTCTTGGAGGTACTTGCAACACTCCTCTCTGTCAACCATGTACTTGAGGTGACCAGGGTCATTCACCCCTAGTCACTGAGGGATGTCTGGATGGGCTTTTGGGTTCCATCCATAACATGAGAAGAACAGGGAGACTCTGATGCTGTTGTGGACTGTGTTGTTATACACAAATGCTGCTGTTTTGAGCAGATCAGCCCAATCATCCTGCTCATAGTTGCAATACATCCATAGGTACTGCTCCACCACTTGATTGACCCTCTCAGTTTGTCCATCAGTCTGTGGATGATAAGCTGTGCTGAGTGAATGTTTAGCACCCATGCTCTCAGCAAACTCCTTCCATGCTTTTGAGATGAACTGTCTTCCTCAGTCAAAGACCATATGATTGGGGAATCCAAAGTGCCTGACCAGGTGTCCCCAAAGCAACACAGCAGTCTGTTTCACCATGGCAGTCTTCTGAGTTGGGGCCAGAATGGCAAACTTGGTCAATCAGTTGACAATGACAAGAATGGAGTCATATGTCAGGGGTCTCGCGCCTGAAACCCAGGTCGGTCTGTCGAGATACTCGGTGACTATCAAACTGTGTGACAGCTATTGTCTCGGTATCGGTGACTATCAAGTTGTGCAGTGACAGCAGGTGGCGTTCGTTGTATATACTATCGTAGGTTTCGGCTGACCTCTGTGGACACTCCGTTCAGGGGTAGCTCGGCACGATCAATATCAATGTTATGATGACACCAAGGTCTGGTGTGAGTGTTGATGATGATGAGGTTGATGGTGTTAGTGATGAGATTGGTGATGTCGGTGATAATGAGGTTGATGGTGTTGGTGATAAGGTTGGTGGCGTCAACACGAGTGTCCAGTGTGTTGACTTGATGCTTGAAGTGATCCCCGGACCGCAGTGGACTACTGCCTTCGGTTCTATCTATATCCGGACCGCTAACCTGCTATGGGCGCCTTCGGACGTCAGGTAGTGGTGATACAACACACACACTACGATGAGGAGCAACCTTGATAGATTGCTGCTATGCTGACTGTAACTAATGAGTACTTGTGTTTCTAAAGTATTGACTAGTTGTATGGTGAGTAGAGTGGATGAGGATCCACTCGACCTATGATGATGAGAAAGCATGGTTATATACCTCTTCTCAGCATCGCCAGCGATGCTGCTCCTGCTCTCTCTCCATAGAGTACCTTCTTCATCGAGTACTGCTCAGGGGCCTCTCCTGCTTGGCACCCCTGTGCCTCTTGGTCGACACAGCTCCTCCTCCTCATGACCTGATGTCGACTCCTTCGACACTGCTCCTCCTCCTCATGACCTGGTGTCGACTCCTTCGACACTGCTCCTCCTCCTTTGATCAGAGACAGTTCCTTTGGCTCTTGTCTCTCGAGCCCCTGAGTGGTAACCATCTGCATGCTCCTTGAGCTTGGTCCTCTTCGTGGCTGTGCCTGCTCCTTGAGCTTGGTCCTCCTCGTGGCTGTGCCTGCTCCTTGAGCTTGGTCCTCCTCGTGGCTGTGCTTGGCCCTCCTTTGCATGTGAGTCCATAGGAGTCCATGGTCTCCATGGAGACTGCACTACGACCATGCTCTCTACTGGTGTTGACTAGGTCTTCGATACCTGTGCTCCTTCCATATGAACCAGTGACCCTCCTGCTTCTTGAGCATCCAGGCCCATGACACTACCCCCCTCTTAAGAGCCGAGCTCCGTCGAGGCATGCTCTGGTCTGGTTCATGCTGACTCCTCCTCTTCCTTGACAACATCGTCCCCGTCATCCTTCCTCCTTC